TCCTCCTCCTCCTCCTCCCGCTCCATTCATATTAGTATTATACGTTTGTTTCTCATCATCCCTCTTCCAAAAATCCTCTTCCATATCCTTCTGATACCGCCATGAAGCAAGGTATCGACCAAACCGATCGCCCATGCGTGACGTTTTCGTCTTCGTGGTCGATGCGACGGAGGTCCTTTCACTTGATTTGTGGTGCAGCTTTGCTGCATGTACGCGCAGTGTAGCTGTCAATGGTAGGAATATGAGGTCTTTGCAGAGACCGAATACGATCTTCTGGGATTTGAGGAGGTAGTCACGGAGGCGTTCGCTGAAGGCTATCAGAAGGGCGGAGCCTATCACGGCCACGGATGTAGGGCCTGTGGAAAGGGTGATATTTGTTATTTAACAGGTCAAGATGGCAGAATCGTGGATGAAGCTTACCGGCTATAGTGAGCATCGTTCTTAGAGTAAGGTTTTCGGGCTCGCCGCTCCATTCTCGGGCGTTGATGCCGAAGAGAGAGGTGAAGAAGGAGAGTGGGAGGAAACTAATTGGAGTCAAAGGGTTAGCAGGCATTGGCAAGTGGGATGGGGCTCGTTAGAATCTTGAGTGTTTGACTGACATAACTGTGAATATAGTAAACACCATGACCGCGCGCGATTGACTTTGCGTCACCTCTGCCTCCCATCGAGCTAGCCGCGATTCGTCGACGTTGGCTTGTTTCTGCTTGAGGTCGAGAAGATTCTCTACCTAGATGGATATTAGTTGGATGCGCATAGAACTGAAATTGGTGGCATGGGTCTGACATACAGCTTTCTGTGCTGCGATAGCGTTCTCTCTCATCTCTGAGATATGGGTCCGATACTCGTCTAGCCTTGCAAGGGAGGCCAGGATGAAGCGCTTTCCGTATCCTCTATACTCGAAGTATTTGACCATGTCGTTTATCGTAGTGGTTTGTTCGTCTAATAGCTTCATGATCGTTCCCAGCTCATCCACGATATCTCGCAATTCCAACATTGAGGAGAGATCGTTACGATTCTGGAGTGCTACTTCACGGTCCCTGTCCTCACGCTCGGAAGCCGTCATAAGCTTTCCATCAGGCGTCTTATTGTATTCCGATGGCCTCGTGACGAATCCTCGGTTTCGAAATTGTTTGAAGGATTTTGTTGTTAATTCGGTCTATCAAGATTAGCATTGCGATATTCAAGGACATTCCAGAGAGCTACCCACCAGGATACTGATCGATTCTTCAAAGATACGGAGAATCTGAAGATCACTATGCAATGTCCTGTCGAAAAGCACTGTGACGGCGTGCAGGACAATCAGCGCGCCAAGATCACCAGCAGTCTCGAACCGGCGCGCAAGATCCCCGTTAAGTTCATTGTAAATACTGTTAAACAGATTGGTCTGTTCGTAAAACTTCCCTTCAACGGTAGTCGGCTCTTGCTTAGGGAAAAATGTAACAACCGTTTTCTGGTCCACAATCCAGAGCCAGAGCTGGTCGACCATGAGCACTTTGCCGTCTACAAATGTCCTGCTTCGTGGGTCAGATCCATCTCCCAGTGGAATAGAATTGCCAAGTTCATCATTGAGATTAACGGCTTTCCTCGTTCGTTTCCAGAGCATTTGGTCGTCATCTCGTGCCACGGTTGATCGCAGATTGGGGTATCCGAACTGGTCAAGTGTTCTTCGTATGTGGATTGGAGGCTCATTGCCCAAGTACTTCCATATTAACTTCGATTCCAGACTGGATTGGGATATCTCCTCTGGAACAGGTCGAGATCTTCCTTGCCGTAATCTTTCTTCGATGACTTTTCGTCGCTGTAATAAGTTCCAGTATGTATCCCAATGAAGCTGATTATGATTAGCATAAACTAGTAGCGAGCTCTAAAAACGAGGGATGCATACGTATGGCAGCTGGGTAGGGTTTCGTTAGCATTTAGTATGACCTATTAGGAACACTGCCAGACTTACGTAGAGTGCTAGTTGGGGATCATGAGGTTCCGAAGCCTTTATTGGTGGAGAATCCATTTTAAAATGAATACATGCTGGCCGCACATAGCGCGCATGAGGTTCCAGGTGGCGAGCGGTTATGAGGTTTGAGAACCAGTTTTCAGCGTTGACAAGCTTCCTAAATCTATCAGAGTTGAAACTGGTTAGTGCGCTTGAATCTGAGTATCAGTTGGGTAAAACCTACAGATTCTGTTTTGTTTTGCCCTTGCAGGTCTTGGATAGAACCGGGGGCACCCAATCAGTATGGGTGTATGGGACATGGATCCAGGTCATTTTCTCGGTTCCTGGTTCCGGTCTATCGAACCTTGGGGCTATCCGTGGCCGCTCCTCAGGTGTGCGCTCTCTGAACGGAACGTTGAGAAATTCGCGGTATCTGGAAGAGAGACTCGATCTATATGTATTTCGTTCTCAGTCAGGCTTTCTATGTTTTGCATGGGGCATGGCACTAACAGAAGGTTTCTTTGGCTAGGGCTAATAGTGCCTAGGTTATCAGATGCTTCATCTTCCTCTTCCTCCGCATTTTCTTCAGCAGGATCACCACTAGAAATACGCCGTTCCGAGTTTGAGCCCTCCGACTGGATATCAAAATAGCCCTCGATGGGCGGCTCAGTGACATGAATTCTGGGCGATGGATGCTGCGCAAGGAAGCTCCTGCTCCTCTTGACTGAAGGTCGTGACGGGACTACCTCAAGGGGAACGATATCTGGTTCTCGCAGGAGAGAGTCTATTCTTGAATGATCGGCCTGTGCACTAGTCGGTCTACTGCCAAATTCACTTGGCTCGGAGTCGTCAAATGTGCTAGAGGATAGTCTGCTGGATTTCTTCAGCCGCTCTTCCAGACATTTCACGGGTCCTCTGTCCAAAAATTGGTCGAGCGGCGTTTCGGTGGACCACAATTGTAACGGAGACTCCTTACTGACGCCTCTTGCTGTGTCTTCGAAGAAGCCACTCACTTGGACCATAATCTCCTTCTCTGTTTGAAGCGGGACGTCTGACATTATCGATAATTCCAAGGCCGTGGAAACAGCGGACTGCAGACCTCTGAAGAAGTCCATCCTGGCAGTTGCTTCCTGGCCCTTAAAGGACGCTATACCGACATGGTCGGTAGCCAAAGGCAGTTCGTTCTCATGCTCAAAGCCCAGGATACCCGATCGAATTGATGTGATGGGGACATGCATATCAATTGTACTTTGGGTCTCCGTATCGGTTATCGTGAAAACTGAATCGACCGTCTCCAAAAACGTCCAAATCTTCATGTCGGCTGAGATTGCCCGAAACTGGCCAGCGAGGCGTTCCAATATCTCATGTCGGGGCTTAAACACCCCCCGCAGCTCAATGGGCACCGCATGTTTGAGATGCAGTAGGCGCCGGATGCTTTTGCCGAACTCGGGTGCAGAGAGGTAGCTTGAACCATAGTGAGGAGTTCCGAAAAACGCGATTCCATAACAGCTCGAAAAGATAGAATCAAGAGGGTGATGCGACCGGCTAGCCTTTACAAGCGCGGCCGTGGCTACAATGCCGCCAGTGCTGTGACATATAAAGAATATGGGTCGTCTACGACTCTGGAGGCAAATTCCCCGATTAGTAAATAAACGCAAAGGATAAGGTCCAACACTCACTGTTGAGTTTCTCGTCTCCTGTAGTTTGTTCAGCAACCTAGTCGCTAACGAATCCAGCGTGTCGCTGGCATCCAGTTCTCCATGGTCAAATAGCAGCACGCGCGCATTCGGAATGAATCTGGGAAGCTCTGCCTTCAACCAGGGAGATTCTGTACCATCACCGGTCCATGTTTCCTCTGGGTCGGCTCCTATTGCTGGGATAGCGACAATACTGTGAGCGGTTTAGTTAGCAGCCCCAAAAAAAACAAAGAAAGCCGCGATCACTCACTCCACGTTCGTAACAGTATCGCTCGTCACCATATCGGCAGAAACACTATTCAAAATGGTGCTAAGAAGGAGACAGTCTCAGTATCAGCTCTGCCTAGCAGCCTAAATATAAGGATGATCCCAGGGGAAGGAAAGAGTGTCATGGTAGGTCATCATCTGACACACTGTTTGAGTCAATACGGCAGCAGATGACTTTTGGCGACTGAACGAAGGCTGTGTCAGCCTGGTTAAGATTGGCATTTCAGCCTCTCTTTTTTTTCTTCAAGGAGGGGACGGGCACAAGAGGCCCCAAAACAAATCCGTCGGCCATGGCAAAGAGATCGTCTCGAACTAAGAATGGCCCCGCGCACGGATGGCTGAATCTCGCCCACTAACGCGTATCCGAACGACCGGGGTAAACGCGGGATGACGGGCATCGTCAGCGCATTGCGTGTCTGGAAGTCTGCGGGTAAGGCTGAGGCTGTTGCTACCAATAGTGCTTGCAGGTGTGACCGTGGGAGTGTCCTGTTGGAATGGGCATATTCTACTTCTTCGAACAAGTTTACTGTGAATGTTGAGAATACTGGTTGAGGATAGTATGTATATAGGTAGTGTACAGGATATGCGATGCAAAAAATATCGAAAAGAGACCCTCCCTTTACTTCCTAGAACGTATTGAGAAACAAAGCAGCTCTATAGTCCATATCGAATGCGGTATCATCAAAAATCAAAACACCCACGCGCTCAACAAGCGAACCTGCAGGTTGGCCGAATGCTTGAAACGTGAAAAAATAGCGGAGACTAGTCGAAAGAGTAGAGATCGCTCAAAAAAAATTAGATGAAAGTCGGATAATGAAAGGCGATGCTGTGTGAGAAGCCTTGCAACTGGGACGCAGGCAACCGCAAGTCGAAACCACAGGCAGAAAGAACTGAACAGGAACACGTGAATCAAACGGTGTCGGAGTCAGTTTCATCCAGTGAGGTATGACGTCGCTCGTTGACATCTCGCGCAAGCTTCTTGCCAACCTCATATGTTGAGATCATGATTGCACAAGCCGGGGCCACTTTCAAACAACGTGCCACCCAGCCACGGAAAAGGCCTGCCGTGCCTTCTTCACGGAATATATGCAAGAGAAATTTCGGCAATGGAAGCTGCTCTGGTTGAAGAGGTCCTTTTTGAACACTGCCTGCAATGGTACTCGGCACCTCATCTCCTATATGGCGGTACACTTGCTGGCGTGTCTTTCCAACGTCAAATGGGGTCGTCACAAATGCGGCCAATGCGCCCGAGACGGACCCTGCAACGAAGCTATCCAAAAACGTATTGCCCTCCACCTCGTGGGTCGCCGAGTGTGTTGATGACCTCACGTTATGCAGCAAGATGTGCTCCCGCGCCTTCTTCCGCGTCTCTATAATGTATTTCTTCACCTCTTCATAGCCCCACCAGTAAAGACCAGAGAAAGGTACGTCTCGCCACATTGTAAGTGTCAGCCCCCGCCAAAGGGAGCCGTACCCTCTCGCTTGGGTCATTTGATGAAGACCCTCGAGAGTGGCTTTGAAATGTCCTGCTCCAGTACCGGGTGTCGCCTGCAGGCGTGTCCGGAACATCTCGATCGGACTGATAGCCGTAGCCGCCGCTATTCTTGCAACTGCCCCTGAGACGAAGGGAACATATCCATTCGGAATAATGCGCTTAATCGGGCTCCTCTCATCTGTGCGCAACCAGTCGTATCCTGCAAAATAGATAACATTTCCCGGTATTCCCATCATAAGCGTCGGGCTGAGTCCCCGCCAGAGGGTCAAGAAACCCTCATTTCGAGCAATCTTCCGTAGACCGTCCAGGGTAGACGTGAATGTCTTTCGTTGCGTCTCTTCCACTGCACAATCCGCGATTGACTGGGTCCCTAAGGCATGTCCGCTGGGTCCAACCATGCATATTTGTGAGTTCTGTCCTATCCAAAACACTTCACGGCAACAAGCAGTGACTCCAAGGTTGGGAGGGGCATTTTTCAAGGCGGACGTCGTGTGAGACCGGAACGGTGAGGTATTTTTGACATGCGACTGGGATTGTAACCGAACGCGAACGACATCTAGGGGGGTCACTGTAAAGCCGTTAGCTCATATTCTCTGAGACGTTGAAAGTCATAGATCGATAACAGGTCTAATTGCCTACCTAAGAGCCCGGTCAAGACGCTACCACAGGTCGCCGAGACCATCTTCTGCGTGATAGAGGCATCGCCAACCGCGCTAGCATTGACTGTAGAAGCCGACCCTGTCCCAGAAGTAGCCGCCATGAAAGTGTCTTCTGCAGTGTTCCATGTCTCTGCCGAGCGGCCTTCAGGTTCGACGCCGGTGGGATTGTTGGAGCGATATCGGTCCCAGGAAGTACCTTGAGTGCCCGAGTCGGACATCGAAATCGACGGCGCGATCTCGATCTGCTGGCGATCCAAATATCAGATAGAATGTTGTGATCTCCTCTAACTCATCGAGGGCATTGAAAATGTGGAAGCGCGATCGGTGACTGTGACTCAAACACAGCGATGATGTTGGAGAAAAAGAATGTTCCGGCTCGGTGGCGTTCGGATTCGAGCTTGCCGGAGATAAGCGCGGGCCTTCACCCAACCTGGACTCCTCCCGACACTCGTCGGACACCTTATACTTGTGTGTTGATCAGGGCGCTCGCCGTTCTATGAGGAATAATGGCTCTTCTACTCTCGGTCTAAACCACAGTTCTTTCCATTCTTGACGATTTCCCCGATCCCTCTGCTCCGTGTTCGCCCTCGCCCTCGCCCCACCGAAGCTCGCTTATCAATCGGTGGACCTTGCACCTCCCAGTACGCAACAGCTTTAGCAACTATGGAGGACAACGCGGAGCTTGAGTCTTTCCGACGCCAGTGGCGTGAGGAAGTCTCACGGCGAACACACCCCAATGCAGCCGAGCCATCGCAGCCGACACCTACACGACCTGTCGCTCCTCAACCCCGACAATTTCCCCCCACCCGGCATGAAGCGTCAGCGCGCAAGGAAGATGAAGAAGAGGGCCCGGTACCATACGATCAGAACGAGATAGTACGAGGGGTTGACCGTCTGTCTTTAAATAAACATAACGACGAAGATGCCTTTCATCTACGCGAGTCCCGAGCCGAACCTATGTCAGCTCTGGAACATTTTGAAAGAGCCGTCGAGAGGGAAGCGGAAGGAAACCTAGGAGATAGCCTCCAGCTCTACCGCAAAGCATACCGAGTGAGTAGGGACATTCCTCCTCTCACAATTATCAATCCTGAGACTTTATATTGACTTGCTTTTTCAGTTGGATGCCGCCGTCGACAAGGAGTACAGGAATAAGCATTTTGCTGGCGCGTGGAAGAAAGCGCCACAACCAACTACACACAGCGAGCCAACCAAAGCGGCACCAGTTGAACAGCCGACAATCGTGCCAACACAGGAACTTATCAGTTCTTTTGCGAGTGCGCCAATTTCCCCGGCGGACCCCATATTCGAAGGCGATCCCCGTCCACCATGCCCTATTGCGCATGTTCCATCTGAGGTCATAGTCGAGATTTTGAGTCATGTCGCTCTGGCTGACCCAGCAATTTTCTGCCGAATGGCACTAGTATGCAAAAGATTTGCGTATCATTTCGCACATGAACAACATATCTGGAAACGTCTGTGTCAGGGTGCTGGGTTCGGTTTCAAGTCAATGCATTACTCGTTTGCGTGCGATATCCACGGCAACCCCGAACATACTTTGATGCCTCAAGCTCGGTATACACCATTCCCCAGCGATATTCCAGTTCAACTCCCGAGCCCACTGTCTTCGTGGAGTGAGGTTTTCCATTCTTTTCCCCGTATCCGCTTCACCGGAATATACATAAGCACGGTAAACTACACTCGTGCTGGTGCAGCGTCTGCATATTCGAATATCTCATGGAACAGTCCGATTCATATTGTAACGTATTACCGTTATCTCCGCTTCTACCCTGACGGGACTGTCATCTATATTCTCTCAACAGTGGAACCAGTCGAGGTCGTTCCGCATATTAACAAAGCAAATGTGACGGCGGCACGGGCAACATCCCGTAAGCAGAATTTACGGACTGCCCCTGACCTGGCAACATCTGCTCAGGAACCAGTACCCGCTGTTGCTATGGAGGCATTAAAGCGCGCTCAATGGGGTCGATGGCGTCTTTCGAAACCAACATCACCTACGGATCCGCCTGAAGAAAACGAATATTTGTTCCCGAGTAAGGACAAATCGGCTGCTGCCCCTGACCCCAGGGATTTGGTGATCGAAACCGAAGGAGTGGGGGCGTCCAAGTATGTTTATGTTCTTCATCTAGCCCTTCGTTCGTCGACTGTTCGTCCCGTCAACAATAATCCGGCACTCCCCAACCCCTCGAAAAATACCAAGTTAGTCTGGAAGGGGTACTGGAGCTACGACAAACTCACGGATGACTGGGCGGAGTTCGGACTGAAGAACGACCGCGCGTTTGTCTTCCGACGTGTTAGAGGTTGGGGCATGAACTAATGACTTGCGACGCGATCATATTTCGATAATATGACACTATCTTTTATGAAAATTTAACGATATATATATAGCGGATATACGGGGGTCAAATTTGCGGCGAAATTTCGCGCGTTACTATGGCGAAATCGCCAATATATATACAGCACGCATATCCGACATCGGTATAAATTCCGGAAACATGCTATAAGGCTATAGATGAAAAGCACGAGATATAAATCATGATAGCGATAGATCACATCAGATGCATTTCATTTCCAAATACATTAGCTATAAAGTCCTCGAGAAGAGAAATAAGACAGAACTATTCCATGATTGCGGAGACCAGGGTGAAAGCACCGGGAATGCCAAGCCCGACTTATCGATAAGATTAAATTTTTCGATGGGGTTTCGGACTCAAGGACAGCGTCCGGAATCAACACGGTAAACCAAGGCGCAGGGAAAAGATCGCACTGAGAGATATTGTATCCGCTCTATTGCAATAAATAAACGACCGCGACTGACACCAACCAATCCCTCGAATCTGTCATGCCCGAGCGGGTTCGCACCGTCTTCGCCGACCAGGACGAGGCACCGCCAGCACCTGTCGCGAAACAAGAAAAGCCAACAAACACGACGGAACCCCCCAAATCAGACCACGCTGAAAAGAAGAGCACCGAAAAATCCTCTAGCTCGAAGAAGAACAAGAAGCGGAAGCGCGAGGAACTTGTGGATGGAGAGCCTCGAACGGAGAAGAAGCCGATCGGATCGCAAACCGCTGATGGCCCTCAGAACGGAAAAGATGAAGAGTTAGCTAGGAGTGGAGCTACTACAAAACCACCGAAAGATAAAGAGAGCCACCGGGGCCAGAAACCGAAGAAACATCACCGGGTATCTAAAGATGATGAGAACGGAGGGAAGTTCGCTTCTCTGAAGAAAAAAGCGCAAGCACTATATGAGATTCGCAAAAACCTCCCTATCTTCGCTCACGGTGACGAGATCCGGAAAGACCTTCGCAGGAACGATGTTATGCTCTTGATTGGTGAAACTGGTAGCGGAAAAAGTACGCAGATTCCACAGTTTTTGGTGAACGAGTCGTGGTGTCGGCCGACGAAGACTACGATCGCTCAGGATGATGGGACTCAGAAGGAAGCCCTGGTCGGCGGGTGTATCGCCATTACGCAGCCTAGACGTGTTGCTGCGATTTCGCTAGCTCGGCGTGTTGCAGAGGAGATGGGGACGCCATTGGGCTCTTCATCGCCTGCGAGTACAGTTGGATACTCGGTGCGATTTGATACATCTGCTTCGCCGAGCACGAAGGTGAAGTTTTTGACGGAAGGAATGTTGCTTCAGGAGATGTTGCATGACCCGTGGTTGACGAAGTACAGCGCAATTGTTGTCGATGAAGTCCACGAGCGCGGCGTGAATGTTGACTTAGTTATGGGGTTTTTGAGGAACTTGGTCTCTGGGAAAAAGAAGGGGAGGGGAGGTGTGCCACTTAAGGCTGTGGTTATGAGTGCCACAGCTGATATGGAGAGTCTACAAGGGTTCTTTACGGAAGGCTTTCAGGGTCGACAAATCAAAGACATTGAAAAGGAATCGAAGGACGGCATCGCCATATGTCATATCAAGGGTCGCCAGTATCCTGTCAAAACGATATACTCGCCGGAACCGGTGCATGATTTTGTCGATGCAGCGCTGAAGGTTATTTTTCAAATACACTATAAAGAGCCTATCCCAGGTGACATTCTAGTTTTCCTGACTGGGCAGGAGACTGTCGAGGCGTTGGAGAACTTGGTCAACGAGTATGCTACAGGGATGGATCCGTCATTGCCAAAGATACAAGTACTTCCACTATTCGCGGCGCTTCCACAGGTGGCTCAGCAGCGAGTCTTTGCTCCAGCGCCACCGCGCACCCGCAAAATCATCCTGGCTACGAACATTGCGGAGACGTCCGTCACAGTGTCAGGTGTGCGGTTCGTTGTGGATTGTGGAAAGGCGAAAATCAAGCAATTCCGAACCCGCCTGGGCTTGGATTCGCTGCTCGTCAAACCCATTTCAAAATCAGCTGCCATCCAACGTAAAGGTCGTGCGGGTAGAGAGGCCCCCGGTCAGTGCTACCGATTATATACGGAGAAGGACTACCTTGCGCTGGATGAGGTCAATACACCGGAAATCCTGCGATGTGACCTGAGTCAGTCTATCCTCAACATGAAGGCCCGTGGAGTCAACAATGTTATTGAATTCCCGTTCTTGACGAGGCCTCCACGAGAAGCTTTGGAGAAGGCCCTTCTTCAGTTGCTCAGCATCGAGGCCCTCGAGGAGACTGGCAAGATCAGTGCGATTGGGTCGCATATCGCTAAGCTTCCACTCACACCAACCTTAGGTCGGGTGTTGCTTGCGGCATCAGACTTCGGCCCAGATTGTCTGATTGATGTAATCGACATTATATCGTGTCTGAGCGTGGAGAACATATTTCTGAATACTACGTCAGAAGAGAAGAAGGAAGCAGCCGAAACAGCGAGACGCGATATATATCGGAGAGAAGGTGACCATCTTACGATGTTAGCGACTGTACGAGCCTACGCATCAGAGAACACCGATCGGAAGGCATGGGCTGAGCGGCATCTGGTCTCGCACCGGGCGATGCAGTCTGTCATGGTAAGTTTTGCTTCGATGAATGGTATACCCGCCAGTGCGACGACTAATAACCGGGATCTCCAGGACGTCCGCAAGCAACTTACGGCTCAATGCCGACAAGCCAAGCTGCTTCCGAGTTCCACCGAGTCACAAGATTCGAACTCAACCATCCGAGAGCCATCTCCTGTCTTGATCCTGAGAAGCTTCTTGCGAGGGTTTTCCACGAACACCGCTCGTCTCGTCCCAGATGGGAGCTACCGCACCGTTGTGGGGAACCAGATGGTGGCGATTCACCCCTCCAGTGTCCTGTTTGGTAAAAAGGTGGAGGCGATCCTGTACAACGAGTTCGTGTTTACGAATCGCAGCTATGCGCGAGGGGTGAGCGCAGTGCAGATGGATTGGGTGGGAGAGGCCTTGGCTGGGGAGTAATAATGGCGCATTATTTTGCATCACAATTAGCAAGCGAGTTGCAATTCAATAGATGATTAGACACTCATAGGGAGGCCTCATTCTCAAATATTAGCAGGATAATCGATACTTGGCAGTCTGATCTCGAGATGACGTTTCGTGTTTGCATAGGCTGGGCCACCTGTTTCAGGCCGAAGATCGGAAGGGCTGTGACACACGACTCACTCAGCCAGGAGAAGAGAGCCTGTTCCAGTTGCTGCGGAGAAATCTCCAACCCCTCGCAGAAACTGCGTACCGTAAAAAGTACGGATGCTTTAGTGGTGGATCAAATAATGGTACCAGTCCATAGTTATCCCGCAGTCGCCTGAATGACATGTCATGGACAGCGATGGGATGATCCGACAAATAGATACTGGAGGTCGTGAGAGATCAGGCTATTTTGTGTACTTGTATCGCGCTGTTCTATTCTTACCTCAAAGACCGGGAGATCCAACAAGGGGAGGATCCCAGGATACTGTGTTCTGTTGGGCTGGGTCTGGTGACTGGGAGTGTCTTGCATCATCCGCAAACAATCATCACCACTTCTGGCACCACCACCTTCACCACGTCTTCAGCCCTGGCTTTGTTTCTATTTCCTTCCCCTTTCTTTCATCTCATAATTACCTGTCCGAATGCCAGCTGGATTACTGTTTCACCCGTAACGCCACGTCCTAGTCGAATTTCCGCCCGACTATTGACCGCTTGGGGCGATCTAATCTCGCCCACCGATCACCGGCTTATCGGGCAGCCTCCCGTTAGTCTGCTGAGTGACAAGTCGCCCTCATTTATCTCATTCTCACCTCACCTTGGGGCTTGGATCTCGCGATTTGCTTTTTCTGCTCTATATCTCTCAAAGGGGCCCCTCCTTCTGCCTTTCTATCATTTTACTCTTCTTTCAACTGTTGACCATAGCATTATACGCTTCCACACGCGGGTCCACGGCGATCGATAGACATCTATCTCATCTTATCTTTGACACTCCAAACAACCCATGGCTTTCCGTCTACCACCCCAAGTTCCTCGCCGTCGCCCTTCCTACTCTGCTCCTCAACCTCCCGCTCTCGACGTCCCTCAACCTCAATCTCTCTCCGAACTCCGTGAGCACGAATCCACAGAATGGGTCCTCTTCTCTCCATCCCAGCCCTCTACCACCGCCCGCACTCACACGACCTCCACTGAGCGCACGGCTCGCACTGTTGGGGCATCGCGTCTTAGTGACTTCGGCTCGCTCGATACAAATACAAGATCTGGGCGGGAGAATGAAAGCGAGGGCGATGGATCGCTTGATGAGCCGCTGGACGAAGATGGAACGGAACTGGACAGTCTCGATGACGGCCTTCATGCTTTCAGGGCACCCTCCCCGGATGCTGAGTCTAGTTCACGATGGGACCAAGGCACTCCCGCACATCTTCCTACACACGACGGATTAGGGAGTTTCGTCGCATCCAGCCAGCCCGTGCAGAACCAATTATGGCAACATGAACAATACAATCCTAATCGAAGACCAGAGCTCGCACATCGACGACGCTCGAGCGTGCAACGTCATCTGGACGCTATTGCTAATGATGATGAACAAACCGACTCTGACCGAGAGCGTTGGCAGCGAATCGAACAATGGAGGATGGACCAAAGTCGTGCTCTTCTTCATGAGATTGAAAGGGCTACACGGCGGCGCCGCAACAGCCGTCTTAGTGGATCGAATGCGGCGGCGATCTCTCAAGGTAGACAATCAGATACACCACCTAGTGCTCGGGCGGTGCCTCAAGAGCAGCAAACAGCTTCCAGCGAGGCCAGAGTGGACGAAGATGAATCATTTTGGCAACGTATCACTCGCAAAGTCATCCGTGACTTGATGGGTATTGACGACTCAATACTATCGGTTATATTTGGTGAATCCCTACCCGAGACTGGTGAAGACGGCAAATCTGAAGAGCCCGATATGAACCTACAGATGGATGAAATACTGAGCCGGGAACCCGACACAGCGACTGGTGACCAGGACCGATGGGAGACGAGGCTCCTTCAACGCATAGCCCGGGAGCTAGGAATTCTTGTCAATCAACTTTGCGAACACCCAGGGGCGTTCACGACATACCTCAATATGTCGAATGATATCCCTAACCAGTATGCTGGGATACCCCTGAGTAGCTTACCGGAAGAAGGCAACGCCCTCCCTTCAGCAGAAGGACCTGTTGCAGAGTCTACACGTAACAGCGATTCAGTATTAACACCACAATTTCTACCAACTCTTCAAGACCCGAACCGGGAGCATGCAGCTGAGTGGGGCATCGAAGACGAGCTTCCAAGCCGCTCTACAGAGCAATTTTCTGAGTCCAGACGCCACCAACAAGAGAAAGAATATTGGGAACGTGAACTCGATATCATGATGGTATTCCGCTACCTCCGGAACCGCTTTGGTCGCCGCCCCAGCAATGCCGACACAGCAAACTCACGCCGAGCTTCGCAAGATGCGTCTCGTCGCGCTGCCATCATCCGTCAACACCATCCGCTTGTCGCGCGGGCACATTCAAGGTCACAGGCGCAGATGCGTCGCCAGTCACAGTGCTCAGGTCCGACTGGCGTTTCATCGCCCGTCTTACGCCAACACATCCGCCGTCCCAGCTCCAGCTGCGCCAGCCAGAGTGCAAAGATGTCGGCTATCTCTAGCCGGCGAACTCTTACTAGCTCGAGCCGCAATTACTGGGATATTGGAGGGAGTGTGGATAGCGGGAGTGCCATCGCCCCAGCGCCTCCCGGTATCGGATCTTGGGGTGACGTGTGAGCCCTGAGACGGACCACGATCCCGAATCATACTTGAAGATCTTAACCCAAATAATTGGATGCTGGCCATCACCATATAATTTTTTCTATATTCCCGAATCCATTTCTCCATCCATCAATCCATTCCCCATTCATCTTTACCCGTGGTTTTGTTTTATTTTTGGTTATCTTCCTGGGCGTCAGTTCTAAACTCATGATATCACAATGATTCTCTCTTTCTCTCTTCTACAACGTACAATCACTCTTTGGGTCTGGGGCGTATACATGTTTTATTTCTCTCTGAACGGATCACATTTAGGGACTAGACGGGAACCATCTAGGCTTATACATTATATACACTACTGTACACAGCAACGCAACCTCACATGGCAATGAAGCATGGACACGGCGGGTGCACAAGACATAGGACATATGGCTAACACTAAGACTATGTACTTGCCTGTGTATACCCACTAGGCACAAATGAACTTATCTATTGACCCGAGCTTGTATCTGGATTCCGGCACTTGTAAAATAATGAACACCTGGCCGTCTGGGGCTGGTGGAAAAGCCTACGGTCTGGGCATCATTGATTGAGTATGACCACATAGATTGAATAGTGTTGGGCTTAGTTCGGAAGACGGGGCGATGGTCCAGATAAAGGGAGGTGGTTCAGGAGGCTGCAGGGAGACGAAATGCTTGACGTCTTACTATCGCCATTCGCCTGAGATATTTAGAGACTTCGAGCCCTCCAAACTATGGGTGTTTAGCTGGGGATTTGACTTCTCGTATATATGGCTACTACATTGTGACTGGGATTTTGGGGCGCAAAGCCGTTCGCCCAGACAGAACATGCTACTTGTTTCTGGTAGCGGACGATTACTGGTTTAAAACGTAAATGAGGACGTGGAACATGAACGATTATTTATTCTGCAAGATCCCTTTCCTTTTCAGTCCTAACGCTAACGTAACAAACATCTAAGCCTCAGCGGAGTAGGCGTCAGGGAAGCGGCGCATGTTTTCCTCGATGAGACCGTGGCCACGGAGGAACTGGACGTAGGCACCGTCCTGCTTGAGCTTGCCCTCCTGGCGGAGCTGGACGTAGTCCTCGCGGCGGACGGGAGTGAAACCCCAGTTCTTGGAGACGATGATCTTTTGGCGACCAGGGAACTTGTACATGGAGCGGCGGAGAGCCTCGATGGCGGCGGCACGGTTAACATCACGGGTACGGACAGAGAGAAGGGTCTGGCCGATGTTGACACGGGCGACCAAGCCATTGGGCTTTCCGAAAGCACCACGCATACCGGTCTGAAGACGATCGGCACCAGCGCACGACAACATCTTGTTGATACGGACGACGTGGTAGGGGTGGACACGGACACGGAGGTGGAAACCTTCCTTACCGGCGGTCTTCACGAGGTACCTGGAGTTCCTGGTTAACTTTCTCTTCCTTCACTTCTTTTTCCCGATCTTTCTTGTTTGGTTGATCGGTGGGGGTCGGGAAACATACTTGTTGGCACAGATACGAGCGGCTTCGAGAGCCTCGGAAGAAAGCTGTTCATATTCGTTGGAGACGAGGTGAATGCAGCAAGGGAAGTCGTCGACGTTGGCCTTCTTACGTCCCAGATCGTAGATACGAATCTTGGGGTCGGGAACACCACGGTTGAACCGGGACTTGGGGTAAGGCTAAATGAAGAAAACCATCAGTATTCCATCGCTTCCATATCGCAACTCATCAAAAATCCATAACAAAAGTCTCATCGATGCGATCTCTCGGGCTGCCTCTCGTCTTTTTTTTTTGTCCTTCGCTCATCCAACGCATCCCAGGCCCACAAGCGAGACCGCCCTCGAAATCCACACAAAAGACCATCAAATATCGAATATCGCACGCACCTTGTTCTTGCAGTAGCGGTAGCAGCGGGCGGGACGGCGAGCCATTTTGACTGCTGTTGATGCAAACTGGGTGATAGGTTTGTCGAAAGGGTGGTGTCGAGGAGCGAAAGAGAAGGGATTCTTGACTGGAGGCACTTTGGCTTGATTTCCAATCAACTCCCGCTAACGAGTGGCAAAACCCTAAGCCCTAGCCTCTCAACCAATCACCGCCCGGAGCGGGATATGACGCATTTCCGCATTTGTCAGATTTCAAAGAACATCGGAACGTTTCAAGTACAAGAGTTACTCCGACTGTGACTATCATCTAATACATACGGCTAAGTATATTTCCTTTACTAGTAGAAAAATAGCCTTTTAAGTTTTGGATTTTTATATCGTCATTATCTAAAACATCATGATGTACTGCGTTTAAGCAGACACCCATCGTTCAGACATAACCGATCCCAACCCCCATCGCTTACTGGCTGGTAAGGATGTCGGAGTCACCAGCATCAAGGACGGACATGGTGGAGCAGCGGTAGAGACGACCGCAGGCAGTTCCCAGCTCGATCTAAACCGTATCATTAGCTACCCATGTTCTACCAAATCGAGCCGCATATAGCAGCATGTATTCAATCAAATGGCACTCACGTTGTTGCCAGAGAAGTGGTGAACGGGAGTCTTGGCGAGCATGGCGTAGTACTCGAGCTCAGACTTGCGGAGGGGAGGGGTGTTGGCGGCAATGATAACCAGCTTGGCCTTGCCGGACTTTTGGTGTAGTTAGTATCCCTCTTGTTCCTCGCTTCAATCCGTATATTGGGCAGTCCAGTTGTGAATACTCACACGCAGGGTCTTGATGGTGGTCTTGTAGCCAAGAGTGACTATAAAATAGAAAATCGTCAGCAATCCAACTCCGAAGTGATAATATTGTTGGCAGCCACAAAAAGTGAATTTCACATACCCTTTCCACTCTTCATCACAAGCGCCAGGCGCGAGGCGATGGTGTCGCCAGCCTTCTTGCTCTTAGGGGCCATCGTTACGCGATTGAAGTGTTGTTGGTGTTATGAAAGAAACGTGCGCTCCGGCCGTGTGTCTTCGTTGGGATGAGGTGCAAAAAAGACGGTATCGTGATTTTTTGTGGGTTTGGCGAGGACCGGATCGTCGTTCATCCACTTCCGAGATGTTTAGTCAACTGCCAAAAGCCGCTAGGCTGCTTTCGGCCAGATTTCCTGGTTTCGGCTGATCTAAGTGTATTCAACACGTTGCGCCATGGTTAATGATGGCTGGAACCCATGATGCACATTTCAGTGGCGCAGTTGCTATATCTGGGGCGGGATTACGGTTGTGCTGTCCCCATCGCGATCTGACTGGGCCACCCGTCGTCTGGAGGACGGCCCAAAGATGATGGAGGGTTCGTGTGCTATCTTTATCGGCGTATCGTCGCTCAGGCAAAGGGGCCGTTTGGCCAAAAACGGTCTCGTATCAACATCAGGCCGATCACAACGGTTACCATACGAGGCTGAAGAGGACTGGGCTGACTGTGTTGGCCTTGGGCGGAAATAATAAGCAGTGCTCAGCTTCCAAAGAGATTCACCATCAAGAATAAGATTGTCATCAGCAGGAATGCGCCCCCCTAAAGTGTTGTGTAGTCGGGAGGGTTACGGATAAGAGTATCGTTGCCGTTTCCATACGGGGCTTAGGAAGATTGGCCCATCCCCCAGAATAATTTATTCCTCTGTCGCGCATGCTGGCCAGAGTTGTCCCTAACATCACACATTTCCTCCTCACGTCTGCTATTTTGCTTCTTCTATGATTTATTTATTTGCGCTGAGCCTCTTTTTTCGACGTATTGAGGGTGGCGAGACTTTGCCAGCCATCTTACAAAGACCTCCCCCACCACAGTTACCTAGTGGTAGTCCGGACCACCACTCCCTCCGTGCTGTGTTTTGACCGCTACTATTCTTGAGACATCCTTCCCTGAAACTTTTCAGTTAATTTCCTTACGTTTCAAGGCCTCGATCTCCAGGGCTCTCAATCTTCTTTTGCTCCCCCTATTCGAGTCACTCTGCAGCCAACACTCGTTTCGCTTCTCCGCCAGTATTCGGCTTCAAGATGTCTGCGACGCCTCGAAAGCCTGGCTCACCAGCCAATGCCAACAAATCCACCTCAGACTCAACAACGAACGGCACCCCATCGCGAGGTCATACTAGATCTCCTACTACAACATCAAATGGCCTGTCCCGGTCTCCGTCTCTCCGCGGTTCGACCCCCGTATCCGCACGAGCAGCTGCCAGAAAGCCTAATCGCTCATCCAACCTGAGTATGTCGAGCGTTCCAAAAGTTGCCGCTGATCCGTCGGAGGAAGAAGCACGCGCCCAGAATGCGGCGCTCATCGAAGATCTAAAAGAGCAATTGCAGAAGGCGGAGACTGCTTCTGAACAATATCGCAAGCAACTTGGTGTGTTGCAGATGCGCCTCGACGAGGCCGTCAGCGAGCAATCGAAGCTGGAAGACCATGGTCATGAGAGAGACAGCAAAATTGAAGCATTGAACGGCGAGATCCGTGACCATGTTCGCCAAATCCGTGACCTAGAACAGGCGCATGAATTGGAGCGGAATGCCATGCTCCAGGAGAAGGAGCAACAAGCAAGCCGGGAAGAAGAAATGCAGGCCACTATCCAGCGCCTGAAAGAGACCGTATCTCAGAAGGACATGCGGATTGGTACCGACGGCGATAAAAATGTGTCGCGCTCTTGTAAGAATCCCGTCTTTGATGACTACCTCTTGTGAAGCTAGAACTGACAATCTTTAAAGCCAGTTTCCGCAACCGAGCCTCCCCGGACCTTGATGGACAATTTGCGCCTTCATCTCAGATAGAACGCAGCCCCTCGCGGAATAACTCCAAATTACTCTTGCAGAAGGATAAGTTGATCGAGTCTTTGCGCCTCGAGTTGGCCGAGTCTCAGATCAAACTTGTGGAGATGGAGAACAAAGGTGGAGGTAGACAAAGGGAGTTGGAGAAAGAACTGCTGGAAGCTCGCATGGCGAATGCTCGTCTGATGGAAGATAATGAGAGCTACCAACTACTCCTCAGCGAGAGAACCCTCAATGGCGATTTCGCCAAGGGTGATTTCATGCGGGAAGTCCATCCTGATTCTTCAGATAATAAGGAAGCCGGCGGTGGTTTGGGCTCATTAGCCGATGAATTGGAATCTGCCGATGCTCGACCTGAGCCTGACGATAACCGCAGACTTGAGGCAGAGCTCAAGGCGCTTAAGGACCAGAACAAAGCCCTAACGCTGTATATTGAGCGGATCATCAGCCGACTCTTACAGCATGAGGGATTCGAGCATATTCTTGATAAGAACGAGACCGAGCCCTCTGCCAAACAAGGCGGCAGCGATAAAGATCTTCCCCCGACGCCTCCAGAGAAGGATGACCCGAATCAGCAAACCTTCCTGCAAAGAGCTAGATCTGTTGTCTCTGGCCAAAACGCTAGGCCCCAACCACGCTCCCGTCCAACCAGCATGATGCCACCGCCTCCTCCCGGTGCTCCGAACGCTCACGAGAACCCTCAAACAGCACCTAGCATCCCCTTGAACCGCGGCCAGTCAGTACGAGCTGGCCATCGTCGGACGAGGTCAGAACAAACAACAGATTTGGGGGCTGCAGTTGTCGTTGGCCAAATGTATCGCGGTCGCAACTCTGGTGGCCCTATGAGCCCCACTATGATGGGACCTGGTTCTCGCAGCACTTTTACCGGGCCAAGTTACGGAACAGGACAAATGTCTTCCAGCAGTCGTGCGCCTTCGCTGTCTAGCCAGCCAGAGCGTGACCATCTAAGCAGCTCGGCGAGTGTGTCAAGTGACCCTCCTGGTGACACAGCGTCTACCGGGGCGACTTCCAACTCTCCTCGTTCGAGCAATGGCATGACAAACTACACGGGAGCGGTCATGACCCAGAGCAAGTTACGACCGCTTCGACTAGTTAGTGAGTCCAAGGCCGCTGAGGACGAGGAAGCTGCCCGAAAGAAGGCGAACAGAGGAAGTTGGATCTCATGGTTCAATCGTCCAGGTTCGAGCGAGGCTCCGCAACAGTGATCTATCTGGCTCACCTTCTCCAGTTTTCATGGCATATGTTTCTTCTATGAATATATTCCCCTTCTCTATTTTGTCTTGATGGCCCTTATGTATTTGTCTCATTTTATAATGCGAAGACTGTCGCTGTTGGATCCTGGAGATTTGTTTTGCGATTGAACTACTGAGATCTCATCATGTTTGAATACCCAAGTCTCACTTTTACGTTTATCATGATGAATACGCTTCTCCCCCATGTTCAGGTCACTTCTCCGAAGACGACTTCCTGTTTGTTTACGCAGTTATGTATCTAGTGAACGTATATAGGCCGTTCCTTCTCCTAAGAGTGGTACTTGAGATATTCTTAACGATAGCTTGTGTCTGGAGTACCGCCAGGGTGGCTCGCATATATATACAGCCTGATAAATATGATGAATATTCTTTTAATAGCTTAAGTTCCTTGAGAAATAAAATATACACCCGAGTTCGAGAATTGAGACATTCGTTAACTTGGTGACTGAAATAGTATAGCGCGGAACAACATTGACGCGGCTTCCGAATTGCGGACAGCTTGACAAGTAAATGGAGGAGCTTCTCATAACGGTTACTCGCTCACTCACCTTATCAAAGCCTCTCACACCAATTTCTTCAAGATGGGATCTCTTTCTTTATTCTCTGTCAATGCAGTTCTTGTGATGTCCGCCGATGATGGCTCTCGCATCTTCGCAAAGTACTACTCACCACCTCACCCCCCAGCCGGCGCTGCCCCCAATTCCACCGATTACCCCGGAGCAAACCCCTACCCGACACTGAAAGAGCAGAAAGCATTCGAGAAAGGCCTTCTCGAGAAAACCAATAAGCAGACCAGTGATGTGATCCTTTACGACAACCGAATTGTTGTGTTCAAGCTGGAGAGCGATGTGATGCTCTACGTGGTGGGCGGTGCCGAAGAAAATGAGGTGCTCCTGTACAACGTTGTTCTGTCACTGCGGGATGCTTTGGGAATATTATTCAAGTATGTTTTCTTTTTGTCCATGTCGGGTTTGGAAGATGGAGATGGCTAACCCATTTTCTTGTTTTAGGGGTGCAACGGATAAGCGCACAATCGTTGAGAACTACGACCTTGTTGCCCTGGCCATTGACGAACTTATCGATGACGGTATCATTCTTGAGACAGATCCCGTTCTGATTGCTTCCCGTGTTAGTCGTGCGCCCCAACCGGACGCACCGAATCTCAAGAGCATTGATCTTTCCGAACAAGGCCTCCTTAATGCCTGGGAGCTTGGCAAGCGGCGTCTGGCGGAGGGATTGCGACAGATGTAGGCTGGGGAGGAGAGAAAGAAGGCCTTGCTACGAATGTTCCTTTACTTGCACGAACATTGCATGGACGTTTTCCTTTATTTTATGCGATCTGGCTGGGTTTGGCGCGGTCATATGCGTGCTGTTGATTACTGATTCATGATTGATACTATATTTACACTATTACTTTTCTTGATGTTCCTTGCCAGGAGCGAGAGGGCTCTCTAGAGATACTCCGATCTGTTTTGTTGTGTTATATTTGGCTGGGTAGAGCAAAAGTCCTTGGACAACATTAAATTTATTTTGAATATAAAACTTACTCATCCAATCAACAATGGCGACCGATGGAACTGGAAAGAACCGTTAATTTTTAGCCCTTCCAGAACCCTATGTAGTAGAATGATTCAGAATGAGTGGGAATTGCCCCGCATACGTCACGCCCTTAAGAATATCGAACTCTGCGCAAAACTCTTTGTCTTCTCCACGAAACAGCTTCGTTAAAGGGCACCAGGATACAAAACCACAAAATGAAGCAGAGATATTCTTCTTTGGATGTTCAGGTAGGTCTCCCACTAGGGCTACCTTCAAGCGCCGCCCTCTGACAGTCACGATTGCAGGTAATATCTAAAGAGCTCGCCTCTGAGCTAGTCGGCCTGCGTGTCTCGAACATCTATGACCTGTCATCGGTAGGTTTGCGCGTCGTCGGCTTCCTTCTGTTGGAGGTATACTGAGAATTCTGTGTCCTATTATAGAGAATCTTCCTATTCAAAGTCGCTAAACCCGACCACCGCAAACAACTCATCGTCGACTCGGGCTTCCGATGCCATGTGACTCAATACTCGCGAGCAACGGCAGCAACACCTTCTCCCTTCGTTAGCCGTCTGCGAAAATGCCTTAAGTCTCGCCGCATTACATCCGTGAATCAGATCGGGACAGACCGTATCATTGACTTCAGTTTCAGCGATGGCATGTACCACATGTTGCTGGAGTTCTTCGCAAGCGGGAACGTCATTATAACCGACAAGGATTACACCATTATCGCCCTTTTGCGCCAGGTATCTGGCAATGAGGGACTAGAGGAAGCTAAAGTCGGACTGAAGTACACGGTTACAAACAAGCAGAATTACAACGGGGTGCCGGAGGTCACGCGAGACCGCATCAGGGAGACATTGGAGAAGGCACAGAAAACTTTTGCGCAGGAGGATGGCGCGCCAAAGAAGTCGAAAAAGAAGAATGTCGATGTCTTGCGCAAGGCTCTTTCGCAGGGCTTTCCGGAGTACCCGCCGCTTCTACTAGATCACGCCTTTGCGACGAGGGGCGCTGACCCTGCGACACCGTTGGATCAAGTACTTGGTGACGAAAGCCAACTGGATATGGTCTGGGGTGTGTTGGAGGTAGCCCAAAGCGTGTCTGCCGATTTGTCCGCGGACAAGGAACATCCTGGATTTATCGTTGCGAAGGAAGATACCCGTCCAAAGGCACCTGAGCCGGATTCCGAGAAGGATGCTTCGTCTTCGAAACCTGACCTGCTCTACGAGGATTTCCACCCATTCAAGCCAAGACAATTTGAAGTAAAGGAGGGCTTCACGATCTTAGAGTACCCATCTATGAACGCAACGGTGGACGAATACTTTTCATCTATCGAGTCCCAGAAATTGGAATCGCGGCTGACGGACCGGGAAAGCGCCGCGAAAAAGAAGCTCGATTCGCTAAGACAGGAGCATGAGAAGCGGCTTGGGGCTCTTGAAGAAGCTCAGGAATTACACATCCGGAAGGCAAGTGCCATTCAGGACAATGTGTATCGTGTGCAAGAGGCAATGGATGCCGTCAACGGATTGATTGCTCAAGGCATGGACTGGGTGGAAATTGCACGCTTGATTGAAATGGAACAAAGCAGGGGAAATCCTGTTGCGAGGATCGTCAAGTTGCCACTAAAACTACACGAGAACACTATCACGCTTCTACTAAGGGAAGTCGGAGGAGACGAGGCAGACGAGGAGGAGCTGTTCTCAAGCGACGAATCTGAAGAAGAATCCGAAGAGGATGAAGAAGAGGCAGCAGCGGCAACCTCTCAGAGAAACTCCCAAGCCCTGACAATAGATATCGATCTTGGTCTTACACCCTGGGCAAATGCGACCCAATACTACGATCAGAAGAGGTCCGCTGCTGTCAAGGCCGAGCGAACAACACAGTCTTCGACAAAGGCATTGAAAAGTCACGAAAAGAAAGTCAAGGACGACCTAAAGAAAAACCTAAAGCAGGAGAAGCAGGTCCTAAGACCCGCCAGGAAGCCTTTCTGGTTTGAGAAATTCATCTTTTTCATCTCCTCCGAAGGGTATTTGGTGCTAGGGTTAGTATCTATCTTCAAATAGCAAAGGCCAACTCTAATGCTAACCTACTCAGGGGTCGTGACGGAATGCAAAGCGAGATGCTTTACCGCCGCTATCTACGAAAAGGAGATATTTTCGTGCATGCGGACCTCGAAGGGGCAACGCCAATAATCGTCAAGAACAGACCTGGAGCGCCCAGTGACTCCATATCACCTACGACTCTATCCCAGGCGGGTAATCTCAGTGTTGCAACGTCGACCGCGTGGGATTCGAAAGCAGTCATGTCTGCCTTCTGGGTTACTGCGGACCAGGTATCTAAGACTGCTGAAGCAGGCGGTGGTCTTCTTCCAGTCGGCGAATTCCGCGTCAAGGGGGAGAAGAACTTCCTTGCCCCTTCACAGCTTGTCCTGGGCTTTTCTGTGATGTGGCAGGTTAGCAAGGAGAGTCTAGTAAATCACAAAAGCTTCAGAACTGAGGAGGTCCCAGCTGTTGACCAAGGTCAAGTGAAAGAGGAACAAGCAGTCGAAAGAGCTGAGAGTCAGGAAGAGAACAAGACTGTTTCACCTCCAGAGACTTCTGAACAAACTGAGGGAAAAGAGCAGGAAGAACAGGAGGGGGCTTCAGAGTCAGATGATGAGCAAGATAACGTGGATACGGATTCTGCGGCGAACCCATTAAAACCGCAAGAGACCACACAAGAATCAGAGGCGGTTAAACAAGACGACGCACACAATCCTGGGTCGGTTGAACAAGAGCAACCGGAAGAAACGGAAGATCATGTTGAGCCAAATGAAGAGGATGCCCCAGCGGACGAACAGTCTGTGGCGGATGGCTCCGAAAGTGTAACAACCTCACAAACCCAAGGCAAGAGACATCTTTCTGCGAGAGAAAGGCGCCTACTCCGAAAAGGAAAGCCTCTTGATACAGAAACCCCAAATCCCGAAGAAGCAAGTGGACAATCAACGCCAGCAACCAACGGAACGTCCACTAAGTCTGACGCAAAACCAGCGCCCGCTCCCGCTCGGGGCCGAAAAGGAAAGGCGAAGAAAGCAGCATCGAAGTACGCGGATCAGGACGAGGAAGAAAGAGCGCTTGCCCTTCGTCTCTTGGGCGCAAACAGCGCTAAAGCGCAGAAAGCTGCAGCCGAAGCCGAAGCAAAGGCGAAACGGGAAAAGGAAGCCGAGGAGGCGAAGAAACGCCGCAAGGCCCAACATGAACGCGCTGCTCAGGCAGAAAGAAAGAGACAGGCCCTATTTGAAGAGGGAGCAACCGATGACTACGATGAAGAAACCGCTGCTGCTGAAGCTGCGGATCTTGAGTGGCTACCCGCCCTAGTTGGCACACCTCAACCAGAGGATGAGATTTTGGCGGCCATCCCGGTTTGCGCACCTTGGTCATCTCTTGGGCGATACAAGTACAAGATTAAGCTACAGCCAGGTGCAGTGAAAAAAGGAAAGGCCGTCAAAGAGATCCTGGGGCGATGGGTGTCCGAGACAACAACGGGGAAAGTGAAGAAAGAGCACGCCGAGGATGCAGGGATCAGTCGAGGTGCTGCAGAGAAACTCCGAGCCCGAGAAGGGGAGCTTCTCAAAGGATGGAAGGACACTGAAATCATCAACACTGTGCCAGTCAGTAAAGTAAGAATCATGGTTGCGGCGGGTGGTGGTGGCGGCGACAAAGGCAAGGGAAAGGGTGGCAGCAATAACAAGGGGGCCAGTAGCAAAGGAGGCAAAGGTGGAAAGAAGAAATAAACTCGAGCTCTCCAGGCCTGGCCTATATTATTTGAGGCTTCACCTGCCACCCTTCTATATACCATGCATGCTATCGGGTGTTTGATGTTGCATACAAATATCAAGAATACATACACAACGAACATAAAATTACATTCTACTTTGAAGATCAGTTCATTAAGAAGAGCTAAGCTCTATATTCCTTAACTTGAACTTCTCATCTTCATAATATAGCTTTTTGTAGTGTTCTACAGCTGTCTAGTATGGGTGTATATCCGCTTAGTCATACCAATCGACGTCATCGCAAGATTTTCTTAAAGACTGTCAAAAGCTTCATGTTCGCCATCCGACGCCGCAGTGTCTTGTCTGGTAAGTTGCGGAATTCAGAAGCGGTGCAGCAAGTATTCTGGTCATAACTAACCCAATCGAGCAGTCAACAGCTCTATCAAAACCGCAATCGTCGCGCGGCGTTGAGCCCTGACTCATCGGGCACCCTCATACTCCGCCGGACTCACATATTTTTCTGTCTCAATTGCGGGGCAAGCAGTCAATCTGCACACCTTCCTTCGTCGCGTCGTTGCTCGCGGCTCCCCGCGCAGCTTTACCAGGCCTGTTACAACCACCGCGACAGCCAACATGACGCCGAAAGACTCGACGCGGATCGCCTCGGTGGTGCGCTTGAACAAAGATGGACCCGGGAACCGATCACTTGCAGAATGGTGGGCGAATGAACAGAGCCAAAATACCCCGGAGGCGACGGCGATTTCAGAAGCCGCGCAGCTTCTACGGACGAGCGATGTCCCCGTCGCCTTCCCTACCGAAACAGTATACGGTCTAGGCGCTGATGCCACGCGGAGCGCTGCGGTACTGGGCATATACAAAGCGAAGCAGAGACCGTCTGATAACCCTCTAATTATCCATGTCGACTCTCTGGGCATGTTAGACAAACTCCTCAACCCAACTCCCAAATCTCCATGTGGCACGAAGACCGCCCACAGCTCTATTCCTTCTATCTACGGGCCGTTAATTGAGCGATTTTGGCCTGGTCCTCTTACAATTCTACTTCCGAACCCGTCCGGCTCGTGTCTTGCGCCGCAGGTTACATCGAATCTTACAACATTCGGCGCGCGCATGCCGTCCTCTCCCCTCGCTAGGTTGTTGATACATGTTGCGGATCGCCCGTTGGCTGCTCCTTCAGCGAATGCGTCTACAAAGCCGTCGCCAACGGCGGCAGAACATGTGTTCCATGACCTTAACGGTCGGATTGAGTTGATTCTCGACGGCGGGCCCTGCGGTGTGGGCGTTGAGAGTACGGTGGTTGACGGATTATCCGATCCTCCCAGCATCCTCAGACCCGGCGGGGTAGGAATTGAAGAACTACGGGAATGTCCTGGGTGGGAAAATGTACAACTTGGATACCAAGACGGCACATTAGACGTGAAAGAGGTTCCTCGTGCGCCGGGGATGAAGTACCGGCACTACTCGCCTAAAGCCCGAGTGGTCCTTTTCGAAGCCGGTTCAAATGCGCAAGGCGTTCTGGACCACGTGAAGCACGATCTCGAGGATACAGCCGTTGGCGCACATTCAATTGGTATTGTGCGAACGCGCAGGTGGAAGCGAGGCTTACAGCTCTTACCTGAAGAGGATATCGAGAAGACGTCGAAAGCTATCCCGTCACTAGTCGATAATTTGGCGAAGTTTTCTGTGTCCGTTGGAGGGGGAACGAAGGAGGTTTTCGACTGTCATTTAGGGTCTGATCTTGAAGGTGTTGCTAGGGGATTGTTCGCAGCTCTACGGGCGATGGATGAAAAAGAAGTAGATGTAATTTATGTTGAGGGCGTGTCAGATGAGGAACATTTGGCTGCGGCGGTGATGAATCGGCTGCGAAAGGCGGCTGGTTCAACCTTTAAGGTGTAGAGGAGGGGGGAAAGTATAGATGGCATCCCGGTTTAATATGTGATAGAAGATTTTTAACGAATTGACGATTTACAAGTCTGGCATGGTCGTGTAGAACATCTCCGCTCTCCGTCGGCATTCTCCGGCGCAGATAAACTGTGGATATAAGCAACGGGACAGACCCACGGCTATCACCGGTTTCTTCTCGATATCAGGGCTCAATTTTTGAGTCACGATCTTCAATCCCCTGACTCAAACGGCTGCCACACATGGAGTTCATTGGTTCAGGGGCTATTCTTTTGTAGGAATTGACCCAGTACTTGTGCATATAGTGACCACCTGCCAACGGCATCTGTGGAGATAATCCACACTACTAAACTCCAATTCAATACATGTTGCAATATATATAGACTATGTCTCTCTTTCTCTCTTTAGTTTTCTGCACTTGATGTACCAATAAACACTCTTGCGCCTTTTTACTCCAACTATAATGTGCCCCTCGTCAACCACCTCCGATTCCCAATGGCATGCCTTCTTGCACGGCCTTCCCAAATGCGAACACCACGTCCATCTCGAAGGTTGTCTTACGCCATCTCTCATCTTCCAGCTCGCGGCCAAGAACAACTTCGCTTTGCCCAGTCCAGCCATCAATGCTGCATACGCTTCCATCGAAACCCTAACAGCCCGCTACGGCAGCTTCACCTCGCTCGACGACTTCCTCGCCTTCTATTTCATCGGCATGGGGGTTCTCAAAGACAAAAGCGACTTTGAGGAGCTCGCTTGGGCGTACTTCCAAAGGGCGTATGAAGACGGCGTGCACCATGCAGAGGTCTTCTTTGATCCGCAGGTGCATATGGAGCGCGGCGTGGAGTACCGCGTTATTGTCGATGGGTATGTTGCAGGCTGTAAGCGGGCTGAACGGGAGTTGGGGATGACTACGCGTCTGATTATGTGCTTCTTGAAGCATTTGCCGTTGGAGTCTGCGGCGGGTCTTTATGCTACGGCTTTGGGAGAGGGCCATCTTGATGATATGCATAATGGAGTGATTCATGGCCTGGGGTCTTCGTCGAGTGAGGTTGGTCCGCCCAAGGATCTGTTCAGGCCTATCTATGTCTCTGCTGCGGAGCGCGGGGTCAGATTAACGGCGCACGCTGGCGAGGAGGGGGATAGTTCATATATTGCTGCAGCATTGGAGATGGGTGCTACGCGAATTGACCATGGGATTCGACTTGTTGAAGATGTCGAGCTGATGAAGAGAGTTGCGAGAGAGGGGGTGTTGTTAACGGTTTGTCCGGTGTCGAATGTGCAGTTGAAATGTGTGAGCTCTGTATCGGAGGTGCCTATTCGGGCATTCCTTGATGCTGGCGTGAGGTTTAGCATCAACAGTGACGATCCGGCGTACTTTGGGGCGTATGCACTGGAGTGCTATTGTGCGGTGCAAGAGGCATTTGGGTTGAGTGTGGATGAATGGAGGCTCATTGCGGAGAATGGGGTCCACGGAAGTTGGATTGAAGAGGAGAGAAAGGGAGAGTTGTTAAGGAAGATTGAGGAACATGTTAGCAGGTTTGAGGGGCTTTTATAAGATGAGTCTTGTATAGAGACTGGTGGTGTTTGTAAGAGCGTGTGCAGTTATTTTTTAAGCCGACAACTTATCGGTGGTTGAATCGGGCGATAATTGAGATATATTGGACATAACATAAATGAAAACAACAAACTAATTTGCCGATACTGTTGTAAATGAATTGAGAGTTGTACGAGAGTCGTGGATGTGTAATGGTGGAGGCTTTTATCGTGAGGTTATTGGGCGGAGTAATCTCTCGCCGCTGATTGGCCGGTCGCAGCTCCCGCAAATCCGCGAGTTCAGACTTCGGAGTCCAACTTCGTCAACGCTCTCCTTCATCGTCAATCACTCCCTCACCACCCCTCACTCTCTCCCTCTCGCCAGTAATGGCTTCCAAATTCTTCCCTGCCCTGCCGCGGGCTGGCCGCCAATTGACTCGCACTGTTCCCCGACCCCAGTTCAGACCCTTCTCCGCTGGTCCGCAACGGTTCAGCGATGTCCTTCATGTGGTACGTGGAGAAGAATCGCGGCGCCCTCCTCCTTTACTTTGCTACTTCTATCAGTGCGAAGAGGCGATTGGCAAATGTTTAAGCAATTGCTAATAATTCTTCCTGTCTAGCACCGCAACACCCCCGAGAACAATCCCTCCCTCCCCTTCAAGTTCTCCGAGCAGAACAACCAGCTCATCGAGGAGATCCTCGCCCGTTATCCCCCTCAATACAAGAAGGCTGCTGTCATGCCCCTCTTGGACCTTGGTCAGCGTCAACATGGCTACACCAGCATCAGCGTTATGAATGAGGTCGCCCGCCTCCTCGAGATGCCCCCGATGCGCGTCTACGAAGTCGCAACTTTCTACACAATGTACAACCGCGAACCGGTCGGCAAATTCTTCGTCCAGCTTTGCACAACGGTACGAAACTCCAATAAAGAAAATTGCGTCGTTTAATACCCGGATATCCGTGCTAACATTCCATCTCCCAGACACCATGCCAACTCGGTGGTTGCGGAAGCGACAAGATTGTCAAGGCCATCGAAGAGCACCTCGGAATCACCAGCGGTCACTCAACTGAAGACGGCCTTTTCACATACCTCGAAGTCGAATGTCTCGGTGCCTGTGTTAACGCCCCTATGGTCCAGATCAACGACGACTACTACGAAGATCTCACTCCCGAATCGATGAAGGCCCTCCTCACCGCGCTCAAGGAGTCCGCTACCGCTACCTCCGGCAGTCAGGTTAAGATCCCTGCTCCCGGTCCTCTAAGCGGCAGAGACACCTGTGAGAACAGCGCTGGCATCACCAGCTTGACGGACATCGTGTGGGACCCCGAGACAATGATGAGGAAGGATGGTGCCCTGGACGGAGAGGCGCAAAATCCCGCGCAATAAACCCAATAAACATATGATTTCGAAAGAGAAGAAAAGAATATACTAGTTTTCATTGTTGGTGTTGGTTTGCTTGCGTTTTCCCTCACGTTTCCCCCCTTCATCCCGAGCTGGTTGACGGACAAGGCCACCGGGTGCTGGTTATGTATGTATAGTATGTTGTTTCTGGTCTTTCCTGTATGGAGAGAAAATGACCAGGAACTTCTATAGAAGGTTTATTACCCAATGCACTCTTATTTCATACTGGACTTTTAATATCCCAATCTAGCTCGGCTATCAGCTTAACCACCAAATTTTCTAACTCTAACAATCAAAACATTCAAATGGACCCTGATATCTCACCATAGATTTTCCAATTTAAAAAGAAAAAGAAAGGAAAAAGACCAAATCTCAAAACGCATTATCAACCAACATCTCCGGCCCCTGACAAGTGATCGCTTCGGATTCCAAAGCCTCCTCAGGATCGACCAAAACTGCTTCTCCTCCTCTCTCGACAAGAACTTTGCCCCGTCTGTCTTGGAATATGTTTACATCGATCGTCATCTTGGCCAGTAGATGATAGACGTGTACGTGATTTGTCTGTCCATACCGCCGACACCGTCCAATGGCTTGGGTCATCGTCGAGTCATAGTCATATTGGGTTTGGGCGAAAAACGGCGACAGAAAAATTATATGGTTTGCACATTGCAGGTTTCTATCGGGAGAGATACAATTAGCTCAAGTTCTCACATACTCGCAGCCAGCGATTGGGGTGGAGTTACTTACAAGCCGGCCGCCATTTCACTGCCCAGATTCAAAAGAAGAACTTTGCTATTTCCAAACCCTTCCTTTTGGAACTTTTCGATCTTCTGGCTTGCATTGCGATCTGCCGATGAGATCGTTGTGTGTGTTATTCTCGCTGAATCGAGGGCCTTGGATGCTATGTCCATCAGGTCTGGGAACTGAATAAAGAGCAGTGCGCGCTCATGTTTTGGGATCTGGTGGCCGAGTATATCAACAAGGACGTCCATTTTTGTGCCGCCATATTCGGAACTCCTGTCTATATCTGCGACTTGTGAATCAGGGTCGTCTCCATCACAGCCAAGAACCATGGCATTGATTATGTTAAACCGTTTGCCGGAGCCTCGACAGCCTTCCACTGCGCATTCCTCCTTTTCGATTGTTTGTTGGGTGCAGGTTAAGCAAATAGCGTGGCCGCAGGATCCTAGGATGTTCATCTTTGATAGGAGACTTGGCTGGCTCTGGCATCTGTCGCAGGAGGGTACATCTGCGGATTTGGTCTGGATCTGTCGGACAATTTTGAGGAAGCGCAGGGCGCGTTTGCGAAGGACCCATTCGACAAGCAGGTTTCGGATTGTAGTCGTGACTTCGCGGAGTATGGGCTCGAACTCCCGCATCTGTGTGGGCTTTGTGGGAAGAGGCATGATGGTCTTTGCCTTTGCTTTGGGCTTCTCTGCTGTTGCCTCTGTGTCTTCTGTTACCTCGATGTTTTCCTTATCTTCGTCCTCGTTCTCATGCACCTTGGAGTCTGGATTGGCGAAGAATAACCTCCAGTCCTCGCTTCTCGATGTACTGATTGCAGCGTTAAGCAGAGGGTATACCTCGCATGTCACTGCCATGTCGCCAAAGTCATGCCGGGCCACACTTTGGACAAATTTGTCGAATTTCTCATGACTCCGGTTACAAGCACAGTAAACCCAGGCGGCAAGCTTCAATTTATTATTGATGTCATCCTTCAGCTTCTCGAGCTGTCTTTCCCGTGTTTCTATGAGAGAGACACAGGTAGCAGCTTCTGGCTTACCATCAGCATCCCATCGGCCCCTGAGGGCAAGAGATGCGCAGCGCTTGATCAATGCCTCTTCTGTTGTCGAGCTACTCGCTATGATCTCATCCAGTCGTTCGGCTTGGTCACTGCCAAAACCTCCTCGGTTGCTGCTTCGACGAAGCTGTCGATTATAGGTCATCAGTTGCTTATAAAGCTCAAGGTAAATGGCTTTCTCAGCTGGGGTTTGGCGAACGAGAACAATGTGCTCGCTGGAAGGTATTTCATCGATTTCAGCAATGTTCCTCCTTGCATATCGATCCAGGAACTTCTGCGCTACCCCGTATCGGCGCCGGTGCCATGCCTCACTCCGCGGGGCCCGGAAGGACTGGAAGGTCTCAGCATCAGAGCGCTGATTGCGAATGACCTTGAGCCGTCGATTATGTGGATTTGTGTCCTCATCATCGATTCCGAGATGCACGCCTAGGAAAGGAGCGATTGTGTTGACGTCCGCAAAGTCGTTTAGTGGCGGTGTTCCGGAGAGAACCCATCTTGAGCGAGCCTGCAATGCGAGTATTTGGTAGAGCCTGTCGATGCTTGCGTACGTGAACTCATCAATTACCAACCTATTAAAAGCGAAAACGTGGAGCGGAACTCCCTTGACAGCTTCCCATGGCTGTTTGCTCCGTGAGTTTCGCGAAATGTTGAACTCCTTCCAGTCGTCCCACGGTTTCTCACTCTTAGAGTCAGTCGCCTGCTCTCCATCCGATTCTTCTTTGATTTTGGAGACTTTAGGTGCCACACGCCGAAGGAGGCTTTCGACTTTAGCTTCAAGGTTATCCGAAGGGTTCTCGTCGCCAGACCAATCTGAATCCTCTTCGGCGCTAGATATCTCAGCATACGATACACCACTGCTCTTCGGGCCGCACTCCTTGTCCAGTTTTGCCAGTGCATATTTCTTTCCTCGTAGGCGTTTGGACGGGATGTATCTATGCTCCTCCTGAGCGTCCTTTGTTTGTGCACGTCTATCTCTCAGGCCGTCCAGGAAAGCACGCGGGCCTTGTTCAGCAAGAACACGAACATGTCCCTTCATCAACTCATGTGCATGAGAAAACCAGTCATCAAAGTTTCTACCTGCTTTTGTCGGAACCTCAGGCGCGCCAGTAAAGTGTTTGAAACGCTGATAGTAGCTGGTCGTCCCGAAAACGGACCAGGACACGAGCACTATGTCACACTTTCTGATGTCTCGAATGCTGGCCTTTTTCAACGCCGCAGCCGAGGAAAATACGAGTACATTGTACTTGCTTCCCAGGAACTTCGCTATCTCTGACCGCCATTGCTGAACCATGATGGCCGGGACCACGATGAGAGTTGCCCTGCTTAGGATGAATCCGTCAGCATTCAATGGGACAGAGAAATCGACATTGGCCATATCGTATAGCTTGTCAATCAGCCCCAAGACAATGGCCGTTTTACCATATCCGACATCATCAGCCAAAATGCCCCCTCGGACAGTCTTTGGTACCGTAGCCTTCCCCTCTGCACGCCACATCAAGGGTTCCAGGATTGCCTCTTCGGTTTCTTCCTCAATGAAAGGCTCAATGTTCTCGTCTTCCTGTCTTATCATCCATGACAGAGAACGAAGTTGTTCTGCGCGTAACTCCACGATAAAGCTGGGTGGCTGTTTGCATGGAGGGTCGCTCCTGTTGCTCTTTAAATTGAACGCAGGGAACGACAATTCTTTCGTGTCGTACGCGTTTGGTATCAAGCGCCAATAGAATGAAGCTACATTTGGATTGGACAACCTCCCATACGCCTGGTGTAGGAGGGTCTGAATGCTGAGCGTAACGTGAAGCTCAGCCAGGCCTTGCTGGTTGGTCCTCTGGAATATCAAAAAGGGAGACGGCCGAGATTTGATGTCGCGTTCGTACCTAGCGGCACTGTATGAATCTTCATACGCCTTGATCCGACCCCGTGCATCTCGTCCCCATTTGATTCTTGGTTTTGGTGGGACACAAACCCTGCATGGCCCTTGGATCTTTGCTTCTGCGAGCTCTCTCCATTCTTGAAAACCCGAATACGCGGCCGCTTTTTGGAGCAACCAGACGTACTTTCGCAGGACTTGCGGAGAGTCAACCGGGTCAGTGACCTCCCATTCGGCCGTAATTTGTGAAGCGTCGATGACCGTCGTTGGTGCAGTAAACGCCAATAGGGTCATATTCGAGTTATGGCAGCCGTCGTCGGTGATGGTGATTGATGTAGCGGGTTGCAACTTGTAACATCTGATGGGAAATTCGGAGCTTTTGCCATAGGAGGCCAGGGATACACTTGGACAGGCAATCCACTTCTTATAGTAGATGGCGGTAGTCTCAGTTTTCTCAGAAGCGCGTGAAGAGCGCCATTGGTGAGACACCTCAGCAATAGACAGGCGGCGCTCATATCCTGGGTGGCGCGTATGATCGAAAGCAAAAACAAACGAATCATTCTTGGGCTCTCCCAGCTTTGTCGGGTCCAAAAAAAGGTAGACGGCAGGCCTTCCATTCGAAGCTGGCCTTTTATGCAGACAGGCATTTGCCGTCCCACAGTCCTGGAGGAGCTCATATGTGCCTCTAACATCGATTTCCAAGTCCTTCACCTCGTCATCAGTGCCTTCCACGGTAATGTGCGTCCAAGTCAATGAATCCCTGAATTCTTCCAATTCCAAGCCGCATTTTGACTCATATGATTGAATTCGGCTCCCGCCTCTAGAAAGTCCCAAGGAGCAGCTTGAGCTGAGGGGTGCGCATATTTCCCAATTACCTTCCAAGATCGATCCAGACTGAGGCACCACCATGCGCGCAATCGGCTTGGATAGCACCTCGCGGATCAAACACAGAGCAGGATCCGACTCACGCGGTTTTGCAAAAAGCAGCCAAGTAATGCTCTTAAATTGAATTACGAGCTTCAACTCGGAATATTTACCCTCATAGAGCACAGTCCAAGACTCACTGCGCTTGATATCCAAGAAGCGGAGCTCGTCACCAACTGCCCTAAAGACGACATCCAAAAACTCAGCCCAGATGGCGAGGGCTATGGTAGAACCAGATTGCAACTTTGTATAGCATCCACGGGTTATACCACTGACCACCAGTCGAGCTGGCAAAATTGCGCGTAGTGCACTGATGAAATCCAACGGCGAGGTTCGCACCAAGTCCGTCCAACGTTCGTAGGCATGTTGTGGGTTCCCGCTACACTCTGAGCAGGCCGTGTGGGAGCAGACTGTACACTTTAAAATGACTGCCTGTGTAGAAGTTTGTCTTTCGCACATGCAATATCTGGCGCTGCTTGTAGCTTGGTCTTGGAGTTTTGGCATATCCACTACGGTGGCTGCATCTAAATGCATGCTGCTCTCCTCCAAATTGTTCACCCCCTGAGGAGCGATACTTTTGCGCTTTGAGGCTCGAGAATTTGGCTCCTGAGGAGGATTGCCCTTTTTGAGCAGCTTATGACCAACAATCAGGGCCGAAAGAATTGCTGCTCCAACGACGGTAGAGCTCATTGCGTTCCCAGCGAGGTCTTGCAGCTCTCGTTGCGATTCCTGGGTCAACAGAAGTCGATCCAAAGGCAATCCTTGCAGTGAAAGTGACTCGAGACCACAGAGAGGACCACCTCTAGTTGTCATAAACGGAATACCAGTAGGGGTGATGCAGCCGACAATTCCAAATGCCCGGGAATCCATCTCTCGATCGATGCCTTGAGACAGCTCCAAGCACCTCCTATAAATAATCCGAGTTAGCTAACATCCTAACAGGGGAGGACCAAGAATTAATGAAAAAGGCAACTATACTCTTTGTAGTTCATGTCATATCCTTCGACCAACTTCCTCAGAAAGTTCACATCGATAGTATCCCACACCCGCTCTGGCAATGACTTGACCCAGGCCTGCCACGCAAAGTCCGGCATCCGGCACGTCCCATCATCCTGAGACTTACTGACAGGTCGACGATAACCAAGGCCCTGGTTCAGTCGATAGCTCTGATGCCGCACTTGGTAACGGTCCCAGTTGACTGTCGCCCTGGACGCCGACGCTGAAGACGCAACTTTTGCCGCCATGTCTTTCTCAATCTGCTCAAGACGTCTATCATCAGCGTCAATCAGAAACATACCCGCCGGTGAACTGGCAGGACGCTGAAACCGCTTTAACACTTCCGTCCATTTTTGCATGTCCTCTTCTGTGAGACCATTATCGTCAATGAACTTCTTGTCAACGCAGAACATGTAGCCCCGCTCACGGGTCTGTGGAAGATAATACGCTTTCGTATCAACATCAGCATGGATAGCAAAGTAGCCAATATCATTCCAGTGCTGCTCAATCTTCTTCCAGGGCGCCGTCTTCACGTTTTCCAGAATAACGAGACGTGGACGGTATGCCCTGGCGTAGCCGACTATTCCCCAGAAAGTACCACCCGATTCACCTTCATCGTCGAGTGTCTTTCGGTGGTTGTTCAGTCCCGAAAAGTCGACGCATGAGAATCCGGCAATCAGCATGTCAGCGTTCTTAGGGATTTTCTCCAGTGATCCATAGGGCGTTTGACTATCACTGTATTAGCAAAATCAAAACAAGATAAAAGAAATTAAATTGAAGAAGGGGTGAGACTCACGCAACTCTGTCCTTGAGCTCAGTTACATCGCGGAAGAGAAGGCGAGGGTGGAAGTTGCGCTCGATGTATGCTTGCTTGAAAGGAACAATCTCAGCACTGAAAAGGTGTTGAAATTTCAGGTCCCGATTGAAATGCTTTTGTAGATCTATCATACCGTTTTATTAGATGATTTATCAGGCAGTATCGAGGATAAGAAGCAGCTTACTTTCCCTAACCATTTCCAATGCCAACAACGGACTCTCTGTCCCGGAACAAACTGTGACAACACGAAGTCGTCTATCTCCCAGGTGAGATAGAACATCATCGAGGTTGAGTTCGATCGCTCTGTTCGTAAGTGATTGGAATATGTCGCTGAGCTTCCAGAGCGGAGGTAGATGTTGAGCTAACTGAGTCCTAGGCTTCCTGGGGCCGGAGTAAGGTCGAGAGCGAACTAGTTCTGGGATATCACGGTCTTGATGCTCTTGTGGTTCGGATAGGGAGGGTCGGGCCATACCCAGAGTCACAGAATGGGATTCTCCGTTCGTGTTAGTAATATTTGCATCCTTTTCTTCAACTTGAGAGCTGTGCTCTGTTTGAGGCTGGTGAGCTCTACCAGATCGTTTAGGTCTTTTCACAGCATTTTTGGTGTCCTCAGAACTGTCGATCCCAAGACGCTTCATTCCCGTTACAATCCCAGTTGAAGATGAGCTGGTACTGGTGATAGATGTATTCTCTAGCTTTGACTGTATTTGTGACAAGCCAGGAGTCTCATCGTACCTTGGTTTCTTAGAGGCGGTTGGAACATCGTCTTCAACCTCCACCTCTTCAAACCGGGTCCTTTCCACAGCCTTGAGGGACCCAGAAGTTTTGGTCGTCTCACCATCCAGAGAAGCACGGGTATCCTGACTCTGAGTCTCAAGGGCTGGCTCAGTATGGGTCTGGTGAGATGGAGGGAATCGTCTGCTTCGCGTAGACGCGAGGGTTGGGGGTGCCAGGGCGGCGGGGTATTTTCTCTTCGCTGGCATTGTCGTTTGCTTTTTTTGCTCTTTTCTTTCTTTTTTCATTGATTTTCTTGGTGTTTATAGAGGCAAACAGATATCTGATGTATTTGTATGTGTTTAGATGTGAAGGTATACAAGTAGGGCACAGGTGTGTCACGTGTAAAGATGGGAGGGAACGGAGGGCCAGGGGGATGAAGAAGAATGAGAGGGGGAGCAAAAAAATCTAATGGGAAAAAGCCAAAGCAAGTTCAGTACAGTCTTTTACTGTGAATATTACTAGTGGGTTCAAGATTTTTTGTGTTGTGCTGAGTTCTATTGGGAGATGCATTCACTGAAATGTGCTCATTGGGGAACAAAGACACAACACAAATCAGACAGCATGACAGGTTACAATCCAGGACATCAAAAGCATTTATGCGAGGCAGCAATAAATAAACAAGCAGATTTTGAGAGGATATACGCATTCAAGCCGACGTATCTGGGAAGGCTTAGCTTCGCCCAGCCCCCAACTGATCACCACAGAAGAATAATATCCCAATCCAGTCCAGTAATAGAATCAACGGGGCTTAGAGTTTACTCAGGATCGTCATACCGCTCGGCTTGTTAGCTGTAGAAGCAAGAGACTGCATTAACGGGTTCATAAGTCGGCCATCACGGACCGCCTCGTAAATAATAGATATCCACGACCCGATGGTCTTCTTAGAGCGGCCGTTCAAGATCTCGTTGTCCAAAGTAGGATGCTCAACAAAACCCTGGTGGAATGGGATTCTGAGTTCTTCTCGGACTGTTTGATATAAAATCCTGGATCCTTCACCCAGAAGGTCTGCGGTGTGCTGTTTCAGGAAAAATGCATCCGCGGTCTCTCGGTATACCTGGTTCAGGGAATCATGCATCTGAGACTTCCACGAATTTAAATCTCCTATTCCTGGTTCTCGGAGCCCTTTGTAGTTTTTGAGGGTTTCTAAAATGACCGAGAGCGCGTTTTCGACCACGGTATGGACACGGTCCGGGGCGTTGAGGCGGTTGGTCATCGGCCACGACTGTGACAAATGTTCGTCCAGGTATTTATACAGGCCCGCTAATGCTGATTCGGAGAGATATACGGAAAATATGCTCGACGTAACGGTGCTCATCTGGACCTTAGCCTTCTCCAAGAAAACGAGATGGAGGGCACGCAAATCCAAGGCTTGACAGACGATGTACATATCGCATGCACACATGAGAGATAATATCTCCACAGCTTCCATGCTATACCGGGCCGATACCAAAGCCATGGAGTTTATGGCCTGGTTTCGCATCTCCGCCGGTTGAACATGTGAGCTCACAGGGTTTGACAAATAGCCCAACTCTGCCATATATGATGCCATGCTAATATCCACACCTTTCATTGTAAATGACAAGCTTGGATCATCAGCAACGAGGTTGGTAGGAAGACCGCTATTCAAATCGGGATCAATCATCTCAGTAGCTTGCGAGAAAATAAGTCTGCCAAACATCTGCAGACACATTCTTGTTTTCTCCATAGCAGAAGTTATTGATACGGCCTGGAAGTTTCCCCCTGAAAAGACAGACTCAGACCTCACATCTACAAGCGGATTATCACAAGTTGAATTGAGCTCAGTTGTAACTTGCCGATGAGCGAGGTTAAGATCTTCTAGTTGTGGTCCGATCCACTGTGGTACACAACGCAGTGCATACCGGTCTTGAATCAAACCAGGACGGTCTTGAAATTTCTGGGCATCAACGCTTTGTGCAAGCTTTGAGCCTCGAAGTAGGTAAAGCAGGTTATTCCCACACTCAATCTGTCCTTCATGAGGCCGAACAGCGGAAATGAAAGGGTGGAAGCTCTCGGCAGTCCCCATGAGAGCCTCGAGACCCATGGCCGAGAGTGCTTGCACAAGCACGGACAGTTGATTTGTTTCGTATAGTACCAAGCTAGCCACTGCAGCAGACGTTGAAGTTCCGTTTATCAGACCCAGGCCTTCCTTTGGTCCCAATTTCTGGGCTTTTATGTCCGCAAATTGCAGCCCCTCGTTGGACTTCATTATCCGTGCTTTATCAGGGCCTTGAGCATAAACGTACACGTCGGGGTTGCCCTCGATGGCCCCAGCAATGTAGGATAGTGGCATCAAATCTCCCGAAGCTGATATCGAACCTCGAAGAGGAACAATTGGAGTGATTCCCCGTTTGAGCAGTTGAACTATCGATTGAAGTACAGGCAGTTTCACTGCAGAATGTCCCCGAAGATTTGAATTGCACCGGGTTAACATCGTACCCCGTACCCATGAAACGGGCATAGCATGTGAATCGAGCGCTCTGCTCGCACCTTCGCTCTTATCCGATTCCAGCAGAACTCCAGCCTGTGTCAGTTGCAGTAGCGCTGATTGGAGAGCAACCACTTTATCGGTCCTTGAGTCTGCGCTTCCACCAAAGCCAGTATTGACTCCTACATGATAGTATAAGTACAATATCTGCGCAGTATTGGGCAATGTTAAATCCACGAACCGTATACACTATAACCGTTATCTAGGTGGTCCTTCAAAATCCGTATGCTGGCATCGATTTCTTCAAGGACACCGGGGTCATCAGTAATCTTCGGTATGCAATTATGACTATGACCATTAGTCCGAAGCAGGACCTTTTAAAAAAATTTTGATTGACGAACCATGCCACGGCGACCACTGAGGGTATATCGAGTTTTTTACCATCGATCTCTACTTCTCCATCTTTAAGGATATTCTGCAACCGAGACCAACTCTGGATCGTGGTGTTGATATGCGACTGGGTAGTTACGATACCCATTTCCATATACTCCAGGCAATGTCAATAAATAGGTTGTCGTACAAGCGTTGCTCGGCGTCATAGACGAGGATGTGGTGTCCGCCCTGGTCAGTCGGGATTTTGATGAAAAGATTATCGCCAAATGTCAACTCAACTTCCTGCAGGGCCCCGGCGTCTCTATTTATATATCATATCTTCTGTCCAGGTGGCGCCTGGATCTTCCTCATATCTTTCCAATCTCGACCCATGACGCCAATCATGCCCGTCAAAGACCGCCGGATCTCTCTTCTGCTGCAGAGGAAGACAAGAAGGAAAAGCAGCGGTGGAGAAAAGCCAAACTCTTGATTGTGTCTATCACGGTGAAGGAATCTGCGATCCACTCATCCGCGAGCAGATCGCCTGTGCACGATAAATCTGATTCGTTAAATTGTAGAGGAGTGCAGCTGCCTCCCAAATCCGAGAGCCGGGAGGAGCGGCCATTTCCAGGTCTTCGGATCGTGCCACATCCTTCAGCTGCAACCTGACGCTATCGGCTCCTGTCAGCTGTGGTCACTTCTTGATTGAAATTTTCGCCTTCAGTGAGCCCGGCAGATAAAGTGGAAACTCAAAGAAGCCCGGTCTACTCACCAAAAAGAAACCAGGCAGTATCGCCAGGGCGTTCATTCTCTGGAGAGCACTGCAGTCTGCAGAACGTTATGCAAATGGCGTCTCGATTCCACCCGAAAGTTAAAATTGACTCTAGGATGGAGCACTCATTGATACCGATCGTCGCGCTGACAGCAAAGACACCGGGTACGGAATGGGTCGGGAACCAGAGATCAGCAGCACACAAGCCAGAACCATCGTGCTCAGACCGAGTAAAGTTCAGGAATCATGGATAGTCCAGGCTAGAGATTTAGCTGCCAAATAGTGCTGGAATCGGCGGTCCTGCGAAGAAAATCTACCGTGCCTCAACAAAATGGCTGGCAGGAGTGAGAAAAAGAAAACACGGTAACGGAGTTGACAACTCCTGGGGGCAACACGGAAAAGTTGAGGCGTCGTTCATAAAGTTCACCATCAAGACACTAAGATACGTACTTTGTCTACATAGTCAGGACTACAAATACAGAGTATATTCAGAGGGAAGCATCAGATTTTCCGCCTACCATTTGGAGTGGTCTAGGCAGCGCTATCTAGGCTAGTGCAGACAATGGAGTGCCTATACAAAAACTCCATGAATGCAATGGGAGTAGAGGTGGAAGTACCGGCGCATCGGAACCGTACTTTGCTTCCTGTTTAGCTAGTCTTCTCTTTGCGGTGACCGCTTACCAAATCCCCAACAACGCCGACTCAGTGCAATTGAAGAAAAGGTACATATGTATCCTGGTCTTTACCTTGTGGTGAAAGATGGCAGTGAAAATAAAGGTCAAAAAGAAAATGTAAGAGATCTGCTAAATTTCAGGTATCATCCGAGGCAAATCGAAGGAGACTCCCAAGCGAACCGTTTACGCCATGAATCCGAAATGTTGAGATCGTCAGGATATAAAAAAAAAGTATAAACACAAGTCACCGTTTACCAAAGAACAAAGGCGTTTCACCGCATCCCCCCTTGCATTAGCTGCTGCCGGAGCATCATAATCTGGCTGCGCTCCATAGGTGGCAAGGCATCAATGGTCGATTGAGGCATATTAAGAACTTGCTGCAGTAGTTCATCTTGTCCCGGAACTTGTTGCTGCGGTGCTGGCTGTGGCGGGGGTTGAGTAAATGGCGCATTCACCATTGGGGGCGTTGAAACTTGACCCGGGACAGCACCGAAGGGCTGGAACGCCTGGGCGGGAGGTGCAGATGGTGGTGGCGCTGTAGGCTGTGCAGCTTGTTCCACCACGGCTCCTAAGGTGTTGTAGTCGACGAGGTTCAACAGGAGTAACGCCTGGAAGATAGCGTATGCAAGCTGCGGTGCCTGGCGCAGGAGTTCTGTGGCACGTGCAGGATCCGTCATTGCCAATGATTTCATCTGCTGGAGTACATCAAGGAGCTGGTTTGGAGGGAGGGCGGCGAGGGTTTGTGATATGGCGTTGGGACAATCCAGATGCGGGGGGAGATCAACGCCTGGCGGGAGCGGTGGAAGAGGAGCAGATAATGGCGGGCCTCCTAACGGCCCGTCCTGGTTTGGTATTTGCGATGGTTGTGAGTAGTCTTCGGGTACGGAGTCTTTCTCGTTGTTGTGAGGCCAGTCCACACGAATTTTGCGACCCATAATCTCATAGTCGTTTAGATTGCGTACGGCAGAGGCAGCGGCATCGGCATCGGCGAAATCAGCAAATCCATAACCCTTCGGCTTTCCTGTCTCAGGGTTCATCATCAAACGAAATTTTGTGACGGTTCCGGCGGTGCTGAGGATGTCTTTGACCTGTTCCTCGGTGAGGTCTAAGACATATGTGTTAGTGTTATGCAGAGGCGAGTGCCTGGAGCGCAAATGAGTAAGGGCATACTGTAGGGAATATTTCCCAGGAAAACACTTTTCCCAGCTCTGTCTGGACCCATCTTTGCGGTTATGGACTGGATACAGGGCGCGACAATATAAGGATATTCCAAGTAACAATGGGAGGAAAAGCAAAGAGGTGATCCGGGCCAAAGGGAAAGGACTGGAAGAAGAAAAATTTGTTTCAACTTTAGTATAAGACTTCTTTCTATGAGACCAACAATCCTCTCCTTGCGAAGCTCTCTGAGACACGCTTTGGTCTTGGTGAAGCAAAAGCATTAATGTCTGGCGACGGGCAAATCCACTTGGAGCTCGCGCCAAGGCGGTGTCCGAATCTGGAGAACTGCCGGAAGTTGATGAACGTCAAGGGCTTTCCGACCTTGTCATCCAGACATCAACCTCGATTCTCACCACAACTATCATGTCTCGGATTCCGAAGGAGCAGTGGGAGAGGTTGCAGGTTATTCTGCAGAACCGTGGTCGCTATGGAGGTTTTCCTTCTGGTGGAGGTGGCCGCGGAGGAGGTGTGGGTGCCGCAGCTCTGATTACACTCGGTCTTGGAGCATACGTTCTGTCAAACTCTCTCTTTAACGGTGAGGACCAGCCAGCTTCTGTTTCACCAGTCTAGTTCTATAATAAGCGACTGTGCTAAGTGGTTTGATTGCAGTTGATGGTGGTCACCGCGCGATCAAATACTCGCGAATCGGTGGTGTGAAGAAGGAAATCTACCCTGAAGGTAAGCGCTGCAACTCGTGGTTTATTCTCGATAGTGCATGTTTCTGACTATTATTTAATTAAGGAACCCATTTCGCATTCCCTTTGATCGAAACTCCCATCATCTACGATGTCCGAGCGAAGCCGAGAAACATTGCTTCCCTGACCGGTACCAAAGATCTACAGATGGTGAACATCACTTGCCGTGTCCTGTCAAGACCTCGAGTGGATGCTCTTCCTCAGATTTACCGAACTCTTGGTTCCGATTTTGACGAGCGGGTGCTTCCATCCATCGTCAATGAGGTCTTGAAGAGCGTTGTTGCTCAGTTCAACGCCAGTCAGCTGATTACCCAGCGTGAAAATGTCGCCAGACTTGTTCGGGATAACCTCGCTCGTCGGGCGGCCCGCTTCAATATTGCTCTGGATGATGTTTCCCTTACGGTAAGGCGGCCGAATAAATCCCTCTAAGCTGTCAAGCTTGAAGTACTAACTTTTTCCTTTTCTGTCGTTTAGCACTTGACCTTCTCCCCCGAATTCACTGCTGCCGTCGAAGCCAAGCAAGTCGCTCAGCAAGAAGCTCAACGGGCTGCGTTCCTTGTCGACAAAGCCCGTCAAGAGAAACAAGCTTTCATCGTCCGCGCTCAGGGTGAGGCCCGATCAGCGGAACTTATCGGAGACGCGATCAAGAAGAGTAAGAGCTACGTTGAGCTTCGGAAGATCGAAAATGCCCGACATATCGCCCAGATTCTCCAGGACAACGGTGGAAGGAACAAACTGTACCTGGACACCCAAGGTCTTGGGTTGAACGTCAATGCGGGTTCGGAGGTCGAGAAATAAAATCAAAACTGCAAAAAATCGTTTGGAAAGTCATCTTAATTCGATGATTTCTCCTTTTACCCTCCGTTCCACTCAGATGTTGTTTGCAATTTTTGACGTGGTTCAAGGTGCGGAATATCATCTGTACAAATAGTTCTTTCAGGTTACCACAGCACGGGCGAATATTGTCTCTTCTCTATCATAATATTCATGAATGTTACTCTACCGGTGAATTCATACTAAAAAAGTGCAAGTAAAGTGGCCGTTCCTATGGCCGTAGAGGTAGGCTATAATCTCAGCTATTCATGGTGGCTGCGGGGACGAATGCGGCGGGCGGAAATTTTATATCACAGGCGGGGAAATAAAAAAAGTTAACTCTCCTCACACACCACAAGGCATCAAGCCTGCACAGCAACATAAGCTAACTATATTCATTTCGAAAGGCTAATAAATCTGAGTGCTTATTTTATTTTTGGGTGAGTATCTTCTATCGTCAAGCATGCTCTTTTGATATCTGTCCTAGAAGCTGTTTGCGGCGGCGGCGATTCAAGGCGCATTGATAGATTATAGCTTACAATGGACCAGATATGGCAGACCCAGAAACCGAAATCAACGTTGACCTTGAGGTCCAAGAAGTCCTCCTAGCTGCCTCTCAGCACGACATCCCCAAGCTCAGACGACTCCTCCGTTCCAACGACGCGGCAACGAACCCCGCCAACGTCAAGGATCCAGAAACAGGCGCCTCTCCGCTCCATGCGGCCATTGCGGCTTGCGAGGCCGAGGAAGAGGACGCGAAAACTAATGGCGCGCCCAATGGTGTTCAGTCCAATGGAGAGGGACATACCAGTGAACAGCAAGAAACACTCCAGTCTGCCGTCCAGACCGTGAAGCTTCTTCTGCAGGAGGGGGCTATATGGAATGACTTGGACTTGAACGACGAGACACCTGGATGCATTGCGAGACGGCTTGGATTGGATGAGCTGTATGAAATGGTTGTGGATGCCGGGGTTAGAGCAGAACTTCTGCTGAACAGGCTAGATGGCTACGAACAACTATCAGACGAGGAGATGGAAGACGACGAAGAGCAAGAGCAGCAACAGGAAACTGCTGGTACAAGTGCCTCAAGCACTGCAGAAGAGGGGGAGTCTGCCCCTCAATTAGTCGAATCCACGACTGCTGCCACGGACACTGCTCAAACCGGCGAGGTCGATCCAAATGTTACGAGCTCACGTTACTTGAGTTCGGACCTGAGCTTCCAGCAGGACAGACTGCTCGACCAAGATCAAAACGGAGTTATGATGGCCTGGGAATCGGATATCATGGCCAAATCTGCCAAGAAACTCCTTCCTACACCGGGACTGCGGGTTCTGAACGTCGGACATGGCATGGGCATTATCGATGGGTTCTTTCAAGAACAATCCCCGGCGTCCCATCACATTATCGAAGCCCATCCTGACGTCGTCGCAGAAATGAGGCGAAAGGGCTGGCATGAGAAGCCGGGTGTTCACATTCACGAGGGCAGGTGGCAGGATATACTTCCTGAACTGGTGACACAGGGGGAAATGTTCGACGCCGTTTACTACGACACGTTTGCCGAGTCATATGCCGATTTCCGAGATTTCTTCACAGAGCAGGTTATTGGCATCCTGGAGCAAGAGGGCAAATGGGGTTTCTTCAATGGCATGGGAGCAGACCGACAGATCAGCTATGATGTATACCAAAAGGTGGTGGAAATGGATCTGTTTGAAGCCGGATTCGACATTGAGTGGGAGCAAATCGCCGTCCCCAAGTTAGAGGGAGAGTGGAATGGGGTTCGCCGGCCGTACTGGAACATAGACCAGTACCGGCTTCCTCTGTGTAAGTACATGGATTGAGTGACTAAATAGACTTGGTACAGCCAAATATCAATCCAAGTATGTCGAGACTCAGTCCCGGAATCTCTAGAGAAAACATGGAATTTCATTCCTCACACTTGCACTCGGTTCCTCTACTACCTAGGAACACTCTTGCTTCATCCGCATTATCTCCATTTTGGGGGAAGGGGCAGCCAACGCCCGTCTCCCGTCCATCGCACCTTCCCTCCAAACCTTCCTCCTACCTGTTAGTTCGTACATACCGCTCGAGGAAGGCACGACTGTCTGAGGAAAGAGCGATGTCACCTCACCCGTGGACCTTGGTTGCACCTGCCTTCCATCTTGCAAGTAACACTGAACTCAAGGAAAGAGCGACGACCAACAAGACAGTAGAGGAAGGAACCCGCACAGCCTGCCAGCCTCCATTGCACTTTCCAATATCGGGATGTATCTTGCGAAAACGACATCTGCTTGAACAGGAAGGCGCGATCGACAACCTAACCTTCTGGGAGTTCTCCAAGGAAAGGAAAGCACGGTTGATGGCTTCAACTGGGGACAGCCGGCAACCGAACAATCCAGGCACAACAAGAGATACGAAGCCAGCGGGCCAGCCACAAGAAGTGGAAACAGCGTCTCCACGAAAGCGATCGATCACCGTTTATGTTGCATTGAGTAATGGATCTCGACGGTTTTAAGGGAATCAGTGTTCTGGGCTCGGATCTAAGAATAGGACAATTGAAGCATTGGATTGAATCTCCATTCCACAACCCTCGTATCTTCCAGGAACCATCCAATCAAGAAGCTCTTTCGAATAATAGCGATCGACACGTAAACGAGCCTTGCATGAGACAGGGTGATCAACGGCCAAACACGACCTTTTGTCTCGGCATCTGGAACTCATCAACCCTAACCAGGCCAACAGACGTTTAGTCTGAAGGGTCGTGCCCGTCAGGACCTAATTTCCAATGGAGCAAATCAAACATCCAGACGCTCCGTCCAGTCGGTCTCCAGATACCCGCTGCTCTTACGAGAGAAACACGAGGTCGCAACAGGGATGTTCCCGAGAAAGAGACCCTTGGAAGAACATCGTATTCCAAAGTCGATCAAAGCTGATCACCTCAAGATACGAAGCTCAGCCTCCAAGACACTGTCTCGACTATACAAAAAATGAACTGACAAGAGGTATAAAGGGGAGGTTGACTCCGGCTCATTTCATCCATCATCATCTTCTTCCATCCAAAACATCTTCAAAAGTTCATTACCTGAACTCAAACCAATCCACAAAATGCACTCCTCCATCAAGCTCCTTGTTGCCACCATTCCTGCCCTCGCCTCCGCCTGCGTCGGACCCCCGGTGAACGGCCCAACCCTCGACCTTATCAAGGGTTTCGAATCATTCCGAGGCGAAGTCTATGATGACGGTGCCGGAAACCCTACAATCGGCTACGGCCATCTCTGCCCGGACTGGTCTTGCTCCGATGTCACCTTCCCTCAGCCCCTGACCGAAGAGACCGCTGCCCAGCTGCTCGCTGGTGACTTGATTGTACGTACTTATCTATCACATCTGCATCAAGCCGCAATTAGATAAAACAAAACTAACAATACGTGAAGGGCTACCAAGACGCTGTTACCAATGCCTTCGCCGACCCCGTCACCCTGAACGACAACCAGTATGGCGCTCTCGTGTCCTGGACCTACAATATCGGCAACGGAAACATGCAGTCGTCTGACCTTGTTTCTCGCATCAACGCCGGCGAGGATATCGTTGCTGTTACCACTGACGAGCTTCCTCAGTGGATTCACTCCAACGGACAGGTGATGGAGGGCCTCGTCAGGAGACGCCAGGAGGAATTGAACCTGTTCAACGCCCCCAGCAATGTTGGCGCTCTCCCTGCTCCTTGCTAAGCTGCAGGAAACCTGCCAGCGTTCGATTCAACTTTATTGTTCTGGGCACGGAAGGACGTGCTTTGATCACGAGTTATAACAAGACGACATGGTGAACAGCCTTGTTTTCCTGTAGTAATTAATGGTGGAAGTTTTGATATCGATGTATATAGATGCTTATTTTCTGAATTCAGTTGTCTATATATTAGTTTCTACAGTCACGCCAGTACAGTTATAATAAGTATCCCTGATGGCTTCGTGATGAATGCACTTCATATCAATCATCCTTAACCATCCCGTTTGTACTATTGTTCTAACTCAATCCTAGGTAGTATGTACTTCGTATGCTTTATGGCTAAGACCAAAAGAAAATGCCCCAAGCTGGGGATGCAAATTAACGTATGCATGAGACAACAAGGCCGAATAATAACAAGCCCCAAGGTAGAACGCCAGTCGCTAAAGCGGGAATCGAATCAATCATCACAGGAACGTTTGTCCAAATAAGTGATGGTATATGCAAGTGATAAGTGAAGGTTTTATAACTGAATGAGATCGACTTCTGAGAAGTCAGGAGGGCTGCGACTGAAAATGGTGCGACACTTTCCATCCAACGCTTGGTACTCGTTGCTAATCCAGATATGCTTGCTGAAGCGCTGGGTGCGGTAAATCTCGTCGTCACTTACTCCAAGGTCATCACGGGGGATCCAGACGACAGGGCGCTTGGAGCGAAGAGCGTCATGTTGAAAGGCTCGCTGGACTAGTTGGTCACGTTCGTCGGGGGTGAGGTCCTCCAACTCGTCATGAATCCCTTCAAATAACGCCGAACCACGAGGATGTCTAACAGGGCCTTGAGCTTCGGCATCCTGGTTGAGCTTCTCTCGCATGCGTTGAATGCTTGGGACTGCGCCCTCGGAATTTGCCCCGAAGAATTTAGATCGTCGGTTCGGAGACTGAGTTGCCCATGATGGTCGACGAGAGGAAGTGAGGTTGTCGGCTGTCTCAGGTTCGAGGCCTTGGCCCTTGCGCCTAAGCCCAGACGCACTCCTATTTACGCCACCGGCTTCAAATTTCTTCAGCTCGATGTCGCGTTCTTCGTCCTCGCCCTGGAACTCAGCACGTTCACGATCCCTCAGCTGGTGCTCGAGGGTGTCCTTTTTCTCTGCTGCGTTCTCCTCTTCGTCATCGCTGCTCAGCCCTAATCGTACCATTTGCGCGCGAGCAAACTCTTCATCACGCTGAACGGCTTCATCCTCCAACGTAATGGGCAGGTAACGGATCAGCGGGCCAAAGGCTTCATTCAGCAGCAGTTGGAATCCCGCAGTTAGTACCGTCATGATAATCATAATGACGGCCTGGCCCTCACAAGCGACTTGCCCATTGGAATCACGAACTAAGAAGAAAAGACCAATCAAACTGATCTCCATGACGTAAATTCCGGTGAACAACTGATTGATCGCCCGGGGGAAAAGCAATCCGCCGGTGTCGAAGCGGAATTTTGTGACGTATAAGGTGTTGTAACGGTAGACGAACCAGAACAAACCAAAAGTGAGCACATTAAACACCAAGATAAGAGGCGCGATAACAGAGTAGATCAACCCTATTGCTGTGTTAGATCAATGCATAAGTAACTAAACGGTGGAACATACCAATAGATGCAAGAGTTGTATACACTGGAAAGAATGTACCCCATTGCATCTGATTGAGGTTTGTCGTTCGAGCCCATTTACGGCGTGCAGTCGAATCCAACATTGGTGCGAGAATAAACCAGCTCACAAGGCTGAAAATCTGAACCAAGGCTCCAGCACTCACGGATAAAGCTTGCAGGATCATATAGGAGAAGAAGTAGTTGCTTGATGAGGGTATATTTTGAGCCAGAAGTTGGGGCCAACTTGTGACATCAGTGATGTTTCTGAATATGGTGGAGAAACTCGATGCAATCGCCACTACCAGAAATAGTTGGACAAATAGAAATGCAAAGAAGTAGTTCTGCACGGTAAGCTCGATGCCCATGCCTGTCTGAAGACCCTGCGTTCGACAAAGGAAACGAAGAAGTAATGGCAAAATTGCCATCAAGATGGCCAGGAATAACGGAGGCAGGATACCTTGCACGGCCGAAATAAGCCACTCTGGCATACGATTTATCCACGACAGCCACGTGAAAGCATCTTCCAAGTAGGAGAGCTGAGACAGCAATCCAGTGAAGGCTACGGGGAATGCCCAACCGATCACCATGCCAATGACAATAGCGTAGATCCCGAAGGTACGCAGATAACGTTCCCACCATTTGATGGACATGTTGTCCCAGATAACATCATCTGGTGAGATTTCCACAGTACGAGGAGCCATTTGCTTGGGTACGTGGTGACTGACAGCTTGGCAAGCCATATGCGCAGCTACTTGATGGTTGAACTGGATGAAGGCTGAATTCATGAGGGGGAACTTTTCAGGATTCTGTTGGTCCACCTCAATTTCCAAATTCAAGCGAGCCACCTCTTTGCGACAATGGTCGATGGTGTCGACTTTCTTCCCAAGAAGCCAAATCGAAGGCATCCAACTAATTCCAAAAATTGGCAGTCGCATGGTTTCTCTGTCTTTCTGGCGGATATATTTCTTCCACAAGGGTTCGCCGAGATCCTCCTTCTCGAAGTTCTCGTTATACGCCACGGGGTACTCATCATCTTCAGCTTCCGCGTCATCATTTCGCTCGATGGTAATGTCATTTTCTCCGCGTGCTCCTACTGGCAAGTTTTCCTCGAAGTTTGAAATATCCGCTTCTTCCCTATCGACAGGAGAGTCTGGCGCCGTAAGTGGGAGCTCATCCGGCTCTGTCTTGTTACTAGATTTCGAGAAGTTCGAAGGCCTGCTTTTCCAGAACGGCCTCTTCGGATGCGGTCCTTCTTCCTGGGTGTTGGTAAACATGGTTTCAGAGTCGTTTCCGCTGGGGCGGTCTGCCGTATTCTCATCTGTGAAGTTTTCCGAGGGTTGTGGCTCTCCATTCTCCGCACCGTGCTCGGCTTTCTGGGGTTTCCTGACGGTACCAAAAACTGACTTCCCCAGCTTACCAACACCTTGGCCAACAGCACCCGCCAACCCTATAGCTGGGTCCAGGGGGTTAAGGTGCCTCCGCTTCTCCGTTTTAGATTCTTTCCCAGATTCTTTGTCGCGGTGCAATATTTCCCGGAGGGTATGAGCCTGGTGTGGGTCGCCGGAACTGATACCAGCCCCCATAGCCAGCTTCGAAGCTTTCGCATCTGCCTCTGCCTTCTCCTTTTTCGCCGCCTGCTTAACACCAGCCTTTTTGTCGGCAGCTTTGGCCTGTTTCAACTGAGCCTTCTTGCACTTGACAATCAATTCTGTCTCGGCTGTCTCCAGCTTCAACGCCAGATTATCTCGCTCTTTGACTTTCTCGTTCAGATCGTCAAAATTCCGGTTGATCCAAATGTTCCGAACTCCACCAGGAAAGACATCGTACAACCTATCCAAAGCCTCCACCGTAAGCCATTTATTTGGTATAGCGGTCACCAGAACTGTCGTCGCAGAAGCCCGCAACCGATGCTGGGGAGAAGTCAAATAGGATTGGCGAAGACGGATATAGCCTCTGAGTTCGTCGAAAAACACGAAACAGACATAGACTATGACAATCACAGCCATAACTAGATGGGCCCAGTAGCGATGCGTGTTTTCTGGAGTGACGTTACCCCAGGCTAGTTGGTCCAAGCCACTGACATTCCATTGAGGCCCAGCGTCCGTACCATTCTGATAGTTGTGATCCTTGCCGCCAACTTTATTCACAGTTAAGAGAGTCGGTAAAATGACACAGCCGAGGGGGAGGAAAATCTTAATTAGCATCCGTAAGTAGCGTAAAAAGAAGTAGGCATCCAGGCCACATTTCTGAATAAATTCGGAGCTGGAAGTGCCGAAAATAGGGCCGATCCATTTGAAGATACCCGGGGGTGATGGTTTGGTACGTTCCCTATCGGGGACAAGATACGTTCGTGGCTGACTTAAAGTAACCTTAGAGTTAGCTGTTTGGTCCACGAGGCAGCAGCTCGGATTGCAAAAAGCACTTACTAAATGCGAGTAAGTTTCCCTTTGAGGAGAAGGAACAAGAAGAATTCGACAGCGAAAATTATGAGAGCAGCGGCCAGCGATGCTACAAATGTTTTGATGGTGATGCCTTCTCTGGCTTGGCCTTTACCGCCTGCGTGTTCCAAGGCCGAGCCCAAGTCGTTCACCATCGTTGCTAGTTGACGACGAATACGCCCAGCCCCATTCACATATATGAAGGGAGTTCACGGTATCAGACAAAAGATGGCACCGCCAAAGTATCTGGGGTGACAAGTCTAGCGGGGTTCCAAACTTCCAACCGATCGGCGTGGTGATGCTCAGGGCATCACTCGGTGAATTTGCGAGAGTTTTCGACAATAAGGAGCAGCTTCGTGAGTAGGGGGGGAGAAGACTGTCGGGGAAGGGAAAATATGAGGTGACAATAGGTTTATCTAAGAGTGTGTTGAGGTGTTGAAGTGTTGACGGGTGTGTAAGGAGCGAGGACAGGAAGAACCTCATAAAAAGTGTGCCAGATAATGTTGCAGATAAAGGCATCATGGATCTTCCATCCATTCAAATGTCACCCGAGCCTTTGACGAAGAGGCGCCGCCATTCGTGGGAATCGCAGATCGCAACTTTTTAGTGCATGACATCAGGCGCCTGCTGAAACTTGGCTGGTCCCAGTCGCGCGCTCTCCCCAACTTTTGTTTCATTCACCCTTGCAGGCGGTCAAAGGATTGGTCCTCATGAAACAGGCCAGTTTCTTGAGGAATTGTCTGGCGCTTAAATTCCCAAAATAACAACAAAAAAAGATTCAAAGCATTCAGTAAGGCATTCACTGGTGCTGCAAAGCTGTTTCATTATGAAAGGATCGAGTGGCGAGTGAGGATTCCTGATTAGGCATGGTGTTGACATCCTGAATGGAACCAAGGGCAGCGGCTTTTTAATTGGCAGAGCTCAGGAACTCCCGTCATTTAAGGAAGGAACCATTCTGAATCTGGCTAGCTCAGTAAGGAAGGTTCAGCCACGGTCGCATAGGTGGCGGTGTTACTACGTCTGCCAAGGCTTTGGAACTTGGAAATGTGCTCGGATCACCAAAACCACAGAGGTGGTATTTTGGTAAACCCCATATTCGTCCCCTCTGGTGTTCGTTAAGAATGTCCCGTGCGAAGCCACTGCACAATAATCTGTTGTCATCAGATTCCGCCATACAAGGTACAGCGGAGAAACGGCTACCATGCTACTCACAAACGAGAAGCGGATGTAGCTGAATTAAACTCACGACTGTGGTCTGTTTTCCAAAACCCATAATCCAAGATGACGGCAAGAAAGTAAACCCAACATGTTGCTGCGACTTTCAACGGCCGTGAATATATATTGTTAGAGACTAGTACAGAGTAGAAGTGATATCTTAGCTGGTTCTCGAAAACGATCAACAAACGTGTCACGTGATTTTAAACCGTCGCGCCCGCCCTAAATGGAAGCACTTTACGCGTGAGACGTGTCCGGACGCGTCGGTCCAAATTTCTTCATTGGACCTGGGCTCTTTTTGTCCGCTCTCAGTCCAAGCATCCCTTCTTGTTGCCAGCTGCACCTTCACATCTACCGAGGGAGCAAATATATCAACCCCCTCGATTGCATTATTCAAATACCCCTTTTCCTGTTACATTGGTTCAGAACCTTCGAATAACCGCGTCAGCATGTCTTCTCCCGCTTCTTCTCGTCGTACGGGCCGTCCGGCGAGGGACTCGGCCACCGCATCACCAGCCCGCTCAACACGCTCCCAACAGCAATCTCAGACCAGCAACCCTCCACAGACTACCCCTCGTGCTTCACGGCGGCTGCAAGGCGAGGCCGCCGTCCCGTCCTCATCCCCCATGTTCTTCCAGTCTTCCTCCGCGCGGGGGAGCAGCAATGCCGAGACTCCAGATGCGAGAATAGAAGAACCAAGTTCGCCTTTGAGAGCTTCATCCGCCATGGATGAGGGGGAAAGAACGCCACGTGCAAATGGGGCCGGCCTAAAAGGTATAGTAATCGGATATTGAATGATGGCCATCGGTTGTTAATATTTGAATACAAACACAGATTCTTCCCCAATTCGATACGTTTCCAGCTCCAGTCCGACTCGCGGTTTCGGCCGCCAAAATGGCCACTCGGATATTCCTAGCAGCAGCAGCGGCCTATTTGTTTCGTCACGACAAGGGCTGGATGGCCAACGCGTCGTCTCCCGCCGCAGTGACCTTCATTCAGGAGGTTTTGGGTCTACCCCAGGCCGAAGGCGCAGAGTCTTTGTCGATGCGAATGGAGTACCTGCTGCGGACGGTGAGCCTCAATCGGACGCCACATTCTCTAATATCCACCCGGATACTTCAGAGGCAGAAGTCATGGGAGGTAATTCAACCCGTGTGATCTGGGGAACCAATATCTCTATCCAGGATTCCATGTCGGCGTTTAAAAATTTCCTCCATAGTTTTACCACCAAATACCGTCTGTGGGCTGATGGAGCCACTGAGGACGAAACGCGCCGAATGGGAGATATGGCCGAGGAACGGGAATACATCGACATGTTAAACACAATGCGCCAGTTGGGTGTCACCAGTCTCAATCTAGATGCGAAGAATCTCAAGGCGTACCCACCAACTCTGAAACTATGGCACCAGCTCCAAGCATACCCTCAAGAGATTATTCCACTGATGGATCAGAGTGTACGAGATGTGATGGTCGAGTTAGCTGCTAAAGAGATGGAGCGACTACGATCTCAAATTCAACGCAATCAAAACAGCCATAGGGACTTGAGCTCAGCCCCGGCGGTCCCTAGTTCGGACGCAATGAGCGAGACCGGCAGGATGCCGCAGGCAGAAATACCAGACCTCGTGGCGGAGGCCGAGACCAGGCCATACAAGGTTCTTCCGTTCGGTCTTGATACTACGGTCAATATGAGAGAGCTGGATCCGGCTGGTAAGATTTCGATCTAATAAAATTCTGCGTCTGGACTCTTAGCTAACGACCCTCAGATATGGACAAGTTAGTGAGCATCAAGGGTTTGGTCATTCGTGCTACACCCATTATACCTGACATGAAAGAAGGTTCGTGTCTTTCTCTAGTCAGTCCAGAAACATGCTAACTCAAGGATTAGCATTCTTCCGTTGTCAAGCCTGCAACCATTCAGTTCAGGTAGATATCGACCGCGGCAAGATTGCTGAGCCCACTATTTGCCCCCGTGAAGCATGCCAAGAAAGAAACTCAATGCAAATCGTCCATAACCGCTGTGTATTTGCCGACAAGCAGGTTATCAAACTGCAGGAGACTCCGGATAGTATCCCAGATGGTCAAACACCTCACTCGGTCTCTCTGTGCGTCTATGATGAATTGGTCGATGTCTGCAAGGCAGGTGACCGTGTCGAGGTAACCGGAATCTTTCGCTCGAACCCTGTGCGAGTAAACCCTCGTCAACGAACCCAAAAATCTCTTTTCAAAACCTACATCGATGTTCTGCATGTCCAGAAAACCGACCGCAAGAAGCTCGGTGTCGACGTTTCTACCGTTGAACAGGAGCTCTCTGAGCAGGCTGCTGGAGATGCCGAACAGGTCCGCAAAATTTCGGCGGAAGAGGAAGATAAGATCCTGCGGACATCTACGAGACCCGACTTATATGAACTTCTTGCTCGATCACTTGCGCCTAGTCTTTACGAGATGGACGATGTGAAGAAAGGTATTCTGCTTCAGATGTTTGGCGGCACCAACAAGTCGTTCCAAAAGGGTGGTAACCCTCGCTACCGTGGCGATATCAACGTACTCCTCTGCGGTGACCCTTCGACAGCAAAGTCTCAACTACTCCGTTATGTGCACAAAATTGCCCCACGAGGTGTATACACCAGCGGTAAAGGTTCATCAGCTGTCGGTCTTACGGCTTACGTTACTCGTGACCCTGAGACTCGCCAGATGGTCCTGGAATCCGGTGCTTTGGTCTTGTCTGACGGTGGTGTCTGCTGCATTGATGAATTCGACAAAATGAACGAATCCACTCGCTCTGTTCTCCATGAAGTCATGGAACAACAGACTGTGTCGATCGCGAAAGCGGGTATCATTACAACTCTCAATGCCAGAACAAGTATTCTCGCCTCGGCCAATCCTATTGGTAGCAGATACAATCCAAACCTACCGGTCCCACAAAACATCGACCTTCCGCCAACGTTGTTGTCTCGTTTCGATCTTGTATATCTTGTTCTTGACCGCGTGGACGAGTCGGAGGACCGCCGCTTAGCCAAGCACCTTGTCAACATGTATCTCGAAGACAAGCCGGAAAACGCGAGCGAGCGAGAAATCCTAGTAAGTCAATATGGATCTACTTACTACTCAATACCATAGCTGCTAACCTATGAACTTATAGCCAATCGAATTCCTAACGGCCTACATTACCTACGCCAAGACCAAGATCCACCCAGTCCTCACCCCCTCCGCCGGCAAAGCCCTCTCCGATGCATACGTAAATATGCGTAAACTTGGAGATGATATTCGCTCTGCGGACCGCCGAATCACTGCAACCACCCGTCAGCTAGAGTCCATGATCCGTCTAGCTGAAGCTCACGCACGCATGCGCCTCTCTTCAGAGGTGACTGCCGATGACGTTGAGGAGGCAGTGCGCCTGATTCGATCTGCCATTAAGCAAGCAGCGACCGATTCTCGCACGGGCTTGATTGATATGGGCTTGCTCACCGAGGGTACGAGTGCAAGCGAAAGACGCAATAAAGAGGCCTTGAAACGCGGGGTTCTAGGAGTGATTGATGATCTGGCTGGTGGGGGCGGCGCAGCTCGCTGGGCAGAAGCTTATCGGGTTTTGAATGAACAGTCCAGCATTGAGGTCGATAGCGCTCAGTTCACGGAGGCTGTCCGGGCACTTGAGTCAGAGGGTATCGTGAATATCTTGGGTGAGGGTGCCCGGAGGAGCATCCGACGCGCTCCCGGCGCGGTTGTGTAAACTGGCATTGATTAGATGATGAGGATACGATGTAATGGAGTACATAATATACAGAATGATGTAACCGACCATATCTCAGTGAATGGGTTTCATGGAGGTGTCTGGTGTTATGGCTTGTTGAGCATGCGGGATAATTAAATTTTATGTTGTCAAATACATTTACTAACTATAAGTAACTATTGATTACCCTGGTCTGTATTAATCATTATACATGGATTTGCATTTGTAGATATGCTTTGCACTAAGAAGCCCTAATTCACACTCAAGCGAAAGTCTGCGACTGCTATGGCGATAGACAGACCAGGAATAATCATTACCGTTCCTTCGCTATTTGAATGTTTTCCGAATATTATAATAAATATTAAACAAGTGAAATAATCACCTTAAGGTTGTATTCGGCCCCTAGGATGGATATAGATACAAATACCCTTCTAGTCATCTTGAGGGAACTTAGCACCCCCCTGGGCCCTAATCTCATCTAAAATCCGCATCACTCTCAGCGTCTCACCCAAAGGCATGGTTTTACTTTCCTTGTGCCCAGCAGCGATGTCCAACGCAGTTGCATCGGCCTCATGATAGAAGCCTTTCCCCCCATACAGCTCATCGAACTTGAACAGTAGCTCCCGCTTATCCTGCGCGTTACTGGCTGCTGGCTTCTTGTCTCCCATGTCCTTTTGCGCATTCTCTGGCTTCAAGGACACAATTATTGTATCAGGCATGGAGGCGGTGTCGCCCTTAAGAAACAGTGTCCCTTTACTCCCCTCCACTTTTGCGAAGACATCGTCGGTCTTGTATAGCAAAGAGGAGGAGATGAGACCATGGCGACCAGTGTCTGCATAGTACAACAGGGCAGAAGTACTAACGTCTACCCCTTGTACCAATGTCTGTGACGCGCTAACCTTGGGTCGCTGCACCTGAGAACCTCCAGGTGAAGACTCCAAAGTCAAAAGAGCCCAGGTTAGGGAGTATGTCCCAATATCCAGCAACGACCCCGCGCCGAGGCTGAGGTCCCGCGTCTCGACGTAGCCGGGAGCTCATCCAGCGGCATATCGAGAGAGAAATCGACAAAAGTCCGGTTGATATCGCCGATGATTTTCTGTTTGAAAAGTAATTCCTGCAGCTTGGCTACAATGGGGAAGAATCGCGACCACATGCCCTCCATCACAAAGACACTTTTCTCTCGCGCTGCGTCGATTACGGCGGTTGCTTCTCGCGCATTTATCGTGAATGGCTTCTCGCAGAGGACATGCTTTCCGGCGTTAATGGCGTCTAGGCAGTTTTGTTTGTGGAATGCGTGCGGGGTGGCGATGTAGACGATGTTTACGTTTGGGTCGTTGTAGACCTCTTCATAGGACCCGTAACATGAGACATCTGACTGTGTGGTGGATGGGATGTAGGCTTGTACAAATTTCTTTGCTTTGGCTGTGTTGCTGGAGCCGACTGCCTTGATTGTGTGGGTTGCGCAAGGGTTGGAACGAGGGAGAACGAGGTCGCTCACGAACCAGGACGCGATCATTCCGGTAGCTAGCAGAACAGGGATTAGAGAAGATGAATTTGCGTTGAAATGGCTATTACCTACCGACAATCCCCCATCGTAGCCCAGGAACAGGCTCGGGAACAGATGGCATTTTGGGGAAGCTGTGAAAAGGATCGAGAGACCTGCTAAGAGGCAATTGAAAGGAAATGATGGTGAGTATGAGAATGAGATCCTTCTGGCAATTTTATATCACAAATTTAACTTCTCTACTCCTACCTATTCAATGCAACAGAACTTGACCCTTGTGGGCCAGTCTAGCTAGGAAATCAGCTGGAGCCGCAGCCGGGGAGTATCGGACTTCACCGAAAGATAAATGCCATCATACCTATTTAATTTTAATGTATTTTGGGACCACATTGATCCTTATGGGTACCAAGAGGATGACGTGCTGAGTTTGATAGAGCAATTCATATTCCTAGTTCACATCAAAAACCCAATCCTGGACGAAGATGTATTGAGGCGTAAGGCCTATGGCGTTGTTGAAGATGGGTTGGGCTGGGACGGGCCATCATGCCTCGTTGTATGTGACAATCTCCTCCTCTGTTGCATATCCGGATGTCATCTGACGGTTTACCTATGTTTTGCTCAGCTTCTTGCTTGTGCACTTGGAATCGTCGCCACACCCTTTGAAGGTGTGTCCAAGGATATTATACTAAATTCAGAAGACACCAGCACTTCAACCTCGCCTCCTCGCCAGCGTGTTCTGGAGGAAGCAGAAGCTTATTTTATGCTGGCCAGGAAACGAATCGGATTGTTGAGCCAGTCCATGCTAGCCATCCAGTATCATTTCCTAACTGGCATCTTTTTGATGTATTGCTTTAAGCCACTGGAGGCCTTTCAGAATTTCCATCAGGCGTCCATGACCTTTCAGATCTATTTTAGATCTGTGACTGCTTCCATCAGGTCCGCTTCTGACTCCCGAGCCGAGCAGCGGTTATTCTGGAGTTGCTTCAAGTCTGAATGGTATGTGGCAGACAATTCGCAAAATAAAGACGTTTCTAACACCTTTTTGAAGCGAGATTCTGTCCGAAATCGATCTGCCCCAATCGGGGGTCGGCATCCTTCGTCATCTGCATACTTTCCCGTCTCCACCAGACCTCAGCAGTGTTGGCTCCCCGTTAACTACCACTGACGATAGTACAGCATACAGGCCAGCACCAGCACCAGCGTCAGCATCATCGGCCGCCTCTCAAAGTAGAGATGACGCCTTGTGCATTCTCAGATAGCAAAGCTGGTTCTATTACCTATCCGAGATCGCTTTGCGTCGCATAGGCAATCGAGTACTTAGCTGCTACTACTTCGAAAATCACGACGCATGGATGGATCTCAACACCCCGTCCAAGATCCAAGTTGCAACCGAGCTCCTGCGCCAGCTCGATCAATGGTACGAATGCCTCCCACACCTCGTCCGATACCATGAAGACGGCCAAGAAACCCAAGCACAAATTCCCCAGGAGGAGCTACCATATATGCCCCGCGTACGGTGCCTGGAGATCAGAGCCCTGGTCTGCCGCCCTTTTCTATTTTACATGGTCCACAGCGTACCGGCGGCGGATGATCACGCCCACGACCCCGACCCCGACCAGCGGTCAGTTTTACGGCTCTTCATATCCCAGGCACTTTATTGCAGCAGGCAACTTATTGAATCGATATCGCTTCGGCATCGCCATCATGGAACGTGGTATACTCTGCGCTTGAGCACGATCTGCGCCCTGTCCATATATGCAGCGGCGAAGAGAAACTTGGCACCAGATGGATGGGAGACATCTGTTCGGCTCACTATAAACACCTTGCAGTACTGGGAGAACGAAGCCCCAAGGGATATCAGAAAGGCGCGAGAAATTTTGCAGGACTTGCTTTCGGGAGTAAGCAAAGACTGAAAGCTAGAAATACATAAAGATAATACACACGCGCGAGATTGAGTTTGCTTTGGAGATATATATATATGTATACCTGGGTTGAGATCTGCATGCCCCCCTCTCAGACTGAATTGTCGACCACTAGCAATCTAGGGCGAAATATGGGGCGAACAAAAGGACAAACAAAATACTTTGTTAGCAACACTAGAGAGAATGGATGCCTATTAGACATCCTGAAAACCAAGCAAAATAGGTGCCTGTTGCAGTTAGATTGAGAGAAAACAACAAAAAAGAAAGCCCAACGCGGGGCTCGAACCCGCAGCCTTGAGATTAAGAGTCTCACGCTCTACCGATTGAGCTAGCCGGGCTAGTTCATGACAAACATTAAATATTATGTCTATATAAGCTAGAAACTCCGAGAGGTTCTGATTCCATATATATGGTGGGATCGGATGAGCCGCGTTACATGTGCTGCACGAATCACAGAACATTATTTCTTTTCAACGCCTGGATGAATAATGTCATCTGCGCCTGAGAGAGGAATCAAGTATTTCTTAGATGTCATGGGTTTTATTGATAGCGCGTTTCATCATATTGGCTTAGAAAGCTAAAGCGAGCTAAGTGAGCACCTGCTCAATCGAGTGGCTCAGAATGATTCTCGCGTGCATGTTCAGCCGTGTGGAAAGCTCCTCCGCTCGCGATAAGCTCCATCGTCCACGCTATCGACCGGAGCAGTTGTTCCGACCTGTCTGGATAGTGGGCCAGGCAGTTCCGGCTAGGCTTGACAAGCTGGAGTCATCCGACCTGCTGTGAGTCTGTGGTATCGCTTGAGGTGACATCCTGTAAGGAAGAGATCGATCGTCCAAGAAAGCCAAGGATCTTGCTTTTAATTGAGAAAGAGCTCTCAGCCTCTCAGTCAGCCGTCCCAGGTTCTCTGAGAACTGGGAATGTATGTGAGAGGCACGTGTTCGGTGTTAGGCCGGCACTAGTCCCACTCAGGTCGCGAGCTCTGTTCCCACCCTCCAGAGCTCTGACAGAACCGAGACCAGAGGGACTGGGACTTTGACGGTGCAACATTGACAACCCCCGCCACTTGCAGCCAAGTCTATTGTCCTGATCCAAGTTGTAGTTTATTTCTTCAATTCTTCGCACCTCCTCCTCTGCATCTCCTCTCTATTCTTTGCCAATCCCGACCGCCATTTGGTCCCAATTGCCGATCTTGCTGCAACTCTCCGTCTACGGCTTTGATTAGTTCGTCCGACCGGGCGCTGTTCCTGCGCTCTGCTGTAGGTCGTTACGATGAGGTAAGAGGCAGAATTCCTGCGAGTTTTGCCGCCTTGACTTTGCTGATAATAATCGTTGCTCCTTAGGTTTGGCGAGCATCTCCACTCGTCAATGATCAAAGAGTACTACTGGTACTACATCAATTATGACGGTCTGAAAAAAGCCCTCAAGACTGGTTACGTTACCGAGCCTACTCCCGATAATACCAAGCCCGACCGGAAAGCATGGACAGAGGATGATGAGCGCCATTTCGTGACTCTGCTCGAATCCGAGCTCGACAAGGTCTTCAACTTCCAGAAACTCAAGAGCGAAGAGATCGTGCGAAGGATCCAGGAAAGCGACAAGGATGTTGATAATGTTGTATCCCGCTTAAACAGCAGCATAGATGCGCGAGGAACGGGCCGTTCGAGCCGAGGTCCTCCGTCGGACGAGGAGTTTCTTATGCTGGAGCAGGTTTTGAGTGATATCATCGCCGATGTCCACGATCTTGCAAAATTCACTCAGTTGAACTATACAGGGTTCCAAAAGATCATCAAGAAGCACGATGTATGCACCTCGTACACCTTCGTGACTTGTACCCAGTTGCGTGGTGGGGGAGTTGACAAGCTAACAACTGAATACAGAAAGAAACCCAATGGTACCTCAAGCCCGTCTTTGCTGCCCGATTAAACGCCAAGCCTTTCTTCAAAGACAACTACGATGCATTCGTAGTTAAGCTATCCAAGCTATATGACCTGGTTCGAACCAAAGGAAATCCCATCACAGGAGACTCTGCGGCTGGCGGCTCCCAACAAAATTTCGTTCGCCAAACTACCAAATACTGGGTACACCCTGATAACATCACGGAGCTGAAGTTGATTATCCTCAAGGTATGCTGCTTTCTTTCTTCATGAATGATGTATGCTGACACATCGTAGCATCTTCCTGTCCTTGTCTTTAATCCGAGCAAAGAGTTTGAGGAAGAAGACACTGCTATTTCGTCTATTTATTATGACAACCCAGAAACCTGGGAACTTTACCAAGGGCGTCTCAAGAAAACGGAGGGAGCCGAGGCTATTCGACTACGGTGGTATGGCGGCATGGGCAGTGACCAAATTTTCGTCGAGCGGAAAACTCATCGTGAGGACTGGACTGGAGAGAAGTCGGTCAAGGCACGTTTCTCGATTAAGGAGAAGAACGTGAATGACTATCTCTCTGGCAAGCTGACGGTGGATAAAATATTCGAGAAGATGCGGAAGGATAAGAAAAAGAGCGAGGCTGAAATCGCTGATTACGAACAGTTGGCCCGGGAGATCCAGTATCGTGTCATCACACGTAGGCTGGTTCCGGTCACCAGAACCTTTTACCACCGAACTGCCTTTCAACTTCCCGGAGACGCTAGAGTTCGTATCTCGCTCGACACAGAGCTGACTATGACTCGAGAGGATAACCTTGATGGACGCCGGAGAGCAGGCAACAACTGGCGTAGGATGGATATCGGGGTTGATTGGCCATTTTCCCAATTGCCCCCCGAGGACGTTGAACGCTTCCCTTATGCGGTTTTGGAAGTTAAGCTTCAGACACAAGCGGGTCAGGAACCGCCGAAGTGGATTCGAGATTTAACGGCAAGCCATCTGGTGGAAGCAGTGCCGAAATACAGTAAATTTATTCATGGAACTGCATCCATGTTCCCCGAAAGGATCCACCTGCTGCCATTCTGGATGCCGCAAATGGATGTTGACATCCGTAAACCCGCGTCGCGCCACTTTGGTATTCAGCGCCCGCTGACAAGCACCTCTTTGTCCGCGAACGAGACTCCAGAAGATGACGAAGAGTCAGATGAGGATATGCTCGACGAAGAGCAAGAAGCCAGAAATGGAAGGCCACGGGATCGTTCCAACCGTGCAGTCCATGGCGCAGAAGAACACCCCGCGCTCTTCGCGGATACTGACGGTAATGCACTAGATATTGAGGAACGCATTGCTGCCCAGCCTCTGCCCGGGGACGAAGATTATCCGCTTTACGACTCCGATGAAGAATCTGTCGACTCCGACGAGCTGGAAGAAGCCCGACGAGTTGGCGGTAGATATTACTATGAGCAGCTGGCCAAGTATTATACCCACAGGGTTACGACTGGGACGGTCAACTTGCTCAAAGCGCTCATCCCCAGGCCGATGCCGACAAGCATGCCTGAACCTCAACAAAACGGTATTGCTGTCATTGGAAATAGGCGAACCATTAAGAGGTTCGAGGCCCCCAAAGGAAAACGTAAGTGTATCAGATGCCCCCTTTTACAAGTTGGATAATTCTGACATATCTTAGGTATCCATGTGCCCATCCGCGTTGAGCCCAAAGTCTACTTTGCTGCTGAGAGAACGTTCCTCTCGTGGTTGGAGTTCTCTATCCTGCTGGGAACCATTGCCGCTACCCTCCTGAACTTCGGTGACGACTACATTACATTCGCGTGCTCATGGGCATTCACTGTCCTTGCTGCTATTGCCCTTGTTTACAGTCTCATGCTGTACATTTGGCGAGTCGACAAGATCCGCAAGCGGCGAGATGTAAAGCGCGTTTACTACGAGAAATGGGGCCCGACGGTTGTGGGTCTTGGTTTGGTTGTGATCATGTTGGTTAACTTCGGACTGCGGGTTCGGCAAGCTGGGTTTACAAGAAAGGATGGTAACCCTGGCGCTCCTATACCTGGCCGTGATGATTTGTGATGTTCATCGTATATTTGTAAATGTGGTATATGCTGTTAGAGAGGCGTTTTGCTTCCCCATTTCTTGTTTATCTTTCTTTATTCTGTGGGTGAGTTGTATAACACTGCATATAGTTATATAGTGCTTACAGGAACGATGAGCATGACTGTCAATGAATTCTGTTTAAACACAGCTCCTGAAAAAAAGTGCCCTTTCCGAATAGTTACAAGATACTTCTCACTAAATGTACAGTCACAATAGACGCCTGGACATACCCTAAACAAATATTTCAACCGAGCTGGATAACAAGGAAGACCACAACATGTCTATACCTCAAAATGAAAAGCCATAGCTGGGGGGATAAGAAAATTTAGTACTCAAAGTCATCATCTACTCCCTTGCCTGAGCTCTCCTTCGTCACAGCTTCTTGTTTTCTATACATCTCCGCGACAGCTTTGGTGGTAGTCGCTTGCTCGGGCTTCTTGTCATCCCTCGACTTAATGAATCTGGGGAACCGCAAGGATACGCCCTTCCCACTACCACCTGTTGTGCCAACGAACTCGTCCGCTGCAGCCTTGTACCGGGGACTAAGGGTTAGATCTGCGGTTTTGACTTCCCAGACGAGACGGGGCTCGAACCAGACGTCTGGTTGGTCTTTGGGTACCGTGGAATGTAAGTAGAAGGGTTTGGCGCGGTCGATTGTCAGTGGGGAGAGGGTTTCGTGGAGCTCTTCGAGGACGGTTTCGGAGAAGCCAGTGCCGATGTTGCAAATTGATTCGTATACTTGGGTGTTAGGATTGTAGGCGGCTAGGAGGAAGGCGCCGTAGACGGATGTGCGTTTTCCGCGGCCGTAGTAGGCACCGAGGACGACGAGGTCGAGAGAGTCGCCGACCCCCGCGAGGTAGTCCTTTTTTACCTGAGGGGGAACTGTTAGTTTCTTTTACTTTGAGCCTTGGGTGTTATCAGGAAGCGTACCTTGAGCCAGTTTCGGCTTCGTTTGCTTGGCTCGTAGCCGCTCTCTTCTGTATCAAGCATTTTTACCATCAAACCTTCACAAGAGGCTTTGACACTCTCGTCGAGGAGGTTTTGGATTTGATCTAGGTCGTTCGTGTTTCCGTATTGGGCGAATTGGAATTCGCCTTCGGTCAATTGGAATGACTCATGTAGGAGCTCACGGCGCTCTCGTAGTGACTTCTTCACCGTCGGCTATTCTGTGTAAGTATTATGAATTAAGAGTAATAGTGTGGACGGTTGACATACCTCTCCATCTAGGAAAAGGAGATCAAATGCAAACACACAAACTTTGACCTTGACGTCTTCTGCTTTGACGTCTTTCCTCTTTCGAGTCATTAGCTGTTGGAAAGGGAGAACCTTCTTGGTCTCCACATCCCAGGCGACTGTCTCGCAGTCCAACACAAAGCTCTTCACACCGGGCTTAATCCATGTGCTGAGCTTAGCCAGGACATCGGGATATTTCTTCGATAGGTCCTCGGAGTTACGAGAGAAGATAGAGGAAAGCCCAGCGCTGTCTCCCTTCAATGTGAGTTCGGCACCGGGGAAGTTCTTCGTTTGATCAGGCGCAACATAATGGATCTGAGCTCTCTCGCCGTCGTATTTATACTCGCATGTGAATTCTTTGCCTTCAAATCGATCTAGAACTTCGGTGATGGACTTAGTTGGTTTAGCAAGCATAGGTTTGATCGGGATTCCTGGTTGCAGCTTGCAGTGTTCATGCAGGTTGGACAGCCCATGCTCGAGCATGGCGGGAACTATTACTTCGTAGGCAGGTAATTCGCTGTACACCGTTTTCAGAATTGCTTCACCCTCGGCCAGTTTATCAGCGGATGGGGCTTTCTCGCCCTTTAAGGCAGACTCGTGAGCAACAACAGCCTGAGCAAGGGCAACGAGTACCGTCTTTTCTGCTAATCCGAGTCGTAACTTGCCTTCCAGGAACCGCACGATATATTTGGCTTCGCTTGGACCGCCCTTATCTTTGTTAATGTCGATTCCCTTGCTTCCTTTCCCTGTAGTCGCTGTGTCTGCAGCAGATAGCAGCTTTTTGATCCCGGATATTTTCTTGTCCTGGGAGCCGTGGCCTTGAACCTTTGCAATACCGAGTAGCCCTTCATGAACCCCTCGTACCGTCAACGCCTTTGGTTTGAACATTGTGGGCTGATTTGATCTGCTCTTGGCTGCAACCAACCCTAGGTCTCCTATTTCATGCTGATCCGCCTTGATAACAGCCAGGCTACGGCCTGTGCTCTCACCAATAGCCTTCATGATCAGAGACTCACCGATTCCTAACTCGATTCCAGCATAGTCTGCGGCAAGTTTGTTGATCATGAGTTGCACTGTGGGAAGGAAATCTCGGGGAGTTAGACGAAGGACTTGTCGGAGGAAAAGCGAGCAGTGGGCAAGGATTTGAAGTCGTTTCGTCGTCATTTCGATCAGAGAGAATGTTGTGCATAATGCAGCGTATGGGACCGGTTCACCTGCTTTCCAATCAGGGTATGGATCGTTCCCGCTTCCTTTTAGAGTGGCTTGGACCTTCTCAATCTCTTTCTTCTTCAGCTCGGGCTTCTCTTCCGCCTCATCCTCACTGGCAGACAGTCCTACCTCGGCCTCCGAGACATCAGGGTCCTCTGGAATTGCCTCTCCAGACGCCGTTTCAACAACTTTTGGTGTAGGAGCTGGTTTGGCCACTTTGCGCTCTTTCGAGCCCTTGGGAGCTGGTTTGGACTCTGCTTTAGCCGCGCTGGGTTTGTCTGACGTGGTCCGCCGTCTCTTATGATTAGGCTGTACATCATCGCTCTCTTCGCTATCGCTTGATTCCTCGCTCTTGTGTCTTTTATGGGAACTCTGGTTCGCACCCTCGCCATCCTGGGCCACCTCCTCAGGCTTCGCCTCAGAATCCTCTGTCATATTGACATCCTTGTCACTTGTCCCATTTTGAACCTCAGGTGAGGTATCCTTCTTCGGGTTGCTGGTGGATGAACCTGGCTTGTTTCGATTGCCGCCAAAACTAAGCGTTGTCTGCTTTTTGGGTGCGTCGGAATTTGACCCAAAAAACTTCCTGTATGTGCAAGTAAGTACGTTGAAAGGAGATAGAGAAACATAGTAGGTTCAGGATATAGTCTTGCAAGTCGCACCCGAGTGTCAATTGGGAAGCTTTAACGTACCCCAGTGTTGCCTGCTTCCCTTCCTTGGGATCGGGCATTTTCGAAGTGAGGGGTCGAAATGAATTAAAGGTAGGATTGATACGTTTAATTGGGCGCCGTAAGTAATGAGAACTACTTCGTAACTGTATGCCCTGGAGAGGAGAGGCGACACAGAGATTAGGGCAAGCACACAGAGCAGCAATTGAAGCTTTGTTGCGAATTGGGGTTTGGATCATGGACAAGTCGGCAATGGCAACTGCGAAATGACGAAGGAGAAGCATGAAACGGTCACGAAGTCTGACTCTGCAGGTTAAATACAGCGGCGCAAGCAGGCATGCTGGGGTTTGAGAATTGAGAATGGGATGACTGCCTGCCAGGCTGGAGTAGGCGGCAGACGCCTTGTCAACGCGACGAAACGCGAGCCTCCTCCCAATCACGTGTGCCATTATCGATAAGAATACGAGACAAATAGAGCAAACAGGAACTCACCGCCATATAAATATGGCAGAAAATGCGGGCGAAGGCGGAGAGCCAATGAGATGGCATGGATCATGGGCCAAGTTCTCATTTATCCATTCACTTCTGTCATCAAAACCTGTGTAGCTTACAGCTACTCTACTGAGCCTTGTGTGGTGGAATTTCGATACTTTATTGTTTTTGACCAAATGGACAGGGACCGGCTGCTTCATCCTTGCCGCACCGCACACCCATAGGCCAAATGGATAGCTCCAGACAGGAAGCTTTTAGAAAGGTATTTTTCGTTTAATCTGCATGTCTTGTAGGTCAGCAGGCTGATTCGAATATAAGCTCCGCGAACCATGTGTCGAATTAAGTTCTATTGGTCTGAAATTTCGTGGGCACCAAGCTAGCCCCAATGATGTCCTCAAGACACTTCGCTCAGTGTACAATGTTTTGGATGAACTCGCTGGCAAGCATGCTTTGGATGAAAAGCTAGCCGAATATGCGTTCTTCCCATTGGCACACATTTTCAATGAATCCAAGAGGACGCCGGTTAATGTTCTGGAGCTGGCAGTAAACTGCCTCCGGTTACTCGTTAAGGAGGGATGGAAGGCACGACTGTCTCCCCAGATGGGGAAGCAGTTGGTCATTTTACTGACATTGATTGCGGGTGGCGCACCGGGAAGTACAAATGGAGACAAGTCTGCAAAATCCTCTATCGAACTGGAAATCGCGGCATTTGACTGCCTCTTTGCCATATTTGATGTGCTGTCTGGGCCCGTAGCGGAGCAGACGATTTACCATGAGATTGGCACTGCTACGGTTGTTGATCAGACAGTGTATCTTTTGCTTGAAGGGATTGGGAGTGATAAATCCGATGAGCTTTGTATTTCTGCCGCAAAGGCGCTCCAAGCACTCTATCGGCGCGTTACTGATCGTGTTGTGCTCGCGAGTATAATGCCCCGGACCGTCTCGGCGCTAGCAAAAGTGCTGAAACCGACAACTCAAACTAGGCGATCATATAAAATGATTACTATATGCTTAAATATACTCGCCGATATGTTGAAAGCGGTTCTCAACGACCAAGCTAACGCACAATTACCGGCAAAGACCACTCAGCCCAAGCAGGCTGATGAAAGATTAGTGCTTGACGAGTCTTGGTTGAAGGCTACAACTACACAAATCAAACTCGCTTTGACCCAAGTCATACAACTAAGGCGTCATGGCCGGGAGGAGGTTCAAGAGGGACTATTGGGCCTGTGCATTATGGTTGTAGAGGACTGCCGGACCACGTTGCAGGATTCAATACCCGTGCTCGTTGAAACCATCATTGTTCTATCGGATTTAGACGAAGAGCAGACACCAAATAACGCATATTCGTCACTAAAACATCTGGCTACTACCTATCCCGTGGTGCTGGATAGTCTCAAAGAATCCCTGCACACCTGGCTTACCGCATTTCCGCGGACAATGCAGAGCAATGACGAAACAGCCAAACAATGGGCCATAAAGCAAATTACCACTGCTTTCCAGGCTCTATCTGAAATCCAGTCTGGGTCTGATCTACTTACCAATAACTTGACAACCGGACTATGTGACAGCGTTGCTGTCATCGTCAATCATGCGACCAGTGCGCTTCAGCCACTCAATCCAGAGCCGACAAACCAAACGGTAGAGGTTCTTGGCCCTGAAAAAGAGTCTTCTATGTTCTCACCGGTCCTGTTAGACCATAGAAGCCAACAGCAGACTCTGAAAGACCTTCAGAGCATGATTGCGAGGCTCAACCTCTCTAGCTCTGCTAGTGACATCACACGGTTGATTGTCAACCGTATCAATCATGAGCAGGGAAACTCAACCATCGCGCCGTTATGGCTCGCGACAACTTTCCTCAAGAATACACCGCAGTTTATGAGCGGCTTTGATGAATTCATTTCAATAGATCACCTCGAGCCCGCACGTCCCCATTCGACTAGGGCTAATATGATTGAAGAGCTATATTACATATCATTGCCAATTCTGAACGAGCCAATATCTGCTAGCACCGGCGATTGGCGAGTGCAAGCGCTTACCCTAGAAGTTGTTGCCCTTCAAGCCGAGGAGCTGAAGGAAGCTTTCCGGCCTGAACTCATGGATGCATTGTATCCGGTTTTGCAACTCCTCGCATCTACAAATCAAGCCCTTCAAAAGCATGCAATGGTTTGCCTCAATATTCTCACTCGAGCCTGTGGCTACCCTGATACCAGCACCATGGTTGTCGAAAACGTCGACTACCTGGTGAACTCCGTGGCTCTGAAATTGAATACTTTCGATGTATCACCCTACCCTCCCCAAGTTCTCTTGATGATGGTGAAATTATGCGGTGCGCGACTCATTCCTTACCTGGATGACCTAGTGGACTCTATTTTTGGAATCTTAGATCTCTACCACGGATACCCAAGACTCGTCGAGTTGATGTTTAAAACCCTGGCTGCAATTGTGGATGAAGGCACGAGGAACCCATCGATTCTCGCTCTTGAAGATGGTAGTACTGAAAACGCTCGTGACCATCTCAAAAGAAAGTATCGGGAGTTAAGCATTGCTACTCTTGCCAAAGACATTGCCAATCAGAAAGCCAAAAGATTTGAACATGTCGAGTCCAGAGCAGCTGACAGTGGAGGGTTGACTCATCCAACCCGACCTTGGAGCGAAGAGCGCGAAGGCGCCAAAGCGAATGCCGCTGAGGGCGATTCTCTGTCAGATATACTGAACAAAGCTGAATCAGATGAGCCGCTGCCACCACCTCGTGAGCCTGATGATGCCGAGAAACCTTTGAGCAAAACGCACTCGCTTCTCCTTCACATAGTCAAGTCCTTGCCCGCACACCTCTCTTCACCGTCGCCATACCTTCGTCGGTCGTTACTTTCCATACTTATAGACATCATTCCCGTCCTCGCTGCGCATGAAAATAGCCTCCTACCACTTATCAACGATCTATGGCCGGCTGTCGTTTCAAGAATTAGTTTCCCTTCTTCCTTGAGCGCGCAGTCGGCTTCAACCGCACTAATAGGGGGCGACACACCCGGCAACGATAACTCACAAGACCGCCCAAAGCAGGGAACTGATGATCTTGACTTCAGGGAGGAGATATTTGTAACAACAACAGCCTGCAAAACTATAGAAACCATGTTCAAATCAGCCGGCGATTTTATGGCATCCCGAGTCGAAACGGAATTCCCACGTTGGGAGCGCCTATACAATCGTGCCTGGGAAAAAGTACGCCAGGATACAGACAAAGTAATCGACCGGCAAACCCAACAGTTGCTTAAAAACGCCGAGGCTGATGATCAGCCGATTGTGCCCGCTGCCACAACGCAAACACCACCTCTGGGCTTCATCAAGTCTCTGTCTCTTACCAAGGCTGGGTCAGTTTCTGGCTCTCGCGCGTTTACGCCCCATCATTCGCTCTGGCGAGCCATGGTCTCGCTATTTTTAACCCTGATCTCCCATGTGCGTCTCCCATTATCCGTGGGTGATCGAATCTGCCACCTCCTTGGGGAATGGATAGCTCGATATGCAGGACCAGCATACTATTTCTCTCGCCCAGCACGGTTCCCTGAGGATAACAAGTCCGCGACTCAATCGGAAGAAACGGAGGCCGACTCTATTGAAAAGGTCATCCAGGCCATGGAAACCTGGAATGCAGACTTGACTTGGTTCATCTTCCAACAGCAGATCGCCCAATTTCAAGCCAATTTAAAGGTTAAGAAGAAGGGTTCAATAGTAAATGGGCCTTCAGATAGTTCTACTGGAGCATTTAGATCGGTGGGTTTTGCCGGCGGCCAACTGAAATTTGCGGAGATGGTCTTCTGGCATAGATAGGACAATGTTATGGTATTACATTCCAGTCGTCCGAACCCCTTGACAGAATGACAGTATACTCTGCTATTTTGGTGACGTAATGGTGTTTACCTACGGAGTACCAACTGGATGTGGAGTGAAAACTAGTACATTGCCTTTCGAAAGGCGAGTCTACGTAGTTGTAAAGTCGTTGCTTGAAGTTAAGGAAGGCCAGGTCATTGTTAAGGTAAAGAGCAGAGATTGCTATTCAGGGCTAAAATTACGACCAAAAAGGTCACTCTGTTCAGCTAGGTAGCTCTGGAATAGACAAAACAACAATTCAAATCTGGCAGTCTGGGCGAACAAGCTTAAACGAGTGACAGAAGTTGGAAACTAAAGAAGTCGCAGTACCAAAACCTAAAGTTCCTTGAGCAATGGGAATTTCTGCGGGTTCGATGATCTACTCATCGTCCTCGCTCTCTTCCTCACTCTCGGCGCTCTCGAGCCATTGGAGGAAAGGCTCGGCAGCCTTGCGAACCTTCTTGCTGGTCTGAATGTCCACGTACTTCTTGCTGGCTTTCGAGCACCAGGCCTTGAGGGTTTCCTCCGAAATGAGATCATTCTGGTAATAGCCGAGCAGGATGGCTGGAACCTTGGAAATAAGCTCAGGGTGTTCCTTGCCTACGAAGCGCTCGGTACCGCCAAGGAAGGCCTTCTCGTGGCGTTCAGAAGTGATCAGCTTCTTAAGCATAAGTGAGCGGTCTTCAATTTGCTTGGCAATATTCTCATCGAATATGGTCTGGGCAAGAACGGCCAGGGTCCTGTGCTTGGACTCGATGCCGAGCTCCTTGGCCTTCAAGTAGATTTCCACATCCTCGACCTTCGAGACCCCACCCTTCTCACCAGAAGTGCTGATAATCCAGCCGCCCAGTTCATCGTAAACTGAAGGGCCTTCGGCGCCCTCGTCGTCTCCATCGTCAAGGGCAAGAGCACGCTTCAGGTCGTCCGGAAGTTCCTTGGCACGAGCCTTCACGGCTTCTTCCGAGACGTCGACAGCCCAATTGTCGTCCTCAACTCCGTCATCAGCTTCAATATCCTGGGCAGCACGAGTAAGCTCATCATCGCTGTGGGCTTCCAGAGCAAAATCGCCATTCTCATCGCCGTTATCCGAGTTGCTGTCACCTGGGCTACCATTCTCTCCGTTGGCTGCAGAGTCCTTCTCCTTGTTCCGTTCACGGCGAGCCTTTTTGGCAGCCTTGTCCTTTTTCCCTCCCTTGCCTGAGGTGTTGTTTCGGACAATGAAGGTGCTTAGCTTGAGGCGGGGATCGACGTCCGAGCGCTGTCCACAAGCCTTGCAGTCCAAAATGATTTTCTCGTCCTTGATGATGACATCGGTTTCGGGGTTCTTGCATTTCTTGCAGAGAACGAACTTGGAAATGAATCCGTCAAGATAGTCTTGGAGTTTTCTGGCATCATGGGCACCGTTGATAATCCAGCGGTCATCAGTGGGCTTAGCATTGGCTTGGGCACCAAGTTCAAACCCAAAGTACTTGATGACGTAGGCAGGAGGACGGCTCAAAGACTGGGCAACCGAGTTCAGGTTGACGACCACAGTCTTAATACCGTTTCCCTTGCCTTCAATTTTAGAATGCAAGGGCTCCATCTTGTAACGGTAGAAAGGGTCGGTGACATCACGACGAATGTTGATGTTACTGGGAGCCATGGTGACGGTTGTAGACGGAATATATTTTTGATTTTTCAGACGGACTCAGAAAGTTGGCGGACAAGATAAGAAGTGGAGGGAACCAGGACGGAGGATATCTTCAAGAAACAAGACATACGCCGCGAGTCACTCGAAATTTTGTTGGTGGTGAAATGGTGGCGGTTTTCTAGGCAGAACGACTAGAATAGCGAAGAAGGCGGCCCTTTATGGTGTTTCAGCCACAAGACTTTGAGTAGAAACTACAAGGTTTCGATATAGAGCGAAACGTATGCAGCTTGAGCGGCAGGTGGTGGTCGAAATCTCTGACGCAGGACGAATACATAGACAACTTCTCGGTATCTTCTTTCTGTGGCTTTCTCTGGCGGGGAGAGAGACAAACCAACGTGTGGTTCTGCTGGAAAAAAGCGAAGTAGGCGAACGGTCAGACTCTTGGTGACGCTTGGTTGACGATAGAGAGCTGACAGGCGAACTGTGCAGTACTAACCAGAGTATTTTTGGGTTGAAAAACCTTTGAACGCAAATTCGACAGCTTCAGCAGCGAAGTTTGACAATGGAGCAGAGTCCAAAGCTGATGGCAATAGATGAAACTGTTATGTGAAGTTGAAAGTGGTGGTGAGAAGAGAGAAGAAAAAGAGAGAGGGAGAAAGAAAGCCAGGATCAAGAAAAGGAACCGACCGTTTTGCCAAGCACCAGTCTTTCCTTCTTAGTCAGGATTAAAAAAAAAGCAAAAGACCCCACGCTGTTGAGCTAGGCAGCAAGGCAGCGACCCGGGAGTATCGGACTCGGGACTGTCCATTGTCCCCGAGCAAACTCCGTTCGGTCTATCACGTGCGTTGGATACACAACTGCTGGAAGCCTTATTTATCAGGCCACAAGCTCTGTATCTTCCCCGCATGTCCCCGCGCGTCTTCTCCGAAATAATCCGTCCTCGGTGCCTTTTTTGACTCTTCCCCTTTCCAACAATCTGCCCATCGAACAGCTATTCTATATAACCACGCCCACCATACACAATGGCAGCCGTTTCTAGAGCCTGTCGCATCCGTACGCTCCCAATCCGATCAATCGATGAATAACAGGTCCCCCACTAACCGCGAAACATCCCCAGGCAACCCAGCGGTCTTGTACGCCACCGCACATATATATTTTACTATTATTATATTATTCACAGTACTAACAAAACATCGATTCACAGTATTTGCGACATGCAGGAAAAGTTCGAAAAAGCGATATTCGAATTCCCAAAAATGTGCGCCGCTGCCCCGCCACCCCACCACCCTTGACCGGGACAATCGAAATACCTACTAACCGACCTAACCAAACCCTACAGCGTAACAACAACGACCAAACTCCTTCGCGCAACAAACACGCTCAACATCCCCACGTACATCACGACCCAGAATCGCGCGCGCCTTGGCCCCACGGTCCCCAAGTTGCAAGAGCACCTCCAGGGCCCCAATGTGCGCGCCGACGTCGACAAGACCTTATTCTCGATGATCACGCCGGAAATTGAGAAGTTGCTTCCGGTTCCCAATAAGGGCGAGGCGCCAATTGATGCGATCATCGTGGGAATTGAAACGCATATCTGTGTGACGCAGACAACATTGGACCTGTTGGAGAAGGGCCATCGCGTTTATATCCTTGTTGATGGAGTGAGCAGTGTTAATCCCGAGGAGAGAGGCATTGCGCTGGCGAGGCTTCGGGATGCGGGAGCGATTGTGACGACGAGCGAGAGTCTTTTGTTTGAGATTTTGGCGGATGCAGGCGACAAGAATTTCAAGATGATCACGGGGCTTGTGAAAGAGACGAAGGAAGAGACTAAGGAAGCATTGGAAAAGCTTTCAAAGATCTAAGATTGGAGTTATAAGTGACGCGTGTCTTGTCAAGGGTGTATTGCTACATTAAGAAGCCTGCTACCATATAGTATGAAAACGTAATGTAATTACATAGACAGAGCGTCTTCATCCAAAAAACTTTTGTCCGTAGCCGAGATTTATTCAATGATAAGTCGTTGCGGATGTTAATTCGTCACAAAGAAAGAACCACGCCTTGATATATTTCAATCAAGGTATGCCTGGGCTCCGCTGGGAAACTCAGGACGAATTAAGCCACGGGAAGGCCGAAGCACCTCCAATCGGATTGGGAGTGAGTGGCTTCCCCGTTCGACTATCATCGGGCGACGTTACTGATGACGAAGGACCTATAGCCTCATTGCTGAAGCTACCAGGGGCTGTAGCCGAGACAGACCGATTTGATGGTTTGGACGGCCGTAGCACCTTCATCGTACGCGGTCGAGAGGGTTTCCCCGCTCCAGGAGCATTCGGATCAGTTTTTGAGTCGCGCTTCCACGAGCCCCATACCCCAGCTGGCTCCACCTTTGGGGCACCACTTGCTTGCGTATCAACTGATACAGAGGCCTTAGCCGGCGCCCGTTGCCCACCGTTTTCCTTGCCATGCTCTAAATCATCCGAAGACCGCGCGACTTGACGGACCCTAATTTCGTCGCCAAAATCTCGACCTGACGGAGGCGCTGAGGGAACCTGTTGAGAAAACTGAATGGGTTTCCCGATGACACCAACAACAGAGGGATTATCAATATCAGTACGATCGCCTTTCAACTCGAGGGACGTTCGGGATATGTCTCCCGAGCTCATGTCTCTTGAAGTCGTATGTAGACTCTTAAAGACAGAGTCACTTTCGGGTCGTACAAGAGGGATAGAAACCTTGTTCCTATCATCATCAATCATGATTATCTTGTCCTGCGAGAACAGAATGTCGGCGTTATGGGCACGGAGTATATCACTACCAAGAATGATCTGCGCCGAGCTGTCACCGGGGTCGACATGGTGAACTAGAAAGCGGATTGTCAATGTGGGAACTTGGGGCGTAGGGCTACTGGAGCGCGATGACGCCTGGTGCACGCTAGCTTCGGGAAGGTACACTGGAAGCTTGATATACTGAGAGTCCACTTCCTGCACCAGCTGGTCTTCAAGACCTAACTTTTGAACCATGGGGAAGCCCAGCCAAGACTTGTACGACCCACTGCAAACCGCCGCATAAAGAAGTGAATCGTTAGAGAAATTTGTGGTCATCCAACATCGAATAATCGCTGGGACGGGCCCTAAGAGGAATAGGCCTGGTGGAGGAATGAGAGGCGAATCACTCATTACCGAACTCATCATCCTGCTACTCGTTTCTAACCCCAAGCTGTTGGTCCGAGCAGAGTGATGGGAATGTCCCGACGAGCTTTGCCTCCCATCTGACCGATGTGATAGAGATCGCTCACTTAGAGGAAGGCTCCCCATTCCGCTTCCGGTCCGTATTGGAAGCTCGCTACTAGACCTATTGGCTTGCCCATAATACCCGTGGATGGCACTTTCGTCAAACCGAACACTATTTGCCCTTGACGCTCCCCGTCTTGGTTCATCTTCAGTATCCAAGCCCATGGCACCCATGCCGTGATGTTGCCCTTGATCGAAGCCCTTGAAAGTATCGGCAGTGGATTGGAAAACGGGTTCTGTAGCAACAAGGTATATGATTAGCACAAGTTCATAAAAAAAGAAGATCAACAAGCGACCATACCTGTGGGTACTGTACCGCCTACAGAGTTCGGAAAAGGTGATAAAGGGCCCCAGACACTTTTCAACCTTGCATCCTCGTCCCTTCGGCGTTCAAGTCTCGCAATCCGTTCCGCCTGCTCAAATTGTGTGGCGTGGAGATCTTTCAACTCCTCAAGAACGCGCCAAATATCGTCGCGTGAAGCAAAAGGATACTGCGCATCCATTATCCGGGTTGAAGCGGAGAAATGGAGAAGAGTAAGAAGCAGGTTTGGAGGGGAGGGCGAATCACTCGAAGACGTTGAGCAAAGAGTGGCCTGAGAAAGTCTCACCCAATATGTTGAGAAGAAGACATACACACCAAAAGTCAATCCCAGCAAGCACCACTGTTGTTGTCGACACCAAGCACCTTTGCGTCCGACCCTCACTTCTAGCCAGGCCACGTTACCGCTGAAACTCCTCCACCCTCGTACACTGTGAGACGGCCCAACGGCCGTCCACCCGAAATACTATAGACAGGTATGTGGTAGTTTTCTCACGATATTAACTTATCGGCAATGAAAATGCGAGGATATTATAGTAACGATGCTGAATTGGAAAACGGTATATCGAAACGAGGAAAGGTTTGGAATGTTCAACGAAGGGTATGCGAAGGCGAGGACGAAGGGTGACGGTGTCGGTCTCTCGGAGCGGAGAAGCGGGTCTAGCGTAGGTATACAAGCGTCCAGTTCAAGAGCAGCGAACTGCGGACAGTAGTACTCGAATGTGAGAATAGGAAAATGGTTTCTGGGGTCCGGAGTATTTCCGGACACTGAAACTGGACACGGGCTGGAACGAAGAGGCTGCTCTTCCGTCGGTTTCGAAGGGAGGGGGCAAGAGCGAATTTGTTCCGCGGGGAGTTGATTGAAATTCGAGAGGAGGTAAGTGCTAGCGGCCTATAGATTAAAGCAATGATTTAAGAGCGAGAATTTAAAGAAAAAAAGGCGGATATTTGAGAAGTTAGAAGAAGGGACAAGAGACCACAAGGAGTGGATGTTGGACAAGAAATCGTGAGGGGATCGTAACATCGACACTGCATCACAGCCTTGGCGGAAGCAATCCGATTCTAGACCGCTTTTGAATTCTATCTTTAACTCGGAGATATTCCTCTTTCCATTCACAATCTCTAAATACTTCTATCCCAGTTTTAGCTAAATGCTATCTGCAGCAGAGCTTCCCCAGCAGCCACCCGATCAGTTCGGAGCCTCCATCCACGGCGGGAACACTTGAGGAAGCTTCCCTGGTGCTTGGTCAGGCCAATTTGTTTGAATAGCCTTGATGACCTCGTCGTATACAATACGATAACCATCGGCGGTCAGATGCAACCCTTCACTCGCAAGTTAGTTTCCCGCTACCGTACACTTCACAGGCGCAAGTTGGGAAAGGGGAAACACGAACCATCCGTGAATAAACTTGCGAACTTCGCATCATTCGGTGTTTCCCTAGACCCAATAAGAGGCTGCCCCTCCTTCCAACCGACCGCCGCCATGAAAGCTGCCCATAGGTCAACGACCGGAACATTCAAAGAGTCTCCGACCTCACGGGCAGCCTTTGCATACTCCCTCGCGCGCCTGTTCGTCCGCGTGGGGTGAATGTTGCCTTTGTCCTCATCAAAACCTTGCAGTTGGTATTCATTAATGGGCGTCGGCGCAATAATCAGGATGCGCGGCTTTTGGGCCACCGTTGCAGGGTGTTGAACGATCCCAACCAGGTTCTTCTTGTAGACGTCCAATGGGACATGTTGGTTGTTGTTGGATTCGAGGAGCGATGCATCGTTCGCGCCGAACCAGATTGTCTACAGTAAATGTTAGCTAGCCTGGACACCATTTCTTGTAGGGGGTTCTATCGAGCTCGGTATTACCAGAAACCGAACAGAGGCTGTCTCTGGTTTGGGGAAGAACTTCGGAAACACCTTGACAGCGTGCGCAGTGGTATACCCGCTGCAGATATAACCCAGGAGATTTCGTCAGTGTAACCATTCCGTCATGATCTCGTTTCAAGGTCTCATCATAGTAGAGGACGGAGTTAGTGAACGCACCCGAATCCGCGATTTATTACATCCAAAGTCCTCGAGTAAGCTATCACAGCGTCAGCAAGCCCACGAGCAGACCGTGGGAGAACAACTAACCATCCTGCAACGCGGGATGGAACCCAAACCCTTGCTCCTGATTCGAAGACAGCTGCGTGATCGAGTCTCCGAATAGAATAAACTGGTCGTAGGGCTTGTACAATTGGCCCTCATCGGGGGATGACATGGCGTGGGGTTGCGTCCGTGTTTGTTAAGATTCGGACTCAGAAACAGAGAAGTTTGTTTGTGTGCAGTAGGTGCTCGAGCAGTCTCGGCCTGGAGGAAGAAGATAGTTTATATGAGAATTGGGCCGGTCTATAGGTGGATAAACGTCGCGAGTCTCTCGCGCTAAGACTGACACAAGCTTCCTGTTTGATGTCACCACAGCCTGCTGACACTAGGTATTGACTCCCACTTCGACAGGACACAATTTCTATTTTGCAATTACACTTGGCTGCGTGCAACGCAATTTTAGGGATGATATGAAATAGATACTTTGATCATCAGAAGGAAGCCGGTCAATGATTGAAGTAAATCGGGTTATTCCTCGATTACCCCACTACAGTATTGCTTCGGATAATTTATGTTTATTTCCCCTTATCTCGGTCTCAGCAAGCCCGAGATTCTATCATTCACCCGGATTTCAGTATGGCAATCTAGACAAATTCAATATTGACAACCGGTCTTTGATGCCTATATTCGGGTTGCCATGTCTCGAACAACGACAGCGAAACAGTACTAATATATCTTCGACCACAGCGATTCTGTGCCGTCGTATTAACGCCACTTCGCCCCAAAAACATGAACGGGAATAATAAGCAAAAAGCTAAATATGAACATAAGAGCAGCAGCAACACCCGAGCTCGCAGCAATACCGACATTACTGAACATATCAGGGAACCTAGCGACAAGTTAGCTATTTATATATCCAGATGCACACAATTCTGTGCATGAAAAAAAAAAGGGTTCATACCAAAATGGTCCAATAAACCCCCATATTTGTCGAACGAATGTAACAAACACTCCAACACTGCCAGAGTCTTGGGGGTAGGAATCAACAGCGTATGTGACCATTACCGTCGTGACAAGTTGGTTACCGAACGCTGCGATGGCGGTGCCAACAATCGGTGAAACCTGCCAGTGGCCTTCAGGAGCCTGCTGCGTGCGGACCAAGAACACTATAACCCCAACAATAGCTAGGATAATACCAGGATAGCTAAGCCAGAGACGGAATTCTGGCTCTGGTCTTGTTTGGAGCTTGCGCGTGCGACGATTCATCCAAGCATCAGACATGGAGCCCCCGATTTGCTCGCCGAGGATAGTGCCGATTATGACGCCGAGGAATTGAAGACCGAGTTGTTCTGCATTTAAGCCGAACTTCTCTTGTAAAAGTTGAGGAACTTCCACGGTGATCAGAACACTCCCGAATAAGAAGACCATGGCATATGCGAATGCGGGAATGAAAACTGTCGGGCGGATGACCAGTGTGAGAGGATGGTAGAATTCGCTGAGCTTCAGTGGCGTGGGATCTATTCGACGAAAGGAGAAGTACTGGCTGCGGAAACTTGATGACGAGTTGTCTTGATTACTGCTGATGAAACGGCTTTCGGCACCAAAGAGGATATACAGGATGAACTGTACTCCATTTATTATTGCAAGGACCCAGAATATCCAGCGGTATCCTGCGCGATTTGCGACAAACCCAAAGATCAAAGGACCTGTGACAAGTCAATGTCATCGAGTCATTTGAGACTGCTTGACCAGGAGACCTACCAACTGGGACTCCTAGAGTGACCATCAACGTCCAGATTCCCATATATCGACCTCGTTCCTTTTTGAAGAACGTTTCTGTTACAACAGCACTTCCAATAGCCGCTGCCGGTGAGATGAAAAATGCAGTCAATGCTCTGCATGCTGCCATTGAGGCATAGTCTGGGCTTTTCGCGCAACCAACATTGCAGACTAAACTCAGAATGGTTGACAGCAGGAATATCGGACGACGACCATATCGATTAGACAGCGGCTTCCAGAATAGAGGTGCGCCTCCCAGAATTGCAATCTGGAGAGAAGTGAGGTAGCTAGCTCTCTGAATAGACACCCCGAGGTCGATAGATATGTCTTCATACGCGGGAATAATAGAGGCCGTGAAAGTGGACATGCATGCGTGAAAGGCGACAAGAATGAGGTTTGCAATTTTCTATGAAGAAAGGAACACAGGTTAACAGTCTGCCAAAGATTCAGGGATTATGAACATACCTTCCAGGTCGGCCAGTTGTATGGATCAGCGTGCAGCGCACTTGGAAGAGGATCCAAATCCAAGGTTCCATGACGCCGCAGAAGATATTCGCGATGGGTCTCGGACAGACATGAAGCAGCGCGTTCAGAAGATGAAACCTGGACTTGATTCTCTGGGTCTTCAAGAAATTCGCTGTCATCCTTCTCTGAATTCGGATCATGCTTACTGATAGGAGGTGAACGAGACCGGGGCTTTGCTATTTCGGACGTCATCCTGGGTGACAGTAGGCTGTGGACAGTAAATGGCAGCAGAAGATATTGGAGGAAGGCGAAGAAGATCAAAAACGGTTGATCCGGGGTAAGGGAAGGTCCACCAGCCCCAGATAGAGAAAGGGGGGCGATAGATATACCCAAGTCCATGTGGCGTCAGATACAATAACCATCATGCTAGTACAGATGTAGAAGAGCTAACAAACGCAAAAGAGCCTGCGCAATGTTTTCTCCAAACCGATTAGTTGTCATGTCGCGGCATAGTTCGTGTCGGGGTAATGGATGCTGTGGGAATAGGGGCCACAGGACAACAGAGAGAGATGAAGCAATTGTGGGAATCGTGGAGATAGGTCCCCACAGGACAGTGCATTCAGCTGACAGGGAGACAGGAGTCCGTCAACGCCCATTAATGAACGACAGAGTCTCTGAATGAGCCGAGAACCTTTACTAACGAGACCGGGGTTTGAAGTGTGGAGATGATGTCTTGAATTGTGGGAGGATGAATGTGTCCAGAGGGTGTGAACTATTGCTAAGCTTTGCCAACTGTCCTGCCATAAAGCTTGGAGGAGCTGCCAATGCTATCATAATTGCATTTGTTATAGGTACTGTTATCTCCACGATTCCTCCCACAATCCTCCCCAGCCTAAGTCTGCACCAGCTACTGCTCGGCTGGTAGTACGATGTATATTAAAAGATCTGTCCAGAGTCTAGCCTCGTCCCGCTTGCTCCACGACCTGCATATCCGGTAGCCTGAACTTGTTTAGGCCCCGGTGTCAACGTCGCCGGCTGAGTCGATACGGAAAACTCGTGCTGTAAAGGACTACTTTAAAGAACGCTATAACGCTAAGAAGTAACTTACTTCTTGGTGCTTACATGCAAGTCTAGCACACTGTTGAAAACACCCTACTATAGTAAAATGGTGAAAGCCTGGGCGTAATTTATTCCGTTAAATTTCAATTAATTGCCCACTTATTCTGTCCTTCCAGGCTTTTACAAGATCTGACTGCGGCAGCCTGCTGTTTCGACTCTTCTAAAATAGTTCGGCGGACCTCATGGCATAGCATAACTTGATATAACTTAAGATAAAATGCTGAATAATTATGCAGGTTTACGGGTTTACTTAAGCACGCCGATAGCCGGAGCGACTACCGCCTTCCTGATGCATATTGCCCCTCGTCGAGGCCCATCGTCTCCTCACCACCACTGAGACCCTCGTGACGATAAGAGGTTCTGCATCCGGCGTTCGAGGTGAAGAATGAAAGTCCTCATCACTTGCAAGCTTCTTTCCTAAAGGTTTATGTTTCTTCTATGCACGCCGCTGTTAATCCTCCGAACAAGTTATTGCATCTCCGCAACTCTCGCCCAACTCGCGTGTTATCGCAAACCATGATCTGCAGCTCCTACGTCGTACGACCGGCAGAAGAACTCCAGAAGCTTCATGGCGGTTGAGCCGCATATCACTTCTTGAATTGTGTGATTGATTGACTTATCTGATTTTCTTTACTTGGCATTGTCGATTCCATTCACCCCACGCACCACCTCTTCAACCACTACCCGAAGCAACGACACTTCATGGCGTCGGTTCCTCCAGATCCATCGCCCGACTTGGAGGACGGGTCTATAGCACAAGGCCCCAAACGAACGAACAGCGTCACAGAATCGTCTCGTCCGGGTGGCACCGGCATGGCCGATAGCGCTCATAGAAAATCGATACAGTTCGATATTGGGGGTTCTCCATCGCAGCCTCCTTCCCGCCCTGGTAGCGCGACTGGACGGAAGAACTCGCAACCTGAGGTCCAGGACAAGGAACTAAAAGCCCCTGGGCGAACTTACTCTCCCCCACCACCTCGGTAAGCTTATTAAAACCAAGGTTATACGCCTCTATGCTACATTCTAACAACGTATGTATATCATAGGACGTACGAGCGAGGTGTTTCATTTGACACTTTCGATAACCCCGATGCAGCAGACTTCTCTCTTACCCTTAACTACAAACACAAAGGCTATCAACTTACCCGCCGCAGCCGCACTTTTCTCTGCGGCACTGATCAGAATGATTACTCCGACTTTGCTCTCGAATGGCTTATTGACGAGCTAGTTGACGATGGCGATGAAATTGTCTGTCTTCGGGTCGTCGAAAAAGATTCGAGCATCACGAGCGATGCTGCGGTTGAGGCCGGGAAATATCGCCAGGAGGCTGAAAGGCTTTTCGAGCAGGTAATCCAAAAGAACAGCCAGAATGAAAAGGCGATTAGTCTGGTCTTGGAACTGGCCGTTGGGAAGGTCCAGGAGATCATCCAACGCATGGTAAACTTCCCTTGTCCATATTCGCTTGTGATATGCAACGTATGCTTATTTATTGCAGATCAAAATCTATGAACCCGCAGTTCTGGTTGTTGGTACCAGGGGCAAAAACTTGAGTGGAGTTCAGGGATTGCTCCCTGGTTCAGTCTCGAAGTATTGCTTGCAACGATCACCAATACCTGTGATCGTGGTTCGACCTTCGCCCAAGCGGGAGAAAAAGAAGAAGAAACGCCTGGCTGATCCCAACAGACGCAGCTACAACCACATATTGGAATTGAGTGAACGGCAGGGAAGCCACATATTTTCCGGCCCCTCAAGCCGAAACAGTAGTGTATCGAAACTTCCAGATGAAGAGGCCGCCGTAGCAGCAGCTCTCGGCCTTCCACCGCAGAGTTACACGAACTCACGCACTTCACTTTCTGCCTCTGACAGAAGTAGTGTCAGTCATGATGGACCAATGACACCCATGGCGGATTCCCTTGAAGCTATCAATAAATCGCTTGCAAGGGACCTCTCGATATCGTCTGACGATATAAAAGGCGATGGAGAGACTTCCACGCCAATTCCTGGGGACAATAGTTCTGATGACAAGCTGTCAGAGGAGATCCCTGTACCTGCGAGCGGTACCCCATCGCCGGAAGGGGAGCCGGTTGGATCGGACCAACCCACACCAGACACAACAAGCCCCGAAGCTAGCATTCCGGTTATTGTGACGGACGATGTCCAAGATGAAGCTAAGAACAAGCGCCGTTCGCTGTAATAGTGAACCAAACCCTACATGGAATACTGCTTAAGTGGGCCGTTTCAGTCCAACTCCATCTGCCCGTTTGAGCATGAAATATCTACACCATTCATTTTCTCTAAAGACAATCACGGCCGTTGTTGCACCAATTGAGGCGTCTTATGAATGCATACATACATCTTAGCATAAGATAAAACTACATCACTGAAGCGGGCATCGACTCATTCTTCTCTTTTGCATTACATAGGCAGATATGGCCACTTTAATCCTCTCTACTTAATACTGTTTTCTTTCCCTCATAATCTCACTGTCCACTACACCATCACTGTTTAGAAACTTAGTTGGCTAATTGTACCTCCATATCGAGTCTCATTTCCTTGTCCGGTCTGTAAAATTGTGCTTCAGTCCTAATATACAAAAGCAGCTAGGACGGTGGAGGAGGCCCTTAGCATTATTTGCGACTAGCCATAAAACCCGCTCGACACAAAACATCAACCTATTCAAAGCTACTATTAATTGTTGTTGCGGACTACTTGAAAAAACACCAACCGGAATATAACGGGTAAATATTTCAATTGAACTATATCTCAACACATAGATCGTATGCTCAAGCCTAGAAACTAGAAAGAGAGCAGGAAAAAGGAAAAGAAGAAAAGGAAACTTTTTCTAAGCAGAAATTTTGTCTAAACGAAGCGCACGAAAAACGCAAGCGAGCAGGAGAGACATGGAATCATCGCCAGCACATACACCAAGCTTTTTGCATTGGAAGCCAGGGTTGTAGATGGATGCAATGCAAACAAGCAAGCAAGGAGAAAAGAACTAAAGGGGAAAAAAAAGGAGGAAGAAGGGTAACAAGCCAGGCAGACTAATAAAGTATTGAATCTGAATCTCCCTCGCAGATTAACAGTCGTGTCCAATGTAAATGGCTAGTCTTGTTTCAAGGACCTGCTCGATTGTGCAAGGTTCATTCGTTTAGGCAAGATACGACACGACAGAAGACACTGGATGGGAGGAAAAGAGCAAACGTCAGAACTCACCGGGTATTGAATTAAAAATGCGAAAAGACATGAGCATGAACATGGACATAAGCATGAACATTGTTAAAGAAAACATAACTTTGAGGGAAACAATGATAATAGAACACCCCCTTCGCACAAAGTGACCTACCTCTCTTGCTCAATATTCAGAAGTCACTCTGGCCATTCCATTACAGGCTTTATCTTGCTTTCTTCAATCTCCGTAACAACAAATTGTACAATCGAATGTAGGTAGAAGCTTCTTTCTATAATACCATGCCGGACGAAGCAAATGAGCGATGAACTTTTCTTCCGCGTCGTCGGAAATCGTGGGCGACGAAGATTAGATAGGGAGGATTGATAAGTTCAAATGACATGACGATGAGGATGATGAGGGCTAGGTGTCAAAAAAGAGAAGATGATGAAGGGAGTAAATAGAATCTTTCCAGAAGAACGGAATCATTTTCATTATCATTGCCAAAGAACAAACAATCTATGATGCTGCTTCGCCGCCGCCGCCGCCGTCCTTTGACGGGGTCGCGGAGGGTCGACGCTCAACAGCGGGTTGTGATTTTGTCATCGCAGGAGAGGTAGGGTTTGATGGAGGGGATGTGGCCAAGTTGTCCGGATCTTGTAATTGAGCAAGGGCACTGCGCGCAGTTAGCAAATGTTTACAGCCTTAAACACCATGTGCTGAAACATACCTGAAAGCATTCATGGAGGACGCAGCCTCCTTGTCTTCCTTCTTACCGGCAGGGGGTGTCCCAGTCCGGCTGCTGGCTGCACTGTCGTCGCTACCACGAACCAAGTTGCCTCCAGGGCCAAGGTTCTTGCGACCACTGTTACTACGAGAGCCGAGCATGCTAGAAGGTCCAAAGGACATGGGCTGGTTTGTGTTGCGAGTGGTGCGGAGACGGCGGAGATCATCGCTTCCAACCTTGCTAGAAGCATAATCCGGCGGAGGTGCTTGTCCATATCCTGAAGAAAAGCCACGGGCATCACCACGTCCCATGGCGGCACGGCCACCACCTCCGCGATTTGCTTGCTGGCGAAGACGCTCCATCTCAGCTTCTTGCTGGGCACGTGCAGCCTGGGGAACGTTAGTGAGGCCTTTGAATATTAATTTGACTGTACGTACCTCCTCGCGAATTTGCTGAATAGTCTTGGGGCCCTTGTCCGAATCCTTCGATTGCCAGCGGGAGTTACGCAAATCAATAATATCCTAAATAAATTAGTATCTAGTTCGGTCATTGAAGACGACGAGCAGCTTACCATCAACATAAACCTGAGACGGCTTGGCAGGTTCGGGGTCTGAACCATCAAGTGGATACGCTGGAAATAGGCATCCATAAATGCGTGACCCTTCTCCGATGCGTCTAGAGAAGCACCAATGGTTCGCAGGAGGCTGGTCAAACTTTCGACTTCAGCCTCGTCTGGAACACCTTCGTAATCAACAAGCTTCTTCACACACTCGTGCATGATACGCTCTGTCAACATGCCCAGCTTGTACAATTCACCAATAAATTTCACAAGACCCAGACCACGACGTTTGGCAGCAGCAGCAGCGTAGTACTCATCGGACATCATAGCAGCCTCCTCCGTAACACCTTCGGGCTTGGGAGGTAGGTTGACCTTCCAACCGCGCTCGAACTCCTCTTGACAACGGTTGAGAAGGTACTTTCTGAACAAACTGCCACCAGCAACCACGTTGCCGTTCCTGTCACGAATATTCTCATCCTTGATATCAGCGCTCATGCTCTCAAGCATACTCTTGCAGAATTTGGCATAAATCGAAGCCCAGTGTGCTTCATCGGTAGCCTTCTCGAATGTGAGCTGGATAACTTGTCGTAGAGTGCGTCCATCGGACTCGTCCTTCGACTGGGACACAATTTCCAGGATCTGGCCAGAGATACGCGGGAAGTTCTCCGGGGTCATCTTGTTCAGAGCACCCTTGACCTTACGCTGAACAACATCAGGAGGCATGTGGCCGCCAGGTGTAGGGCCCGAAGCCGCAGCGGCCTGGCCAACACTGCGAGGTTTCCATCCACTAGCAGATATCTGCAAACCTTCGAGCTCTTTTCCAGCTGTAAGAGGCATATCCTCGTCCTTCTTGGCCTGTTGCTTTCCGCTCGGGCCGCCGCGTTTGCTGCCCTGGCGCGTGCCAGCTCGGTTGCTAGATCCAACACGGGGAGATTGAGGCATCATAGCATGAGAGGAGTTGGTGCGACTGAGGGGCGTGGCGCCACTCCCCATGGGGAAGCTTCGGAATTGGCCGAAGGGCAAGGAGGGGGTGCGCGAATTGGACAAAGCAAACCGCTGTTCAGAGGTGGTTCCCGGAGGTAAGGCCTGGCGAGGGGTCGACTGACCGAAAGCACCCATCTGGAAATCAGACTGAGCTCCGCCACGAGATGGGTTGCGAGCCATTGGAGTACGGGCAGATTGAGGGCGGGAAGAGTCGGTATCACCAACAGTCTCACGCACACGCGCGTCCCAGTCGATTGAAGGTTTCTCCTTGAATACAGCCTGGAATTGCAACAAGAACTCTTTGTTGTAATGGAATTTGCGGTCGGCAGGCGCGCTTGTGTTCAGCGCTGGGTTGGGCGAGGCAATTGATGTAGGGTACGAGATCTTGCTCAGGTCGTCCACGAAGCGAGCAGAGTTCAGAGACTTCATACCGGCCGTGGGCTGAGGAGGCTCGACAGCCTTGTTGGTTTCCAGCTTGAGAGCAGCGGGCTTCTGTTTGGTGGCTGCGGCACTTGCAGGTTTGGCGGGAGGGGGCATGGAGGAGTCCGATACAGGGGTAACAGTACCGCTATCGGCAGGAGTGCTAGTCTCTGTGGCAGGGAATCCACCCTTCTTCAGAGAGGCGAACGCTTCTTTAGTGCTTGTTTCTTCAGCAGCTTGACGTTTCTTCTCCTTGGCTTCCTCGAGAGCTTCGGCTTCGCGTTCGGCCTTCTTCATGTTAGCCTCATAGGCCTCTAGGTCTTCCTTCTCCTTGCGCTCCTGTTCCTCCTTCTGGGCCTGCTTCCTGGCATAGTATGCAGCCTCTGCGGCGGCTTCCTTGGCTTCAAGCTCAGCCATCTCCTTTTCGATAGCATCGTAGTCAATGTCATCCTCATCATCTGCTGGGGCAGGGGTCGGTTCAGAGGGCTTGGAGGTTTCTGCAGCAGGCGCACCCTTCTTCTCATTGAGGGTCAGATCCTCTACAGCCTTCCGGGCAGCCTCTTCATCAGCAGCCTGCTTCTTAGCCGCAGCATCCTCTTGCTCCTTTTTCTGGCGGGCCTCTTCCTCATCCTGCTTCTTCTTGGCCGCCTCCTCATCCTGCTCCTTGCGCTTAGTAGCCTCCTGCTCTTCCTCCTTTCGGTTGGTCTCAGCCTGCTCCTGTTGTTGCATTCTTTGGAGAACTGCGTCCTTCAGCTCCTGTTTCTTCTCAGCAGCAGTCTTGGCAGAGATGGAGGTAGAGCGGGTGTGGTCTGTGCTACTTCCAGTTCGTGGTGGTGGAGTAGGGGTTGACGTTGCAACTTTAACAGGAGATGGCGTGACGCGCGCCGGAGATGCGGGAGTCTTTTCGAAAGTTTTCACGTTGCCGCTATCAGGATCACGGATAGTGATCGCCTTGCGCGCTGGTTGAGGAATGACAAACGCGGGAGCCTTGCCTCCTCCGGCCGATGTGTTGGAAGAGCGACTAGGAGTATGTGCGTGGCCAGGCGACGAAGGAACTGCAGCAGGCTGGGGTTGGTTTTGGCCGAGGCTGGAGCCAGGTCGGTCGGAAACCTGAGAGGGAGTCCGCGCCAAGCCAGCGGCCTGGGGAATGCCTTGTGGAACGGGAAACTGGTTCTGCATGTAGGGCGATTGAGTGTACGGCACGGGGCGTCCGGGTTGGGGCGAGGCAGGTGCCATGTACTGGTAGTTCGGGTAATACGCCCCGTAGTTAGGGTCGCCATACGGATAGGTCTGGTTATGTTTCATCAACGTTAGACATTGCTCAAAGTTTCCGCTTTCTGGGGCCAGATTGGGGGGAGGAAAAGAAACACGGGTTGGGGAGAAGGGTGTGTTTCGGGAGCTCAACCCGCGGGGTCCTTGTTTCTTTTTGTTATATAGACCACGGCGCGGAGGCTTCTGGGTATTAGGGTGGGGTGATCTCACTGCTTGGGGTCCCATATGTTGAGGATAAGCACCATACGGCTGAGGAGGCATCTGAGCATGGGCCATTGGAACCGGGCCCATCTGGGGAGTCAAAGGCTGTGCGTTGGCTAGCGCTGGGCTGCGGCTGGCTTGTGGGGAAGGAAATCCGTGCATAGGTCGCCCCTGGTTCGGGGGGTGGAACTGAGGGCCCATATTGTGTCCGCCTCGAGGCTGGTTGGGCGTACGGAAGCTGTTAGAAGGCGAGTACGGAATTTGACCCTGATGACTAGATTGTGAATGTCCACGACCGCGGCCACCCTGAGGATAATAGCCACCGCGGCCGGGCCCGTTGCCCATATGGTCGCTGTGCGTTGACTGCGAAGATTCGCGGCGCAGATGAGTTGACTGAGGACCGGGGCCAAGGGGTGCCTGGGCAGTCTGTATATGCAAAAGAAATGCGTTAGTAATTTTATCTGTGATGGGCATAGCTCACAAGGAGAATATGCCGGAATCTAACTCTCAAGCGATATGAACATGGGGAGAGAGAGAGAAGACGTGAAAAAGAAAAAAAAAAAAAAAAAAAACTTTTTATATGCGGCTGAGTCCGCCTGGTACAAAAAGCATACTAGTGAATGAAGCCACTCACATTATCACCCGCGTTTCCAAAGCTGCCAAAGTTCACCTGAGCCGGGTATGAAGATGGCGGCGGGCGACCACCACTCGAGGCGGGCTGAGGGATAGGCGATGGCGAGGTCTGCGGCGAGGTCGCACGAGGGTTCGTCGAGGCCGTCACGCCCAGACCCGACTGAGGTTGGTTGGCCAACGCGGCGGGATTTCCCATGCTGGGAGAGGTCGGCTGCTGGTTGGCGAAGCCAAACTGGAGGCTATTGGGACGGCCGGTCTGCGCTCGGCTAGGGTTGTACTCTGCGGTGATGGTCACCGAGGGCTTCCTTTGGTGGTCGCCTTGAGGAGTTCCCGAGGCAGGGGCGCCATTCACAATGGTCGGGTTTGGAGATTGCTGCATGGGTTTGCCGCTCACAGAAGTTGAGGTCGACTTCCCATGTTGCGATGAGCCACCCACGGTGACGGGAGCGGCGGCGGTAGAGTCCGTCGCGGACTTCTTGGTCGCGTTTGCGTAGGAACGAGGCACCGCGGACGAGGTCGAGGTCGAAGTGGAAACCGGCGCCTGGGGCGAGGCTTTCCCACTGAGCGAAGGGGTGGAAGAGTGCGAGGCGGCCTGGGCTGACGACGTACTCTGTCCTTGAGTTTGAAGGCCGGTCTGTTGAGGGATCGAGCTCATTAGACAGGCGAGAGCGTCGGCGAGATTAAGAAGGAAGATGGACGAAAAAAAAAAAGTTTCGAATCCGGTGGCGAGGGAGGAGAAAAGGTAACGATGCTCACAAAAGAGAGATCGCTAGAGCTGGTGACAAAGTCGAGACGATGTCAGAGGCGTGTTACTGCAAGAGGAGAAACACGCTCGAGAATCCCACATCCAGATTTCCCACACACACAACGGGCTGGGAAAGCGAAGCGACACAGGGATGTCACGACACGGGGAAAGAGAGAAAACGAAGACCACCAACGGAACTGTTTTCTACGTCGTGGTCAACGATAGTTGTAGAGAGGAAGGGGAAAGAGGGGGGAGAAAAGAAGAGGTCAAAGTCTTCTGGAGAGATGGAAAGGATTTCGGGTTCCCTTTTTTTTTCTTACAAACGCCCTTTTTGCGTTTCGGTGGTGGTGGTTTTTGGGTGACGAAAAGGGTAAGGTAGAAAGAAGAAAAGAAATGCCCGCACTCACCCAACACAAGCTGTCAAAACCCTGCAGGTCCTGGATCAATTCACAGTAGTATCCTTCTGATTTGCCTTCACCTAGAATCTCTCTCCTCACTACTTTCTCCTCCTTAAAGTGGTTACTTCCTGGCCAGAATCTATAAATTTCCATCGGGTGGAGGCGGCAAAACGGCCTGCCAAGACCTGCCGGAGTATTGTTCTGGAAATAATCAATTATTCAAACCCTTCCAATCTGGCACGCAATTCTCTTGTATTAGACTGTTGCTATTATTCAAATCCATTTCCTAAGCAAAATAGAATGCTCAAAAATACCATCTTGCAGGTCTGGCCATCCGAGTTTTAAGCGCCAACGCCAAAGCTCACATACTCGAGTCCTCATCGCCACAAAACCTAATACAGTCTCATACACGTATCAGTTCGTGTTCTGAGCCACCTTCATCCGCTCCCACGAATAATACCGTTTACCCATACGGTATGCGTATTCCTAGCCTCGCCGAGTCGCTTTGTGCCACTTCTGGGCCAAATTCGGCCTCACTTGCTACAGTGCCCTTTTTAGCCTCGTCAAAGCACACTACACCGGTAGCGCCGCAACAGCGGCACAGAATTCCCCCTCCCCCCACGCTGCGTCAACAGCATACTGACATCCGTACTCGAAGTCAACTGAGTCGACTGAGTCGACGGAGTGACTCACGAACTCAGCCTCTCTGATTAAACTAACACGACCTCCCTGCGTTTCGGGCCTCGCCGCCGGACCAAACAGCACTTATTGGATATCGTCGGGCCTGACTCTTCGTCTTACTTGTCGCGTGTTCGGAGGGGTGAGGCAAGCCTAACATGCTGGCTGCTGACCGATGTGATGTCACTGAAAGTTGGCCAGTTGCCTGCCCAGACACAGCGAATGTCTTATGTCCGAGAGTTGTCAGTGGCGGCTTCCACAAAATCATACTAAAGCATGTCAAGCAGAAGCACGGGCAGTAGATCAGGTAAAAAAATTAATGGGAATTCGGAAATGAATCTTAGTGGCTCCCAGGGGCTTTTACATGAGCATTTCGACACACATGACGTACGTACGCGGTTGGAATCGGATGCTCTTGAATAATATTGACAGAGTTCCTCCATGTTGGTTCTGAGCTTATTTCTTAGGCACATACATGCATAGTCCTAGCATTATTATTGCTTGACAGATAACCCATTTGATCCATATTTGGATTCCTGTTTGACAGTCTTAACACCGAGATAGTAAATACTTAGCATATGAGGCACATTTTGCAAACCACGGTTCTTTTCTAGCGACCGTCCCTTGCGCGAGCAATCGCATCTACAGCTTGCATCGCGAAATCCACCCCAGAGGATGATCCAGGGTGCTGTTGGTCACCGGTCCCGAACCAACCCCCGCTTGGACGCGGTGATCGATCGCGGGTATCTTCATGTTCGATGTGATCGAACGAGTTATCGCTGCGGTTCTTCCTTAGGGGTACGCCGCCGCCGCCACTGCCATAAGCAAGACCTTCGTCTTCGTCTCTGCTAAGGTTACGCTCCTCCTTCATGATGGCATCACGGAGCACATCCAGCATATCACGCTGGTTGGAGTAGAAGCTTGCCTTCTCCGCACGGGACTTGGACTCGAACTCTCGCGGGAGGAGAGATCCGCTGGCAGAAAGCTCCTCTGCGCGAGCTTCCTGGCTTTTCCCTGGGGCTGTCACAGAGGCCACAGCAGAGCTGATGGCCGAATACCAGTCATTGGCGGGGGCGGGGTTGTTGCCGCCCACGGCCGAGGGGAGGTTGAAGCGTGATAGAAGCGACTGGGCGTAAGAAGATGTAGTAGCTGGCGGAGGAGTTGCCGGACGCTGCGGAGGAAGACCCAGCACGCGCTCCCTGATAAAGTCGATTACTTGGTAAAAGTACTGGAGGCCCAGTGCTTTAGCACGCTCGTGGAGGGTACCGATCAATTCTTCGATATCACGTTCGTGCTGTGCCAGGAAAGGGTCCACATAGCCCTGGTATAGGATCCGGGCACCCTGGGTCTGCGGGAGAACCAGGTACGCGAAGAAGCCGAGCCGGATCCAGCTGTAAAAGGGAAACCATCCCAGAATGAAAAACGTCCACGACTCAGCCATGAGAATGGCGGAGAGAACCACCCAGTACATCAACCATGGTGCTAATTGGTATGGATCCGATGAACGAAGAGCTTTATAGGAAGCGAAGATGGGAAGAAGGATGGTCAGAATGGAGCTGCAGTGATGAGGCTAATCAGCATGAAGTTAGAAGAGATATGGGATCGGCGTTACACATACGAAAGTAAATCCGCGATTATCCCGAAGAACATCTTGGGCAATTGCGTCGTTCGATATATTGTGTTTAAGGATACACCGAGGAAATTGTCCCAGGCGATGAATGGACAGAATAATCGTGCTGGTTGGATGTGCAAAGCCCACAAAGCTTATCGAAGTTGCCTAGCTGCGGGGTACGGAGGCACAAGAATCAGATCGAGGGAGATGGCCAAGTAGCGAGAGGGCGGCCAGCGCGAAGGAATTGTGTGCAGCCTGTATATATGAAGTCGGATAGGCGAGAAAAGAAAAGAAGAGCGAACTGAGACAAGCGACGAAGATAAAATTGGAGCCTCCGGCTTTGCGGGTGTGCGGAGTGTGACCAATTCGGGCGCTGGGCGTACCGTAAGCAGCGACTTGGTCTCAGCCCTGCGGATGCACTTGTGAATTAGTATTCTGGTATGGCTGGATAGGCCTCGTCTTGTTGCCCTCGTAGCCTTGTGTAAGTGAAGTTTGACTATATGAATCTATCTCCCATCGCAGCTTCTCACATTCTGGTGAAAGCCCGCCGTCGTTGACGTCATGGCCAAAACAACTCCATGTGATGACTCGACATTGCTATACATACTCTGGTTCATTACTTAGAGTATATTCAGTGCTTTTCGTTAGCTATCCTCAATCGTCCAGATATCAGTTCGGATTTTCAGACTAGCATTGTTCGCCTGAAGTGAACGTTGACGCCCATTTGTTGTCCTGCACGTGCCCAACGACCAGCCCCGGACGCTCGTTCTCACCCGCCAGACTTCATCCTCTTTCCTCCCAATCCTCTTTCTCTGCCTTACTATCCTCTCAATATAAATTGCAGCCATGTGTATCGCCTTAATATCAACAGCTCATCCGTCTTACTCTCTCATAATAATCAATAACAGAGATGTACACAACCCCAACCCCAATCCAAACCCCAAACTCAAACCTAAACCTAAGAAACAAGTAATGCCAAACAAGAACCTAACGATACAATCAACCAGGAATACCTACGCCGCCCAACTGCCCCAGCAGATTACTGGCCACCCCCAAACACGCGCATCCTCGGCGGCCGCGACCTTGCCCGTAAAACCCAAGGAACCTGGATGGGAATAACCCGCACCGGCAAAGTCGCCATCCTAACAAACTACCGTGAACGCACCTCAGACGCGGCTACGGGCCAGCAATCGCGGGGCGCAATTGTCAACAGCTGGCTCACACGTACCCCGGATCACCCTACAACCGAGTATGTCGAGGAGATGGTGGCTAGCCCCACAGCTCGCAATGTCGGCGGGTTCAGTCTTGTGTGTGGGTACGTGAGTGAGCCGTTGGCGATTGTATCGAACCGATCAAGCGACATGGATCAGATTACGTGGATTGCAGGTGAAAAGGGACAGACAAAGGGGTTGAGTAATACGGTTTTCGATGATAGGAGCTGGCCCAAGATTCTGGAAGGGGAGAGGCTCGTCGATGAGGCGATTGAGGGGCATGTTAAACAGGAAAAGGGAGAAGGGGACGAGGAGTTGTTGATCGAGAGGTTAATCGAGGTGCTGAATACGAATTCGCTACCACAGTTGGGTGGCGATGCGACAGCGGAGGATTATCTTCCGTACTTTAGGAGGAGTATATTTATCCCGCTTATTGGGAGAAGAGAGAGACCAAAGGCCCCTGCTGCGGCTGGGGAGATTGCAGCATCGAGTTCGGGGCAGTCACCCTGTGCTGATGGACATGCGCATGGAGCGGCATCAGAATCTGTCAAGGAGCCCGAGGCTGGGCACGATATCCTCGACCAGTCATATCTACATGGTCCGTACGGAACACAAAAGCAAACGGTCATACTTGTTCGGAGAGACGGACGAGTGAGGTATTTCGAGCGCACTCTCTACGATCAAGAGGCCAAGGCTGTCCCTATCGGCCAGGGAGACAGGTCTTTTGAGTTCCAGGTGACGCGATGAACCCCATTTATGCGTCCGCTACTTATCCGTCATACCTACAGACCCTTCAGCGTGTTCCGTCTTTATTATAATGATTTCATGGATCATGAGCGGTATGATTATAGAGACCCGGTACATATTAAATCAAAACTATTTCGCTTTGAATCTGGCCCACTGGTCTGCTTGCTGTGTCTGACAGTTACGGGTGACAGTCACAATTATTATATGTGCTTGCAGTTTGCACTGCAGATGCAAAATGTACAGCTACTGGCTAATCCAGGAATCCATCGACTGTTAAAGGGGTTGTCATATTTTGTAACCACTCCCTTGAGAGAGAACAAGGTAAAGTCATTATCACTAAGCTACTCAGCCAAGCAGCTATCGTCAAAGAAAACAACAGGCTTCTCATGAATGTGGGAATTCGCAATCAGATAAATCGTCGGAAGCTAACAGATTATCGCAACACCATAGCATCAGGTCGTGTAACTACGTCAAACCAAGTCTCTGCACCACGCCATACCAATCAGGGTATCGGTTGGAAACACGCAAGGAGACAACAAAAAAGAAAAAACGGACAACTCACGCCGCGGCCTCATGTAACCGCACAGTGACGGGGTCACCGGGCGCCAGTGTCACACTCAAGCCATAGTTGATTTCCCGGCCCGGATAGACGTCCTCGATAGCGTCAAAGCGCTGAAGCAGTCGAACGAGGACATAACCCGCCTCGGTGAGAGCAAACTGCTGTCCAATGCAGAGTCTCGGCCCACCGTTGAAGGGGAGGTACTCCCAGCCTGCTCTGCGGTCGAACCAGCGGTCCGGGTTGAATTCCTCGGCATCCTCGCCCCAGAGGTCCTTTCTGCGCTGGGTCACGAACGGGCTGTATGTGACGACCTGGCCGGCGCGGAGATAGACGGGCTGTTTCCCATCAGACCCACCCCCTTGCGGCAAGAATGTGTCCTGCGTTGCCACGCGGCGGTTGACAGGCACGACTGGGAAAAGGCGGAGCACTTCATTCATGAAGTACTGCAGGTAGCGGCAGGATTTCAGAGACGCAAAGGTAATATTATCACGACTCGGGGAGTAAGGCCCAAAGTCTGTGAGGATGGTCTTGCGCAGTTTCTGGAAGAAGCTTGGGTGACGGGCAAGCATCTGGAGGGACCAGCTGAGAAGTGACGCTGTGGTATCCCGGCCGGCGAGCAGGATGTTGAGGAGCTGAGAGCGCAACTCGATGGGATCTTTGGTTGTCATGGCCAGAGCTTCTAGAAAGACATAATTGGAAGAAAGCGGCTTCCCCTCTACTGCTGCCTTGAGCGCAGCGTGGACAAAGTGGTCGACATAGGCGTGCACCTTCTTGTTGATATCTCGACTTTCCTTGTTGTCGACAATCCAATGGAGCTTTTCGAAGCGAGCGCGCTGCGCCACATACCACTGGCCCCTATCGAAGTTGACAGAGAAGTGATCAGAGGGAAGCTTTCCCCCGTTGTGAAGAGCTTCTTCCTGACTGCCGGAGCTTTCGCCAAATAGAAACTCGGTTGCCGAGTCGATTGTCAAACGGAAGAATATGCCCTGGATGTCGGTAGCAGAGGTCCAACCGGTGATGGGGTCTACAGGCATCGCCTTCATGGCTTGCTGAACATGGTTCTCTTCCAGATCTAGGTCACTGATTTGCTCGCGAGTGAATTGCGGGCGAAGCAGAGCCCGAGAATGCGACCAGAGCTCACCGTCAGAGGTAAACTAGAAGAGCTGTTAGCGTCGGGCAGATCAATCCATCCCCATCCGCTGAAGATAGTGCTTACAATTCCAGCTCCCAGCAGTGGGAGAAGCGTATGTCGGCGTCCAGGGCCGAGCTCGAAATCCTTGAATTTAGTGGCAAGCATGGCCTGGACATTCTGGGGATCGCACGTGAAGACGATCTCGCTGCCCATCTGGCGGATGCGAAAGGTGGTGACCATGCGCTTCTCACGCGTTGACATCTTCTCAACGCGGCGCTGAAGCAATAAGGGAATGCCCTTCACCTTGTCGGCCTGCAGGGCCTCTTTCAGGCTTGAGATTCCCACAATGTCTGTGGGATAGCGAGGAATAGGGGCGCATCTTAAACCGCGCGCCTTGCGGGAGTGAGCCCAGGCAGACCAGGCATATTGGAGGGCGAGCAGACCTGCTGCAAGCGCGAGGATGAACGGCAACGACAACATGGTGGATGGCAGCCAGAAGCTATACACAGTAGAGGGAGAGCTGATATATAATCGAAGCCAAGAAAAAAGTTGGACTTCGGGGGTGTATAATAATCGTGCCTCGGGAGAACGTGAAATGGTGGAGAAGAAACAAGTCGCAGTGGGTCGGACAGTGTGACGTGAACTCTAATAAAGGCCTTCTCGTTGGATGGAAGTTCCACTCCTCCTCCTTGTCGATTATTAGGCGAGAGGGGATATGAGAGTTTGCTCTGCATAGTGCCCTGCTCATCGCACTTTATGCAAGCCCTGCGCTAAGTCTGGTCCCACCCAATATCGGGCACGCCAAGATCTGCATCCAGCAATATGGTTGGTGAGCTTGTATAGATCTGTCCAGAGATCGAGATCCTTTGAGAAAAGTCAGATATCAACTAAGCATTTGTTGTATTAAAATAATCTAAAGACAGTAGAAATCAGTGCTGGGTATAGTAGATTCATATAACATGGTCGAGTAAGGTCTCAAATATCGACTATCTCGGTTTATATATCGCCATATCACTGATGAACTGCTTGCAATTCATTTATACCAATCCAGATCCATTTTATTTTAGCGTTTCCTGCCTTTAATATGCTTTACTATTGCAGGTACTGTTCCTTGCTGATTTAAGCTCTGGTATAAGCTCCGTTCCAGAGTGTCGTCGAGTCTATACACATCCCTATGACTCTTCGAACCTTGAGTTAAACGAGTTTTTGCCAGGTCCTCAGGAACATGCTTCCGAGTATCAGGAGCACGTCTCTTAGTATGTCCCCCCTGTAGACGCCAGCCTTCTCACTCTCATCTTCTTCCATCTATCCTCTGTTCACTACTCTATCAAAGAATCCACACAAATACCACAAAAGCAGCACCAGTCAACATGGAATCCTGCAATAATTTCACATACCAAGTTTTCTCGCTCATCGAAAGACACAAATTTAATTTCGAGGTCAAAAAGGCGAACAAAACGTACGAGAAGCGAGCCATACCTAGGAAGCTGGGCCGTGGACGACGCGAACACGGACCAGACGATTACATGGTTCCCTATTGCTACAACCTTGAATCCAGAAGTATTAGACAAATCAAGAAGCAGTGGACTATTGGCACATCTCTGAAAACTTTCAAGCTGGCCAACTATCTCAGTAAGTCATCTGCAGGCAGTTCCACAACTTTTGTAAATCCATCTCTATCCCAGGGCTGAGCTAACCTCGCTACCACAGAGACAATCTGGGAACTTCCTCAGAGAATCAAAGATGAAAGGGCCGCGATAAAATATAAAGTCGACCTGCTGCTATGGAGCGCTACAACTATCGCCAAAAGGGACACGGAGTGCGAGGACCTTACGGCCACAAGGATGGTTCGACTCACCGAGAAGCGGAAAATGAGTATGCCATTCATGAGCAACGGCTTCCAGCTTCAGCTCGAAGGGCAGGTCGACAATGTGATATTCGCTGGAGATGAAGGAGATCTTGATGCCACTCTGATTGTCTTCAGAGCAACAAAGCCAGGACGCGCTCAAGTCTGGACTTTGCTCAAGCTAATGGGTAAGTATTCTAATTCTCTAACCATTATATACAATAGAGAATCTCACATCTGTCTAGCAACAATTCACCATGCCCGGAAGCTCGCTGGGAAAGACTCTGAAATCTACGGTATCGCCACAGACAGCCGCGAATGGGCGTTCGCCCACATCAACAGCAAAAGCCAGGTATGCATCCTTAATCTAAAACCGGAAAACAGTAAACTGATACGTCTCTCTTCATAGTACTCACTCTGGTTCCTATCATGGAAATACGATTCCCCAGACGTTGTCGCCCACGTCATGCGGATCATCGATTATTCGATTACTCGTGCCGAAGCCGCAGTTAGGGCTCCCTCTAATAGACCTACTACCGGCCGAGTAACGGGCTGTAAAATCTTTGACCCCAAGGAATTGATCTATTCTCCTCTGGAAGAGTCTGAAGAGGAAGGATACGATTAGGGCGGGTTTGGTTTACTGCCTCTGACATGCATTGGAGTTTTGAGTTTTTGGATGGGGTACACATGTTTGCTGATCTATCCTGTTGCTTGTTTGTTTGACGAAGTCATGTCCTGTTACGATTATTATGAATGTACGGAATTGCTATATTTTTGTCTAATTGTTTCGCGATGCCCAGTTTTGATGCTCAGTTTCGTTCGTTGTCATGTGTCCATCTCAATGTGAATCTGTGTCACAAAAGCCAGGAGCCATCCTCTGTAGAAGTAAGTCGTAAATATGGAGACAAATACAAATGTAAATAGTGAAGATCTTGTGAAGCGCCCCATTGGACTTTATACATCTAGTTACGAATTATACTCTACTGCGGTCGTGAATATCTAGAGAATTTCATGGCTATTGTATCTATCCTATTAGTTAATCTTCCTCTTCACAAGTCCCCGCATGAAATCAAAGCTGTTGCTATCACTTTGCAATTGCCATACCCGTCCTGTAGGCCGCTCATCCCAGCCAAGTTCCTCAGCAAGTAGCAGCCCGTAATCACGAGTCACGCCCTTAATCTTTGCACGCACCCCGCCCTCTGCCTCGAGCGTAACGATCTGGTTCGTATGGAGCCATGCATCGTAGTACATCTCCTCGAAGCTGCGGTCAAACCCTGTCCGTAGGAATCGGATATGCAGGTCCTCGAATACGGTGAGGATACGGGCCAGGAGTTTCTCTAGGGTAACTGGAGCGGCCCTGCGGCCTACAAAGCGGGAAGCTAGCGCCGCTATAGATGTTGTGGGAAGGGCATTTGTGGTGTTGATGCCAATACCGACGACAGACGTGTATTCGTTCGATGAATATTGCGAGTTTACTAGGATGCCACAGATTTTCGTATACTGCTTCTTGTGCTCAGGTTGTTCGGGGTCCAGTGCGTCTGTAGAAATTAGCTCTCACCCAGTATGCTTACAGAGTGTTAATAAATAACTTACAGACGTCATTCGGCCATTTCACTTTGATGGGTATGGATTTGTAATCCTCGTCGTAGCTCTGCACACCCTGTACCACTGCCAGCGCCGCGAGGTACTGGATGAGCACGACTGGAGCGGATTGCATTTTCGCCATTGGGTGGCGCACGACCGTGGAGAACATGAGAGATCCGGCCGGAGACACCCAAACGTTGGAGCCTCTACCTCGTCCGGCTACCTGGGTAGTGGCGGTTGCAGTCGTACCGGCGGGAAGATTGCGCAGGAGCTTACCATTTCTACTGAGGTTAATAAGACTCGCGATCCAAACAGTTTTGATACATACTTTTCGAGAACCGTGTTAGTACTGGTCAAAACCTCGCCGTACAAGAGATTTGAGCCAAAGAGCGAGGCGCCTTCCTTTGATTTCGCCTGATAATCTCGGAGATGAGTGTAGAATGCATGATGGTTAAAATATGGGGTCATTTTTGATGACGGGATATCGTCATGAACAACCAGACGTTTGATAATGGCCTGATAGTCCACGATTCCTTCACTTTCAGTGGTCTCGGATCCGGAATCTTTGGATTCTGCGGGGAGGGACTCCGCGAGAGATCCCATACTGTATACACCAGACTTTTCAATCTTAAAGGTGTCGTACTCGTCTTTCAGGTATTCGCCGTCGCCGACTAGTTGTTCAAGCGATTTTAGCACCCGTTCTGTATCACCAGAAGACGATGAGAAATGCAAAGACGATAGGGAGGGCACATGCGTTGTGTCTTGCGCAACCTGCAATCCCAGCTTCAACAGACATGCTTTCAGAAAGTCGGTTCGGGCTTTATCGTCCGCGGCTAATGCTTCAATGGTTTCAGCGTACTCGGGGCCTCCGTTCTTAGGATTGAGATTGACGGCCGCGAATCTATCGGGTCAGCGCTCGCCCCAGCTAGATTACGTGGTACTCACTCGGGATGCGGCCCAGTTAGGATAGCTGCACCGTCGCCCACAGGGCAATAGACCACCGCTGCAGCCCCAGAGCCAGGATTGACATTGAGACGTTCAGCGTAGCTTGCTAGGACCTCGATGCCCTTGTCCGCATATGAGGGTGCATCAACAAATACCCCGCCGCCATTGTAATAGGACCGGAAATTCGTCGGAACAGCGCCGGAGTTCAGCGACTCTTTCGAGACCGTCAGTTGCGCAGCCCGCGCACCAGCCTCACTATGGTAGACGAAACCACGGAATGCTCCGCCGCGACAGGTTCCAGGGTAGAAAGCGAGCTCGCGGTCACCGATAACTTGCAAGGTCTTATCGCCCACTTCGAATTCGCAGTGCTTAGTCCCGTAGTATCCTCCGGCGCAGAAACCAATGTAAGCACCTCCGCGGCGAACGAATTGCTCAATCCTGCGATTGCCAGCGCCATTGAGGGCACGGCAGTAGCCTAGATCCGCACCGCCTGGTATTACGAGCAAGGCACATGTAAGTGTCCATGGCTCTTTGATGAGCATCTCCGCTGTAACGGGAATCACGGCATAGTGGGCAGCGAGGAGGCGGCGGAGGGTGTAGAGGCAGTGGCGGACGGATTCGACGGTGGTGCCATCACCTAAGGAATTACCGGTTAGCCAGGTAATGTCATTTAGGCAAACAGGAGGTGCATACCGGAATAGACCAGTACATTGATCTTCGTTCCCGCGGTGTTGGTATTTGTCGTCGCCATAATTGCTGTCGCGGGGAAGTTGCACCTCGGAAGAGAGCAGAAGATAAGATCGGAAGTTGACTCAATTCCTCCTCCTTCACCTGCGGTTACTATCGGCCCGTCAATCGCAATGATATCGAAAAAAGAAGAGAAGCCCAAAGTGGCTGCAGAGGTTGACGACGATGAGCCTGACGACTGGTAAGATTCTAAGTTCCCTTTCTGCCCTTTTCTCCTGCGATGCTGACCGGTTGACTACGTAGGGACAAGCGGATCTTCAGCACTGGTTGCGCAGGTACGCATTCGCCATCAACCATCTCACAATTTAAGGACGAGTCTCACCCATATACTGTCTAGTGGAGCAAGATAAGTTGAATGAATGCTACTGGGCTAAAAAGGACTGGAGGAGCTGTAAGAAGGAGGTGAGCCATGCCCATCACCACCTCGCCGGACCTTACATCTCCCCAATAATTCATATGAATAGCATCCGATCCATATGTTGTTTCTCCGAACTAACCTACTTTGATTAGATGGAGCGTTTCCGCGAGTGCTGGAAGCGACAGGGTAACGACGAACGCACCCAGACCAAAGACGCCTGAGGTCCCTCTTAACCAAGTAGCCACATCCCACGAGCGCATACTCTGTACAACAGCTAGCAATTTTTATCCTGTATATTAGAAGGGCATCTTTAGACCAGAGACAGCCTGCTATGTTAATCTATCCTCACTCTTTGTTTGAACTCATCAAAATATATCACGTGACCACATCGCAGCTCAAACAGCTTCAAGCTCCCGCTCACTCTTCTTCATCCTCATCCCGATACCAGTATCACCATGGCCTTTCTCCGCACTCTCCAGGCCTCGGAGCCTCTTCTCCAGCGATCAGCGATCTACCGAGTTACCCCTCGCCGCATCGCGTCTCTCAACCCCCAATATACGCGCCCAGCAGCCAACAGATCGTTCACCCAACGCTCATACCCTCAACAATCCCAATCCACCTCGACCACAACAACACCAAAACCCAGCTCCACGACCTCAACCCCATCCCCTGCGGCGGCGCGCGCCGAATCGATCGCCTCTCAACCGACCCCCACCAGCGCAACAACATCGAACATCTCCAAAACCGGCTTATCAGACAAACCGCTCGAGCTTGACAATACCCCGGCCGAGAAGATTGACTGGACGCGATCCTTCCACGGTCTCTCCGCAGAGCCCTTCCCCAAAGAAGTCGCCGATATTCTCCTCGCAGAGACCAGCGCTGAGGAAGTCGAGATCAAGCCCGATGGCATCTTATATCTACCCGAGATCAAATACCGCCGCATTCTGAACCGGGCGTTTGGACCCGGTGGATGGGGCCTGGTCCCTAGGAGTGAGAGCATTGTTACCCCAAAGACGGTAACGAGGGAGTACGCTCTAGTATGCAATGGGCGGTATGTACCCTCTCTACTCCTGCTTTCAATCCTTACCTATTGTACGTCTTTAACTAATATTATTTTCGACGAACAGCCTCGTCTCCGTAGCCCGCGGCGAACAAGACTACTTCTCCCCCGACGGAATCCCCACTGCGACAGAAGGATGCCGATCCAACGCACTGGTGCGGTGCTGCAAGGACCTAGGAATCGCAAGTGAGCTATGGGACCCGCGATGGATCCGCAAGTTCAAGGCCCAGCATACGCGCGAGGCCTTTGTCGAGCACGTAGTGAACCGCAGGAAGACCAAGATCTGGCTTCGCAAGGACGATCCGGTTTCTTACCCGTGGAAGGAGACGAAATAGATGATCTATCAATATATATAGGAAGTGTATTATAGATAACGTGGACTGGGCGTGTAAGATAATGTGGATGTGCATATTTGGATTTAAATGCTGCTGTGATACCCATAGCATAGCACCACTTCCCAAGCAGTCAGGGATAATTATTTCATTACGTTACATGTATGATAATCTTAAATAAGAGAAGGAAATCAATCTCCAATGACTTTGCAAATAGAACTCCGAAAATTAATCCAAATTACCATCCTGACGCTGGCAGTACTGTAACCTTAATAACTAGCCTATCTAAGTAATTTCGCTCCTAAGTAAATTCACAATCACTTAAAAAAATAAAAAAAAAATCCAACCGTGAAACTCCACCCATCCCTATCCATGTTCTACAGTTTTTGTTGAGAATACAGGGAAGAAAATATCATATCACATCACGGACCGACACTTGAGAAGGTCACGCTTAAAACCTGCGCGATTCGTAATGCCTCCTCTGCTCTTCAGTCATATACCGCGGATCATGAGGCGGGTGCTCCGGCGGAGTTGGCGCATACTCGTAAACCTGGGGTAGAGGATGGCCCTGGATTCTGGACGGGTCCATCTCCTCGCCGTGCTCTAATGGGTGCTGTGCAGCAGAGGGCTCGGCCTGGTCATGATACCCGTCAGAGTAGTTATACGGGTTCAGAGGCTGGGGGTGCAGAGCCGCCGGCGTCTGGAGCGGTGGAGGCTGCAGATGGGAAGGTAGAGCGGGTTCTGTGGGCGAAGGGATAGTATTGCTGGTGCTACTGCCTGCCTTGCGGCGGCCAGTAGAGGCGGTTGAAGCACCGCGGGTGAGAGAGCCGTGGTTGACGCTGAGATGGCGTTCGGCGATCGGGGACGAGGCGGAGCTGCGGTAGTACTCTGCGTCGCCGCCGCTTGCTGGGGACTGAGGGTTTTTGTATAGGTCGTGGCTTCCGTTGTTGTTGAGGGTGCTTTCACTGTAGGTGCTAACTGCGGCGCCGGCGCCGCGGCGTTGGACGGATCCCGAACGGCCAAGGTCGATACCGGTGGATTTGGATGTGTCGGGCAAGGCGTTGTCGGTGGCAGAGCGGCGCGTCCCTGTGGATGGCTGGCGTTTGGGGGATTCCTTGTCATCAGGCTTGCCGTCATCGGGCTTATCGTCGGAGTTGTCGTTATCTTCAGCAGGGGTTTCTTCAGTCGCAGCTCCAGGGGCACGGATCGGAACCTTGCGAACAGCGGCGACCAAAGCACACATGAACTTGGTACGGCGAGCGGCACGGACGGTCTCAATGGCCCAGTTGGATTTGTGGAAAAGGCTGATTGTGATCTCCATTTTGTCGAGAGCGCCAACACCCACAACATCGATGTCAACCTCCTGCTGGAAGTCGCGGTAGTTCTCCTTGTCACGAACAAACATCTCGATTTCCTCCTTCAGAGCCTGGATTTCGGCGGTTGTCGTATCGAAGTTGACTTCAATGGTTATTCTTTCCTGCATGGCAGCAGAACGAGAGTAGTTGTCGATCCACACAGTGTTGAGAACAACGTTTGCGGCCTGGGTGAGACGGTTATCGTTCACGTTGCGGAGGACAGTGTACAACAGCGAGATACGCTCAACGATGTAAGGCTTGGTATCAATCTCTACTCGGTCCCCAATGTCGAAGGGATGTTTGACGAACAGGAAGATGCAGGAACCCAGCACCTCCTGCGCAGTAGTTGCAAAGACGAAACTAAGGGACAGAAGGGTAGTAGCACCGGCAGCGATAACAGTGCCAAATCCGCTAGTGACAAACGAGAGGAAGACAAGAAGAGCGATGATGAATGCAACCGTTGCCAAAAGGTTATCCAAAACGTGGATAGCCTGGTCGACATCATGCATACTGTGGTTCAACGTCTTGCGAGTGCGCCCAATTTCAGAAATGGCCAAGATGATCTCGTCCAGACTGATATCGCCGTTCCCATCCTTGTCTAGCATGGCAAAGGATTGCTCGGCCTCGGTTTCCTTTCCGGCTCCAAGAACCTCGATAATGTCATCAGGGTAAAGCGCTTCACGGCCTTCAACCACAAATGACATCCAGATTCGTCGGGCCAAAGCTTCGGTCGAGCGACGGCGCTCCAGCGCTTCACTGACAACAGACCGTGAGGAGCTGGCGTTGAAGACTTGCTTGCCGGTGATTTCCTGCGCAACATCGCCAATCGCACCTGAGATCTTACCACCGAATTTGCCAACATTCTGGCCTACTCCGCGAATGAACCGCAGAGGAGCAGATGAATTGGAGCGGTTATGGCCGGGTCTGCCATCTGGTAACGCAGCAAGGATGGAGTCGGAGATGATCGCATCGTCGTCGCGAAACTCTTTACAATACATGGGGAACATGCTGCGAGAGGCATCATAGAGGACCCCAACCAGGTAGACATGGCGTTTAGACTCCTTGATCCTGGCATCGAATTGCTTGCGATGATAGCTTATAGAAATAAGCTGAACAAGAGTCTTCTCACCAAGGAAGATCAAAGAGCAGACCAACAAGGCGAATAGGATGTTCTTGACGGACTTTTCCCAGGCCTTCGTCGAGGTGTCGCCATTCCGTTGGTTCCGCGCATTGTAGACCATAATCTGGAATTCTTTATTAGCGAACTGTAATTTCAATATTCGGGGGAGAGACTGACAGGTAGGAAAGTAACAAGCGAGACAATCAGCCAGAGCACTGTCGTGATGGGGAGCTCCAAGTTCCGCAGGACGAGGGCATATTTTCGTGTTCCGGAGCTAACAATTCCAGAGACGAACTGGAAAACATAAGGAATGGCTTTGGCGACCAGTTTACACACCCACAGAGATACCCAGACCACCTCGATCCAAGTAAAAAACCAGGGGAGTGAAACACCGCCAATTGTAGCATCAGGAGCGGCAGTAGCCCCAACAATGATCGGGACAGCGAGGAGAGCAGCAAGGGGAATAACATAGATCATGTAGCGAGTGATGATAGAAAAATTGAGCACGGCTTGGTAGAAACGTCCCAAGCGGTTGATCGTCCCGTCCTCTGGGTCGTTCTCCGCACGGCCAGATTTGTCGTCGATAGCTCTGCGTCGGCGATGGCCAAAACCCTGTGAGCTGGGAGGGCTGGAGGTCAACCCTCTTTTCTCGCCAGCATTGTAACTGGCTTGTTCTCCATTCGAGAAACCAGCAGACGGTGAAGCGGGAATGTTAGTTCCATTGCTGCGCGCACCAGTCTGCCCGCGGCTGGATACGTTTGTCAATGGGATGTCAATTGTGACATCGTTGGGATTTTGCATGTTGTCAGGAATCTGCTGGAAGCGATGAGACGACAGACGCTTCTCAGCGAGGCCAGGCCGTCCTGACATTGGAAGTTAAAGAAAAACGGCTGACAGCTCCAGCGCAGCTAAAAGGACGTCAAAGAGCGGATAGGGTGAGGGGGATCGGCTAGCGACTGCTCGATGAAGAGTTAGACTGAGCTAATTGTCGAGCTGGCCTCCCTTCTGGCAGAATAATTCGAAAATCGCCTTGGTTCCCTGTGGAGGGCGTGGGTCGTTGGAGTCGCGTGTGCCACTGCAATTGGGCTTGTGTAACGATCGTCGAGGCTTTAGAAGAAGCCAAAAACAGTCAAAGGCACCGCGAGCAAAGCGAGGGACTGAGGCAGCAGGAAAGACCAACACAGGCAGAGAGAGTGTGGGAGAGAAGGAGGCGAAGGTGAAAAGAGGAGTGAAAATGTGAAATGAACTGCCGGTGTCAAGAATGACAGCTGGGGAACGCGCCGGTGGTTTCAGCCTTGGGGCGAGCCGGAGAATTAGAGCAATCAATGCAGGGCAGAGTCCATTTTCGAACCCATTATCCTGCCCCAAGGAACGCCACTCCCAGGCACGAAACACGAAACCAACGAATATTCAAGGGCCTGGACGCGACCCGTGGTTGTCCACTCTACCGTTGTTTGGTGGCCCGGCATGCTGTGCGATGATCCATTCATCCCCGCTCCTGCATTCCCCATTCCTGGCTTGATGGCCATGACGACGAGGACGCGAGATGGCTCGACTCAATCGTCCCGATCGCCCTGGGATCGGACGATTTGGTTTCGTGGTGATATCAACTCGATAGTGCGCTCCACAATGGCGCATCGCTAGTGGACGAGCATCACTACGCTATTCCTTGGGATTCAGATCTTGGGGCCCAGTTCGCCGCCCACAAATTCCCCAAATAGCATCACGACAGCACAATACAATATTCACGGACCACGATGAGCTAAAGGTACGCCTCCGAGCCGCTCATCCTCTCGGTCTACTCCTCTGATGGGCTCGTCTTCTTTGCCCTCACCATCCTTGCCGCGTCATCATGAGCCCCTCCCAGCCGATTCGAGCCCCGCCAATTGGTCTTGTCTAGAATCTCTTCACTCTTCCAATCCAAACCAACACCCCAAACGCGATCACGGCGACTCCCTTCAACAAACACTCTCCGTCCACTCGCCAGATATAAACCCTTTAATTCATCATCGACCTCGGCCCGCGCTACGCACCCCGCAACCACAATTGCCCCCGACGCCTTCGTCCACAGATCATCTCTAAAGTTCGGCACTTTCCGCCCCAGCATCTTCTGCGACTTGGGCGAATTCGTGCGCATGATACGACACAGCGATGATTCCCAGAGTGCTCTTCGCTGCGCGTCTGCGGTTCGAGGAAGCGGCTTGATGTTGAGAAGCTCACTTTGTAGCTGGTCCAGAGAATTCTGGTCAATGACTGACTCGCCGAGCGGGACTGAGTCGCGCTCAAACAGCCAGGCTTTCATGGCCATCATCCATTGCTCGCCGCGGCGGAAGGGGAAGGACTCTACGAGACGCGTGGATATCGCGTCTTCGGCTGGATGTGGGATTCCGAGTGTGTCGAGTTGGGCAAGACACAGCTCGAGCGCCCGTTTCCCGGTGAAGGGCTCGGGGCTGGGATGCCAGTTGGAGAGGATACCGCGGACGAAGTAGATGTGTGAGTCCGTGACGCGAATGTTTGGGTTTGCGAGATAGCTGTTGGTCGAGGGGGTTTCTTGAGCCATGGTTTCGGTATTGTAGTCTACTCAGGTGAGTTGGGATTCGTAGATGAGATGTAGAAAGTCGCGGTCGTTCCTTGATCATATATGCCTGAGAACACATCGTATCTAATGAGGCTGTACTTGCAAGTCACCGAAGTGAGTCAGGCATGGGCCGTTAAGCTTCATCGCGTGTCATTTCTGTGGCGCAGCTGACCCACAGCCTCGTATTCGTCGTTGTCTTGCTATTTCGGGTATGCCTTGAATCAATTAAGCGATTCAAGGAGAGCTCTTTTGAGAACGTTGGATTCAGTACGTGCAACGCCTGGGGTTTGATGAAGCGCAATCCTACCGGGAGCTGACTTGATTGCTCCATCACAGCCACCTACAATAGTCGTCGCTCTGTGTACATTTGGAGGTGTTGACGAGACTACCGGGCTTTTATCCATACTTTCTCGGACGACTCAGTATATTTTATGGGTCTTGCTGTCACTGTCACAGAACTGCCAGCAGACCCACCTAGGGTTAAGAATGGTTCTATACATGAGACACGCGAACTCCTATAACAATCTATTTTATAAGTATATTTCACGGTCTAGTAGCATTATAATCATCCAGTCTACCTAAACTAAATATATCCGAGCACCTATCTAGTAAACACCCAAGAACTTCTACAAATAGGACAACTAGCTCGATCGGCCATATACAGCCAGCTATCAATGCAGCGCGTATGGAAATTAGCGCCGCATTTGGCTCTGCACCAGGACACCGAATTTAACTGACATCCTCTTTCTTCGCCCTCGCTTTCATTAACCTGGCCTCTGCCAGGGAAGTAATTCCACCATCCCCATCCTCGACACCAGTCAATATACGGGTCGGACAATGGCTCGGAATCAGTCGCATTCCATTGCCAAGAGACAGAGCTGGAATCAATCGGGGCAGGCTCCAGCAGCGAGCACAAGCATATACTGCAATCCCCCTCGACAGGCTGGCGGTGCGCCGCGGGAATAGAAGCCGGGACGGGGGGTTCAGTGTGCGAGGATTCGGCAGAGAAAGGTTCAACGAGCGTATATGTAGGGTCAATATACGGCCTGTAGGAGTAATCGAAGGGAGAGTCGTAATGAGAGTCCCAGTACTGAGTGTAGCTGTCCTCAGCGGCCGAGTCCCTCCCGCGAGAACGAGAACGGGGAAATATTTCGATTGATGAAAGGTCGGGACATAGCCTCCCTAATTGGATATCGCGGATCCGCTCTCTTAGTTCTTGCATTGTGTCCTGGATCCTCTGATATATTCGCCCGCGCCGAGATTCGACATCCAACTCTGCCTGATTGTTGTATCTATGGTCGGTTTCATAGGTATGCTCATATGGCAACGGTATCGGGTTATTGTCAAGTGCCTCGACCGCCGCGATCTCCCTCTTCCAGCGAGCAACAACCAGAGGTGCCAGACTTTGTTGATGCTCCCTACACAAAACGTGCGGGGCGATAAGTTCGAAAAAGTAGTCAACATGCCGTCCGGCGCGGAATTGCGTGGTGGCCATATCGAGGAAGGTTTGGGCGATGTCGCGGTCTCGTGGGGAGGTTTCGGTGTTGCAGCGGCGGCCTTGCGAGATGCCGTACCCAACACATCGCGGTTCTCGGGTTGGCTCTAGGCCTAGGATCCAGCAAAGGTGTGGTCTATTAGTGTATATTGATGTCATGGTTGGATTAGTATTGGTATTGAGGGTTCTTGGTGGGTGCGTAAGGAACATAGTCTTGAGAGGACTGAGCCTGGCTTTATACTAAGTACCGAGGTCGACTATACGAGATGAGGCTGACCGGGTCTGCCTATGATGCAAACGCCCATACCGCAGAAGGGTCATGCATCTGTGGCGTAAGGCTGAGTGCATTGGCGCGTATCGTTGTCAGTATACTATAGGCGCACGCCAGCAGCGCTTAGAGATCGAGATCACAAGGAGCATGTGGCGGTGCAAGAAAAACGTCTCGTGGGCAAGGGTGTTATTTGAGCCTAAACTTAGTTTATTTGATAGGATCGGTGTGTTTGGATTTCTGCGTGTTTACTGTGCCGTTTGCTCGCATAGCCTCGTTGGCGGCTGTAATGGTGTTCTCATTGGGTTCCGGTATCTTGGGAATTCAGACATGACTTATGAGTAATTTAGGGATAGCTCGTGATGTGGAATTAATTCAAGCTCATGGATGAGGTGGTTGGATAATGAAGGACGTGTGGAAGGTTGAGTTGGGATACGCCTTGACACTTATTAGTGCCAGCTCAGCCATCAGAGTATCCTACTATCATAGGCTCTGGAGATGGGATAAAGTTTGTTGACACCATCAACAGACCAAACATATTCTGGATACTCCGCCGATGTGAAATATACTCCAGTATTGTTGTAATGGACTATACTAACTATAAACACTGATTTCCAACAGAATCACCTCAAGGACACTCAAGGCTGTATCTCATTAAGCTCCCACGAATATAGCATCACGCAGCAACAGCCCCCGAGTCCCTAACCAGCGTCCTCAACTCCCCCACCACTCTCTCCCTATCCCATCCCTCCCTCAACCCTCTAACCAACAACTCCTGCTCACTCTCCGGCGCCATCCCATTCGGCGCCGGGGGCCTCGCATCCAGATTCGTCGGAAACGGATACCCATCACCCACAGCCCTCACAAGCGCATCCAACTCCCCATCCACATTCCCCCCCGCGGCCTCAAACCGCTTCACCATCTCCCCCCAGCACCGCTCCACAATCGGCGCCGCCTCAACAGCCTCCATCGTCTTCCCCAACCCACACCCAATCTGCAACAAATTTGCCTTGCGATGGAACCCACCCAGCCCGTCCGCACCCGCTGGCGGCGTCTCATTCGCACCCGCAGCGTGGAACACAGCCGGGTTAAAGAACAGCCCGTCGCCCAGCGCCAACGGCAACGCAATGTACTTCTCCTGGAAGAATGTGCGGAACTCGTCTCGGCGCCACGCGAGATACCCCGACTCATACGTCTGGCTGAAGGGGAGGAATCTCGTTGGGCCCGACGCGGGGGGCATGTCGCTGTGCGCGACTGCGCCTTGGAGGGTAAGGTATTGGCTTGCGCGGTGGATGGAGCGCGGGAAGGCAGCGCAGGCGTCCAAGTCCTGGAAACCGAGGTGGTAGTCGCGGTGGCTGTCTTGTGCTGCGCCGCCGGGTTTAACGATGTTGACCTGCGCAGTGACGCGGTATGCAGGGCCGAGCCAGGCCTCGCTGACGGTTTTGAGCCAGGGGTTGGCGTAGTAATCTGCGAAGGAGGTTGGATCGGCGAAGGCGTGTTTGGAGAAGGAGTTCCAGATGCGGTCGTTTTTACCGCCCGCCGCGAAGTGGTCGCCCTTTTTGGCGGTCCATTGGCGCTCTTTGTCGATTATGTGTTGGAAAGCGGTGTTTGTTGCGGCTAGGGTGGTGTTGTACCGGGATGGGTCGTACATGCCCTTGAGAACGAAGATGCCCGGGCCTGATTCGAGGATGTCGTACCATTCGTCTTGGAGGGGGCCTGTTTCGGATTGGTTGAGTGGGTTGAACGTTGAGGCGTCATAGATGGGGATATTCTTTTCAATGGTTGATGCGAGTGGGTAAGTGTTAGGATCTGTGGTGCGCGAGCAGATCTTTTTGAAGTCCTCGATGTTGACGGAGGATTCGGCGTGGAAGAGTCTGTTGTGGGCGGCCCTGGAGTGCCCGTTTGTGTGTCCGTTTGTTACCGCCATAATCTCGATATATGTTATTTGGTATATCTCCAGTATGCAGTATGTAAGTGATAGCTGTATGGCGGGGAAGAGCGGGGCTATAAATCAGCAGCACTGGACGAAGGATTCCGAATTGCGTCCGGAAACAACACCGAGTCGTCCACCGGGGAGAAAAATGCACAGTTTACCCACTTTAGCCAGGCCAATAGTGTATCGGATTTTGAATTTATTGCTAAAAGCATGAACGGCAAAAGCCTCAACTGCAAAGAAACAGCTCGCCCATGTGAGGCCCGGAAACCTAATCCCGGCTCTAGGGCTGTATGACTTCATGGTATAATGTTTTCTGAATAGCTAGACACAGCTATCTAGGAAGCCGACAATGGATGCCAGATAAAAGTAATGCTTCCAATGCCGTAAGAAAGGTCAGATGTGCCACTCAGTCGAAAAGTATACAACTTCTTCCACGGATCTGATTTAAACAATACATGTTCTAAGAAGTCCAGATATAGAGTAGAGAGATGTGGCCGAAATAATATGGCATATTGGTATCAATTAAAGTCACGCCGCCAGAACCAATTTCTATAAGATTTGATGTCACCAGAAACGGTTGACATACAGAGACAGAGCAGATGGCTCTCCGGCCAAAGTGGTGATCATGGAAAATGGGGAAAGAGGAATGTAGTGGGAGATGGGGTGAAGAAATAAGTCCATCGTTGAGTCTCATGCTATGCATTCATCGTAGCTTCAATATCAGAGCATGGGGGTATTTGGGGCGGTTCGCTCAATAGCATTTGATTCAGTAAGGGTAAGCGGGTTTTCAGACAACGTCTCGTTCAGCAAGTCGAGTGGTCTGGCGACGGTAAACAGGATTTTAAGTAAGATGCTCTGCGTCCCAGGTGTTGACTCGGATGGTCTTCTGGTGTGACTCACGAAAATCCGGATCAGCGACCGGATGTACTCGTCCGTTGACAAATCTTGTAGTCGGTCTAGCCCGTCCACAACGCACATCAGAAGTGGCGGTGCATAGTAGAGTAAGGAGTCAATTAGCGATAGCACTTCCTTCCACGATGCCAGAGTGCCGTCCAGGAGCGCGAAGCTTTCGGCCTTGACTGTATGGGCGGGCGAGCCGTTCACTACTGGAGGTAGATACTCTAGTAATTGGCGTATCAAGCTGTATACAAGCGCTATAAGACCCTGTTGGAAGAGAGTCATTCCAGTCTTTGCTGTCGGCGGGAGAGAGCAAAAGTGGGCGATGATGGGGGCTTTGGTGTCTTGTGCGAGGTTGGCGTAGAAGGCCGATATTAGAGCGACGGGGCTTGCATTGGCATCCGACAAGTTGCCAATGGCAAGGACTTGAGAATAATTTCCGGTGGCCCACTGATTTAATGATTCCACAACAGTCTGTTCCACTATTATGTCGATGGTGGGATCATAATCGGGGATCTGATCATCATTATCAAAGTACTCTTGGAGATGTGCTGTGGCCGACTGTAGCTCCACTCGTGAGTATTTGTGCTTGTGCTTTTCTGGAGACGCGGCAGTCACAACTGGGAAATATCCTTTGTCAGTTTTATGTCCTTTCTTACTCCATCACAACCCGTTGTCACTTACGCAAATCCTGACCAGGCGCCGTCGTCAAGCAAACGATGGCGCTATTCTGTTCACCAACCGGCCGCAGTCGCTGGCTCGCTTCATTGAACAGTTGTAAAAGAAGCTGACCCCTGTTCTCTCGCAGCTTTAGCCGCTGTTCCGCGCTATGCTGGATTTCCCATATCAAAAGACGAGTTAGGGCATTCTGGGCTGCAAGCCGCCTGTCAATATTCCGTCGGCCTATCTGGCTCAACCTCGCGTCCTCCCACAAGAACAGATCAGGGTGCTGCATTACGGTATCTGCCATCTCAATGTCACTATCACTGAGTTCTCTAACACCCTTAAAAGCGTGCATAAACCCTCGTGCACTATTTTGTATACTCGAAACTAGGTTGCCAAAGTCGATATAGACGTTTTCGTGGCGGCTTTGTAGCAGTCGGCACTTGAATCGCCGGGCGTACCAGTCCATTAATTCTCCGATAAAGAAGAAGAGAAGGGAGTAGAAATAAGCTATCGACGGTATGGAATCGCTGGTGAGCTGATGCTCGCTATCTTCCGGCAGGCAGATAGACTGATTCACTTTGACCAGGGCTTTCATGACTCCGCCTATAACCCTTGGATATCTTGAAGACGCCTGTACCGTACTAGATATTAGAGACAATGATGGATGGGATGAATACGGGAGGTCATGTTTACCTTGATGATGGATTGTAGAGTGCCGCAGAGAAGAGTAGAATAAAACTGATGACTAGGAAGAGTCATCAACAGCGCCATATGGGCGTCAAGCGTAGATGAAAAAGCATCACAAAGAGTTATCGAATGACTGAATAACTGCTTCTGTGGACTGGAGGTCCATGATGCTTGAATGTCGCGGACCAGGGTTTGGACATCTTGGGTAGTTTGTGGGCGTTCTTTGAAGAGCACCTGCTCTGATAGAGGCAGTAACTCTTGGAGACGCTTCCAGGCTTTGGTAAGCTCATTATACTCTATATCGAGAGTCGCAATAACAGGATATCTAGGGCAGTTAGTATAGCTCTATGCGGGTTTGAGGGCTCTGGGCCGGACAAGCAGAGGCGAGACGACAAACTCGAAACGGGGGTCGAAAGCAGCACAATCACTTACGGAGAAAGGCGTCGAGCGTCAAATCTTTTTTTCCAATATATGACGGGAAACTGGCCATCATCTGGACTTTGGGGGGCAGCCGGGGAGCTGGCGATGGCTGGAGGCGGCATTGTGTAGACCGGCGGTGCACGAGGACTTGTCTCATCGATGAATCCGGCACAATCATGCCAGGGGCGAGACGTAGGGGGGGAAACTGGGCCACTCAGCATCAGCGAGCAGATCCTGAGCAGGGCTGAGACCCTTTCCACAGGCGGTTTGCCAGTTCGTTATCTGACGCTGAATGTGCGCATTGTGGTTCTCTGAGACTCCGCGGGAGGGCCCGCTCGGCGACTGGACTTTTTCCCTCTTGGATGCGTCTAGAAACCACGAGTGTGCGACGGGGAAGGCCAGAATCTGCAGCGACAGGGGCAGTATTCACGCCGAAACAGATAAATGCCGGTAATTAGGTTTTGCTGAACCGCTGGGGTCAAAAGGGCGATGGGAGTGGGAGTGAAGAGGGTTGCAGTGGGAAAAGACTGCCTGGCAGTGGGAAAGCACGGAGTCGCACCAGTGGACGCTTGGAATTTTAAGTCTCTGCTATAAGGGATATTATGACTATTCGCCCAGCTATTAATCCTCTCAGGGCATTATTTGGAGAGATTTACCACCCTTGATGCGAGCATCGCATGTGCCCTGCAGCTGAAGGCGCCCAGTGAACTCTACTAATATAGTTGAAATAGAGGTACCGCGGCCAAGTATATTAAGCGCCGTGCTCCAATTCTCTTCACTGCCGTGTCCTCAGCCTGAACTGGGCTCTCCAAGTCATCCGCAACCATGGCCATGTAAAACCAGGAAACCTGGAAAGCTGGAAAGCCGCCCAGGCTGGATCAGCAGTTTTGGAGGACTCACACCCTCAAAAACGCCTCCCTGGCACCACAGGCCAATGGCGGGCGGGACGAGACGCAGCAGATGTTCGAGGCCCCGAATAGAAGCGGGGATGCGCAGAAGACAAGGCAGCCTGGGGCCTATAGCCGGGCGGCGGTGCTAATTCTGGCTTCACCAACCGGACTGGCCGGGGTTGGCGATTTGCCTTTCCTGCTCAATTGCAGCCGCTTCTTGTTTTCTTCAGCCTGCTGCCATCACGCTCTCGCTGCCAGCTCCGCGGGATCCTGTTTTGAACGGCATCTGACAGCATCATCCGACTGCCCTTGGACTCCCGGTGCTGTGAGCTTGTCTCTCCTTGCACTTTAAACTCCCAGCCTTATCAGCACGGACTCATGCCCCATCGATCCTGATCCTTCCGCTGTCCCCTCCAGGTGGAAATGATAAACAGCTCACTGGCACGGTGCTCTTTTCTTTTTGTCCCCAGTATTCAAAGTTTTTCCCATTCCTCCACCGAGATGCCATCATCTGCGGATCATGGTACTGTCGCCTTGCCTTTGGATGAAGCTTTCCTGTCATTCGGTTCCATGATTCCATCGACCCAAATCGCCTATTCAATTCAAATCTTGTTCTTTTTTGCTCTGCCGATCACCTTTCTCGTGGATCTCCTGGACTGGACGTATCACCACATCTTCGCTTTCGCCAATGCGATGGTGCAGTCGCCATTCCCTCTGCGAGCAAATGTGGCTTTCTGACTCAAGCCAAATGTCGCCAACAGACGGTCTGGACCAGCCTGTTCCGCCGATAACCACGTCATTATGGGGTTCCTCGCCTACAAATACTTAAACGATTTGAAGACATTCTCGACCCAAACAACAGCACATAATACTTTCAGGCAGCCCAATGCCCTTAAATTCCCATTGTTATCTAGGTTCAAACCCTATCTACGATTAACGTTAAGGTAGATCCCACCAGTATTTCGATCGAGCCGCCAGCAGTTTGTTATCGTACTTCTTGAGCATCGCCTCTCACCTTGCTATACAAGTCAGCAGGAGCTTTCGAGCCTTGGGAGCACCTCAGCCAAAGGTTACACCGCACATTCATACGACGCAGCACGACTGATTGGACCCTTCTAGCTACCCAGCAAACCATTGGTGTCATTATCTTCTCTTACCCCTGGATCTTTAATCTGAAAACATCCTTTGCCGGCCCATAATGCCGGTAGCATTCCAAATTCCCAAATGCAACAAACTGAAACTAACCCGTGATCCGAGAGCGATCAATCACACTTAAGCAGTCCCTGATGACCATGCGACAGCTTGTGGTTTGAAGCTTTTTTAATCGGGCGATTGATTACTCTTGCTTTCAATTCAAAGAAGGGATTGAAGAACCCGTCCCGGTATGGACTTGAGTTTGGAAGTGTTTCGGACGCAGACGCCATGCTGCAATACGATCCTTGGGCTCACAGTGTATGGTAAACTTGCGCGAGTTGAAACTGCAGTCTTCACCGACCATTTAACTGGCTGAATCAAGAGCAACTAACCATCCAACGAGCAGCCAAACTTCCCTCACGACGGCAGGCTCGTTCATTGGAGTTTGTCGCAATGGATTTCGCAAAACATTATGGAGACTCATGCCACTGAACATGAATCGCTAAGACAGACCTACTGCACGATTCGACGCCTTAAACTCAATACTTAGCCAACTAATAAAGTAGATTATGTGGACTGTGCCTGAGCGCTTGCACGCCCATAGACTTGGATCTTTTGCGAACCGAAGGAGAAATATTGACCTAGGAGGTCCACATTAACAGATGTCAGGTTGGAGCTGCTCCAATCGAACTCCGTGGAGATCTGCTATCTGAGAGACAGCGGGGAACATGAATTGTAGAGTGCAGCCAACGCTGCCAGTGTATCTCAATCAATCACGTCCGTCGACAGTCAGAAGACGGGATGATCTACGGTCGATCCGTAGGACCTGATTTACCTTCCAAATTGAGCAATACTCCCCGCTTTAGTTTCCCTCCCCGCTGCGGGCAGTGGCATCAGCAATGCCTTTGACAGCTGCATGGAGTACTTCGACTGGAGTTGGAGTCGAGGGGTTGACGACGTAGTATAGTACCCTGGAAACTTAATACAAAAAAGCGGCTGGAAGCCTGATAGCACTGTGTACTTGCTCGCTACTGCGCCCATGTATCCAGACTTACCTGTGGAATGGAACTACATATCAGGCCAACGGGCTTGCAGCTTACATGCTCTCGGGTAAAGAAATCGCCCATATCAGATGAGCAGCCCGAGTCTTCGATACACTACCAATGTGATATCTTGACAAGCATGTGCTGGTCATTACTCCGGTCCCGGAGTTGATATGCTGATCATTTTCCATGGATGTGGAGAGCCGATTGGGGTTATCAGTAGCGAACGACTTGTAGAATCCCTGGAAGTCGAAAGGCTGGAAGCTGGATATAGTAACGAAGATTCAGAAGTCACAGGGCAGAGTGGTGAGCTTCTTATCAAGTTCATGGACACACGCCCGATTGGATATCCTCATATTGAATGAGCAGAAGTGAATGACCATGTGGCTGGAAAGGTCGATGGCTGGCAGCGATTCCCACGTGATGATTCCCGGTCGCCGAGAGAAGTGAGGCTGGGCGGAGTGGGCTGTGCATGGGGAGCTGACGAATCTCTCCATCATAAGCCAGCGACCGAGGAAATCGCTTTCGTTGTTCATTGTGTGTTTTCGAGCGCAATTGAGCAGGGGAAAAAGAGTGCCTGCATTAAGAAATACTACGGGATTGTTGAATTGAAGGCGTGCCTGTCTCCCTGTGTTGCGACCGCTTTCGGCGGCATTGTTGGAGTCCTTTCAAGATCTCCGTGCCAGTTGGCAGGCGATCCCCGCATCGTCACGCATTCGGCCCTCCATCGGCCATAATCAAATTGTTTGGTTGGATATCGTCACTCGGTGATCCATGGTCCTGGTTTGGAGTCTGTTTCGATTCGCGGTAGTCTCCGATGCTTTTCCTGGTAAACCTGCCTCGTTTCTTTTCGGCGTTTCTCCGCTGGGTTTCCCTGTTGCCACTTATCTGAGACGGATGACGGGAGGATGGGCTGAGAATAGAACGGGAGAGTGACTGGAATTGGAGCGACCGCGCATTCAGAAACGAGATGAAAAAGAAAGAATGGCCGCGGCCAGAGTCAGCATTATTGAACTGTAAAATAGAACCGCTGGAGAGGGGACTGTGTAGTGAGAAAGTTCGACTGCGACATTGATGGGCAACTCTGGATCCGTCGAGTCTCGCTTTCATCACGTTTCCGGCCCTGAACTCTGCCCAAACCTTCTTCTTGATAGAGTCTCGTGCTTTGGGGCCATTATTATTCTATTGTCCAGTTGATAATTGCAATTATGAGATATATTTGAGATACGAGCAGTCCACCGGATCCCCCGGCACAAGCCACTCCATCGATCGATTCCATCCGCCCCCTCTTTCATCAGCCTGGTTTATCCTGGCACTTCCCCCTCCACTCATCTCCAGCTGTGGATATTAATCCTCTGGCTGCCGTTTCTTTGAACCGGACTTCTCGGTCTCACTTCCCTCCGCTGCGCCCCAATTTCTTCCTCAACTTGTTCTCCCCAGGTACGAATACGCTGCACCGGAGCTGCGGATGCAATTCGTCTGTCCGGATACCCAGGCGATCGAGTGAAACTAACCGCCTCTTCCGTAGTGATCGCCCAACTGCTGCGTTGCAATTCACGGTGATATCACTGAGAGTCTGGGCAGAGCCTTGGAAGCTGGTGGATTCCCTCTTTTTTCGCCATTTCGTTGCTTCTTTCTGTCCCACTTCTGCTCCTGCGAGAGATCCGTGACCTAATGATCTTCCACGATTCCCCATATCCTCCGACGTCTCCGTAAGCCCTTGCAAGTCACAACCCGTGGGGAAATTTCCTTGTCATCCACCTGGGTCGTCGAGTCGTGTCTCTTCATTCATGGGTTCTTTTCTCTCTCTTCACCCCTCCTCCTCCTCCTCTGACTTCTCCTCCTCTCGTCTCTTTTCCTCCTCTGCTCTTTCGCTCCTCTTCCTTCTTTCCACAGTCCAGACTGTGGGCTCGACGGTCCTGCCCTCAAATAACACCGGGGCCCTCTTGCAGCAGCGCTTTCAATTAGGAAGCACTCAAGTGGACCTGCCTCGGGACTCGAGCATTGCCCCGTTGACCCAGTCTCTTGTCAGCTTGGGCAACCGTCAGCTTAGGGTAAGTCCTTCCATACATCCAAACCCAACCCACGCCGGCGTATCCGGTCCTCGTATCCACCACATCCGTCCGCTTACGGGGGCTGTGAAAATAAATATAAAATACTAATGACTGTCTAGAGTTTCAATTTTACTGGGGATCTTGTTCAGGTGTCCGCTGGCAACTCGCCGTCGCTCCAAACGAGTGATATCGCCTTCGTCCCCTGCGACGACTCTGCTTATTTTGGGAACTTGGATGCGAATGAGACCCTGAATATCATATTGGGCAAAAATCCAGTAGCGGTCCTTCTGTATAGCACGACAACATCGGCCTGCAACTACACCGCTGAAGAACAGAGCGACTACGAGCGCCTGTTCACACTGCTGAGTGCGGACACTGCCAAGTCGATTGAAACGCAGCTCGGTGATTCGAATCGAACGGGGTCGTCATATATCGTGCCCGACATGGCATCATTCGCTCCAACAGGTTCCTTTGAGGATGATTCGGGAGGTGGTGGTGGCGGCGGCACCGACAGCCCTAACACGGGTATGTGTTATGATCTTCTAACGGCCGTGGTGTATTGCTAATAACCTCTGCAGCTATGATCATCCTTTACAGTATCACTGGTATCATCACAGCACTGTTTCTATCCATCATCATCACCGGCGCTATCCGAGCCCACCGTCATCCCGAACGATACGGACCACGGCAACGACCAGGACGACCACGTCAAAGTCGAGCAAGGGGAATGGCAAGGGCGATGTTGGAAACAATCCCGATCGTGAAGTTTGGAGATGCCCCCGACGGCAAGCTGGAGAACGACAAGGGAGATGTGGAAATGTCGGTCGAGTCCGAGATCCCAGCCTCGCAGTTACGAGAAGACGATCAAACTCGCCAATCGCCAATGGTTACTGGTGGTACCACGTCACCGACGCCCGGTGAAACGACAGAAAACCGGGATGCCACGACTGCGCCTGAATCGAATGAGGAAAAACGAACTGGTACCGAGACATCAACAACAGACCACCCCAACTTTTCATGTCCGATTTGCACAGATGACTTCGTCAAGGGCCAGGATCTGCGCGTCCTTCCTTGTAACCATCAATTCCATCCTGAGTGTGTCGATCCATGGTTGGTGAATGTGTCAGGAACCTGTCCTCTTTGGTATGCCACCAACTCACATTAACCTTTTTAACTATGTTTTACTCCTACTAACTAAACCCAGCCGAATCGACCTCAATCCATCACAACCTGAGGGCGAAGGTGAAAACCAAGAAGGCGAAGCCAATGCCGAAGGACAGCAACAAGACGAAACAACAAACAACAGCAATAACAATAACAACAACCAAACGGAAGAAACACAACCACACCGCCACCGCCGGATAAGCAGCTACCTCCACAGTACCCTGAACGCCCGTCGCATGCGTGACGCTAGTGTTGAGGAACGCCTCGCCGCACTCCGAAGCATCCGCGAAGAAGCCAACCGCGACCCAGAAAACGAGACCGAGAATGAGCAACGCCGTCGTCGAAATCGGCTAACGACGAGGCTCCGGGAGCGGTTCCGGGTCCGTACTCGGGCGCATGGTGCGGCGGCTGATGAGTCTGGTGCTGCCACTTTTGCGGGCACTGACACGCCGGCGCCCGCCGCTTCGCAGAGCCAGAGCTAGAGTCGACAACGTGGTATGGCTCTGCACCATATATATACGTTCCCCTCCTTCACTTTTCACTTTACTTCTTGTCTATCCTTTATCTTGTCTCCACTTGGAGAAGTATATTTACGTACTGTACTGGTTTGGTTCGGGAATTCTGCATGGCCGGCCTGCATTATTACGTTTGGAATTTGTCACGACTTGCTTTTATTTGCTTGAGCACGGGATACACGGCGTTATTAGAGATTTGGGCGGCTGGATTCAAAATATGGGATTTCTGTGTATATCTTGGGTCTCTATAACACGAACTATGAGATTATGTGGATACAATGCATATTTAACTCGACTCTGTGCATTCACCTGGGTATTTATACGCAAATTTTAATTATAGAAGTAAAGAAGAGGAGAACGGGGTGAGGGGAAGGCAAGAGGGGGATGGACCTATACCCCAATCCAAGTGCCCTCCCTCACAGCAAAGACCCCACGGGGTCGAACGGAGTCCACTGACTAACCCTCAGAAGCAGACGGAGATGAGGAGAAAAAAAAATCACCATTCTCTTACTAAAATTACGTAGTGAGGCCGTGAGGGGAGCGACCCCAAGACAACCCCCAAGACCACCAAGGGGCTAAATTTACCTAATTCTGACCTGAATTCAATTTTTCGTTCTCCATCCGGCGAGGAGATCCGAGTGCAGTGAACAGGCCCGGGACGATATTAACCGGAGGCAGCCAGGAACCCGCCCGGAAGAATGTCGAGAAAACACGGGGCCGAGCCAGCGTGCCTGGCAAAGCAATGCTGGGATAATCAAGGGTAATTTATTATTGTTGGACTTTGTGTGGGAGTCGGGGCATGTCCGGGGTCCGGGTAATTCTCGTAATCGTTGCGTCCGCAGGCGAGATCAGGAGTGTGGAGAGATGTGTCAGGGCTGAGACGAAACAAGACTGGGCTGGGCGATGACCGTTCCGGCCGAGGTGGTTGGTTGGTCATAATCCGGGCCTGGCTCCATCGACTCCATCAAGGGGACGATTTGATTCCATCTGGTGGTGGTCAGGGAGGAGGGAGGACTCCGTTTATTGTCGCGAGGGGAGTCGGAGAATTGTCTGGGCTGTCGATGATTCTCGTTCCCCGCATCAGTAATACAGAGATGCTCTCTTCAGTTCAGGACACTCGGTGTCGCAGCGCCAGGGAATTGAGGCTTCAGGATTAATTTGTATAGACGTATCTACACTGTCGGACTGTAGGCGTAGGAGTCCAACATGTGATGTCGTCATACGCCCATCGGCCTCGGTTCCTTTCGGGCTTCATGAGCATCTGTTGACGCGCGAGAGTTGAGGCATTTATTTACTTAAAGCAAGGCGGATGACATGACAGGATTCACTTTTCTGGGCTGTCGGATTTCGAATTCCCCTCAGGCCAGTTCCAGCTTACTATTGGAGACCGCGGCCAACCGGTGAACGCAAGCAGCAATCCATTGTGGTGTGACTATTTAACTGCGCGCAAATAAAATCTTCCATCATGTCCGCTTCCACTCCCTCTTCGTCTTCTTCTCTCGTTTCCACCGCGAAATCCCGTCTTGCCTCTATCTCCTCGCACATCATGGGTTCTACCAGCGCCCCCGTCTTTTCCACCTCCGTCGTGCCCTCTGCCCCGGAGGATCCCCTCTTCGGCCTCGCCCAGGCTTATCGCCAGGACCCCTCTGACAAGAAGGTCGATCTGGTCATCGGAGCTTATCGCGACGACCACGCGAAGCCTTGGGTTCTTCCCGTCGTGAAGAAGGTTCGTCCCCGAGTGGCGGCTATTTACGGGCTTGCCAACTCTTATCGAGCCCCCAACATCAAGTTTATCAGTTGCATCAGGATGAGCTAACGCAACAGTAAATCCAGGCAGATGATCTCATTCGCAACGACCCCAATCTCAATCACGAATACCTCCCAATCAAGGGTCTCGCAGACTACACGACGGCCGCCCAGAAGCTTATCGTCGGCGCCGACTCCCCCGCCATCGCCGAAAACCGTGTCTGCACATTCCAAACTATTTCTGGCACAGGTGCCGTCCATCTCGGAGCTCTCTTCCTCTCCAGATTCCACCCCAAAAGCCCCAAGCCCTCCCTCTACCTCTCCAGTCCCACCTGGGCAAACCACCACCAAATCTTCACAAATGTCGGCTTCACCCTCGCCAACTACCCCTACTTCTCCCCGCAAACGAAAGGCCTCGACTTCGATGGCATGCTAACAGCCATCCGCTCCGCCCCCGCGGGCTCCATCATCCTCCTCCACGCCTGCGCCCACAACCCCACAGGCGTAGACCTCACCCAGGACCAATGGAAGGAAGTCGCTGTCATCATGCGCGAGCGCTCCCACTTCCCCTTCTTCGACTGCGCCTACCAGGGCTTCGCCTCCGGCGACCTGAGCCGCGACGCCTGGGCCATCCGGTACTTTGTCGAGCAGGGCTTCGAGCTCTGCATCGCGCAGTCCTTCGCTAAGAACTTCGGCCTCTACGGCGAGCGCACAGGCGCTTTCCACTTCGTCTCCGCCCCCGGCGCCGAGGCAACACAGTCCTCAGCCCACGTCGCCTCGCAGCTCGCCATCCTGCAGCGATCAGAGATATCTAACCCGCCTGCCTATGGCGCGCGCATCGCAAGCAAAGTCCTTAACGACCCGTCATTGTTTGCGCAGTGGGAGGATGATCTGCGGACGATGAGCGGGCGGATTGCGGAGATGCGCTCCGGCCTGCGTCAGCGGCTGGAGAGCAAGGGGACGCCTGGGTCTTGGAGGCACATCACGGATCAGATTGGCATGTTCAGCTTCACGGGCCTGACGGAGGCGCAGGTCAAGGTGTTGCGTGAGAAGTGGCATGTTTATATGGTATGTTTAAACGTTTGCTCCACTGATCTAACCATATTGGAAATGGCATCCAACTAACCGTCTACTCTATTTTACAGACTAAGAACGGCCGCATCTCCATGGCTGGTCTGAACACGCATAACCTGGATTACTTCGCCGAGGCGGTCGACAGTGTTGTGAGGGAGACGTCGTGATTTTGTCTACCTACCTACCTATCTACCTACCTACTACTGTACAAACTAGCATCTCTCTCTTTCTGTCTCTTTGGATGATTCCCCCTTTTATCTAACTGCATCCATCTGTCTCTGTATTTCATCCAGACTCACTTGTTTCTGGTCAATTCGATTCGGTTGTCATACCATACCATATCTTATTCCCCTTTGCCAGTTTTCCTACAGATCTGGGTATTCAAGTCTATTTGCTTTCCGTCATTTCAAGGAATGGTCCGATAAAATAACCGCGGAGACTGTTCTGGAAGACAAAATTTAGGATTTGAAGTCTCATGTTTAGTACTTCTAATAGATTGCTTCTCTCCCATATATATCTATATTCGCATACATATAAACGTATCGGTAGATGCGAGAGAGAACGTTAAAAGGTTAATATCTAGTTTAAAAAACCAAATCCCAAACAACCAACCACGTGCACAACCCGACTGTCCCCCAAAACACGGCCTGCGCGGCACTCCGCTTCTCGCTCGCACGCTTCAACTCCTTGTTCCCCTTTCCGATGTTCGTCTCCGTGTTTAATGCATCGGCGACCATCATCCCGACGTACTCTTCCTGCGTGGAGAGGTGCGTTACGAGGGTTTGTTGCAGGGATGAGATTTCAAGGAGCGATTTCTCGGCATTTCTATTCAGCAAAGGAAAGGGAGCTTTGGTTAGCGTTGTGTCGCTTTCGAATTGGGAAAATGAATGAGGGGAAACGTACTGTACTTTATTCAGAGTATCCTCGTAATACCGCACCATGGAGTCATTCTCCTCCGCAAACAGCTGCAGTTGTTCTGGCGAGAGTTCTGCTTCAATGGCTGCGACCTCGGCAGCGTCAAGCGTAGTGCCTTTAGTCGTGGGTTCTGTCAATTCCAGCGCAGCGTCGGGGTATGTTGATGGCGCGGATATTGAGACTCCACCACTACCACCACCACCGGCAGCTGCTGCACCTCCACCAAACCCAGAGCCAGAATTAAGAACCGGCGACGTCGAAGTTGCAGCTTTATACAAAACACTCTTCTCCCGCTCCTTCGCCCGCTCGATCCGTTTCTCGACCATATCGCGCTGCATCTCGATGGTTCCTTCTAGTCGGCGACTCAGGAACCACAGGATACTCTCGCGCACGCTCTTGAGGAGATTCTCGGTTTGTTCGTCGTTGATCTGCTCTGGCTTCTTCCCTGCATCATCTTGACCTTGGTCCTGGCCGAGGGCCGAAGAACCCGACGCCCATTGGAAGAGAAGACTTGATGCCTTTGAGCGCTTCCGGCCATATTTCTTGTCGAGGAGTGTGGAGTGGGTTTCCTGGCGGAGGGTTTCGGCGGAGGACAGGTTCGATATTGAGGTTGAGAGGGTGTGGAGGAGGGAGGAGGTTGAGCTTGTTATGTTGTCGAGTTCGGCTGCGGAGAGGAGGGGTTCTTTCTCCTTGGCCTTGGAGGAGCTGGAGTGCGCGGTTGACGGGGAGTTGCGGTGCTTGGGTTTATTGGTTGCGGAGTGGGTTGAGATGCTTAGGTAAGATGGGCGGATTTTGTGCAGGTGTGCGAGAAGTGAGGAGATGTGTGTATTCTAAGGCCATTGTTAGTATTGGCGTTGTTGGAGGGGAGGTGCTGGCGTACGATTCGGTAGGCTTCTTTGAGGAATTCATCGGCGGTTTTGGTGGTGAGGGGTCGGGGGTGCAGGGATAGGGATTTGTCCTGTTTGTGGAGCAGGTCGGTGAAGGTGGCCGTTAGTTCTGACATATTGGCTGTATCAAGCGCTATCGCAGCATGCTTGAGCTGAAGCTGAGTTGATGTTGATGTTGACGTCGGGTGGAGATCAATCGGAAATGCTGAGCTGGAAGTAAACTGGGCGCCGATCCCGTGATCCCCGTGCCCTACAAGCTACGACAGGTTAAGTTACGCCGACGAGGAGAAATTAAGATTATTTATTGCTATTTGACTAAAATAGAGACCTGGTATCATTATGGGTATAAATGCTAGTATATACAGAAACACATATGCAGGGTATAACTCGCTCACGCTTAAATCATCCGTCGTTCCTCAACCCATATCTGCAGTCACCAGTTAGCAAGGAAACTATTAAACATAAAGGGCGTAGGTTGCATACCTCCATCTTTCCCATTTCACTTCCTTCTCGCCGGGCAATCTCTTTTGACGCCATGAGCAATAGGTCAAGATCTTCCTGATCTACCATTGTGATCATATCCCCCTCATCCTGCATCTTGATCTTCAGCGCCATCTGGAAGCCAAACTTCTCCCGGATCCTAGCCTCAAACTCTGCAAACCCAACCGACGGGCCGATAATTATGTATCGCGTGTCCTCTGATGAATGCACCTTGACTCGGAACTTGCGCACCTCCGGTCGGCGTGCATACCCATGCGCCGGGCCGCGGCTACATGATCGTGCTCGTTGTTGCGAACCCATAATTTCAAACCCTGCATCTGGCCGTACATCCTCATCACATGGTGAGCTTCCGTACTCCTCTTCCTCGTCGATGTAGCCTTGTTGTTGGAAATGTCGTCCGCCATTCGCTAGCGCCATTACTCGAGCTTCACCATACCCTCCGTACGGGTCGTCGGAGTAGCCGATCTGTATCCCAAATCCTGTGTCACTCACTCCCCGCTGGTGGCCATGCCCTTCGCGCGGATATCCTTGTCTCTCTGGCGCATATCCACGAGGTGGTCGTGCGGAGCCCCGCGGCTCCGACGCTGTGCGGATTGTTCCAATGCGCGGCTTCTCTGGGGCGCTAAGGTCCGTGCTGCTCATTCCAGCTACCTGGGCACCGGGACGGTCAAGATCGAGTTTCGGTGGGCGTTGTGCCTTTGTAGGTTGGGTGCGGTTGCTAGACCCGCCGATGCTGCCGGATGAGCTGCTGAGACTTGCTTTGTCTGTGTCTGGGGGTGGTGTAGGTGGGAAGAGATTTCGGTTCATGGGAGGCTCTGATTGCTGACGGCTGCGGCTCGTTAAGTTCTTTTGGACTAGGTGCGATGTCGCAAATGGCACGCTATCTGCTGTTCTATGGGTTGTTTCGACTGGTGTGCTCATTCGGTTCGTGGCGACCACGCGTGACTTGCCCAGGTAGTCCTTGCTCTTGAGATTCTTGACTTTGGCCGCATTTGGTCGGTATACCACTCCTACTGGAATAGAAAACACAGTGTATCCCTGAGACCTTTGTTAATGTCGCTGCGAAACACCCGAGGACAGGAGGCACTTACTTCTGCTCTTTCTCTAATAGCGTCGTTGATAACATCGTGGTCTGGTGTGACTTTCTCTTTGGAGGCAAACTCAATATCCTGCATACCTGGCCCAACCTGCTGTAGATAAATGTAGCAGAGGCCGCGATTGAATAAGACCTCGCACGAATACAAACGGAACTTCAGCCCTAGCTGTTCGTAGTCAATGAAATTGTTGCCTCGCAGGTACAGCAATGTGTCATTGAAATTAGCCAGTGCCTCTTCGAAGTCGCCCAGGAGAAAATTCGATACGCCCTCCTGGAAGTAGGCAATGGCGAGGTATTGATCCAGGCTCACGGCGCTCTGGTAGCACATAACCTATGGCTGTCAGCGGCGGTCCGAACAGTTTAGATCAGGAACCATACTGCTTTTTCATGTTCACCTAGCGTAGCATAGATGACGCCGCAATTGAACAGGATCTTGGAAGTATCGGCGATATTCGCAAACGATCGCAAAGCGAGGTCATATTCCTGGTTATCGAAATGTTCCAGGGCCTGGACCCAGGTTTCGATTTCCTGCAGCTTTTTGTTAACACCGGGGAGACTTAAATACGGCTGCAAGATTTGCGACATACTTGCTTGAGCGACATTTTCTTTTTGCGATGCCAGTGCCAGTGACGGCCTTATGTATAGCGATTGGGTGGGCGACGACGACGTGTTTGTCCACCTCGTCGTAATACTTGGCTGACACCGGCTGGAGGGGGTTTATTTGCCAACTGGCAGGGAGAAAACGGCGGGATGTCCGGAGAGCACGACAGCAAATATATGTATGGGCCAACCAGTAGCCAAGATGTGACGGGGGGAGGGGATCGGGTGGGCAGACTCAGTCTGGCGGGCCAAGAGAGGTCGGGTGGATGGCACGGGGGAGGACAAGTGCAAGTTAGGCCGATACTGACAGCCAACTGGGTAGGCTGGACTGCAGGATCCGTCGATTGAACAGAGGTTCAACAAGCAGTCTAAGCCAGACAGGGTGAAAGATGGCTTTGGTGGGATTGTGAGGTGGAGAGAGCAGATAGATCGGATATATATTTAGACCAAAAATTAAAGCGCACCAGCCACTGGGGCAGGGATTGGCGGGTTGTGACGAGGGGAAGCACTCAAATCGAGATGCTGGGAAAGACAGACACTGTTCCTTGCAGGGAGAGAAGGGATCGGAGAATTGCAGTTTATGAAGCTGTGGTATCTGCGTGGCTGCGATGCCTGAGTCCGCATGTAGAGGCAGTGCTGGCGGTTGGGAGTTGGGACCTGATTATGTGAAACTGGAGGCAGAATTGGGCCAGCAAGGAGAAGCAGAGAACAGGATGGAAATGGGGAGGAGAAGAGGGCAGAGGGGTGAATAACCGCCCAGGAGTCGAGGCCTCGCAGATGCAATAATCATTGGTGATAGTCGCCTCGAGCTGCAGGGGGAGTCCATCACAGTGCAGCACGTTGATCCTTGGCTTGTCATCACTCGGTATACAGCATTAAGATATAATTAGTATAGTCAATATGTCGATATATTACCCTCATTTATCCCTCTGCAGATGATCCCAATACTTGCTACACCAGGGTGTATACTGGTTGGAGGAGGCCCGACCCGAGCCTGTTCCGCACTCTGTCTGGCTGAGGCACACTGGATAATCTGATTGTCCCCAAAGAGAGCGTTGAGAGGTCCGTCCCGAGTTTCCAGGAGCAGTCACATTTCAGCCAGAAGAAGTGATATCACTGGCTGGTTGCAGAATATGTGACAAGAAACTAAGTTTGGAGGGGCCCCGCCACGGCGCTTCTGCTGGGACGTGGTGAGGCTGGTTTCCGCCGTGATAGGCCTCTGGGCGCCTGTGCTCGACCGCTGCTGCTCTGCCCGCCTTGCTCTGTGCCCGAATTGACGCAGGCCATGTCCTGCCGCCAAAATAATTCGCTTGCAGCATCCCACTTGGGCTTCATCTATGCCGTGCAGCCCGCATGCCTTCTAGTCATGTGAGCCGTCACAATCCTTCTTTCACATCATGAAATAGCGGTCTCCGCAAGATCAATTCTAAAATATGAATAACATCGTCTGACTCGGTCTGAACGTCTCCGCTCTTGAAAAAAAAAAAAAACAATCCCCTCTAGATATCGCCCCGTTGCTCCGTTGTACACATTGACATCATCATCATCTTCTAGGTATCATCAAGGACTCAATAGAGTCAATACTAACGCAAGGTCACGCCCCTTCCCCCACCAGCCCAGCCCCAACTGCTATCAGCATCAAACCATTCCCTGAGCCACTTGCTCCTGGCGCTCTTGCCACACACTTTTGCCCGAGCAGGAGCAAACTGTCTTGTCATTGTCCCAGACCCCGGCGCTTCGAGCGATCACCCCAACCAAAGTATTGGAATCCTCGCGTCGAAACGGCCCTTCCGTGCCCTGAGACACTACCATACTGCGCCCAATCAATTCCCAGATCGCCACTGGGCGATCTAGGAACACATTGCCTCGCCCCTTCGCATCAACCTGCACACTGCCAAAGATTCCACGAGACTCTTTCTGTGTATCAGCACCCTGGAGCTTCGCCTTGACCGCCTCCCAGATCCCGCCAGTGGACTCCGCTCCCCGGGAGATGTCTCCTGCCTCTCGTATCGTCGCCCAGTACTTGCCCGGTGCCAATCCGTTGATCGTCAGATCCACCAGCGTCATATGAGGTGAGACCTGGACCATACGCGCCAGCCCTCGGATCTTGTTGGGTACGGTGGTTGAGTGTGTTTCGAGGATACAGACCGCAGAGCCTATCGTCCACCAACGCTTAGCTGACGCCCAAGAACTGAAACAAGCCGCGCATAACCCAGTAGAAAGGGACCAAACATACTGTTCGATGTACCGCTGCCTCGTAGAATCGCATCCCGGCCGGTGTTTTGAATAGCTGTGACTATAGAGCTGGGTGGCGCCGTACCCTCAATAAAGACGAGTTGATCCTTGAGATTCGCCTCGATCTTGCTGACTCCTAAAAATACCAACAAGACGATTCAGTACACGTTCACGAATTGTGTAGCCATGAGTCAGTACCTTCTATTTTGTTCAATTCCTTCGAGATGTCCTTGACACAGCCATCGCAGCTCATCGGGACCGCGAAGGTCGTCTAGCCATGGTTAGTCTCCGGCACCCTCCGGTATGATGTAGGTAGAATTCCCATACTTGGAAAGGCTCAATCATGGCGACTTGAAACTATTAGAAATAACGCAGCGCTAGCTAAAGAAACAATAGCAAAGAGTAGCAAGAAGTTGAACAAGTAGGTAAAAGTAATGGCGGGATGGGCGGGGTGATTTGAAATCACGGAATTCGGCCTGAGAGCTCAGGCCACACAGCTTCCCCAGTCCGATAGCGTCATGCCTCCAAATTTCCACTCCCGGAGTTGTCACCTTCCATACTCCCACGTACCCACACTCGCGTCTCGAACCCGGACCCCATTCATTGCAATGTCGGCCTCGAAATCCAGATGGGCTGACGAAGATCCCGAGGCAGATGCGCTCATCGCCCAGCGCAAACGCGAAAAGGAGGAGAAACGACGAGCGAAAGCCGAGAAACAACGGCTGGAAGAAGAGCAGGCGAAGGCTCAAGCAGCGCAACTTCAATCTGCTGACACCGCACCCAATGGTGACCCTGACGCGCCTCCGAAAAAACGTCGACGGCTATCAAACGAACAGCAACCGAGCTCCGAAGTCGAGCAGCAATCCAAACAAGGGAAGTTAGGGAACCTGTTGGTGTTCCCCGGGTTGGAATGGGGGCCCTGTCGCCATGTGGACAATTTCGAGCGATTGAATCATATTGAGGAGGGCTCGTACGGCTGGGTTAGTCGGGCGAAGGAGCTTGCGACCGGCGAGGTGGTCGCATTGAAGAAGCTCAAGTTGGATAACTCCCCAGATGGATTCCCCGTAACTGGCCTACGGGAGATCCAGACCCTCTTCGAAGCTCGCCATCAGAATGTGGTATACCTGCGCGAAGTTGTCATGGGCAATAAAATGGACGAGTAAGCTTGTTACCCAATTCCCTCCTCCATCACCTTCGCGCATTTCCCCCTCTGCCCCGAAAAGTACCAGATGCACAAGGTTAACCATCGGACCCTTGGGGGCCCTCCCCCACCATCCCGCCATACACAGTGTCTTCCTCGTAATGGATTTTCTCGAACATGATCTCAAAACCCTCCTCGACGACATGCGCGAGCCCTTCCTCCCCTCCGAAACCAAAACTCTACTCCTCCAGTTCGTATCAGGCCTCGACTTCCTGCACTCGCAATGGATTATGCACCGCGACCTGAAAACATCCAACCTCCTCATGAACAACCGCGGCGAGCTCAGAATCGCTGACTTTGGAATGGCCCGCTACTACGGCGATCCGCCGCCTAAGCTCACCCAGCTCGTTGTGACGTTATGGTATCGTTCCCCGGAACTTCTATTGGGCGCGGAGACCTATGGCACGGAAATCGATATGTGGAGTGTTGGCTGTATATTCGGGGAGCTCCTCACGAAAGAACCCCTTCTGCAGGGGAAGAATGAGGTTGACCAGGTATCCAAGGTTCGTAATCACCATCACACCTCTATCACCTTCTTAAAGCCTCTAATGTCCATACCAGATATTCGCCCTAACCGGACCCCCAACACCCCAAACCTGGCCCGGTTTCCGCTCGCTACCAAATGCAAAGTCTCTCCGTCTTCCATCCTCCCAAACAACACCATCATCGACATTACTCCCGCGCGCCAAATTCCCATTCCTCACAAACGCCGGTCTGCAGCTCCTCTCCGCGCTCCTCGCATTGAATCCGAAGTCGCGGCCCTCCGCTGCGGAATGTCTGGCGCACCCATATTTCCGTGAGGATCCAAGACCCAAGCCGAAGGAGATGTTTCCGACTTTCCCGTCGAAGGCAGGGATGGAGAAGAGGAGGAGAAAAGAGACACCTGAGGCGCCAAAAAGGGGGCAGGAGGCACCCAAGTTGGATTTTGCAAGTGTGTTTGGTGGCCAGGGTGGTGATGATGGCGGGGAGACGGGGGCGGGTTTTACGCTACGCCTGGGATAAGCAGCTTCTAATATACTAAAATATTGTGCTAGACTTTACCATATACAGATTTTATGGATTCTTTGTACCCCAAGTAATTTACTGGCCGCATAATAGACATATTTATCCATCTGGATATTTACCCCAGTTTGTCCTCTAAAGTGCATAATGCCAACGAAAAGATTGCTGTGGTGCCTTTCCAACCATGCTTGCCAATATGCCCTAGGTCCTAATCAATCCAGAGGCCTTGATAACGTAGAAATATAACGTGTTAACGATGTCACAGTGCTGCACTTTCGACATGCAGAGTATACTTGTTTGGAAACGATTGCATAAAGTTAGACGTGTACTCTAAGGCAAGAGATCGTCACGAAAAGTAATGTTGGTGCAACAAGGAATACGTGACGAGATACTCTTCAGTTGAGTCGCTGCCCTCTCGGTCTCTTCGTAACGGCCGTGGGCTGGGAATTCCCATTGATCCTCCTGGCCCAATGATTTCAGGGATATCTTGAGTCCGAATTGAGAGATTGCGGTCGAGGCCTGGGCCACTGTGCAATCCACCATCACCAACAAATCCGCGTTCCCCCTTGATGGGGTTGTCACCCCTGTCGGGTCGAAGATCAGTCGACTTGCCGTCAACAAAAAAGTATTCATCTTGTAGGGACAGCGGGGATGTTCGATCGCGTTTTTCAGCTGGTATCCAAGGGCTTAAATGTGCCTGCCCATCTTCCTCACTAAGGCTATTGGGGCTCGGCTCTTCGTCACTAGTCTTGTTCTCACAGGCATCACTTGCGCCCAACGTATTCAGAGACGACAGATAATACTCGATACCCCCCAGTCCTCCAAGTTCGACTGCTGGTACTGCTGGTGCATTATCGCTGAGCTTCTATTATTGGTCAGCAATGTCCTTTCGGTAAACTACTGCAGCTCTTACATTCGAGGAGGCTGTTTCCGCGGCCGGCGTTTGGACAATACCCTCTTCAACAATTCCAGTCCCAAGGCAGTCTACATGAGAACTAGTGGTGTGAATTTCTTCTGTAGTCACGGTGACTTCAACTTCACCACTTCGTATTGGTTCAACTTGAGACTGGCGCACAACACTCGAAGAAGACCTGCGGGAAGCGTCATCCACAATCATCGCGTCAGTCTCCCCTCCCGAGACGTGTGAGATATCTGAATCAGCAAAGGTACCCGGAACAACTTCGTTCGAATCGACCGGTATCTGCTGAATACTGGATATAGGCGAGTTGTGATTTGACGACTCCACAGGCGTAGGAACATCCTCGTCAGGACGTGGGTGTTCAGAAGACTTAGGCGGCTCTGCTGTGCATTCGTCTTCTAATGCGGCGCCAGGCGTATTACCGGAGTTATGGATATCTTGGCCCGCAGTAGAAGGTAGGCTGTTATCTGGGAAGGGATCTGCTGTCATTTCCTCGGGGGGAGCGAGGGTGGCGTCTGCTACCGTGCTTGATGTTGACAGGGGAGCGGGATTAGAATATGGAATGTTGGGTGGGGAGCTGATACTGATGTCCTTGCTCCTCTCGCGCGTGTTGCCCGGGTAGGTGTTGCAACCTGTGCGATAGAGGTCGGTTCCAAAATCATAGTCTTCTTCAGTGCTGGCCTCAGATACTGTTGACGAAAAGAAACGTGCGTGTCGACTAGAAGAGGCCCCCGCAGAATCGGACGAAGACCACAGTCCATTGTTCGCATGTCCGCCATCAACGCCTGGGATAGGACGCCTATGTAGCCCAGATCTCAGGGCCTGGAGCCCAGAGCGTGCTCTCCGCAGAGACCTCCCAGGAAGGCCCTGCATCCAACGTATCGAGCCGGCGGGGTGAGTTGGTTGTGGGATATTGTCAACATCATCCAGGCACACGCTTCTCTCGAGAGCGGGATTATGTCGAGGATCATTTGGATTAAACACCGGGTAATGGGCGCTTTCCTCGCACGCGAATGGTTGAGTTTCCGATCTCGCAAGTCTGAAAGCATTAGGTTAAAACATAGCATAGATAGATGGTTGCATGCAGCAGCCCTACCTGCTCCTTCTGCGTTTTGATGCGCGGCGCATGGAAACCGAAAAGGGCACTATTGAGGGTGGAGTGTCACCAAAGTCATCGGAGAAAGCCATGTTTCTCAAGAGCATATGTAGTCTCAACTGCTATCTGATCACTGGCGCAAGATAGCCGGTAGCCGCTCTCCAGTGTTGAAGAGAAGAGCCAACAGAGTGTCCCAAGCGGGTGGTTACATGGGAAGGCATTGGAAAGAACGGGCGACCAGGAATCACATTGGATTTCTAGAAAATCGGGGAGGCGCTGACTGCCGCCTGAAATTCAACTGCAGTGTTGGACAGAGGAAAGAGACAGCCGGAGCACTGCAAGGGAGTCGATTGCAGCTTCCTTCTGAGGGCTTTCGGCATCTGGAAGAGCGGTTAGCAAGAGACTGGGCAACATTTCAGAAGTGGGCGTTAAGATGAGACTTACCCACAATGGCCAGCCATTTTTTCAAGTATAATTTAGTGAAAGTTGAAAGACCTGCAGTTGTTCGGCATACAAGGTGGTGCAGAGTTGGACTGGCAACGTGGAAGCCGAAATCCTCGCGACAAACAAGACTCCAGCAGCCGCGTCCACTTCCAGCTTTCCTTCAGCAACTCTCCGGTGTTGCTGCCAGCCTTCAACAAAACCCGCCTTGCGCCGACCAGCTTCTCAATTCAAGTCGCTCCGAATATTTTAATTGCTATATTTTACGAAAATTCTAAGTCAAGGCCATTTTAATTGTCTCCCTTCGTCATGGCTGCGACCCAGGCTGCTTCCTTCAACGAGATTATCAAAGCTAGTAAGAGCTGCACTGTACCGCTTCTTTCCCGGCCGACGAATCCCCGGCTTACACGTCTCTTTCCTCCCAGGTCGCCAGAAGAGGAAGAATGAAGATCTTGCGAACAAGATCCTAGGAAAGAACAGGAGAGCCAGTGCGCCCGGCTCGGGGGCTGGAAAAGCGCAGAATGCGACACCTGGTGGAAGTCTCGCGAGTCGGATCGGTGTGACAAAGGTAACAACAATTTACATCAGCTTGCATCTTGAATGCCGGCCCTCTCAAACGAATGTGTACTGATTCGTTTATTATTGCATCCAGCGCTCCGCATCTGCAAATTTCGGGTCGAAGGCCAACAGCAAAGCCCCATCTGCTGCCGCAGGGCGAAACACAGCATCAAACGCGAAATCAACACGTCGACGACGTCCCGCCGAAGATCGCCTCGTGTCAGCACTCAACCCCGAAAATGGTCAGGCTACAGTACGCAGCGGTGGTAGAGGGATCAACATCAAGGGCGCAAGCGCAGCACCCCCCGTGGTCATCGGGGGCAATTTCGCTCCTGGGACCACCGCGGCAGACATCCAGTCGGCCATCGAGCCCGTTTCTGGGAAGATTGTCAGTTGTTGGGTCACTTCGCAAACGCCGACGGTGACCGCTGAAATCACTTTCGCCGAGAAGTCTTCGGCTGAGAAAGCTGTAGCCAATTTTCACAACCAAAGGGTAGGTGTGCAGACGCTTGGAGGAACCCCCCAGCTAATTTCATAAAGGCCGACGGCAGAGTCCTTTCATTTCAACTCAGTTCTTCTAACTCGGGCGCAAAAACAACTACGGGATCTACCTTCGATAGCCAACGCGAGCAAGCAGATCGTGCACGACGCTCGCAACGGACGGCGGACCCCGCTGTTCAGGATGGTAAATATGGCTTCAGTGAGCAAAATAACCAACCAATGGACTCCAGAAACACTGGCAGGGGCGGACGGAGGGGCAACAGGGGCAGAAGGAACTTGGGCAGAAATGACCGGAACGGAAACCAAGGAAGCCAGGAAACCGGGCTTTACAGCGATGAGATGATGACGGATGCGCCTCCTACAGGTCCCAGAAACAGGGGCAACCGACGCCAATGATATCAATAATCACCTTTCACAAAACCTGCAGAGCTGGCCCATCTGGATGGCCTGGGTGAATGGGCTCCAGTTGGGTACGAGCTCATCCCTATATAGCCCTACCCCCACTGCTGTCCGAGTATAACTCGGCAACGGCTCTCGATTTCATCGAATTGCCGGAAACTATCTACTACTATATTATATGATATGTACGAGTATTATATTCGCGATATTAGTCCGAACTACCACGTCATTTTCTGCGTGGACTTTACTGAACGGAGGGTCCTGGAGTTTAGTTATTATGTATTATCAAAATAGTGTAATATAATGGGAGGCGTCTTGATAGAGTGGATTTCCTTCTAGCAGGATGAAAGCATTAGATGTTTGATACAACTCATTCTGTTATCGATAAGAAGGTGATCACGTGCAGGCGGAGATCGGGGATTTCGGGGAGCATCGAGATCAACATTTGCTTTGCATACTTCACATTGCTCGCGATCATTTAGTCCAGCACTGTCGGGTATCATGGTTTGATTTTCCTGATTCATACCATTTGCTGGTCCAATCTGTCTTCCTTCGACGTACCATCGAAACCGCTGAAACCGCTCCACGTTCAAAATGAACCCTAGCACACGGCGCATACTCAGCCAACTTACGAGGCAAAGCACATATCGGATACTCAATGCTCAGTCACGACGATGGAATTCTGCATTTGCGACTAGAGAGTGGTCCACGCCCCTCGCGCGCACCTTAGCCAATGCGATTAAAACGACGGGGCCCATATCAATCGCCGCATTTATGCGCCAGGTGCTCACATCGCCAGAGGGAGGATATTATACAACGAAACCGGGGGGTGGGGGAGAAGTGTTCGGTAAAAAGGGCGATTTTGTCACTTCTCCAGAAATCTCACAGGTGTTTGGAGAACTGGTGGGGATATGGACCATTGCGGAATGGATGGCACAGGGTGGGAAGAAGAGCGGAGTGCAACTCATGGAGATTGGGCCGGGAAAGGGGACCCTAATGGATGATATGTTGCGGGTATGATATATGACAAGTCTGAATGAACGTTTCCTTTCTATGCTTAGGGCTAACACTTGAGCAGACGTTTCGCAACTTCAAGCCGTTCACGTCCAGCCTCGAGGCTATCTATCTTGTCGAAGCTAGTCCTACGCTAAGGGAAGTCCAGAAGCGATTACTCTGCGGTGATGCAGCCATGGAGGAGACGGAAATTGGACATCGAAGCACGAGTAAATATTTCGATGTGCCTGTGGTCTGGGTAGAAGACATTCGATTGTTGCCCCATGGTAAGTATCCCTCAGTCACTAGTGAAAATCATTCGCTCATATGTATGTATAGAGGAAAACAAGACACCTTTCATCTTCGCCCATGAATTCTTTGACGCACTGCCAATCCACGCCTTTGAGTCAATCCCACCTGCGCCAGAAAACCAGCCACAAGAACAAGAGATCATGACGCCTACAGGCCCTACCAAACTCAACCAGCCACTCAAGGCCGCAAACACGCCTCAATGGCGCGAAATCATGGTCACTCTAAACCCGAAAGCAGTTGATGAGGACATAAAGGACGAACCAGAATTTAAATTAACCCTAGCAAAAGCATCTACCCCTTCTTCCCTCGTTATTCCCGAACTCTCCGAGCGATACCGCGCTCTCAAATCCCAGCCTGGTTCGGCCATCGAAATCAGCCCAGAGAGCCGTATTTACGCCTCAGATATTGCGCGCCGCATTGGCGGCTCATCGCAGCCTCCACGGACCGCATCTAAACGGGACGCGCCTACAGCCGCGGCTATCGCGAAGCGCAATCCCTCCGGCGCCGCTTTGATAATGGACTATGGATCTCTGTCGACGATTCCGATCAACTCCCTCCGTGGCATCCAAAACCATCAAAATGTTCCGGCACTCTCAGCCCCTGGTCTCGTTGATGTCAGTGCCGACGTAGACTTCACTTCGCTCGCAGAGGCTGCCATTGAAGCTAGTGAGGGTGTTGAGGTCCATGGGCCTGTTGAGCAGGGTCACTTCTTACAGGCCATGGGTATAGCGGAGCGGATGCAGCAGCTCCTTAGCACCGTCAAGGATGCAGAGAAGCGCAAGGTCTTGGAGACTGGGTGGCAGCGACTTGTTGAGAGAGGCGGCGGCAGCATGGGCAAGTTGTACAAGGTGATGGCTATCATCCCAGAGAATAGTGGTCAACGACGGCCAGTCGGGTTTGGGGGAGGTGTCCCAGTATAGGCAGGTATTAGAGCCGACAGAGTCGATGTAATATAGTGTACATATACCAATTTATCTTGTACCCGACATGGCATGAAACGTGTATATGCGCCAAATACTTTCATCCTGCTACGCCATCCACACACAACTTAGGCAGCGCACCAAAAAGTATAAGGGTATCAATAAATTCTATCTATCTATATCATAACTATCATCACTAAGCATAACGGCACTGAGGCATTCAATACTCCTGCCAAATATCCTCAACATAAGCTTCCGTCAGTCTGGTATCTTTCCCATACTTCTCCTGCCACTGCACAAACCCGCCCTCGAGCACAAAAACCTCTTGCTTGTGGCTCTCTTCGGTGTTCCCGCCAAGCATTCTCTCACGCTCCCTCGCATATCGCAGTGCCGCTGACGGGCCACGTTGCTGGCTGAGCGCGCAGTGGAAAACAACCTGCTCCTTGTCTTGCAGCGTGCGCACGAGTTCGGGCATGCGGTGGTCTAGCGACGAGCTAGGAACCCAGGTCGAGGAGAAGATGTGTCCGCCGATATGGTCTGTTTCCATCAATGAGTACTCGTTTAGTTTGCAGGTGTAAAGAGCGGGGGAGGTTACCTGAATCCCGCACGTCGACGATTGCTAGCTTGCTAGGCGTGGATCCGGCGAGGAGAAGGGCGGAAAGGGCCTCACGGCTCATGCGCGGAAGCGTCGCGATCGTAATTGAAGACATGTTGGGCTATATGTGCTCCTTCGGTGGGATGTTTCATTGTTGAAGAAGTCGAACTGCTGCAGGCCTTCCTTACTGATGGAGACCACGTGATTTTGCGGGTTTCCGATCTGGAAAATTGAAGTCGGCGCCGCAACATCTCGTCTCGACCACGACGCAGGGCTTATCTGTTTGCCTCTCGACACGACTACTTCTGATACCGGAGGGATTCTTTGGGCGGTTTTTTCCTCTCTGTCAACACAATTGGACCATCTCCGGATTCCAATCCCCAGACACAACAATGGAGATGCGATCCCTAACCCGCTGCCTCCGTTCGAGGCCGACAACAACGGCGACGACCTCTCTCCTCTCCGCTCGTCAGTCAACACTCGGTCAGAACCAGTTCTTCCTGCCCCGACAAACACCTCAGGCTCTTTGCTTCTCAACCTCTTCCCCAAACTCCAACGCCAACCAGCCCCCTCGGCCCACGCGAACCCAGAACCTCCGCACAAAGCCAGATGCCAACATCGACGACATCCTCGACCAGCTGAACCTCGGCACGAACCGCAGAAACCGGGCCGCCCGTCTGGCACAACAGAAGGCCGATCAGGAAGCTTCATCCGCAGACGGCGCGCCTAGTACTGGCGTGGCAACCAACGAACCCATATCAGCACCCGGTTCACCGCAGTCAAGACAGGACCGCCGCAAGGTCGACCTTAAGCTTGGACCTGTCCTTGGACGTGAAGTGTCTGTTGCGCCGGAGCGCGGGCGTGATTTGGAGTCGTCCATAAAGCGGTTGGATCGTCTCCTTAGAGAGAACAACGTGAAGAAGCAGATGCTTGCCCAAAAGTATCATGTGAGGAGAGGTCAAATGAAGAAGAATTTGAAAATGACGCGGTGGAGGAAACTGTTCAAGTATTCGTTCTCGCATATGGTTAATAAGATTCAGAGAATGAGGCGGCAGGGATGGTAAATTCCATCTTCTTGCTTTTGTATCCGCGTGCTTGAAAGAGGAGTGCTCAAGATGGTTAGAAGAGACTTGTCCAATTGAGTTGGCGTGTATAGTATATTTTCCTGGTGTATTTGAGTTCATTTTGCATTGTACGCTAGATAAAACCGTTCTTTTGCTACTGGTTAGATACAAAGTGACCACCAAACAGTCTATATCCAATCCACATATTTCTCCGCATAATACAACAAAGATATAACAAAGCTGCCGGAGTGCATTAATCTCTTTTCCCAGTAGGGAATCCCCCATATCCACCTCCCAAGCTACCAGCCGAATATCCTCCATACCCATTTGCCTTCCCTCCGTTCCCAAACGAAACCCCAACAGCACCCTTCCCAATACTCGGCACACCCAGAATCCCATCTCCCTTCCAGGCACGCCGTCTCACCCCATTCCCATTTCGTTCCCAATAAAGCGCAGCCAACGCACCAACCGAGGCAGCGATTCCGAAGAAGAACATCTTTGAGAATAACCACGCAAATACAGAGGATGAAGCGGAATTATCGCGCCCAGGCCACCCAATTCCCCTCCCACCTTCAATCCAACTAACATGGAAGGTAAAAGTCAACGGCTCTCCACGAATAACCTTCGTGCCATGCCCAGCAGTCCAGGGCTCGCGCGCCGCCTCGGCAACAGCAGAAGCCTCCTTCTCCTCGTCTGTTGTCTCCCCATCGTCCTTCTTCCCCTTCCCGTGTAGAAGCGAGTACTCAAACTCCGGAACCGAATACGCCGTGCCGGCAACGATATACCCCTGCTTCGTCGTGCCCTTCTTCGCCTTCTTCTTCTCAGGCAACTGCGGGATATTGTGCGCAATCACATTCATATCCGTCCAAATATGCAAGTGGCTCCTCTGCAGAGTCCCCTGGATCGCAAACGTAATAGGCGTGTACGCCGGGCCCTCATCATCCAGTACGGAAATGGTGCTCTTAATCTCGTTTTTATCGCTCCCTCCTTCCCCCTCCGATTCCTGTTGCTGCTTCTTCTCGTCTTCGGCCTTCGTGTCGGGGGTGGAGCCAAAGCCCGTTGGGGATAGGGGTGCCGTCGGCACACGGCATGTCATGGGGACATCGGAGTGGACGTAATACTCGAGGAGGTGGTAGAGCTCATCGGGGAGGGAGTCGATGGTGCAATTGACCGATTCGGAGGCGCCGTAGCGGAAGGCGAGTGGTGCGGAGGTCTCTTTGCATGTAGGGAAGGGGATAAATTGGAGTTTCCCCAGGTCGTCCGTTATCTGAGACTGGTCAGTTTACTGCTGAAGAGGAGTTTTTTTTCGAACTCGAGGTTTGGGTTTGGAAGGTTGGTGGAGTGGCGTTTCAGGAGAAGAGGTTGGGAGCATACATGTTCGCCGGAGTCACTGGAGAGTTTCAGATTAACATTGAGCGTGGAGAATGGCTTTGGTTTGCGTCCTAGTTAAACTCCCTTGAGACTACTTACATTGTCCGATTCAAACAGGTCACTGGCATCGGCTGCCCGTGTGTATAGCCATCAGCTCTCCCCGCAGCCGAAATTTGAGACAGGCACGAGGCGATCAGGGCGCCGGAAAGAATGCTTCGTCCCTGGATTGTCATGATGGGTAGGACACGCCGCCGATCTGGCGGGATGACGAAGTGTCTGCTGAAGGTTTCGAATTAAAGATTTAATTAATAAATGAGGAAGATTCGGAAGAGCCACGGTGGTCTTGAAGACAAGCAACCTTGGAAGCCGGCGATCCTCCGCTGGCTTGAGTTTAAGTCGATCTTGCTACGGGGCCGCCACCCGCTGGTCCTCGAAGGCTTGAACATATTGGAATGGAAAACTCAATTTTATCTCTATCGGTTGTACGATATCGTATTATTTATTAAAACCTTTCGATTCTGAAGACTAATCAAAACACCGCACGAAATTTACCACTCATGTTCTCGTCAATTGTTTTCACTTTTTTAGAATGTTTTCCCTCCTGATTAGGGCGCAAGGGGAAGAAGAGCTTTACGCAAGCTTGGCCTTCTGCTTGAAGGCAAGGAGCAGACCGCTGGTGGAAGAGTCGTGGTCACCACCCTCACCTGCTGTCTCCAGCTCCTTCTGGATCTTCTTCGCAAGGACCTTGCCCAGCTCGACACCCCACTGGTCGAAGGAGTTGATGTTCCAGATGGCTCCCTCGGTGAAGGTCACATGCTCGTAGTAGGTGATCAACGCACCGAGAGCAGCGGGTGTGATCTTCTGGGCGAGGATGGAGGTCGTCGGGCGGTTACCAAGGAAGGTCTTGTGAGGCACCAGGTTCTCGGGCGCTCCCTCAGCCTTGACTTGCTCCGGGGTCTTGCCGACCATCAGAGCCTCAGACTGGGCAAGGAAGTTGGATGCCAGCATGCGCTGGTGCTTTCCGTTCTCAACCGGGTTGTGCGACTCGACGGCCATGAGGAAGTCCGATGGAATAAGCTTGGTACCCTGGTGGAGCAGCTGGAAGAAGCTGTGCTGGGCATTGGTGGCGGGCTCACCGAACAGGATCGGGCCGGTGGTATACTTGACGTATTCACCAGTGCGGGTGATGGCCTTTCCGTTGCTCTCCATAGAAAGCTGTTGGAGGTATGCGGGGAAACGGTGCAGGTACTGGTCGAAAGGTGCAACAAGGTGGGTTTGAGCACCAAAGAAGTCACTGTACCACACGCTCAGAAGACCACCAAGGACGGGGATGTTCTTTTCCAAAGGAGTCTTGCGGAAGTGAGTGTCCATGGAGTGAGCACCGGCAAGGAACTGGTGGAAGTTGTCGAAGCCGATGTAGAGAGCAACGGAGAGACCAATGGCGCTCCATACGGAGTAGCGACCACCAACCCAGGACTCAAACCCGAACATGTTCTTTGTGTCAATTCCGAACTTGGAGACCTCCTCTGCGTTGGTAGAGAGAGCAACGAAGTGCTTGGCGATGTGAGACTCATCCTTTGCCTTCTCGAGGAACCACGTCTTGGCAGAGTTGGCGTTAGTAGTGGTCTCGGCGGTGGTGAATGTCTTGGAGGCGATCAAGAAGAGCGTGGTCTCAGGGTCTGAGTTCTTGAGAGCCTCGGCGATGTGTGTGCCGTCAATGTTGGAGACGAAGTGCAGCGTGAGATCGGGGTGGCCGTAGGGCTTCAGGGCCTCGGTGACCATGACGGGACCACTAGTTCGGGAATTAGTACATCACAGCGGCTAACTTTACTCTGCATGAGAACTTACAGGTCAGATCCACCAATACCAATGTTGATAATTGTGTTGATCTTCTTGCCCGAATAGCCCTTCCATTCACCGCTCCTCACCTGCTCAGAGAACTCCTTCATGTGGTCAAGAACAGAGTTGACATCCTCTACTACGCTCTTGCCCTCGACCTTCATTTCCTCATTGGAGACATTGCGAAGAGCGGCGTGGTATACAGCACGGTTCTCGGTGAAGTTGATGGGCTCACCAGCGAACATCTGATCGCGGAGCTCCTCAACACCAGCTTCCTTGGCCAGCTTAACCAGGAGAGCAAGGGTGTCTTCGGTGAGGAAGTTCTTGGAGAAATCGAATAGGATCTGGTTTTGGTCGACAGTGTTCTCGAAAGAACGGCTGAACTTCTCGAAACGCTGGGGGTCCTTTTCGAAGCACTCCTTGAGCACAATGTTGCGGCCTACGGAGCTGTGGTGCTCCTGGAGCTCCTTCCAGGCGGGAAGCTCAGCGGCTTGGGAGAAAGACGGCATTGTTGTGACTGTGAGGATAGGCGTAAAAAGTGATGGAGGGGTTGACGTAAAATGCCTGAGAGAGCAATTGGCGTCAGTGCGGGGCAGCGGCAACAGTAAAGCGATGCCAACAGGATCGCAAGGGACTGGGGGGATTCGTACCTGAATATGAACTGAAAAGCCGAAGGAAGAAAGCGACAGGAGGAAGCCGGGAGTTAAATGGCAATAAATAAGGATGAGGACTGAAAACAGGACCTTGGCGAGGGGATGACGCTTTGGGAAGCTCAAGCTGTTGATGGCGTAACCGGCCTGTTGAGGTCCGTGGAGGGGCGGCCGTGGGTCCCTTTTGCTTCCAGATCTTTTCTACTCTCGAATTATCCGGTGAACATCGCTGCGCATTAACCGCTCTGGCCCTGCAATTTCAATAGCCTGTCTTCCTTCTCGCGGTCACCTGGACGTCAGAAATTTGCCCGCAGCTCCTGCATGCCGTGTATAGCGCTGATCGCGGAGAGCCAGCATGTTTGTCAGGCATGCATTCTAGAACTGCTGCAGTGCTGAAGCACTCCGCGCGGATATCCGGATAATCAAACACTTTGATGATCAAACTGATCATTTACCGGCCTTCTGTGCTTGACAATTCCATTATCAATAAACCATCCGTCCAAGGGGTGGTCTCCGGATTCCTCGGAAATGTGGCCCCGTCACGGAGTAGTTTCCCCCGTTTGCTCAATTGAAATTGAGTTTTCGTCCAGTTATCAAATAATGTCAATTGAAGTGCAGTCTGTCTAGTTAGATGAGCTGCTGACAAACATAGGAATAATCCTGACTGTTGTGCCTCGTACACCCGAAGAATGCCTTGCAGAACCACCATATTCCGCATGAAAATAAGTGCTTCAAGTGGAATTCTGTCTTTATCGTACATTTATGCTATATTCGTCGGAATTTGTAAATATTATCTGACGAAAGTAATGACTAGGGCGGTTTTAGTACCCGGCGTGAAGCACTGCGGAAATATATACATTCAAGTCATTTATCTATTTTGAAGCTTATAATACATCAGCTACCAACAGCAATCAAACACCACAATAAAGAGGGGCTATAAACTGAATCCAAGCATACCAGAAGTCTATCGTCCAATTTATTCCAAATTTCATCTGCTGGAGCTGTGAAGCCAAAGTTGTGAAACCAAATATGAACTTGACAATGCCAAGAACAATGCACGGGCCACATGGACTTTTCTCCAGCATCGAAGCCGAAGGACGACCAAGAGCCAGGTCGAGTTCTGCAACGCTCTCGATCCCAAAGACCACCTCCTGTTTCTTCAAGTTTTGTCGGTCTGCGGGGCATCTATTTTCATCACATACCTTCAACTAATTCGATATACCCGAATCCGCCGCCTCGATCGTGTGATTGATATATCTTGCTTGTTGAGAGCTGCGCAGCTGTCGCAATGTATAATCCTTACCAACGTACGCAATCTCCATAATCCGCATTTGGTAGAATTTGTTCTACATATTTGGGAAGTGATTCTGACTATTGTTTTTAGCTCCGGGCATGTATGGTCGCCCGCCAGACTTCGGTGCCTATCCAGGAGCACCTCCAGGTATGGGTAAGTTGTCACTCCCAGTTGTCACTCTTTGTCCCTTCACGCGTTTAACAAATAAACAGCACCTCCTCCAGGAATGGCCGCTCCTGGAACCGCTCCTCCCGGGATGCAGCAAGCCAACGCCCAGCAGCCTGGTCGACCGGGCGGATTCCCCCCCAACTTCCAACCGCCTGCGAATATGCCAAACATCAATTTCTCCGCCCCCGTAATCCGACTGGGCACATCGGGTCCAGCGAAATCCGCTACTCCGGACGTGAACAAAGAACGTGGCGCCGACGGGCCCGGTAGACGCGCAGGTCTGGGGTCTACAAACTTGGAGTCCCAGCGCCAGAATGTGCGCGATGCGATGATGCAGTTACAGCCGCCTACTAGGGATGAAATATTGCGAACTATATTCGTTGGAGGGATCACGGAAGGCGTGGGTGGCGACGACGGTGTGGAAAGAATTCTGCGGTCGGCCGGTAGCCTTAGACGCTGGATTCGCGCCACAGATGCGGATGAAAAGCCGTGCAAGTTCGGTTTCGCAGAGTACGAGGACCCTGAGAGTCTAGGTACAGCTGTGGAAGTACTAAAGGACGTGCAAGTTCCTGTGAGGAGACAGACGTCGTCCAACACAGAGGATAAAGAAGACAGTGAGGTGGAAAAGAGCACGCTTTTGGTATGTTTTTTATGTTCAGTATATTGGGATTGGAACTAATGTCTATCCAATAGGTTGTTGTTGATGAGAGCTCACTCACGTACTTGGAACAATACGAAGGTACCAGAGAAGATCAAGACCCAGCCGAGCGCCAGTCGAAGTTGGATTCTGCGAAGAATACGCTTTCGAGTGTGTTACATGACCTTTTCCACCCTACTTCACCCACCCAGAAAGAGGACGCTTCCGCGATTGACCAGGAGGGAGACACTTCCATGAAGGATGCTGAGGATGGCACGCCCGCAGAGGTCGTTACCATACCAATAACGGTCGACGATGAGTTGTCCGATATCCCGCCCGAGATGAGGGCAACGGTTGCCAAGGAAATCGCCGCTTTCCGCGACCGAAGCAACCGCCGAGACATTGAACGCTTGAAGCGAGAGGAGGAGATCGAGTCAATGGAGAGGGCACGGAATTCTGGCTCTAGAGTCAATCGACTAGCATCCCCTCCTCCATCTGCGCCAAGCGGACCTGCAGCTGGTGCGAATGGGGTTCCCCTGGGTGCACGAGAGCGTGGAATGCCCAATGCGCCCTCAGGGCCTAAAGGATTCGGTGTGCAAATACCGAAGGACTATCAGAAAGGTGTCTCGTTTGTCAATGGCGGCTCTGTCAATGGTGCTACCACAGTGTACATTGACCGTGAGGACGAAGATTCTGATGCCGACGACGAGGAGCTTGAGCGAAGGCGCCAGGAAAAACGTGAAACTGAATTAGAAAAGCAATACCTAGACCAAGAGCGCCGCTGGCTCAACCGTGAGAGGAGCAGGACTGCCGCCTTGGAGCGTGAGAAGAAGCGCGACAAGGAAGAAGAGGCCAAGGTTCAAGAAGTGCGCGATGAGGCAGACAAGCGGTTGGGCGAATGGAACGACGACGCTGAAGCTAGCCGGAAGTCTAGCGAGTACTACGCCGACCGAGGTGCATGGCTGCGAAGCCGTGCTGCCTACCGGGCTCGCGAGGTTAGCATGGATGAGGCGGACCGTGCGGCAGAAGAGCGGGAACGGGCACGATCCGTCCAACAAAAAGAACAGGCTCGTGGTATGGCAGACGACTTCCTTGCGCGCCAAGCCGAGGAGCTGGAAACCAGAATGGAGGCCCCGCGCGAACCACAACGCTTCAAGCTTTCTCTCGGAGCGGCTGCGCAAAAGGCCCAAGCCGCCACGAGCCGCCGGACTGTTGCCGAAGTCGAGGGCTTATTGGAAGACGAAGAAGAGCCCGAAGCTACGGCCAGGCGGCCGCTTATCCCGATCAAGTTCGACAGCGCGGCCGAAGCTGCCGGGCTTACCGAAGAAGAGCGAGCACAAGCTGCGCGACAACTTGCCGCGGAAATTCCAGCAGACAAGGAAGGACTATGGAAGTGGGAAGTCAAATGGGAGTTCGTGGACGAGTCTGTTGTCAGCGACCAGCTCAAGCCTTTTGTGGAGAAGAAGATCGTGGAGTATCTGGGCGTTCAGGAGCAGATGCTGGTGGACGTAGTGGAAGAGCATATTCGCAAGCGCGCCCCTCCTCAGGAGCTTGTAGAACAGTTGGAAGAGGTGAGTTACACCCGGTCCTCTATTTACATTGACAAGATATCTAACCAGATGCTTCTAGGCCCTCGACGAGGAGGCCGAAGTCCTTGTTCGGAAACTTTGGCGAATGATCATCTTCTTCTCAGAAAGCGAGAAGAGAGGTCTTTCGGGGTAGTTGCGGTAGCGCCTGTGGTCTTGTTTAATAGCAATGAGCGGAGAAATATGATGGGAATGTCTGTTATATCCAAGATAGTCCTCTTGAGGCAATACTGTACCATTCCAACACCTCTCATACTAGCATTTGGAGAATAACCGTAGACAGGAGACAGACTGCCAAGCGCAGAGAGATCGGAGAGGATCCGATGGCCTGGAACCATCGGAAATATTTCTCAGTGGTGGAAATAGTTCTTCCACCAATGACGCCCGCACACTGCCCCCCCACGGCGCGGGTATTTACTACCAGTAGCGATTTTGTATCCAGACTAGACCGTTTGCAAGGCTGGAGTTGGTCCGGATCGCCTCGAATACTGAATGGGGGCATAATTGTTCCGCGGGGTTTTCTGCCTGTTGACCCTGCTCTCGTGGTGGGGGGAGGGACCACTTGTTTTATTCTTATACCAGACTCCTCCCCCCCGGTCGTTTCAATTTATTTGCTCTTTTGGTTTGGGATATTTTGATGCCATTCACTCGACTTGCGCTTCATCCAAAGTACCCAATTGCTACGAGATAACAGAGACACAATGGTGAAGATCACGGGCTTCATCACGCGAGACGTGAGGTTTCCGGTAAGTCGTCCATACTTATTTGACTCAATAGAGCAGCTGCTGAAGTAGACATGTCTAGACCTCCCTCGACAAAACCGGCTCCGATGCCATGAACGCCGCAGGCGATTACTCCTCTGCATACTGCATCCTGTACACTGACTCTCCCTACTCCGGACACGGCATGGTAAGCTTACGGCATATCTCACTTCGCAACTCCAAAAAACCGGGCTGACATGTACTAGACATTCACCATCGGCCGCGGAAACGAGATTGTCTGCGCAGCCATCGAGCTCCTCGCGCCTCTCGTAGTCGGCAAAGACCTCGACGAGTTCACATCCAACTGGGGCAAGACATGGCGGTATCTCGTCTCCGACAGCCAGCTGCGGTGGATTGGGCCCGAGAAGGGTGTTATCCATCTTGCCCTGGGTGCGGTCGTGAACGCGCTTTGGGATCTATGGGCCAAGGTCCTCAACAAGCCTGTTTGGAGGATCGTTGCTGATATGACTCCCGAGGAGTATGTCAGCTGCATCGACTTCCGGTATATCACTGATGCGATTACGCCGGAGGAGGCGATTGCGCTGCTCAAGGAAGTGGAGGGTGGTAAGGCAGAGCGGATTAAGGAGGCAGAGCAGAGTAAGGCTGTGCCGGCCTATACTACTAGTGCTGGTTGGTTGGGATATGGAGAGGAGAAGCTAAAGGCACTTCTGAAGCAGAGCGTTGATGAGGGGTATAAGCACTTTAAGCTCAAGGTTGGAGGGAACCTTGAGGACGACCGGAGGCGGTTGGCGATTGCCCGTGAGGCGATTGGATATGATAAGGGGAATATCCTTATGGTCGATGCTAACCAGGTATGTATTTGTATTCCATTTTGCTTGAAGGCGCGAATAATTAGGAGCTAACTAAGAGATAGGTCTGGTCTGTCCCAGAGGCAATCAGCTGGATGCAGAACCTTGCCGAGTTCAAGCCCTGGTTCATCGAAGAACCAACATCCCCAGATGACATTCTCGGCCACGCCGCCGTTAAGAAGGCCCTAGAGAACACACCCTACGGCCCAATTGGCGTAGCCACCGGCGAGATGTGCCAGAACCGCGTGATCTTCAAGCAGCTCCTGCAGGCGGGGGCCCTGACGGTCCTTCAAGCGGACGCATGCCGCGTTGGCGGTGTTAACGAGGTCCTGGCCATCTTGCTGCTTGCAAGGAAGTTCGGCGTGCCGATTGTTCCTCACTCTGGTGGAGTGGGCTTGCCCGAGTACACGCAGCACCTGAGCACGATCGACTACGTCGCTGTTACGGGGAAGAAGAGTGTACTCGAGTATGTCGACCACCTGCATGAGCATTTCCTGCACCCATCCAGTGTGAAGGATGGGTACTATGTTACTCCGCTAGAGCCGGGGTATAGTGTGGAGATGAAGCCGGAGAGTATGGATAGGTTCTCATTCCCCGGCGAGGAGGGCAAGAGTTGGTGGAAGTCGGAAGAGGCTAAGGTCATCCTGGAGGGACCGAGGATATAAGCCTGTTATTGAGTGGACGCTTCATGTGATATGAATATGAAAAGAAGTAAGAATATTCCCGTATTAGGGTTTATGTATGGTACAAATATAAATTGGTGTTTTGCTATCTCGCAGTCCTGGGCCCCGTAGACATCACTTGAAGGCGTGTACGCCTTGGCTAGATACTAGTACATGGTCTGTTCTATTCCTATAATACAGCGAGCAGATCACCCCCAGGGTGAAGCTCGAAAGAACCCTACTTCCACCGGATGCCGAAGATCTTGACTTCTCCGCCGACTTTAGGGTCGTGACGCTCTTCAAGGACGACACGCGAATAGCCTTTCACTTCCAGGGCAAGAAGTCGATATTCCCACTCATTCGTATCCGCCGGCTTCACCATGTGCACAAACACAACTCCCTCGTTTCGTGGGCCCGAAACCTGCCAAGTCAGTCAGTCTATGCTTCACCCACAAAGAATTGGAACATACATGGAAGTTCATCTTCAGATGTTCGCGACCTTGTCGATCTTTTTCGACCTTCGTTCTGCATAACCCATTAGCACTGCAAATTCACCGCCCAAGCGACGAACGAAGGAAGAGTAATCATACGCAATAGGCCTATTCCTCGCCCACCGGCTGTGTGTATTCTCCCCATATGCCTTGATCTCCCGCTTATCACCCAGAACATTGATACACCGCGCATCGTTCTTAATCCGATCAACAGCCTTCTCAAACTGCCACGTCCGACTGTTCGGTGAGAACACCTCGGTGTATAGTAATGTGAAGACACCGCCCTGTTGTATTCATGTCAGCGCCAACTCAAGTCGTCAACGCACCGGAACTTTGCATAGTGTACTCACCGTTAGCACCACACCGGCTAACACCACCACGAAGTTAAACGACTGTTGTGTCGCCCGCGCAACCTTCTCTTTCCCACTCAGCTCGCCCCATGTGTACCGGCCGTCATCCGATAATACGGTGACATTTCGCCGCCGCGATGCGGAGCTGTGTGTGGCGTAGGTGTTCGTCGATGTGCGGGGAAGAAGAGGCTGGGATAGGAGGAGGCCCCGGCGGAGGGGAGGAGCGGGGCGGAGGTGCATGAGGCTCATGTCGTTTCTTTTTTTTTTAGGTCGTTGCTGGGTAGGTAGGGTGGTGGTTTGAGTTCGGTTGGGTAGGGCTGTTGCGGCCAGCCGTTGGTCAGTGGATTTTGGCTTAATAGCGCAGTGTCGGCGAGTATGAGCGCTGCGGGGTCAAAAGGACTATGGGTATTACGGCCTGGTCTACCGCAATAGCGTTGATATGGTCTGTTGCTGGTTTCTTTTCTGTTTCTGGATCTGGATGTGGGGATGGGGAGACGGGTCACGTGCATACCGCGGCTCTGGACATTGTATTTGCAATACGTAATTAGGTATTTAAAAAACAAGTATAGATGGCCTATTAAAAGTACATTGTTGACAATTTTTCTGAATATAAGTATATTGATAGGGAGTTAAGAAGGCGTATATACTGTATCACCTAGTTCTCACTAAATAATCTCACAATATACCAAGCAATTGGGGAAAGGGCTTCTGCTTTGTTGTCGGCAACGCTCCTGAGTGGCGGCGTATAATATGTTGCAAATTACAGCTGGGCGCCAGACCGTTTCCGACCACGTTCGCCCTCCCGGCTTGATTGGGATTCCTCCAGGTTTCCTTCCCAGTTCCCTACGCACTCTTCTTCGCTCACCTTCCCTTTGTTGCTTCTTTTCAATTGTTGGCCTTGCCTTACCATCGCAATGAGTGCCACCAAGGCGGAGTCTCAAAAAATCTTTGAGAAACTCAAGTTAAAGCCCGCAAACAAGGTGCGCCGAGACCCCTCTATTTACCGCAACCTGCCAGACTGACCCTGTGTCTCTTGGAATGCACAGATATGTTTCGACTGCGGCTCAAAGAATCCCACCTGGTCGTCCGTTCCATTCGGAATCTACCTATGTCTTGACTGCTCGGCGAACCACCGTAATCTCGGCGTTCACATCTCGTTCGTTCGTTCCACAAACCTCGACCGTACGCACTACCCTTTATGTCGAAATTATGCTTGCCCTCAACGCTAACCTGTGCGGTGGTAGAATGGCAATGGGAACAGCTCCGAGTTATGAAGGTTGGCGGAAACGAGTCCGCTACGAAATACTTCCAGTCGAACGGAGGGTCCGCCGCTCTCGCTAGCAAGGACGTGAAGGTCAAATACACCTCCAACGCCGCCGTCAAGTACAAGGAAGAATTGAAGAGACGGGCTGCTTTGGACGCTAAAGAGTTAGTGAATCCGTTACCACCACCCCCCTAATTTGTTCGAGGGGGATGCTTACCATTATTGTCTCATAGTTACCCCGAAGAGGTTGTGATTACAGATGTCCCGGCCGGTGCGGCGTCGAATGGCTCCAGCACACCCGCGGGCGATGGGGACGACGATTTCTTTTCTTCCTGGGATAAGCCGGCGATCAAGCGACCCAGCAACCCCCCTTCTCGTACCGGCACCCCGCCCGTTGTGAGCCGCACTGCATCTCCGTTCCTCAATGCTGGCGCCAATGGCTCGCGCTCGAAGTCACCGCTTTCGGGATCTGATAAGGAATCATCTGCCGCACCGGCGCCAACTGCGATCCGAGCGAGTGCCTCTGTTCGAAAGACTACCGGCGCCGCCACTGCGAAGAAGGGCAGTGTCCTTGGAGCCAAGAAGGCGCCCAAGCTCGGTGCAAAGAAGGTCGGTGGCGCGGAGCTGATCGACTTTGACGAAGCGGAGAGAAAGGCCAAGGAGGAAGCGGAGCGTATTGAGAAGCTGGGTTACGATGCTGAAGCGGAAGAAGCTGAGGCCAAGGCCAAGGCACCAACTACGGGAGCCACCGCTATTGTTTCACCAACTCCGATCAGCCCTGCCCCGAGATCCTCCCATGATCGGAATTCTAGCGATGTAGAGCGTCTTGGGATGGGCGTGGGACGACTTGGCTTCGGCCAAACCGCCGGCGCGAAGCCTGCTGCTCCTGCGCCGAAGAAGCTCGGCTTTGGTGCCGTTGGTTCTCCGCGATCCGCTGAAGATGGTACGTCCTAACACACTTTACATACCCTGTGCATAGCTAATAAATCCTGCAGAGGAAGAAATCCGACAGACCAAGACCAAGTTCGGTGCTCAGAAGGGTATTTCATCTGACGAGTTCTTCGGCCGTGATAGATTCGACTCGAATGCACAGTCAGAAGCAAAGGAGCGCCTTCGTCAATTTGACGGTGCTCAGTCTATTTCCAGCAACTCGTACTTCGGTCGACCCGAAGATGACTATCCTCCTATCGATGACGGCTACGGCGACCTTGAGACTGCCGCAAAGGACTTTGTCCGTAGATTCGGCATCACTGCTGGCGACGACCTCGAGAACTTGACGCAACTCATGGGCGATGGTGCTACCAAGCTGCAAGGCGAGTTCTCACGTTTCTATTATATCTCCACTGGCCCCTGTTGACATAATATGCAGGTGCTATACGCAGCTACCTCAACAGCTAAATGAGTTCATGAGTTTATATTCTATGATGATATCCGCAGCCTGACGAACGCGTTAGCCAGCTTGTGTTTTCTCGATGGCGTTATATTTCCCTTCTCATTTGGTAGCTCCTCATAGTCCATTCGGCGTGCAGAAAATGGCAGTCCGACTTCACCATCTGACTAAACCCTCTGACGCTGGAGCAGTCTTGAGGTCCCCTCTCGTCGATTGTTGCTTCTACTCACAAACTAGTACGAAATATTTGAGTCTCTTTGATGATCCATTGATTGGTCTCTGGTATTCTCATTCGAGTTCCTGTACATCTGTTGAAGATAACATCTTTAGTTCTTAGTTATACAAAAATGCTAGAATTTACATTTTATACTACCGGCCTCTTCCAACCGCCATCTCACCTATGCAACACCCCTATATATCGCATCCGCAACTCTAGCAACTTGCCACATCTCCTTAACATCATGCACGCGTACAATATCCGCACCGCCTGCAACACTAGCCGTGACCGTGGCGGCAGTGCCCCAGCCCCGTTCACTCGCCTTCTCCACCCCGGTCAACTTCCCAATGAACCTCTTCCTCGAAGGCCCCATCAACCAGGGGAAATACTCCAGCCCCTCCACACCAGTCCGGAACGTCTCCAAGTCCCTAAGAATAGCAAGATCCTCAGGCTGGTTCTTCGCAAAGCCCAAGCCAGGGTCCAGGATAATCCGCCACCGCCGGATCCCCGCCGCCTCGGCAGCTGCAACCCGCGCAATGAGTTCCGTGGACACATCGGGTACCACGCCGTTAGGGTAAGACGTCAAGCTCGTCATCGTAGACGGCGAGCCGCGCATATGCATGAGGATTATGGCCTTGCCGGCCCGTCCGACGGTGGGGAGCATTTCCGGATCGAGCGTACCGGCGGAGACATCGTTGATGATGTCCGCGCCTGCGGCGAGGGCCTCCTCGGCTACGCGTGCGCGGTAGGTGTCGACGCTGATGGCGACGTTGGTGGCTTCGGGGATGGAGGTGCGGATGTGTTTGATGGCCGGGATGATGCGGCGGAGTTCTTCGTCGACGCCGACGGGGGTTGAGCCTGGGCGGGTACTTTCGCCGCCGATGTCGATGATTGTGGCGCCGGAGGCGATGAAGTTGCGGACTGTGGCTGTTAGGGTTTCTGGGTTGGTTGGTGGGTGTTTGCCGCCGTCTGAGAAGGAGTCTGGGGTGAGGTTGAGGATGGCCATTATGTGCGTCCGTCGGCTGGGGTTGTTTGCATGGAGGGGTGGAAATTGGGGGGAGATGTAGGTTGTTGCGATGGGTGGTGGGTTTGGTGGCGGGAGGGTCTTGAGGTGAGAGAGGTAGCTTGTTTTGTGGCCCGGGAGGGGAGGGATCTCGTGAGGAATGAGTCTGTTATATGAGCGTTAGTTCGCTTGTCGATGGAGGTTGAATTGGAGACTCACTGGCTGAGGGGCCGGAGAACAAAGTCTCGTTCCAACATCAGCTTGTGAGGGATATTGAGGCGTTCATGGGAGACGACATGTTGGTCGTAGAGGAGAATATCTAGATCAATTGACCGAGGGCCTTTGTCGACCAGTTTATTCCTGCCCAGCCCAATTTCAATCGATTGCAGGGTGTCGAGCAGCTCCAGGGGCTCCAATGTTGTCTCTACCTGTAATGAGGTTAGCACAGGCATAGACGATCTGCGGGAATATGGACGCACCTCGCAAACGCCGTTCATGAATGGTCCCTGGTCGAGATAGTACATCGGAGCTGTCTCGAACAGCGAACTCGTTCTCCGGACTTTGATATTGGCTCTGTCCATTTCCAGGCATGCCTTCTCGATCATCTCGACGCGGTCACCGACGTTGCTGCCCAGAGCAATGAATGCTGTATGCGACGGTTTGATGGCATCCATTGTGGACTTGAACGAGTTCGATCGACCATTGGAGAACTGCCGGATAGTTGACGAGATGTTGGGTATCCCATTTCTACAAACGGCTGTATCAGCTTTCGAGAATGAGCGCCGACAGTCTGTACTACAGCGTGAAAGTTCTAAATGGACGTTAGCTTATGCCTCGAGACTGGCACTACGACAAGATAAACGGAGACATTGGACGGCTCAGAGGCAGCCAGACAGCATCTCATACCAAATTTAGATTCTCTATTAGGGTTAGAAGTATATCATGCATACAATGGCTGTTAGAAATTCACCTCTTATGCCAGATCCCGTATGGCCTTGCATATGACACGTGGGAGCCAAATGCTCTTGGAGGGCGCTGTCGGCAAAATCGAAGGGCTGGGTGCTGAGGACTAGCGTAGAGTCGCCATATCCCCGCTGGTACAACCTTCATTCTCTCACAGCTTGTCGTTTTAACAGCAATTAGTGAATGAAAGCGGCTTGTGGATAACGTCATGCTATCAAAAAAAAAAGGCCCGCGAGTCACGTGAAAATAAATTAATTGACACCTAGAAGTTCAGGCAGCATAACGATCAGACGACTGCCGGACCCCGCCCAGCTCGGCAGTCTGCAGGCGCACGTGACTTGATTACCCCATATTCAGCACATTCAGTGACGATGCAACCGAGGCTTTTCTTTCAAACTGCGACTCCGCCTCGGTTGCCCGAGCGCCCCTGCTCTATAATTGTTCTTCAGGTCTCTTCCACCTGTCACTTTGACACTTACTCCCATCTTCATACATTTCACGGACTCTTTCTCTCTCCCTCCCAGAACTAAATAATTTTTATACCCATATCTACCTCATCATGGCTTCCCCTCGTAGGTGTCTCCGTCTTACTTGCACCATGTGATCCGCCGATGTGACGGTGTGGACCTACAATGCTGACGCTGTCTTGTAGAGAAAATCCAGACTACCCTCACTGATCTGCTCAAGATCAACCACCCCGTCCTGCTGGCAGGTATGAACGTGGCTGCCGGGCCCAAGTTGGCCGCGGCTGTCACTAACGCTGGTGGTCTCGGTGTCATCGGAGGTGTTGGATACACCCCTGAGATGCTGCGTGACCAGGTTGCCGAGCTCAAGAGCTACCTGAAGGACAAGAACGCCCCCTTCGGTGTCGACCTTCTGCTTCCTCAAGTCGGTGGAAGCGCGCGCAAGACAAAGTAAGCCCTATGTGCCTCCAGCGGGATCGCCGGATGTATAGTGCAGTTGCTAACGGAACACCGCGATTAGCTACGATTACACAAAGGGAAAGCTGAACGAGCTCGTCGATATCATCATCGAGAGCGGTGCCAGTCTCTTCGTTTCCGCTGTCGGTGTTCCCCCCAAGGCCGTTGTCGACAAGCTTCACCAGCACGGAATCCTATACATGAACATGATTGGTCACCCCAAGCACGCGCAAAAGGCCATTGATATCGGTGCCGACATCATCTGCGCCCAGGGTGGTGAGGGTGGTGGTCACACTGGTGACGTTCCCACGACAGTTCTCATTCCCACTGTTGCCAAGATCTGTGAAGGCAAGATCAGCCCCTTCACTAAGAAGCCCGTCCAGGTTGTTGCTGCTGGTGGTCTGTTCAACGGTAACTCGCTTGCTGCTGCTCTTATGCTTGGTGCTTCTGGCGTCTGGGTCGGCACCCGTTTCATTCTTGCCGAGGAGGCTGGTGCCCCCAAGGCTCACCAGGAGGCCGTCCGCACTTCTGGCTTTGAGGACAACATCCGCACCATCATTTTCACTGTAAGCTCCCACCCGTTTGTATTTTGAAGCCGGATGAATCTAACTTTCCTAGGGTCGTCCCCTGCGTGTGCGCAAGAACGAGTACATCCTCAACTGGGAGAACAACCGTGCCGAGGAAATCAAGCAGCTTACTTCCAAGGGTATCATCCCTGTTGAGCACGACATGGAGAACATCCCCGATGATGTTGATGATGAATATCTCGAGAACGCCCGCCCATATCTGATGGGCAAGGTCGCTGCTGTGGTCAACGAGAAGAAGTCCGCCAAGGCTATCGTTGATGAGCTCGTTGACGACGCCGCCGTTCTTCTGTCCAAGGGCAACAAGATGCTTGCCAAGCTGTAAATACTTTAACATTTCTTTGATATATCCCATTGGGCGGTGAACTCATACCCGCTATGCATGTACAGTTGGTGTTATGACTAGTTATAGCATTATGACCATATTAAACATTTCATTTTCATTTTGTTTTGCCCACGTACCCTCCTAGTGCCTTGAATTTCCCTAGGTATACCCTCTATAATGGCACTTCCTAGACGTAGAGCAATGGACTGGTTTATAGTCAACCTGACGTATCTCATAAACCTATCCGGTCCCGGGGAGGGGTCAAGTTACTCCGTACCAGGCCACCCATACTCCGTAGGCTGACCTACCACGTGGTAGATCTGCAGTCCGGAGATCAGATAAGATCAAAGATATATCAGTTTACGATGGCCAGCTTGCGATGTGGCGGAGGGTTCCGTTCCATGGTATGATTGCAGCCTGGGTAAATATCAAGTCCTACTAGGCTGTCACGAACCTGAACTGACGATATATGGATGGATTAGGAAGGTGCGACTATCTCGCTTAAGGTGAATAGGAAGGAAGGATCCATGGACGGGATCCTGTCCTTTGTGATAAAAGAGAAAATAATAGAATAAAGCGAATTAAAATAAAACAAACAGGAAACAAGTAAAACAAATAAATAAAATGTATATTCCGGTTGGAGGTTGTTTAGGTGTAGCCGCGATATTTATATGGATAGTAAAGACGGGGCTCATCGCCACAATTGTCCTATATTTTGCAGACTTAGTAGAATATCTAATACCTCGCTACATTGTAGGTTTAAACACATAACTTAGTCTTACTGTATGCCATTAATCTGACAAGACACAGAATACAAAACTACATGCCAACTACGCAGCGTAGGCCCCGAATATGCGCTCCAGCTGGGCCCACACAAATCCCGAGGTACTCTTGTCCTCAATGGCGCGAAGGCCATCTAGCCGAACATCAGCTAAGCCTGCCTCCTGGAGATACCGAGAGAAACTCGTTGGCCAATGCCGCAATGGGGTACGGTCGTTTCTGCTGGATTCTATAGCAGCATCTGCGCAGTTGAGGACAGCGGCTTTCTTGGACTCGGGAACAGAGGCGATCCTAGAGAGGTTTAGTACCTTGATCAGAACGTGAGAGTTGGAATGAAGGGTCCCCCTGTCAACGTATTTTTCGTATCCATGCGCGCTGATATCGCTTTCGAAGACGTAGTAGTAGATGGTGTCTTCGGACCCTGGAGAACCAAGTACTAGAATCCACACTCGGATGTGTTGGCCGAGCTTGGCGCTGCTGATTTGAATATCGGGCATGCTGTTGATATATGATGCGATAGCATGGCAAGTTGAAAATAGAATTCGCTGTAGGAAACGTCTGCTTGTGCGTATTATTTTAGGCTTATATATCTGTTGTATCCTTTGTGTAGGTTTCCATTGAGGGCCATTTCTTTATATAATAACCTGTTACTTCGAGTTGATTCGGGTTGGTTTCAAAGTATAAAAACAAGAACGAACTTTAAAGGGAGTGCCATGTCAAGGACTCGGGAACCTGTTACATTGCTGAAACCATTATACTGGCTTGTGCACAACTGTACTCATACTTAGTTGATGCCCGAGGCATCAATATAACGCTAGACTCAATCGGTTACAGGTTCCTATTCACACCTCGAGTCGAGTCGACAGCTTGCCTGCTCTGAAACATTCATTCCGTCGAGACATCGGAGCAGAGACCGAAGTGTAAGATTTATACGAAGTGTGTTTGCAGTATGGCTGATACCAGTTTTAATCGCAGTGTTCCCGACGATATCGGAGTCCTTTCTCACCCTTCGCCACGGGCGGTCGACTGGCACTGCCGGCTGTGTACTCAGCACTGCGGGGAACTGGAGCAATTGCGAGGGATCTAGGATTTCCCGCTGACTGTGGAGGCGAATACCAGCTGGAAATGGGGAGCTGGACACACCGGAGTGAACTCTGGGGAAGCGGATCGTCGTCTTGATGGCACATCGGGAGGGTAGCCGGTGTTCTATATCAGCGACCGGGAAGGCCTCCGATGGTTGAACTCCACGACCTCCAATCACAGATGCATCGAAGACGTGGGTTGCAGGAGATTAGTCTCCAGCAGATACCTGTTCAAGGCAAACTTTCCCTGCCATTGATAAGATGCCAGAATAGCAGGACTCGCGGACGTCCATGGCAGCCTCCAGTCCCCACCACCAACGTTTGGCTCGCCTCCCCGCATTTCGGAGGGAGTCCGTTTTGCCACACAATGTCGAATGTCAATGTTGCTGCGTCTTCTACTACTTGCATGATTTACTATCAAACCACGCGAATCACTATCACTATGGATATGCCTCACAAAGAGAATGGAGTTAGAAAGCGCTCAACAAATGCGTACGTCCGCTATAATACCGTCTGCTAAACTGTTTACTGACCGAGTTATTCTGCAGTTGTCAACGGTGCCGCAAGCAGAAGATAAAGTGCTCAGGGCTACAACCCTGCAACACATGTCACAAACGCAAGCTGACGTGTGTCTTCGACGATCGGGATCAGAAAGTGCTTGTTACTCGGGGGTGTGTAGTATCTCGCTGTGCTGTGCCCGTGCATGGCCCTAACCCTCGCTAGATTCATCGACGATCTCCAGCGAAGAATAGCACTGTTAGAGAAAGATGAAGATGAGCTATCCAGTCCACGCAGCTTCGTGGACCAAGATAGGGCTAGGCCTGAAGATGGTAGGGCGCTTCCACACCTTCTTGGCGTAGATCTGACCTCTTGCAGTTCCCGACGATGACCACGTTGGCGATGTTCGGTTTACCCAAAACATGGAAGGGGCAGAGCTAACGAATCCATTGTCGACTGGTCCTTCGGCATTCTCAACCGCCGCGACGGGCCAAACATGTAAGTTGTCCTCGTCGACGGCTCTATTTGATTGAAACATGCTTACCGATATGGAAGTTTACTTGGGGACCTCATCAAACTGGTCCTTTGCCCGAAAGATCTTAAGCATGACGCATGAACATATATATCATTCGCCTCTTTTAACAGATAGCCTGATATTTGACGGCACCACATATGATCTGGGATGGGATGGCACGAGGACAACGGTTTATCAAGATGCCCCTATAGTTCCCACGCTCGATTACTCGATTTACCTTATCAACGCCGTCAAGTTCCATGCCGGACAATTATACCACCTTTTCGATGAGGGAACATTTATGGGTGGGCTGTATTCCTTTTACGAAGACCCCCAACAACAGATGTCCCTAGATGGGCTATGGTATATCCACTACCTGGTCATAATCGCCCTTGGAAAGGCACTTATTGTTCAGCGAAATCGGGATACTCGCCCGCCGGGCTGCGAGTTCTTTACGAGAGCCCTACAGCTGCTTCCGGACTCAACGCACCTCTCCAGAGACTCCACTATTGCATGCGAGGTTCTATGCTGCGTGGCGTTGTACCTGCAGTCATTGGATCATCGTAACTCGGCACACAATTTTGTATGTATTTATCCCTCAATGCTCATAGGATTACTAACAGTATAGATTGGCCAAGCTATGAGGATTGCCCTGGCCCAGGGTATGCACACCGATATGCCGGTAAACCAGCTAGGAGAAGGAACTGTGCAGAGATGCCGCAAAATATGGTGGACAATTTACGTCCTGGACCGGCAAATGACCTCTTTAATGGGCCTGCCCCAGTCAATCCAAGACAATCAGATCTACCACCAACTCCCCGCCTTCCCTGGGTCACCTCAGAAAGTAGTTGCTCTCAGCATGCAAATCCGCATGTGTCAGATTATCGCGGAGATCAATAGCAGTAAGTTCTCAGCCAGGGTATCCTCACAGAGTCTAATTGCTTTAGCTGTATACGGAATGGATGGACGATTGAATAGAAAGTTCCTCGTGCGAACGAAGGCGGCACTAGCCAGCACGACAGACCTGGCTGCTGATCTGCAAAGGTCGTTTGACCTGCAACTGGATAAACCGACGATAAGTGGCGTGTCCAGGATGGCAGCGCATTTGCATTTACTCTACCACCAGGTATGTCTCGCATTAATTCCGGTGGAGTACGCTAATAGAAAGCAGTGTATTGTTTTAGCCACACGACCGTTGTTATTGTGCTTCTTGAAAATGCGCTTTCAGTCCGCCGACGCTTGTCTCGAGGCACTGAATTCGTCGGCGAACGTGCTTAGATTGGTACAAGTATGCGTTGACTCTGCACAACACCAGCTCAACATACTGAGTTGCCTACTTGAACAAAGCCTGCTGGGTGAGTAGCCCTACCGAGTTAACAAGAGCTGTACTGACAAGTTTATAGATAGCTTCCTCCCATTCGACCTCGAGTCCACCATTGTCTCCAGCGTAGTACTCTTACTAGCTCCGGCAATTGATTCTTCTCTGTTGGAGAGTCGGAGGCCTTGGCTACACAAGAGCTACATGATACTGGATGATATGATTTCCCGCGGAAATCTCATCGCACAATTACGAAAGTCCGAGCTTGAACAGTTAAGCAACTTGCTGTACCAGCTGACCCCAGATCGAATAACACCAGAAGACCAGAGAAAATTACACCAGGTTGAACTAACATCGCCGTTGCCTCCGGCATACCGGGTTCCTGATCTGCCGAGTCTCAATGACGGGCTAACAACAGCCGAGATCATGGCTGTAGCGGAATCGATCGACACAGGCGATGTAGACTGGGTGGCGCATGCAGTTACAGAAAACCAGATCTGGTGACTATACTCGGAGGTTCAGACTTCGCAAAAGCCACTTGATTTCTAATTTCTATAACGATTTGATGATATACTTCTACAGGCTATCCTCAATAGCTATGATTTCAGCCATGACCTTCTGCACATTTGCCTTGGCAGCGTCGCCTGCCGGCTCGTATGGAGTTCTCGGCCTAAACTTGTCCTCTGCATCTGCGATCCCAGCCCTAGAAGCCGAAACAATCGCAGCAGCGTACTTGGTAGATGCAATCCCGCTCTTGCACGGGGACTCAGCCAACGCAGCCTTCCGGTGCAGCGCCAGCGCCTCGTCCACCTTCCCTGCCTTGTATAGTCGGTAGATCTGCATTATAGTCTTGGGGACGACATTTGCGAACGCGGCAATGCACCCAGCAGAACCAGACGCCAGACCACCGATGATAAAGTCTGACTGTCCGCCAAATACAGCAAATTCCTCTGGGCTGAAAGTGGCTGTTAAGCGGGTGATCTTTGCGACTTGCGCACAGGTGAGCTTCACACCAACCACGTTGCTCTTGCCCGTTGGAGATGCCGCAGCGGACGACCGTACAATATCAGTAATTGTCTCCGAGTCGATATCCACCCCGTTCGTCACCCCGGGGAAGTTATACACGACCACCGGCAGGGGCGACTTGTTTGCGATGTCTGCAAAGAAGCGCTTGACGACCGCGGGCGTCGTCGCCTTCCCGAAGTAGGCCGGGGGAAGGACAAGGAGGTAGTTTGCTCCAGCCTCGGCGGCGTCATTGGCGAGTTCGAGGACTTGCTTTGTAGAGTGTGCGCCGACACCAGCCATGATGGGGTAGTTGGGGCCGACGGCCTCGCGGGCGGCGCGGATGGCGAGGGCGCGCTCATCGCGCGTGAGGAGGAATGCCTCTGCGTTTGTGCCGAGAATGACGAGACCCGTGAGGCAGCGGGACAAGTACGCGCAGTACTTCTTGTGGGCTTCGAGGTCGAGAGTGTCGGTCTTGTGGTCGAAGGCTGTGACGGCGGGGACCCAGACGCCGGCTGGGGGGACGTGAGGAAGAGAGGTCATTTTAATTGCGAAAAAGAAGAAAGAAGACTTGAGGGGTAATTTGAGATGGTTTGATCGATTGTAGCACACTTTCTACCGGAATATGGCCTATTATACAGAACGCCCCTCGGACGGCTGGCCGATGCCCCGCCATCAAGTCGGAGGCACTGCGGGGTCTGTCCCCCGCTGCTATCCAGAAAATACGGGACCTGGTTCCGACATAACCAGAATATGAGCTCTTTGGTCCCAGTTCTTGCAAGTAGCTACAAAATGCGATTCCACGGCCGCTGTCGGTTTGTCTTGAGTCACATCGCACAATGCTTTTCAAACGGGTGACAACACCACATATCGGCTGGGTAGGTTGAGATGCGACAGTGAGTCGATGACTGCTAATGTGAAGTGAAGTACGGCCTAGGTTCAATGGGTCTTCCCATGGCCATGAATCTGCAGCGATACCTGTTCAACACGCAGGAGCCCAGCCTGACATACTACAACCGGACGATATCTGCCGGCGGGCCCTTGGACGAGCTCGGCGCAGTCGCAGCAACAAGTCTGTCGGATCTTGTTGAAAAATGCGACATCATATTTACCATGGTGAGTACATCTATAACATAATGGGTCTCGATAACAAACAGCACTAACACCGTGGGCCAGCTGGCAAACGACAAAGTCGTCACACAATCAGTCGACACCATAACCAAATCAGACACCCCACTTGATAAGAAGATATTTATCGATTGCTCAACGGTCCACCCAGATACGACTGAGCACGTATCTAAGACCCTATCTGCACTTGGGGCTGTCTTCTTATCGGCCCCAGTTTTCGGTGGACCCGCCGTAGCGGCATCGGGGTGCCTTGTCTTTGCTATCGGGGGGCCGAGACCGCCTGCAGTCGATATATGCCGGTATATCGAGGGGGTAATGGGGAGAAAGGTTATCGAGTGTGGGCCGGAAGCGAAGAACGCCTCGTTGTTGAAGATCGGCGGGTGAGTACCTAGTTATTGAACAGGGACTTTTGCTTGGGCTAGGCTGACGAGACAGGAATATTATCACGCTAAACATGATGGAGGCAGTCGGCGAAGCGCAGGTCTTTGCAGAGCAAACGGGAGTTGGGACCAGTGCAATGGAAGAACTCATAACCGAGTCATTTGGGCCCATTGCCGGGGGTTATTCGAACAGGTGAGACCACCATCATCCTGATGGCAAGGGCTGCATGCCGGGGGTTTCCCGCGGGACGATCGAGAAGCTAAAAAGGAAATGCGTGCATACAGATTGACAAGCGGCATCTACGCACCACCGTTAGGTACGCGGCCTGGGTTTGGAGTGTCATTGGCTATCAAGGACGCCGAGCATGCATTATCTCTGGCAAAGGGGGTCAACGCTAGGCTGCCCGGGGTGGAAATCGCGCATGGCAACATGCAATCTGCGCGAGATTATGCTGGAGAGTGCTTGGACAGTAGCTCGATGTACGGGATCCTGCGGATGGAGGCTGGGGTGTCCTTCTGGAATGACGCCAGTCGTCAGGGGTAAGATCCTGCCTCACGGACTAGAATAGGAAATCGGCAGGAAGGTTCCTAGATGAGAAGTGAAGTCATTTCGGGCATACTCCGGGGTACTGGGTGCAGTATCTGGCCGATCCCCCCGCATCGCTAGGGCTCCCGGTTGTAAATAGCGCACGGTTGGCCTCCCGACTCGATAACATCAGCCATTGTTATGACCTCAAGCCCCTTTCCGTTTCAAGTGGCCCCAGACGGCCCCGGAGCGGCCCCAGATGGGCTGACCGCTGCCAGTGGAGTGGCCGATTGATTGCTGGCCGATTGCTGGCTGATTGCTGAGCTAATTGATGAAGATAATCCTGTTGGCTTTCGTGTGCTTAACTCTTTCCTCTCTGCTACGTAAGCCCTAATGTAGATGTCTGCTGTCTTAAAAAGACCCTCTTCCCTTGGCCAACCTCGCTCTACCATCAACAATCCGAATATGTCCGACCCAAAGATGAAGACTGAGCACGATGAAATCGCCCCCGAGCCCTCAATGCTCGGGGAAGTCCAGAGCCACCCCGGCATGGCGCACGACGATGTCTTTGGTGAGATGTCGGAGGGCGGTCCCAACTACCGTGATGTATGGTCTATACACACTGCCTATACTGAATTATACTAACATCACAGGTTGGATGGCTCGGAACTGTCGCTCTCATGATGAAGACCCAGATCGGTCTGGGTGTCCTCTCGATCCCCTCAGCCTACGACACTCTAGGGCTCATCCCCGGGCTGATCTGTATGTTGACCATCGCCGTGATCACGACATGGTCCGACTACATGATCGGTGTCTTCAAGCTGAACCATCGCGAGGTCTACTCGATCGCTGACGCTGGAGGGCTCATGTTTGGCCGTGCCGGACGTACCTTTTTAGGCTCTACCTTTGTCCTCTGTATGTCCTCATCTACACAAGGCCATCCGGTACTAACGGCCATTCAGACTGGATCTTTGTTGCAGGCTCTGGAATGCTGAGTCTGTCCATCGGACTCAACGCCGTCTCAACCCATGGAGCCTGCACCGCCGTCTTCGTCGCCGTCGCCGCCATCATCGGCCTCCTCTTTGGCAGTATCCGCACCCTCGGCAGACTGAGCTTCCTTGCCTGGATTGGACTAATCTGTATCCTGATAGCCGGTAAGCCTGCCGACCTGACCCGACAATCCCAACTAACAGCGCAGTCTTCACCGTGACAATCGCCGTAGGCGTGCAGGAACGTCCAGCAGCCGCACCACAGAGCGACGGGCCCTGGGAATCAGACTACAAACTCTTCGGCAATCCCTCGTTCACGGAGGCCATTACGGCCGTCTCGTCCCTGATCTTCGCCTACTGCGGAACGCCGGCCTTCTTCGCGATCGTTTCCGAAATGCGTGACCCCAGATACTATACTCGCTCCTTGCTCTTCTGCCAGGGCAGCGTTACTGCTATCTACATCGTGATCGGGACTGTTATCTACTACTACTGTGGATCTTACGTCGCCTCGCCGGCGTTGGGGTCTGCCGGTGTGTTGGTCAAGAAGGTTGCTTATGGCTTTTCTCTGCCTGGGTTGATGGTTACGACCATGCTTGTTGTCCATGTATGTCTCCCCCCCGTACCTCCCTACCTTATCCTTGGAATATTCAATATGGCTAATATCGTACAGCTCCCTGCAAAGATCATCTTCATCCGCATCCTGCGCGGGTCCAAACATCTCGCCTCAAACTCCCCCATCCACTGGCTCACCTGGCTCGGATGCACATTCAGCATAACGCTAATCGCCTACATCATCGCCAGCGCGATCCCCGTCTTCGACAGCCTGGTGTCCCTCATCGGCGCGCTACTGGGCACGCTCATGTCCTTCCAGCCGATGGGGTGCATGTGGCTGTACGATAACTGGAAACAGGGCAAGGTGGAGAAGAGTCCGCGGTGGATTGCGATGGTGTGCTGGAGTGTGTTTGTTGTGCTTATTGGGACGTTTTGTATGGTTGCGGGGACGTATGGGAGTGTTGTTGGCGTGGTGGATAGTTATAAGGCGAGTGGAGGGAGTTCGGCGTGGTCTTGTGCTGATAATTCGAATTCTGTTTAGTCTGCTGAGTTGTGTTGTTGTTGTTTTTGTTGTTGTTTGAAGGTGTGGTGAGATGATGTCTATCTGCTGGGAAGAATTTCCCGTGGTTTGATGCTGTCGATTGATTCTTGCACATACGTTCATCTACTGAAAAAAACTTAAAAATGTATATAGAGAAGATAACTGTCTCTATAGCCCCTTCCCGCCAACCAACTATCATTTATATCTATATCTATATAAGCTTCCTCACCTGCTCAACCCTAAACCTAGTCAGCACACATCCACAAACAGTATAAGATAATAAGAGAACATACACAACAAAAGTCCCCCCAGAAACCGGCACAGCCCTAAAAAGCGTCGGCCCCAATCCCCTAAAGAACCCCCTCACCCCCTCCACGCACCAAGTCCGCCTCACCACATCCCGCATATTCACATACCTCCTCTCCGCGCCAAACCCATCCGCCTGCATCTTACTCTTGACGACGTCAAACGGGTAGTTGACAGACCAGAGCACCAGGCCTGTTATGACGCCGCACGATGCAATTTGCCACGTGGGGAGGTCTTCCCTGCGTGCTGCGCTGTTGGAGGCTGTACCTGTATTTGTGTTTAGTTTGGAGGTGGGATGGCTGGGCCAGGTTAGCCAGGAAAGAAGGCCCTCGTAGACACAGAACCAGACGCCGTAGCTGCCAAATTCACGGAGCATGGTGGGTGTCTGGCCACGGTAGAGGCCCCGGAGCCCCGCGTGGGAGTGGATGGCACGGATGCAGCCATAGACGGAATACGGCCCTGAAGCAGGAGCATGTCTTGGAGTAAGCGAGGGGGCGGATTGGGTCTGCAGGCGGATTCGGATGTGTTCCGTGGGTCCTGATATGATGCTGTTGGCGAGGCCGGAGAGGCCGCCGGCGAGGTAGGTTTGGGTGGGTGTTAGGGTGGGGGTTGGGTTGTTGTCATTGAGGGAGTGGATTGCTTGTGAGATTGTGTGGAAGGTTGAGTAGACGATGCTGATCTATGAGGGGAAATCTGTTAGATAATGGCTTGGAGGGAGGGCTCCCGGCCAACAGGAGGGGGGGAGGGCGTACACAGGCTCCGACTCCGAGCAGCGGCGGGAGGGTTCCCTGACATGTCAGTAGGGAATACGGGATTGGGTAGAGACGGTGGTTCCGTTGCATACCTTGTAGAAGGCCAAGGCCCCCTCGTGCTTCCAGATATCCCGGGCGACTTGGATGGCGGTCTTGTTTGCCTGGACTTGCATGCGGACCTTGACAATGTCGAATGGTTGGCCTGGTGTACCAGTATGTTATCAGAAGTGGAACAACCTAGGGCCTGCTGTACAGCTGAGTACGAACCGATAATGACCTGGGTGATACCCCCCGAGGTGCCAACCAGGAACTCCTTGGCCACGCCTGGGGTGTCTGCAATTGCGATCGATTCTGCCATTGTAGCTGCCACAGGTGAATAACCTAATAGGACTATAAACTGTTGATGTTCAGTTGTTTAGCATATAGAGTAACTATATCCAGCCCCCCCTGCTGAGACCGGCATGACGACCGATGTCTATCAGCTGGACCACATCGGGTCAGGCAGCGAGCTCAAACAACGGTTCGTACGTAACACAAAGTCTGGACAGTTTCAACAGAAGCAGTATGTGGAGGAAGTCTATCCTTCATACCCCGCAGTCAGATAGCAGGTGGCACCGGGAGCTGAACCGAGAGGACTCGGCGTCAAGTGATCTATACTCGGTACACTACATTTTATAACCACCCCAGACAGACAGTCAGTCTCGTCAAGTTCGTTTTGATCATACAATGGCTCTCATATCCGCTGGGAAGCCTGCCTTCCGCGTGGTGGCCTTCACTCCCACCCGCGGCGTCTCAACCCTCCACACCAAGCCCAAGCCTCCCCAGCGAGTCCGCTCCAGCTCGACGTCTGTTCTATCTGAGCTCAAGGCAACCGAGCCTGCGACTGGGAAAAGCCCTCTTCCACCCCTATCTGCCCTTCCTACCAGCGTGCTCCTCCGCTCTCTCCTCGTCGCCACCATCTCCTCCAAGCCCTACCTCCTCCTCCCCTCCCTCAAAGCCCTATCATTCTTCTGCAAGCCACGCAAGGGCGCCCTGTTCAATGTCGACCGCAATCCCATCCTGCACGGCATTCTCAAGGCCACCTTCTACAAGCAGTTCTGCGCCGGCGAAACACCCGATGAAGTCCGGCGCACCGTCCAGCAGCTCAACGGCATGGGCTTCCAGGGGACAATCATGACCTACGCCAAAGAAACCGTCTTCGACCACAAGACCCAGACCTCCGTCGGACTAGGTATTGAGAACTCAGACACCGCGGGGGCATTCTGCCCGCAGATCGAGGCCTGGAGAAAGGGCACCGTCGACACAATTGATACACTCGGAGAAAACGACTATCTTGCTTTAAAGTACGCCCTCCCTCAACACCATTTACCGATAATACATGCTAATAAGAATAGACTCACCGGCGCCGGCCCCACAGTCACAGACGCCTTCTCAACGGGCTCGCTCCCACCGCAACAAATGCTGTCCGCCCTGGACGAAATCAGCAGCAAGTGCGCAGACCGGGGCGTTCGCATCCTCGTCGACGCCGAATCACACCACTACCTGGCCGGAATCCTGCGCGTCACGCTGGACCTGATGCGCAAGTTCAACACCGACGGCTTCGCCCGGGTCTACAATACCTACCAGGGCTATCTCAAGTCCACCCCAGACACGATTGCAAAGCACCTGGCTGCTGCTAGTGAGGAGGGGTTCACGCTGGGACTGAAGCTAGTGCGTGGGGCGTATATTGCCTCTGATGAGCGCTCGCTTATCCACGATACGAAGGCGGATACGGATGCTGCGTATAACGGCATTGCGCAGGGTGTGTTGAGGCAGGAACTAGGCGAGTTTGGGACAACGAAGCCGTTTCCGGCTGTGAATCTGTTTCTGGCGAGTCATAATAAGGAGAGTGTCATGGCGGCGCATGCGCTGCATCAGCAGAGGATTAAGGGAGGGCTGCCGACTGTTCCTGTGGGGTTTGGGCAGTTGCATGGGATGTCGGATGAGGTGAGTTTCAGTCTGCTGCAGCTGAAGGGGCCGGAGGGGGATCCGAGGGTTTACAAGTGCTCGACTTGGGGGGGATTGGGGGAGTGTTTGGCGTATCTGTTGCGGAGGGCGATTGAGAATCGGGATGCGGTGTCGAGGACTGGGGATGAGTATCTGGCGTTGAAGAGGGAGGCTGCTCGCAGGGTTAGGGCTTTGTTTGCTTGATGATGATGATTTACGTATATTACGATGTCACAGATGCCCATCTCTATAGTAAAACAATAGTAACGCCATGGCAAAGGATCTATCTCTACAACCAGGTATTGACTGCTACCTAGGATCAGGAACTAAAGACCTTTGCAATTCCCGTTTATTAGGATACAGTAAAGAATGGGAGAATGGGATATATTTCCTCTTTCTGGTATATCTCTGCAGCCGTGGATCTGGTCGGAGCGGGTCCCCGAGTCGGGAGGGATTCCGGTGATAAGAATGAGGGGAAACATTAATAGAATTAATTATCTTCACATCTTAATTTGTCTGAATACACGAATACAACATGTCCAACACCCTGTGCATCCTCGGCTGCGGTAAGCCTAGCTAAATAATAATAATAACTTCATCCAACTAACACCTGAGAAAGGCAACCTGGGCACCGCAATCCTCAAAAGCCTCCTCGCCAGCCCCTCCCAGCCCTTCACCCAGTACATCGCCTGCGTCCAGAGCAATTCCTCCACCGAGCGTCTGCAGTCGCAGTTCAAAGACAATGTCTCGCTTAAAATATCGACAGGCGATAATAACAACGTCAGCGCCATAAAAGCCGCTGATGTCATTATCCTCGCCCTCGACCCCAGCGCCATCGAGCGCGGGCTCACCCAGCCTGGGATCCGGGATGCATTGTCGCAAAAGCTGCTTATCAGCGTAGCAGCGGGGTGGACGCGGCAGAAGCTTGAAGAGACGCTCTACGGATCCCCTACGACAGAGGATAATGCGAAAGACCGCGCATTCGTGATCCGGACTCTCCCGACGATCCCTGCTGTTGTTGCGCAGAGTCTTACTTCGATTGAGATTGAGCCGGATAGACAGATCCCACAGAACTATCTTGATATAACGGATGCGATCTTTTCACGGGTCGGCAAGACGGTGCATGTCCCGCCATCTCTGCTTGACCCTGCCACTGCAGTCGCGGGATCTACGCCTGCGATGTTCGCTGTGATTGTCGATGCCATGGTCGATGCGGCTGTTGCAGTGGGTGTGCCCCGGAATACTGCGACTACGATGATCGTGCAGTCCATGGCTGGGTCTGCGGCGATGATGCAGAGTGGGATGACGGCGGCGGAGCTGCGGGACCAGGGGACCAGTCCGGAGGGATGCACGATTGGGGGGTTGATGGTGCTGGAGGAGCAGGGGGTTAGGGGGGGTGTTGGGCGGGCTTTACGAGAGGCTGTTACGCTGGCGAGGATTATGGATGGAGTCAGGCATGTTAATGATACGAGAGAGTAATCTTTACAAAAAATCCATATGATTCAGACTTGTCTCTAGGCTATTTATTCTCCTTGATATACTGTGCAATATTTGGCCGTGCTTCAATCGCCTCCTGCAGCTTCAGCAGCGGTTCAGGGAGATTCGCCTAGACAGTTAGCATCTTCCATTACAAGACAGAGAGACATACAGGCAACGTCCCCGTCCTCCGATCATTATCAATACTCTGATACACCGCGAAATCCGCATAGGTGATTTTCTCACCGAGGAGATACGGACCCGGGCGTTCAGAGTAGTACTGGCCCACCACGGTGTAGTACTTGGGCACAACGGTGTCTTTGTACTCGGGATCCGCGCTCGTCAGGTTCGCGACCCATTGCGACTGACAATTAGCTTTGCGATGGAAGAGGCGGGTAACATAATGCATACCCTCCAGTCGATATAGACATCAGCAACCGCATCGACAATGTACTTCTCGTGGTTACTCTCCCCGTCATACGCGCCTAGTTCGCGAGACAAATAGCGCAGAGTAGGAATGTGCTAGACACATTAACATCAACAACCTCGTAGGTATAACTATAGTCAAACCTGGGTATAGATAGACCCCTTATACTCCAACGCAGGCAGCAGACCGGTCCGCGTCAGGCCCTGCTGGGTGAGTTTCTCTTTGCTCTGCGGCCAGGTGTCGTCGTAGGGATAGCGGACGTCTTTTGCGTCGACGCCGGCGTCTTTGAGGAAGAGGCTTATTTAATTAATTAGTGTCCTTGTTATGGTGTATGGGGCGTACTTGAGGACCTCGCCGCGCCCGAGACGCCCGAGGGTGAGGTAGTGGTAGACTGGTTGAGACATAGTAGTTGCCAACAGACTAATTGTAGTGATTAGTTGAGCGTTTAAATATCTTGTGCTTATGCTTAGCAATCGGGAACTGAGGACAGTTTAATATCTGCAAATCCCGGTGGTGTTTTGCTGCCCGATCCCTGCTTTATGGTGAGATGACGAATATCCCACCGGCCCAGATCATGCAGTGACGTCGTGTCGTACATTAAAGTCAGACTATAGCGGCATTTGTCATTGAGTTATCCCACACAGCCGCTTGCTTTGATTCCTAGATAATACGTAGATGACTCGAATTCATAATGAATCAGATCCACACTAAAGACGTATCTAATAATCATAAAACCAAAATACAATGCCAGGAATATCAGGCTGGCACCCCGGCGAAACCACCATACAAACCAAACTCGGTTTCGGAACTGCTATATCCACCTCCTGGCGCGCTATCGAACACCAGCTGCGTGAGCAGCACCGTGTTTTCCATACCTCTAATCTCCCATTCATCCCTGTGACGGTTGTTGACAAGGATGGCCGGCCGTGGGCGGGTATTGCGGCGGGCAAGGACGGAGAGATTGGGTTTGTGCAAGGGCCGGATTTGAAGACGTTGGCTTTGAGAGTTAGGGTTTGGGATGGGGAGCCGTTGAAAGAAGTCCTCTCTGACTGGCTGGATGGACGTGTAATAGGTGAGAGAGGGTTGATGGCGGGACTGGGGATCGAGTTTAGTACGCGGCGGAGGAATAAATTTGCTGGGTTTATTCGGAATGTCTTTCCGGAACAATCAAAGGAGGGATTAGATTATATACTTGAGATGGAAGTGAATGAGGCCGTGGGGTATGCCTTCCCTTATACTGCTGGTGAGAGTATACTGACAGTCAAGGAACTGCCCTAAATATATCAACACCCGCCACTTTGACGCATACCCACACACCAACCCGGAAATAATCTACCAAGTGCAGCACATGGCACCAACCGACCGTCTCCCACCCGCTGTAATCGAAATGATAACCACCGCCGACACAGTCTTCATCGCTTCAATCTACAAATCCACCCCAGAAACGGCATTGCAATTCCCATCCCACGCCGGGATGAACGCCCGCGGGGGATTACCAGGCTTCATCCGCGTTCTCCCCAGCGACGGCCGCAGTGTCATTCTCCCAGATTACTCAGGGAATAGATTCATGTCTTCTCTCGGTAATATTGAATCGAGTGGACTTGCTGGGTTTACCATTATCTCGTTTGAGACGGGCGATATCCTCTACCTTACCGGTGAAGCGAGGGTGCTTATTGGCCCGCCTGCGCTGGAGATTATGAAGAGACATGCTTCGATTACTGTTCTTGAGACGACGGGGTATACGCTTGTAAAAGATGCGCTTCCTGTGAGGCAGCGGCCGGGGTCAGTGATTGGTCGGAGTCCGTATAGTCCGAAGATAAAGTATCTAGTTGAAGAGGACCAGCTCCAGTCCGGGGTTTCTGATACGCATAAGGCGCGCCTTGAGAGTGCGGTGCAGCTGTCAAACGATCTAGCTGTGCTACGGTTCAAGGTGCTTTCCACAGATAAAGGGAGTCTGTTGAAGATTCGGCCCGGCCAGGCTATTGTGCTGGATTTCATGGACTGGATAGGCCCGCCCGAGTATCACCATATGGCGGATTCCGCGCCGGGTTCTATAAATGATGACCGCGTGCGGACGTGGACTGTCTCGAGTGGCTATGAAGAAGGGTGGTTTGAGCTGACGATGCGCGAGATGAAGGGTGGTGTGGTGACGGGTGCTCTATTTGACGTGTTGAGGAAGAATATCCCGCCTGCTAAATGGGGGAGGACTGTCCCAGTCGCACAGGCCGTGGTAGCAGATATTGTCGGCGTCACTGGGGACTTTATCTTGGGAGATGGCGATATTAATGTCCTCTGGGTAGCCGGGGGAATTGGCATCACCCCATTTCTGTCTATGCTGGAAGCACTGGCTTGTGGGCAACGTAAAGGCGATATCCAGTTTGTCTTGTCAACAAGAGAGCCTACGATAATGCTCGATTTGATGCGGAAATTACTGATGAATATCCCACCGACTGTCAATATCAAGATTGACTTGTTCACGCGGTATCCACTTGACGCAGAGAATAGTACGTGCATATCAATACATCAAGGCCGGATTGGACCGGAGTACTGGAAGACTGTCTCTACAGATAAAGACGTCTTTATCTGTGGGCCAAATGAGTTTGGGAATGCTGCTACAGAGGGCCTGCGGGATATTGGCATACCGAACGAAAGAATCCACAGAGAGGGATTTTATTAAGTGTATATTTATAACAATACTTCCGACTTGGCAAACGCTGTAAGTCCATAACCAATAATCTCTCACTACTGCTGGGCCCTCTTGATACGTTCTAGGCGATCTATAATAACGTCCGCATTCCTCTTGACGTGGAACGGTTCCTTTTCATCGTCCATGAGCTCCAGCTCCCCGGACTGCCCCTCATAGGTGTAAAACTTCGCCCACCGGCCTATGGCTACTATGCCATATAGTATGTCTGTGCCGCCCTCTTCTCTGTAGCATCTGTCGAGGTAGCCTTTCAACTGCCCCTCCGCATCTCGCCAATGGGATTCCGGGGTTGGGATAATGGCCTTTTTGGTCTCTGTGATAAGGAATTCCCGGCTGTAGGGTTTGTCATGGGCATTGCGTTGCCAGTGCATTGTGGTAAAATCTGTAAACCGATTTGCGACTTCGTGCTGAGGCGCGTTGATGTAGCCTTCTGTCACTGGAAAGGCGATTGCGAGGATCACGGACCACATGGCCCCAACCTTGTCTTCGTGATTGCGAGAATGGGCCTCGTCGTACGATCCAAGGAAGCTGATGTGCTGAGTATACTATACTCCCTCTATCTTAAAGTCTGTTCATTTGGACCAACGGCACAAGAGTCTATTTCTTACATCTTCCATTTCAGTGTCTAGCTCTATCTCTTTCTCTCTTTTGCTATTGTTGTGAATATGCTATGCAGCTATTATTAGACGCCCATAGAGTTACATTCTTACTTTGGCGAATCACTTACACTGGCGGGTGCAGTTTGCTTGCTCAGAGGTATTATAAAGGCTTGGACGACTATATCTCATATTCAAACCAATCGATCCTCCTTATATACCCCAGTTAGTTACGACCTGAAGCTTCCAGATGGGCACACATCGTGCCTTCCTAATCGCACAGAAATGCAGTCCTGAGCCAGGCAATGGATCTATTAGGCAGGCACAGCTTATTGTAGGTCTCTAGGTTTTACGCTTTTAAGAACCTCAACTGCTTTATCGTGTGGCCTGAACACACCCAAATTCAGAAATCGATACCTCCATGCCGTTGGTGTCTACGGCGTGTGCTTGCACGAGATCAATAACTCGATAAGCCCGTTCCATCCTGAGGAAGTACTACCAGACAACTGGTTGCTGTGGGCATCGGCAGGTGGGCAGAATACTAGCACGTCTTTGGCCTTCTCGAGCTCTGCAATCTAGCGCTCCCAATTATACTTCAAGAACTCCACAGATAGTGTTGACCACGCCACCAGTAGGAAACTCAACCCTGCCGACTCCGTCATGACTTCTGACACCTGGAATCATACGCACTTCACGAAGCAAATGAATAAAAAACAATGAATGACAACCAGATGAACGGAATAGACGAGGAAGAACTGCCCGTCGAGATGTTCCCACCACGGGGCTATCTCAGACACGGGACGCTCCCCATTGAAGCCGAAAACGATCCAATATGCTACATCTGCAGCAGCCTCATAGACTGTTATGAAAAAGGCCGCAGGGTCTCCCCGGGTGTGTATTCTGACACGGAAATTATGGAGCGCAGACGAGCGTGGGAGAAACGGACTTGGACTCTCTACTTTCGCATGCGTAAGGCAAGTCCTACTTTCCAGAATAAATGTCGCTGATGGTGTTGTGTGTGCCAGTTCTATTCCATCCCAGCAAGCCGATATCTCGTCTCTCAGGCATCTCGTACTTTATCGATCGGGACCATCGCTTCTATACACTTCAGGTCCCCTGGGATGAGCATACGGGTATTATCCGATCCAATGATGGAGAGACTGAACATGATAACAAGCACCTGCTTGCAACGGCCCTCAGGGACGAGGTACATGACGAGCCTCACCCCGATAGACTAAGGGGCCTTGTAGTCCATGACCGCTGCTGGCAGGTGCTTCGCAAGCACAGAATCTGGAAACGCTCTGGGGAGGACATTGATCAGATAACGCGTGCATTGCTAAGTAGGACCGCGAGAGACTGGGAGAGGACTCCGCTGATACCGTTGGCGCTGGACCTGAACGAGCACTGGAGGAACCCTATAGCATCGGAAGAGACGGGTGAGCATCCACTCCATCGCGTCTGATCTAGTTCTTTTCTCACCTACAGTATATTTTAGATCCGCTGCACAGCCGCTACGTACAATACCTGATCTGCCGGGCTCGCCGCAGGACACACAGGAGGTTCAAGGTTATGCAAAACAGACAGAAAAACCATCTCAATCGTCTCCCTGGGGAAGTTCTATTTCTGATTGCAGACTTGCTGCAGTCTCCAGAGATAGTGGCCGTTCAACAGGCAATTGGGACGTACTTGGGTGACGTGTATTGGCGCTCTCGAATCCCCATGGATCTTTTCCATGAGCTCCGGGAGCTGCTGGACCAGACTCTGGATTGGGAGTTTCTCTGCCTGGAGCTGGAAAAATACAATATTGAATACCCAGACGACGTTGATGAGATCCCTGCGCCGTTTAATCAACTACTGGGCCGGAAGTGGGTTCTAGAGCAGCTCGATGAGATTGAGCATTTTGTCTCTTGATAGTACTGAGCAGACTGTCTAATAGTGAGTAGTATCCAAATAGACATATAAAGGGACTTTCCGAGGTAAATATACTTATATGAAAATAAGCAGGTATACGTATTAGACGCGTTTGACTGCTATCTAATTGCCAGTTTCAATTTAAGATAGTCTTTGATATGCATGCCCCTTCTAACTCCATTTCATTCATAAATCATAATGAAAGCCCATGAAAAGCCTCACGCAGGCCCATATTCGCCAAACAACCAAACCCAAACGCCGGAATAATGCGTACGCCCCGAATCATCGTCGCAACAGGCAGATCCCGCAGCACCACCGCAGCCCGGTCCCGAATCGGCACATGGTACTGCCTGTTATACAAATCCAGCCCGAGCAGATGCAGCGGCGTCGCAAATAGCTGCGACACCACTGGCACTAGTAACTGCGTAAATACGGTCTTCGAGTACGGATGCGAGGCGAGTGAGTCTGGGATGACGTTTGCGCACTGCTGCGCGAGGGTAAAGGAGCCGTATATGGTGATTGCGTCGCGGACGAGCAGTGTTGTTGTTGCTGCCGCCGAGCCAGTCCTTTTGGGGATCGGCAAGGGCTTCGTTACGCCCTTTGATGCGTCGATATGCGGTTTTGTGGCGTCTGGGTTTGTGCCGAAGAAGTGGGCGAAGCGGATGTCCTTCCACACGCCGAGGGGGACGTTGATGAGGAATGTGCAGGCGAAGGTGATTGCGTCGGAGAGGGAGGGGTGAGTCTGCTTTGTGACTGTTTCAGTGGTGTTGGCGACGGTGTATGTGGCGGCGTAGAGGGCGAAGACGTGGCCGTGAGGGCGTGAGAAGAGGAAACTTGCTGGGTGTTTGAGGGCTGCTTTGGTGTGTGCGCGAAGCCCTTGCAGGACTGGTTTGTGGTATGAAGCTTTTTCCACCAAGGCTCTGGAACTGTTAACTCCGCCTGTAAATATGGGAAGTGCTTACCTGTCGATTATCGTTATCGTCGGCGAGACTAGAATGGTCGAGATGGAGGCTGCTGCGATGTCGCCGCCCAGCAGGCCCCAGTTAGGGCTCAGCTCGGTCGTCGTCTTCTGCTCCATCTAGAGTTTCACGGGCTTTGAACAGACACCGAGATAGCAAGCATTCAGTTTTTAGTTTACTTCTACTTTCCATTTATGATTTCATCGGAGACACCGGCCGGGCTTCCGTGCGTGTATCGGAGCGTTTATCGCATGCGGGGATCTCCACGTCGGGTGCCCTCCCGATGGCGCAGAGCATAAAGCAGCTGCAGCTGCAGCTCCAGCTCCAACTCGAGCTCGTTCACTCTCATCCTTATTCACAATGGCTTCAAGCAGGCTCCTCGCTCCTAGACTTTCTAATCCTGCGCGTCTGCGCCCGGTCCCTGTCTCCCTCCGCCCTCAGCTGCGGACCAAGGCCACCGTGCCGTTCAGACTCCCAGACCCCCGCAACGAGCCTAACGTAGGTAAAGAAATGTAATGAGAGGGAATTTGCTAACGGGTAACAGCCTGAATACAAACGAGGATCGCCTGAGCGGGCAAAGGTCGAGGAAGCCCTCGTCAAGCTGCGCGGCCAACTCCCCGTACAGAGCGAGATCTTCTACAACGGCAAGACACAGAGCATCGCCAAGTCGTGGGACCAGCCTCTACCGGCAGAACATGGCACAAACTTCACAAACTACCCCGTGGCCACCAAGGAGCAGGTCTCGGCGGCTATCGAGTCGGCCCTGAAGGCCAAGAAGGACTGGGAGAACACCCCCTTCGTCGACCGCGCGTCCATCTTCCTCAAGGCGGCTGAGCTGGTCACTGGCAAGTACCGGTACGAGCTTATTGCTGCGACCATGCTTGGCCAGGGTAAGAACATCTGGCAGGCTGAGATTGATGCTGCTGCTGAGACGGCGGATTTCTGGCGCCAGAACTGCAACTTTGCTGCTGAGCTGTTGGAGAGACAGCCTACCAGGACTACTGATGGAATGTGGAGGTAAGCTATCCAACATAACTTGTCTGATACCGTTCTAATTGAGTAGTCGAATGGAGTACCGCCCTCTTGAAGGGTTCGTTTACGCCATCTCTCCCTTCAACTTCACAGCCCTCGGAGGCGCCCTGCTGTCTGGCCCCGTCCTGATGGGCAACGTCGTGCTCTGGAAGCCCTCGCCATCCAACATCTACGCCAGCACGCTGCTCTACAAGATCCTGCTCGAGGCCGGCCTCCCCAAGGACGTGGTGCAGTTCGTGCCCGGCGACGCGGAGGAGATCACCAACATCGCCCTGGCGCACAACGACTTCGCAGGCCTCAACTTCATCGGCTCGTCCGACGTCTTCCGCTCCATCTACGCAAAGATCGGCGAGGGCATTGGCAAGAAGACGTACCGCGAGTTCCCGCGCATCGTCGGCGAAACCAGCGGCAAGAACTTCCACCTCGTGCACAACTCCGCCGACATCCCCAGCGTCGTCAACCACACCATCCGCGGCGCCTTCGAGTACCAGGGCCAGAAATGCTCCGCCACCTCGCGCGCATACATCCCTGCCTCGCGGGCTGAAGAATTCATCTCCCTCCTCAAGGCCGGCGTGAACGAAATCACCATCGGCAACCCAGACAAGGACCTCGAGGCCTTCATGGGGCCTGTCATCCACGAACGCTCCTTCAAGAACATCACCTCCATCATCGACAAGTCCAACAAGGATCCCTCTCTTAAGCTTATTGCTGGGGGAACGTATGACGGCTCCGTCGGCTACTACGTCAACCCAACCGTCTACCAGACCGACTCGCCAGACCACCGCCTCTTCAATGAGGAGATCTTCGGCCCCGTCCTGGCCATCTACGTCTACCCCGACGCTGAATGGAGCGAGCTCCTCCCCAAGGTCGACGCCGGTGGCGGCGGCTTCGCTCTGACCGGTGCTGTCTTCGCCAGTGACCGCAAGGTCATCCGAGAGGCTGAGGATGCGCTGCGCTACTCTGCCGGTAACTTCTATATCAGTATGTCCCTACACACTTAGCCCGACTATAGATGAATGCTTGCTAACTGTAACAGACTGCAAGACAACCGCCGCGCTGATCGGGCAGCAGTCATTCGGTGGCTCGCGTGCCAGTGGCACCAACGACAAGGCAGGCAGCTCTGATGTGCTCCGTCGCTTCACCAGCCCGCGTATGATTAAGGAGGAGTTTAACCCCCTGGACGGCTTCAAGTATCCTAGCAACCACTAAGTTTTAAAATGGGTAGTTTGTATTGTTAGATAGTTACGAATGAGATGCATAGACACTTGTTAAACTGGAGCTTAAACTTGAATATAGTAGAAGCAGTTCATCACTCGAAGTTGGAGGTGTAATCTCTATACACTGTACTCTACAGACCGATATCGCATTACCACTTACGACTGACAACAGAAGTATATTCGCCACTGATGCCGTACCCGCGGAAAAGCAGGCTCTCAACCCCTCCAGAACCAAGCCCTCTTACATGTCATCTGCCCCGCTAAGGTCATCTGCTCCAAGTCGGTCCCCCAGTCCGACACTCAGACAGGCAAGTGGATCCTGCTGTGCACCGGGAGCACTCCCGGTGTGGTCTGGATTGCGGGGAGTCGGGGGTCCTCCGATATATCGCCACTGAACTATCAGACCGGCCATAGACTCCGCTGGCTCTGCTCGGAAGAGGATACGAGAGTCTGTGCGAGGTCTGATCACTGGTTTGGGGCCGGTAGGTCTGCTATCTACGGGCTATGGGCTACGGTGCAGTACGATGTGGACTGAATGTTTTATTGTTGAAGGGCATTAACTACAGCTCTCGCAGAGTGATCTGTGTGAATATTGCTCAATACTCCACTCCGAGCCGGTTACGAAATCCCTAAACCTGTCCACTTGTTTTTTCCATGTCATATCCATATCCGTCCAATGCCGTGCATAGTCAAATACAACCTGCTTGTCGCCCCCAATCTCAATCCTAGCACCAGATGCAAAGAGCAGTCTCGCTACCTCGAACCTCCGTGACCTGATGGCCTCCTGCAGCGGAAATCTACCCCTCGCATCAGGTTCGTTCGGGTCCCATCCCAAATGTAGAAGATAATGAATCACGCCCAGATGGGAGTCGACGGCAGCAAGGCACAGTACAGTTGTATCTATGTCCTTTTGCGCGGATATTCGAGAGGCATGAGTGGCCAGGACATTGACTAGCTGATCAAGGTCAGATCCAGGTCTCGGTGGTGTGAATCTCTGGGACCCTGAAGATCTGCCGTCCAGAAATTGCGAACGGTCCACGAGAATATGTAAGGCCCTGTTAAGATGCGTGGGCCGGGGTGATTGAGTGAGCTCAAGAAACCGATTGACCAGTGGATAGTGGCGTTTACGGACCATTTTGTACCAAGCATCTGCGCACTCGTCTATCAAGTCGGCCTTTCGTGTGGAGAGCAGTTGTAGCAATTTCTGAATGGTTTCTGGAGCTGCACAATCATGATAGAGGAAAGTGACAACGACATCCTCCATACAGAGCGGGTGTCCTGCATCCTTTGAGGCCATGAGGAACATCTCCACAATGCCGTACGCTTTATAATCCTCCATGGCCATGGTCAGATATCTTGAACTGAGTTCCCAGTCTGCTTTGAGCAGCATGGTTACCATATCCACGCTCCTGGTGTCAATCGCCCATGTAATGAAGCTCGCCGGAGGCTGCACACCGTTTCTAAGTAGATACCAGACAATAGCCTGCGCATTCCTCTCAGGATAGATCCCGGAACAGACAGCACCCCAGACTTCGCTGAGCACCTCGTCGGAGGGAATAGTATCGTACCCCCGCTGTTGAAGCTGAAACAGAGTACTGACGTCCGCCTGTTGATATGCCTTTTCTATATTGCGGAAGTATCTGCTCGAGTAGGACAGGTTGTCGCCTGCTGAATCATCATCATCGAACTCCCATTCCTGATATTGCTTGGCTAATATAATGAACGCAAGTTCTTCCAGGTGTCGTCCGACATGCTGTGACACGGCGATATCCTCTGCTAGGTGCTTGTCGCAAAATGTGCAATAGGAAGAGTGCTGCATTGCCGGGCCTTCCTCCATCTCCGTCATATCCAGATCACGAATCTGCCATTTTCGGAACCCATGAACTTTCCTTAGGTGGTTCTGGCATGCAGCAACGCTATTGAACTTTGCTTCGCATGTCTCAGGACAACGGTACCTGGCTGGGGCTCTATGCCGCTTCTCTTCGTGAGCAAACCACGCCCTTCGGGTTGAGTATAGCTTGCCTGCCGTGTCACAGTCTTCGAAGGAGCACATGTATGGCTGTAGGTCTTTTAGCACATGGCTCCTGGTATTCTGTGTTAGTGGAAACGCCAGTAAACGCCGGCCATTATGCTTACCTCCACTCTCTCTGCAGGACAATGTGCACGACCTTTCCGCAGATATCGCAAACCAAGGACTGTTGGCTTCCTAATTCCACTGGTGGCGGCGGTAACACCATGTTGGGCAGTGGCCGTTCAATGGAAGAAGAAGCTGACGAGCTATCGGATCTTTGGCCCGGGGGATCCTCACTTTGCAGCGAGCTGTTCATACTCGATGAGCCGGAATCTGAATGCGGTCTGGGACTTCTTTCTCTGCCAGTCCAGAATGAGCGTTCAACTGGAGATTCTTCCGAGGCGTCGTCTTCAGAATCTGAATTGGACGATTGCAATACGCGCCCTGAAGACCCCAAGAGTATCCTCCGGAATAAGCGTTCAACTGGAAATTCTTCCGAGGCGTCGTCTTCAGAATCTGAATTGAACGATTGCAATACGCGCCCTGAAGACTCCAAGGATATCGGCGAATTGTACAGTGCTGGGGCATTTGAAGATCCGTCCCTAGGATTTGAACGAAGAACCGGATCGGCCGCGATATCTTCTGTTCGGACATTATCTGTTCGTTCTTCTGTTCCCCCACGAGCCATTTGAAGTCTCTGTGCTCGACGCAGATTTGCCATCGCGCAACGTCGCGCAAGGCACCCTGAGAGACGCGGGAACCTGTCCAGGATGTTTCTGTAGTAGATACGAGCAGCAAAGGGCATGTCCTCAGAGCCGTCAGCTTCTGCTACACTGGGGCCGTCATCTGCTCGAGGGAACTCCGATCTTGGGATCGGATTGGCCTTGATCGAAATGATTTTGAACTCTTCTAGTTGTTGGCCCTCTGCTTTCTCTGCGTCCTTGGCTGGCATATGCTCATAGACAGGCTCCACTGGGACATTCGGGGGCTCTACGCGTGTGAGCCAGGAATCCAAGGGCGTTGAATTGAGACTCTGTGGTTGATGGCCGGATATCTGGATCTCGTCAAGCGGCGCACTTGAGCTGTTGCCAGAATATATTGAGCTGATAGGGCTGCTCTGGCGTTCCACGGTGGCTGACGTATCGACAAATGGTTTCCTAGCTCCAAATAGCGCATAGTCTTCTTCGCTTTGCAGTTGGGATACCCTCGAGCCTTCGTCGAGTGTATCGCCGGCGTAGTCGAAAAAGAGAAACCGCAATCCACAGTGTGGGCTTTCGATGTTAGCTTTGTGCAGTAGTCTGCATCAGCAGTAGACATACCAAGCTCGGAGATTCCCCCTCTCTGTATCAATTGCCCGTCTGCAGCTCGGCCGGGGACACGTTCCAATCTCCCACTGAAGCTGTGGTATCACCATAGCCATGTATATCTTAGAGCCAGGGCGGACTAAAGACCAGCCCTCTTTCCTGACAAGCTGGCAATTATCAGAGGTATTGTACAGCTCATACTCTTCGTCAATCACATTATCCTCGGCTGCCATGCCCTTGAATTCAGTCCTCAGCAGACCTTGCAGGACCTTGAACGGTATCAGCTGGATTCGAATTAGGTTGGCGTTTACATACCTCCCAGCGACAGAACCACTCGTAGGGCAGCTCGAACTGCCTACCCATGCAATCTAAAAATTCGATTCTGCCAATTTGAAACTCATTCGGGCCCGTGGGCACAGTCCTCGATTGCTGGAGCAAGATGTAATACATTTGCATGTTCACTGAGTGCACTTTCCTAAGAAGGTCACGCATTTCCACAGGGAAGGAGCTGAGAAAAGCGACTATTTGCCTCCCGAGGTCATTTATACTGACGAGCGACATCTGCATTGACGAGGTGTCTGCCGATATCTGGTCTAACTGATTGCTGGTGTCTGAGCTGAAGCTTTTGGCATCTGTGCGTATTCCGTCCAAGGCCGACTTTGTATCAAGTCGGAATTTTGCAGATTTCTCATCCTCAATCTCCCTTTTTGCTTCTGCATCTATCAAACTCTGTCGAAAACCTGACAGTCTAGCCTTCAAATGCTTGTCTTGCTCTTTCTGCGTTCTGGCAACTCCAGTGATCCCCTCCCTGCAGAGTAAGCATGATAAACAGCAACTGGTGTCAGACTTACGAGTTATGTATCCCAATCAACAGGTTAATGCTCACAGTCTTAGCAACAATGATGGCGCGGAATCTGTTGACTTCTTCAGTGACAGTCACTGCCCATTTTGCCTTTTTAGAGGCACCATGCAGTCGGGCCCGCGACGCAAACGGTCCCATCGACTGCTCATATTGCTGTAACTTCCTCAGAAACTCCTCTAATGGTATCCTAACTGATAAAGCCATGCCACGAAGCGCATTCACACGGGCTGTATTGTATTCATCAGGCTCAAGGGCCTGCAAATGGTTTAGACATCTCTGCAAGCCTTCCAACTCAATAATAACCTGCTGGTATTCCGACGCAGCGCCTCCTGCTTCCCTGAGCGCTTTGCATATTTTCACAATCAGCCCTGCGGATGTTAGGCTCCTTTATCTTCTTCAGTGGATCCTTTCTTCAGTGGACATACCCCCAGCGGCCAGAAAGTCCCCTACGCTGAAACCGAACGCGGGGGCGACCATAATCGAATGGCATAAGGCAAGGCCCTACGAGGTGAGTGCAGAGAAATGTTTCGTTTTAGTGCGGGGCTGCTTATATTTGTCGTATTAGCTGAGGCGCAGCAAGGCTGCTTGCTTTTTCGTTGGCCGCGTCGCCTGAACAGGTCCAGGATGATTGATCATTCATCCACTGCAGAAACTGACAGCCTTTCGTTTCTCTTCATGGTATTGGCTGTCTGCAGGTCGCTATGTGATTGGAGCGTGTGCATGTTGGGCGAAAAGGTGCGATATTCGGTGTGATACTAGCAGGGATATAGACAAGGATCGTCTGTTAAATAAACTTAACTACTGAGTCAAACTAGCAATATAATCACGATTACTTCCAAACTTGGTTGCATATTATATGGCTACGACACTGTACCAATGATCAACAGTCCCGATATACCAATTCACCGAGTAAATCCCGTATTTCTCCGGACCCATGATAACCCCTTTCCATGCTTTAGGTGGTCCAAGTGCTAACTATTCCCCATGGGGTGGCAAGCTACATGCATAAGGTACCCAAGCCTAGGTTAGAAGCCTCACTTGCTATGATTATGATGATCATGGCGCAGAAGCTCATTCAGTGGCTCGGCAGGATATGACTAGAACCCTCCTTCCGATATATTAACTGTCGAACCTACAGAAACGGAGCTCATCAAGATATAGAGATGACGAGATTAATAGACCATCCGACCCTTCGAATATTTTAACTCTCTTCTCAGAGTTTAATCCATCTTCGTATACTTCGTATAATTGTCGGATTCTCCGGCAATTCCCCGACAACTCGCAATTCTCCGCTCATCAACTCGCACATGAACAGCATACTTCGATATAAAGTCAACCTCCCTAAACACAGCAGATAATTCTGTCTTTCCATTCTTAATCCTTTCCCCTACTTCAGCAAACAAAATGTCACCCCCCTGGTGGAAAGAAGCCACCATCTACCAAATCTACCCGGCCAGCTTCCTCGACACAACCGGCACCGGGCTCGGCGATATCCGCGGGATAATCTCCAAAATCCCATATATAAGATCCCTAGGCGTTGACGCGCTCTGGCTGTCACCCATCTTCGCATCCCCGCAGCACGACATGGGCTATGACGTCGCCGACTACCGCGCCATCCACGAGCCGTATGGTTCTGTCAACGATGTCCAGGAACTCATTGATACACTCCATGAGAGTGGTATGCGCCTGTTACTGGATTTAGTGGTCAATCAGACGAGTTCCGAACATGCCTGGTTCAAGGAGTCAAGATCCAGCAAGAGCAGTTCCAAACGGGACTGGTATATCTGGCGAGATCCCAAATACGACAGCAGTGGGCAAAGAAAGCCGCCGAATAACTGGAAATCGCTCTTCGGGGGGTCGGCGTGGCAGTTTGACTCCGTAACAGGACAGTACTATCTGGCGCTATTCCTGCCCGAGCAGCCGGATTTGAATTGGGAGAATGAGGCAATGAGACAGGCTGCGTATGGGGATATGCGGTTCTGGCTGGATAGAGGCGTTGATGGGTTCCGGATTGATAGTATGAATCTCATGTCGAAGCATCCTGGGCTTCCTGATGGGAAGATTGTCGATCCGGGTCAAGAGTTCCAGTCCGGAGCGGAGTTTTTTGCTTCTGGGCCGCGGATGCATGAATACCTGCAGGAGATGAGAAGGGAGGTATTTGATAAATACGACAGGGATATCATGACAGTGGGCGAGTTGGGGTTTACAAAGGACGAGACCTCCGTGGCGCCGTACGTCGCCAGTAACCGCAAGGAGCTGAATATGGTATTCACAGGAGATATTTCCGATATGGATTTTGGAGTGGGACATAAATACGACAAGGGCGAGTTCCACCCGCGCATGATCCGGCGCATTACGAACCTCTGGCAGATGGCGATGCCCAAGGTCGATGGCTGGAATGCTGTGTACCTTGACAATCACGACAGCGGGCGCTCGCTGAGCCGGTATGCGTCTGATGCGCCGGAGTATCGAGCAACAGCTGCAAAAATGCTGGCGACGTATATGATGACGCTGAGTGGCACGCCGTTCCTACTGGCAGGACAGGAGATCGGGATGGCGAATCTGGGCAGGGAGTATGGGCTTGATGCGTATATTGACGTGGAGGGGAGGAACAGATATAATGAGATAAGAGGCGATCCTTCCGCTATTGACGACTTCATGAGAGAGCTGCAGCTCAAGTCGCGCGATCATGGACGGCTGCCGATGCAGTGGGACGATTCGGCGCACGCGGGATTCACGACGGCGGATGAGCCGTGGATGACAGTCAACAGGGACTATCCGGAGTGGAATGTGGCCGCCCAGGTGGATGACCCTAGCAGTGTCATGGCGTTTTGGAAGAAGATGATTGCTCTGCGGAAGGAGTATAAGGAGCTGTTTGTCTATGGGGGGTACAGGCCGCTGGACGAGGAGTATACAGGGGAAATGGTGCTGGGATACGTGCGCGAGAGTCGCAGTGAGACTGCAGTCGTGCTATTGAACTTTTCCGATGTCGAGCAGATGGTGGGAGAAGAGTATCAGCATTATACCGTCTTGGTGAATGAGTCGTGCAGGGTGGACGGTAGGGCTATTCTCAGCCCGTTCGGGGCGTTGGTGTTGTATAGCAGAACGTAAACCATATACAAGTCACGCCATTTCTACAGTTATACCAGTTATTTAGTATTCCATTTATACAGGTATAAAGTATACAGCATACAGGCCATACAGCGTAACTGCTGACCCAGAATGCGGGGACCCCCGCCACCGGGAGGGCGCCCGTTATCACCGGCACGCCTCCCGACCATCATGCCAGATTCCAGAATGCACACAGCTATAAAGAGATAAACGCCTGCTCGAATCAACAAATCACACCAACAGTGCTCAACCATGGTCTCCAAATCAAGTCCCATCCTCATTGTCGGCGGAGGCGCCTTCGGCCTTTCCACAGCCCTACATCTTACCAAAGATGGCTATACAAACATCACCGTCTTTGAGCGCGACGAGCAGATCCCCCCTCGCTATTCTGCCGCAAACGACCTGAACAAGATCGTGCGAGCCGAGTATGAGGATCCGTTCTACACCGATCTGACAGTGGTATGTCCAGCCTCACCAATCTCCCACCTTTATATACTAATTAGCGAAGAAAGCAATATCCGCATGGAAAACGCCCCTCTTCGCGCCCTACTTCCACCAAACAGGCTTCCTGCACTGCGTGTCCGGCACGGCCCCCGAAAAAGCCATCGGAACGCTGAAACGGTTCCAAGCCGCCGCAGACGCGCACCCGGACATCAAACCGCACGTCGTCCCCCTCAACGGGCCCGGCGACATCCGGCCGTGGTTCTGGCAGTGCGACGGCGCTCTCCCGGGCTGGCACGGCTACTTGAACCGGTTCGATGGGTATGCACATTCTGGAAATGCCCTGGCTGGTATTTACAGACATACCCAGGCCGCCGGGGTGAAGTTCTTCCTTGGACACGAACAAGGTGCTGTTTCTGAGGTTGTATACAACGACGGGCGCGGTACGGGTACAGGTGTACGCACGCGCGACGGGAAATTCCACCCGGCCGAGCTGGTAATCGTCGCCGCAGGCGCAGGTGTTGGCAAACTGCTCCCCTCACTAGGAACGCAGATTGTAGCCAAATCATGGAGCGTGGCGCATGTTCAACTAAGCGATGAAGAAACGAGTGCTTTGCGGGGTATCCCGATTACATACGCCCGCGACTTTGGCTTCTACTTCGAGCCGGATCCCAAGACGAACTTGCTTAAGATCTGTCCCATGGGTGGCGGGTATATCAACACGGACCCGGCAACGGGGGTGTCTCATGCGCCTGAGGATCTGGAGACGAGCCAGTTCCTGCCGGCGGAGGATGAGGGGAGGATTCGGAAGTTGCTGGAGCAGACGCTGCCGGCGCTGGCGGGGAGGCCGTTGGTGAAGAAGACGCTGTGCTGGTTTGCGGATACGAAGGATTCGGACTTTATTGTGGATTATGTGCTGGGGAGTGATGGGAAGGTGGTGGTGTTGTCGGGGGACTCGGGGCATGGGTTTAAGCTGTTCCCGATTGTGGGTGAGTGGACGAGGGATCTCCTGGCCGAGAAGAGCAAGACGCAGAAGATTGCCAGGTGGAGATGGAAGAATGAGTCTCAAGCTAAGCCGGACTGGGGGACGGATGTCAGCTGGAGACTGGGAGAGACACGAGAGCTGCGCGATGTTCTGCCTGGACGGGTGAAGCTGTAATCAGCCATAAGATATAATTGTCTATCAATAGCACTTCTCCCTCTCTGACTTGGTTCCACGTAGAGAAGCCACGGATACCCTCCCGGTATACAATTGAATAATAGTTCATTCCTGCATACTTCCCCGAGGAAAACAAGAATATCGGCGGCCTCCTCCGACTCTCGGGCCCGTCCTCCGGTATCTCCATCTATAACTCCAACCTTACCCCTCAACAAAATAACCAACAAAATAACCAACAATCGAATTAAAAATGACAAAAACTTCGTCTGTCTTCGCTTCTGCCCCCCGCATCCCCGCGGACGCCATCTTCGCTCTCACCGCAGAATATCTCGCGGACCCGTTCCCGAACAAGGTCAATCTCGGCCAGGGAACGTACCGCGACAACAACGCGCAGCCGTGGGTGCTGCCCAGCGTGAAGAAGGCGCGCAGCATTATCGAGGACAAGGGGCTGAACCATGAGTATCTCCCGATTCTGGGACTAAAGGGTCTCCGGGACGGGACGGCGCAGTTGGTTTTTGGAGAGGAATACGGGGGAGTATCAGATAGGGTACCTACCCTCTCCATCCAGATACAAAAGAATGCATACTGATATTTATAAAGCTAGCAACATCGCAAGCAATCTCCGGCACAGGCTCACTGCACCTGGCCGGCAAAATCCTCAAATACTGCAACACATCCCTCCCCAAAGTCTACATCCCTTCCCCAACCTGGTCAAACCACCACCTCGTCTTCTCCTCTCTCGGCTTCGAATGCGTCTCCTTCCAGTACTACAACGCCGCCACCAAATACCTCGACATCGACTCTTATCTAGCTACCCTACGCTCGGCAGAACCCGGCTCAATCATCATCCTGCACGCCTGCGCACACAACCCCACAGGCCTCGACCCAAGCATCGAGCAGTGGAAGGAAATCGCCTCGATAGTGCAGCAGCGCCGACTCTTCCCGCTATTCGACGCGGCGTATCTCGGCTTTAATTCCGGGGACTATGACCGCGATGCCTGGCCGATTCGACACTTTGTTTCTGACTTGGGGCTCGAAGCGGCTGTTTGTTTGAGTTTTGCGAAGAATATGGGGCTTTACGGTACTTACCTATCCATATATATTACTTGTATTTATATATATGTGTGTGTGCTAACAAGTTAGGCGAACGGGTTGGCTGTCTTTTGCTAGCAACGACAGATGCAGAAACTGCCGGCAATGCACAGTCCGTGCTAGAGTCGCTGCAGCGCTCTGAGATCTCGAACCCGCCGGCCTTTGGGGCGAAGATTGCCGAGACGATTATGCGTGATGACGAGCTGCGGGGGCTCTGGTTCCAGGATCTGAAGACGATGAGTGGCCGGATCCAGGAGATGAGGAGGGCGTTGTTTGATGGGTTGAATAAATATTGTATGCTCTCTCTCAAGTATATTTGTATAGGGGCTAACTGTACAGCCACTGGAAATTGGGACCACTTGATTAGACAGTCGGGTATGTTCGGGTTCCTGGGGCTGTCGAAGGATGTGGTGAAGACGTTGAAGGGTGAGTACTGTTCTATCAGTGTCCAGGAGCGAGCTAACTCTATAGATGAATATCATATCTACATGGCCGAAAACTCGCGGGTGTCGATTGCGGGCTTGAACACGGGGAATGTCGACTATGTCGCTCGGTCAATTGCTGAAGTGTTGAAGAGCGCTTGAGCATTTAATATTAGACTATCATATGAAGAATCATTCCTGCTATGAATAAACTAGGCTCGGGCCAGTAAGAAGATAGTATTAGACGTAGATGCATCATCGGATCCGATAGTACCCCAGACGAATTCAGCTTCAGAATCCACACGTTTCTACCTGACAGGCTAGCATCCACCAAAGATGAAACTCAGCCCGTCTCACGCGGCTTGTTCTCGAAACTATAATCGGACGAGATTCGGGCTCTCCAGATCAGCTCAACTTGATATTCTCTTGGACTTCCCAAATTAGATACCGGTCTGATATTCTGGATGTTTTCGTAAATGAAGTGGCATAGTCTGAAGCTCCGGTATCAGCCGGGTCACTATAAACAATATACAGCAAGCATACGATAAGTAACTGCAACCACGCATGTGAATAATCCCGAGGTTGACTATCCCAGTCAACAGAGACTAAGCTACGAAGAACATCTCAGCGCATCTAGAAAAAATACAGTGACAAGATATACGGCGGAGTGATAAAATGGAGGATCCTCCTTATGACTCAGCCTAGTTCTCTGTGGGAAGTGGAAATATGGTTGAGCAGTATGCTATAAACGCAATAAAGTCTGATCACGCCCACGATAATTTCCCGGGCCACCTTTTCCACAGCCAGGTCGGTCGACGTCCAGAATACACTTAATTAGCTTCTACCTGCATTTAAGGTTATCTTGGTTATCTTGTTTGATGGGTTGTCTGAAAATGCCTCGGATAGACGACCGGGCAGGGGAAAACCGGGTGCAGTCGAGTATGTACGCTGCATGTATGAGAACATGTGAATATCATTCCATCATATTGGATCAAACAGCTCAGCCAGCAAACAAGGCGGACGCAGTAAATGTCGTTTAAAAATGCTTAAAATCTTTTATGAAAATAGTAAAAGTATTTGGCCCGTTTTTTCATATACAGTGCGAATAATGGTGGTGATGCCGGAGAACACTCGGTGGAGAATCGGCCTGTCTCGATCATCGTCCACGTCTGCAATGGCGTCAATCCAACTGTGGGTATATCAACAGTTCTAGCCCGATGAGTCAATCGTGACCGTAGCTGGCATTGCAGTATGCAGACTGCAGTTGCGGGATTTCTCGGTCGTTACTCTTGCTATATAGATTGCTACATAGATTCCTATAAATACCTTACTGTTTCCTGTGCATATAGTCTGGACTTCATAGACATTCCGTTCTTAGATTTATTGTTTGCTGTTTGCATAGACCACACAATGAGCCATCTTATGGGAATCCGACGGGCTCATCCCGTATTCATCCCTCGAATCAAGCCCAGTACTCCATCTTCCATTTCACCTATTCAACTCATACCCGCAAGATACCATACACAAGACGCTACCCAAAAGTCATCATGGACTCACCCAGTGTACGTCCATCCATATACTTCCAGGAATAACCACTAACCGGTGAAGATACACCCAAGAACAAATCCAATCCGTCCAAATCGCACACAAAAACGCAACAAACCTCCCCGACAAACTCGCCCTAGGCACAGTCCGCTTCCTCCGCTGGGGCATGGACTTCGTCACGGGCTACCGCTCAACAGCAGTAGCTAATACCATGACGGAGAAGAAGTGGATAACACGGTTTATCTTTCTTGAAAGTGTCGCCGGCGTACCGGGCATGGTTGCCGGGATGTTACGCCACTTGAAGAGCATACGGAGGTTGAAGAGGGATCATGGGTGGTATGCACTCTCTACTATCCTATACCAGCGCAAGCTAATCAATTGTATTTGTATAATTAGGATAGAAACCCTCCTCGAAGAAGCCTACAACGAACGCATGCACCTCCTCACCTTCCTAAAACTCAGCGAGCCAGGCCGCTCAATGCGCCTTATGGTCCTCGGCTCGCAATGCGTCTTCTTCACCGGCTTCTCCATAGCTTACCTCCTCTCCCCGCGCATCTGCCACCGTTTCGTGGGGTACCTAGAAGAAGAAGCCGTCATAACCTACACCAAAGCCATAACAGATCTAGACAACGGTCTCTTACCAAAATGGGAAGAGACAAGGGTCCCCGATATGGCTGTCAAGTACTGGCAGATGCCCGAGGGGAAGCGGGATATGCGGTCGTTGCTGCTCTATGTGCGTGCGGACGAGGCGAAGCACCGCGATGTTAATCATACCCTGGGCAGTCTAGACCAGGACCGCGACTGTAATCCGTTCTCGGCCAAGTTTAGGGCGCAGGCGGGCAAGGCGAAGGAGGTTCTTGGGGAGAATATGCGGGGGTTTGAGTTGGGGAGGAAGGAGAGAGTCTGAGCTTATTTCTCTGGTAGATATTGTTCTTGAGTTCTCTTACTGGCCTGTTTAGAATTTTGATTATCCCCTATGGAATATAATGGATCATCTATGATACAAGACATTCTTCGTTATTCATTTATGCTAGCTTAGTCAGTTACCCCGCCAGACAACTACCAACATCACTCAACTGCGGTTGCATATTCAACTAACTACACTATTGATCTCATAAAATGGCCGAATTCCCTCCTCCAAGTCTCGCCCCTCTAGCCCAGGAAGTCGTCGACCTCCTCAAGGCCCGAAGCGAAACAGTCTCCGTAGCTGAAACGGTATACCTCCTGTTCCCAACCAACCGAGTATCCTCATTCTAACCCCACCAGGCAGCCGGCGGTCTCATCTCAGCCTGTCTCCTCTCCACCCCAGGAGCATCGGCTATATACAAAGGCGGACTAACTGTCTGTCCCCAGCTAAGCACTGTTTGTATTTGTACACCACTAACAAAAACAGGTATATACACTCGAATCCCGCCTCGCATTCGCAGGCTGGACACAGGCAAATATCGAGAACTATAGAGGCCCCACCACTGAAATCGTAAGCCAGATGGCGGAACATACCAGGCAGACGCTCTTCTCGACGTACGCGGTCAGCGAGAGCGGTACTGCGGGACCGACGGGGGGGTCGACAAGGAATCGCACTCCGTATGTACTCCTGTCCCATTCCAGGTATTACCTAGATATTTGTGTTGTGTTTGCTAATTTTGCAGTGGATATGTGGCTATTGCTGTATCCGGTGCGCATGGATGTTCCACGCGTGAGGTTGAGACCGGGAGTAGTAACCGGGCGGAGAATATGGTTTCGTTTGCGAGGGAGACCTTGCAGCTTTTGAAGGAGGTGTTGACGAAGACTGAGGGCTCTACTCTTTAAAATCATGGTATTGGTCATACTAGTATGTTGAGGCTAACGAAGTATAAATCAAGCAATCTTCTAGATTACTGTATTCGCTATTATTGCTCGACGAGACAGATTTCCTGTCTTTACCTCGCTGGTAAATACTGATATTAACTAATGGTGTCTTCTTCTTCCATGTCCGAAATAAACCAACTACAAAGCGAACAGTACTACGCCTTAAGACCCTACTGTCGAATAGATACGATATGAGTGGGATTGGGAATAGTTAGACTAGCTCGTTAATGAATGTAAAATACAGCGCCTGACATCTCACCAATCTCATGCACATTCAGATATCGTTACATTCAGATATCGTTGTTCCCCCCAGACAGACAGTTACTAAAAGTCAGCGAAGGACCACAGTAAGCATCCTTGTTGAAGTTCTTCGTCGGCCCAATCTTCAACCACCCATCCCAGGTCCCCCCATGGTCCATACGCAGACACTCAGTGCTGCAAAGCCGATTTCCATTCACTTCTTCAAGGTACTTCTTAATAGCACCGGCAATCGTCGCATGCTGGGCCGTGGTATCGCAGTTCCGGCCAGAGGAGTGGTACATCCACGACAAAGTCTCGTAGGTTCCATGCATGCTATTGCAGGACCCCTGGTCGGAGAGTCCCTTGATGGTACCCGCGAGAGACATCACCATGGGTTTTACAAAGTTGATGAGCACGGAGCAGGCTGACGCTGTCATGATAACTCGCTCGCAGACTGTGACGGGGGTGCGCTCCATTAGGGCATGGGCCGGGCCGGTCTCGTTGAGGCTAATCTGTAGCCATCTGTCGGGTGCGGGTTGCCCCTGGATAGATGAAGGCCAGGTAGAGGCCTGCGTTGAGGTTGAATAGCAGGACAGAGCTATCAGGAGGGGTTGAAGGAAACGCATAGTAGGCTAGGCCGTTGAAGATGATAAGACCGGTTAAGCAGCAGAAACGGGTGGTCTCTATCAGGATGTCGAAGAGAGGAGGCATGCTGATATTCTTCAAGATGACGGGATAGCAGAGACGAAGTTCCCTTTATACGTTGGTTCTTGCCCGAGATATTCTGTGACTGGAAGACATGTCAGCCGAGTATAACGCCCAACTATGTGAATGACCCTCGGATAGGGACGGTTTGATGAGGCTAGTGGTTAATTGATAAAGATGTGTAGCGCCGAACAGTTTCACCCAGGTCCTTCACTGAATTCTAGCAAAGTCTGGGCACAGGGGGGTCATACTGTGTAGAAGTATAGAACGAATGATGAGAGATCCAGGAAAGTCACCAGTGAAACATAAAGGGAAGAATATATTGATTATCAAAGGACCAGGAGATCAATGTAAGCAAAAAGGGTGAATCAACAGTTAAACCAGGAGTGAAAACTTCCTGGTGTCTAATTCGGTTACACAAGTTAGAAGAAAAATTGGTTATTGGACTGCTTCCTAGATTACCATCACAAGGTTACTAGCTCGCTTGCTACCCTTCCCTGTGGAAATAAAACCTCTTTTACTGGGGGAACGATGCCAGATACTTTCTGCAGTTGTTGTTGGGGTAGTTTATGCCGTGCTGGTGTTGGGTTGCACATCTGACTCTTGTTTGATGAACACGAAAAAGGAATTACATTTGTATTGGATATTGACTCATTTTAGTAATGCTGCAAGTTCTAATCTTCGTCTTCAATTCCAGCCTTCAATTCGAGGGCGACCTTTCATCATTCAACATCGCTGCTTCTTCCCCAGTCGACCTTCCGGAGGGATGATTGCCGTATCGTCGCCCGTATAAGCACCACGCACAGTCACTCAATTTTGGGTGCTTCTCTATCAACCCTTTATTCCTCTCGTCAATGTAGATGTCGTGGACAGATATTGCAAAAGGCGTCGCCTTGAATGCATCCACGAGGCTGTTCGCTTGACAGCATGCCTCCCAGGTACTACTAGAGGGATAAGTCGACCAAGTTTCCGTCTCGCCACATTTGTGCTTTAGACCCGAAATGCTAGACGAGCGCCAGGGTCCTGGTCTTGTACCTCGCTAGCCCATGCGTGGGGGTGCCTCTGTCCTACAAGTGACAACTCGACCTTCCCAGAAGCCGTCGGCAGGTGCCTCAGTCATTGTGAATGAAACAGTGCAGTGACGAATCGTAACTGCTTTTCTCGGCCCTTCCTTCTGTCTCGGTATTTGTTGCCCACCATGAAACCAAATCGAGCCCGAAGGACGACTCTCTTCTGGCCAGAATATTGTCCAGGCCCGTACCAGTGGAGAAGGTATCTGGCTCTTCTTCGCTTTCAACGGGACCCTCGAGATCCTCAATGTCCCGTAAGATCGATTCATCGTCGGATTCAATGGGCAAGCAGTGGCCGCAGACTTCATTCCTCAGCGACCGGACTTCATCAAGGAACTCCCTGGGAATGGCACCGCGCCGGATTGTCTTTGAAGCTGTGGACCTTACGATGGCCAGCCCCTGTTCTCTTTCGTTGTGGGAGGGATAAACTGAGAACTAGGATGCCGTAGCGCAAAGAGCCACCAGCGGCTTTTTCTACGTAGAAGGTCATCGTCCTTCCTGAAGCCTTTATCGGCCAGGCCCTCAGTATTGGTTCCAGAGTAGAGGGTCGACTCAGGGAATCTCCCCATTCTCGTTGTCTATCCAAGCGATCAGAGTCAGCGACATGGCGGTCCTAAAATGGTGTGATTCTTGACGTTGGTGAGGACTTACAAGAACAGATATTATCGACAGTTCCAACGCCTGCCTTTGACCATGGTCGGGCACGGTCACTGGCAATCCGTCGCAGAGCCAGGTTGTCGGGTTGGCTCTGCGACGGTGGATTGTAGTTTGGTTGGCAGGAAGTTGGGCCAATTTATAGACGAATGTCGAAGAGCAGCCCAGGTGTAAGTTACAGGTAAAGCTGGCAATTCACCGGCTCATTGTATAAAAAAGGAGGCAAAAAAAAAAAAAAAACAAAAAAGAGGGTGAATCAGAGTGAATGTAGGTAAGACAACCAAACTGAACTAACCCCGAAAAATGAACGACAGCAGTGTGGTTCGAACACACGCCTCCGAAGAGAATAGATTACTTCACCAGTACGGATTCAAGTCTATCGCCTTAGACCACTCGGCCATGCTGCCACATTCATGAAAGGGGCGAATCACATGCCGCCGAGACGCAGAATTCACAACTTCATTCACTTATTGCTCGTCACAGCAAATCAGATCATGCCAAGAAGTGCATCTATCCAGACAGCCGGGAAAGATACTGTGAATGTACTGGCACATGTTCCTTGGTTACTGTTAACTAATAATATTAGTGAATTTAGCCTTAACGGTATTTGCCTTGTTCACTCTTGTTCCAGAGTGACTGCAGGCAATTCACAGGCAGCGTATTAGCTAATACGCTCCAGCCGCAGCAGAGCCTATACGCCCACGAATACGACAATATCCATAAGATGATCAACATCCATGATGGCTTCGAAGACGGACTCTCTGACTGCCATGGCGGTGCTCCGTATGCGTATAGGTATATGCATTACCTCGTATGCGCAGCGATTCAAGCATCCTCTGCTAGACTCAAATATATAAACCCGTCACCTCAGAGTACAACCGATAATATTTCCAACAACTCTAATCATCAAAATGCTTCTCAATTCAGCCCTAGAACTCCTCGTGGGACTCGCCCTCACCCTCTCTGCCAATGCAGCACCACAGCCCGTCACCGCATCCGATCTCAGCCTAACAGCCAAACTACGACTCGCAGACACGTAAGCCACCTACCTCCATCCTGTACGATGATTAACTGATACAGTGCCATTGAACGCTACGAGCTGCTCCCCGACGACAACGATTTCGTCTTCGACTTCACCAAAAGCGATACTCCCGTCGCCAGCAGCCAGAACTGGCCTGCTCTTGTTGGCGTCGGTGCTTCATTCAGTATTGGACAGTTACCTGGTATTTTCCCCATCTCAACTGGATATATATATATTAACAATCACAGCATGCAGCATGGCCTTCCTACACCTGCACCCACGCGCAACAGAGCTCTTCTCCCTCTCCTCCGGGCACATCCTCTCCGAAATGGTGCCCCAAGGCGGCGTGCTCGACTCCAACAAGACCCAGCGAGTGATAAACACAGAACTCCACGCCGGTATGGTTACGGTCTACCCGGCAGGCTCGTTCCACTCGCAGATCAATCCAGACTGCGAGCCGGCGAATTTCACGGCTGCGTTTAACAGCGAGGAGTTTGCGGCGAGTCTCGTTGCGGGCCAGGTGTTTGCGTTGCCGGATGATGTTGTTGAGAGGACGTTTGGGGGGAGTATTGCGGGGGAAGATATCGAGAGGGTTAGGAATGCGATTCCGGTGGATATGGCGATTAAGGTGGAGGAGTGTTTGGCCAAGTGTGGGATTGAGAAGAGGTAGATTTACTTTTGAAGGCTGGAGAGTTGATGTAGAGATGGAGAGTTAGAGTATAGACTTGCTTTACTATAGTATATAATACTACAAAAGCATGATAGCATATGCTAAACTGTAGTAACTCTGTATGGACGGATAATTGCAGATTCTCCGTAGCCCGGACGAATTCAACCGACGTCTCCACAGATGCAATAATTCCGCCGTGATCCAGTCAGGAATGCGGGGTGAACCTATTTATTTATTGACAGAGCTTACTTATTCCTCATCCAAAGCTTGTCTTCCAAAAAATGAAGATTTCCGCCGTTCTGTGTTCCCTTCTCACCATGGCGGCTGCCCGCCATGGTAGCCCTAGGTTCTCCCTCCATCCTAGTATACTTATACACATCTAACAACCCCAGCCTCGACAAAAAACTATCCTACCACCCTGCCCCAGAAAACAACGGCCTGGGCATCGCCGTCCTCGTCATCCCTGGCGGCGGCTACTCGCACGTCTCCCCCCAAGAAGCCAGCAACTCAACCACCTACCTCAACGACCGCGGCTACGACGCCTGGGTCCTCAACTACACCGTCACAGACACCGCGCCTATACCCCTCTACCCAGCTCCCCAGGAAGAAGCCCTCGCCGCAGCGCACTACATCCGCGCCCAGGATAAAGTCAAGGTGAACAAACTCGGTATCTGGGGCTACTCCGCCGGCGGACATCTCGCGGCTGTAACAGTAACGAACCCGAACGCGGGTCTCGATTTCGGTATCCTTGCTTACCCTGTTATATCCATGGACTTGGCGATAACGCATAACGGGTCGCGGGCGAATTTACTCGGTGATAACCCGCCAGCTGCGTTGGTTGAGAAGATGTCCGCCGAGAAGAGAGTGACACCGGAAACGCCTCCGATCTTTGTGTATCATTCGGTTAATGATGCGACGGTTCCTGTGGAGAATACGCTGAGGTTTATTGGGGCCCTCGCGGCGAAGGAGAGGCCGTTTCAGACGCTGATTATCCCCGATGGAGACCATGGGATTGGCCTTGCGATGGATGATCCGCAGAGGAACTGGGCGCCGGAATTGGATCGCTTTATGGCGTATTCAATCTGAAGGATCCAGCAATTCAAAATATTGTTAAATCGGTTGATGCTAGCAGCTGTCTGCAGATGGGTATCATAAATGAATATAGGGTGTGAACGAGCATAATCAGACCACAATTCGGGCTACCTGACCGTCCCCGCCGCGGTATAGCCCTCTCCCAGCTCCCTCATCTCGATATTCTTATGCTTGCGACGGTGCAGGATATACCACGTCGCTAATAAAAGCAAAGACAAGCCCGCAAAGCCGCCAACCACGCCCCCGACAATGGCGCCGACATTCGTCTCTGACCCGCCAGAATCGGGCGTTTCTGTAGATGTAGGTTCTGGCGCGGCTGACGGCGCAGTAGGCTGGGGCTCGGCTGGAGTAGAGGTGATGTCGTCGCCTGCCAAGAACCGTCAATATCGGTAGTCTTCTATGTATAGAAAAAAAATACCCGTTAATGTGGTCGTCGAAGTAGCGACCCAGAAATGGTCTGTTGGGTGTGTAGATGCCGTGCACATCGGTAACGTCGCTTCCCAGCCTAATGTGTGGCCATCAGAAAGGCTTTCGTGGAGGGTTACCATAACGCAGGCGTCTGAACTACCGCTCTATTAGCTACGACAGGTAAGACAAGATTAAGGTAGGTACCAAGTAGTCGGTGTTGTGTCCGCGTAGAGCAGCACATTGCCACTGCATGCCGTTGGATGGTGGCAGGAATCAGTATCAGCGCAGCACTGCCCGTACGTATTGTCTCCTGAGGCGCCCGTGACGAATGTATAATCGTTGTTGCAGGTTATAGAGCTGACTTTGTAGTGTTAGCATATCATCACGACGTCGGCAATCAAGATCTCACAGTCATTCTCGCCGACGGAGAAATACCCGTTATAGCCTGGCGCGTCTGGTGGTTTGGTGAGCACCACAGGAGATGCAATTGTTCGTGACATGGCTGTGGTTTTGGTTTCGCGCGTAGGCAGGATGCGAAAGGGTCGGAGCATCAAGTCGGTCAAGAGGGACGCGAGGGAATGTTAAAGCCCCCGAAGTTTGCCCTGGCCCCCATTTAGCTGCTGCTTGTACCCACCGCTAACTGCTGCCAAGAGACCGGTCTGTGATTGACAGAGGCGGTGCAGCTTGCATTGAGCCTGCGGTATTCCGTACTGGTAGGGCTGCTCAAGCACCGGCCTGAAGCAGCAGGTTTATGGCTAGGACTGAATGACTAGATCCGTGGAAGCTATCTAGGCTTGTCTTGAGCCCTTCCTGCCACGTCTTGCTCAGTCAACACGACTCTTCAGCCTTGAATAGTAGATCAGAGAGTTATCAAAGAGACAGACCGCAGCCAGCTATAAGTATTCAACCGGAACAGCTCTGGCCATTTGTTATTGTTAAAAGCAACGCAGGCCAAGGGTACAGGTCGGGGCGGAGTATGGCCAAGGCATGGCACGGGGTGTGCGATCGACACAGCCTCATTGCCAGTGGGTTCATAAATTCGACATGAAAGAGCGCTGATCTGTATTTACGTGGCCTCCACCTGCCTCTGTAACTGACCTACCCATGGATGCAGTGCACCTGCAAAGCTGTCCGATATCGATATGCTACCCATATATGCACTACGTGGTTGCAGTTAGTTTCATGATTTGGGCAGAGTAGCTGTGCTTCGCCCCAGCGAGTCATGTCCTGAATCCGAGATCTGATGTCGTCAATAAAAGGCGGAAATAACCGCTTGTGGACCTGGAAACCACCTTGGAAGCTAATAGGTGCTCGAGTTGAGACAGGAGCATTCTGACCGAGAACATATGTCATGAACTATAAAGTGGACCAGCTCGCGTGCGCTTACCGGCTGCGGAAGTAGGTACAGTGCAGTCTGTAGATCGAAAGGATTATTATACCTGGACGTGACCGTTAAATCTGCCCTGTAAGCCACGCCACCGTCACCCACACAAGTCGGCCTAGTCATACCACGCATGATAACCGAGACATATATCTCGACACATTAGCAACTTATGAATGGTTTCCTACTCAAGATACACTAGCCACAGCGCCTTTAAAGATAGCAATCTCTAGCCGCAAGGAGTATAAACTAGAGCGATGCATATGCCCGCCCTTGCCGAGCCTGCTCATACACTTTATCGATATCCTCAGTCCAGATCCAGCTCATCCGATGCTCAATCATGTCCTTGACTATTGGGAGTCCTTCGTCGTAGCTTAAACCTTTGACTTCATCCGCCTTCATCTCGTATAGATCCCCTGCCTCGCGGGACGTCGTCTGAACCTTCTGGGATCGCGGGTACCGGATGGAATGGTAGAGAGAAAGAGACTGCTCCAAGGTGCATTTATTTGTTCCAGAACTGAAGAAATCTTGCAAAGCCCTTCCAATTATGTATCCATCCTCCATGGCCTGTCCAGCACCGGCTCCTATCACCATTATCAGGTAATCGTAGCATCTGGGGTTAGGATATTCTTACCCTGGTGTGGACACATTGCATGAGCAGCATCACCTAGCAAGACCACCTTTCCCTTTGCAAAGATCCATTGCGGGGATGATTTCCGGTCAAACAGAATCCATTTCAACGGGTTTGTATCCATGTTCTGGATAACGTCTTGTACTGCAGGGGCGAACTCTTTGAACTCTTCCTCGATTTCTTTCTTGTCCCCCGCCAGGGTCCAGCTCTCTCTTACGTCTCCGAGTTTCTCAAAAGGCGTCGAGACGAACCCCACGACATTGAGGATTCTGTTGCTGCTGATTGGGAACGTGAGGAAGTGTCTGCCGGGAGCCATGGACAGTGCGCCGTATGTAGGAATTGGCCATTTGTCTTTGATCTTTTCGATATCGCATAGTCCGTGGTACACGACCATTCCGCCATATTGGGCAGTATCACTCTGTAATTGTTAGCAAGTCATAACCAAATTTGATATAAGCATACCACATAGTGAGACCGAACAGCCGAATGGATGCCATCTGCCCCAATCACCAAGTTGGCAGGCGCTGACGTGCCGTCCTCAAAGGATATACCCATTTCATTCCCCCGATCCTGTCTTATTAGTATCTCCGCGTAAATAGAGAGAACCTTACCTGAAGAGCTTTACACTTCTTATCCGCATGCAACACCGCCGCACCACGCCCCTTAACCGCCTTTACAAGAAGCTCGAGAAACTCCGCGCGATGCATCGGCAGCTGCGTCGTATTCCCTTCCTTAGGTGTATTGACAGTAAGAACCTCCCCACCGGTATCAAACCGCCGAAACGAAAGCCAGACTCCGCTGCGGTCACCGGCAATCTTCTTCGCTTCATCTAAAAGTCCGATCTTGCGTATTAGTTCTGCGGCGTTGGGCCCGATTCCTACCCCGGCTCCGATTTCTTTGTACTCCGGGGCTTGTTCGTAGATGTCGATTTGGATTTGGATTTGGATGTCTGGGGTGCAGTGGTGGTGGATGCATAGCGCTGTGAAGAGCCCGCCGATGCCGCCTCCTATTATCGCGATTCGGAACATTTCTTTCAAATGTATCTTATAATTAAATGTATCTGGCTTGAGCCGTAAATTTGGATGGGTACATTCGTTTATTAAGGAAATTCCATCTCTCTGTATGCAGCGGTTACCCGAGGCTGGAATAGAGTCAATCAAGCCCCGCAGGCTTTAAGTTTATCTCCCCGGAGATTACTGTTAGCATGAGGGAGGGGTCTGTCTCCAACCATCCCGTCTAACTGGAAATATCACGGAATCCTGCAGTCCTGTTTGTGGGGTAAGGGACTTCAAAGCTTGTTCTCCACAGCCCGCGGAGACAACCCGCGGAGTTAGAGTCTATACCAATAGGATGATTATACAGCCAACTCTTAACTCCCCGGTGGGAATATACCGCGAGACGGCTGGTAGAGTGTACCCCAGATTCAACTGCCGATCTGTCTCTCCACATCCCCAAGTTTATAACCGTCCCACCTAGCAGTTTCTGCCTTCTCGAGCTGGAGTGAATCATACTCATATCAACACCATGGATCCAGAAAAGTCGGCAATATCTCATGAGGATATATCCCCTGGACCCGTCCTTAAACCGGACCAGACTGATAAACGGACTGCTCGAGATCCCCATGGATTTCCTCTCGTTCCACAGCCTACGGAGTATAAAGATGACCCACTGGTACGTTTTCTAGTTACTTCGATGTGCACGCTGACAGGATAGAACTGGAATCCGGCACTCAAACTGAGCGTCGTCCTGCAAATAAGCTGGCTTGCCCTACTTGGTCCTCTAGGCGCCGCAGCCCCGAACCCAGCGTTTGTAGTCATGAGCGAGCATTTCGGGCTGAGTGTGCATGAGATTAGTTATGGTACGCACCAATCTCCTACTTAATTCCAGACTAACTCTATAGAACTCATGCTCTTCCTCCTCTTCGGCGGAATCGGCCCGCTGGCTATCCTCCCCCTGGCCAATGCATACGGACGCAGACCAGTCTACCTGCTCGGCAACCTACTCGCAGCTGTGACGAATATAGCTGCTGGATACTGCGATTCATGGGCAGGGGTCATGGTAACCCGGGTAATATGCGGCCTCGCCTCCGGATCAGTCATGTCCATCGGGGCCGCGACAATCTGTGATTTGTACTTCACACACCAGCGTGGGGTATATATGGGTATTTACACCGTCTGTATGACGAATGGTGCTTCCGTATGCCCTCCTCCTTCTATTAGACTTCGTCGATGTAATAAGTTTCACTGCTAGATTGCACCTACCCTCGGAGGAGCCGTCGCCGAATCCCTAGGTTGGCGCGCATGCTTCTTCATCCCCGGTTTCATCCAGCTGGGTAGTTTTCTTATGACTATCTTCAGTCTCCCAGAGACGCTCTACTACACTGATAGATCCGTATCACCCGCACATACAGAACAGACGTATCTGAAGAACCTACTCTTTAAGCGAAACTTCCATTCCAGCCGCCCCCGCCTCAGAGACTACACCCGCCCCTTCGAGATGCTGCAATACATCGCAATCCTCTTTCCGGCTCTGCTCTACATGACATGTTTCGGCTACGGCAGTGTTCTCTTTGCACTGACAGGCGCGAAATTCTTCACGGAATTCTACGGCTTCTCCACCCTCCAGACGGGTTTGATGCTTAGTGTCCCACTCCTGCTGGGTGGGATAATCGGCGAGTTCTGCGCCGGTTGGGTGACGGATTGGTTATCGAATCGCCATGCGAAGCGTCATTCCGGGGAGAGACTGCCCGAGGCGCGTCTTACGGCGATTTGGGGGACGTTGCTGGTTCCTATCGGTATTGTGTTGGAGGGGGTTTGTCTCGAGTACAGCAAGGATGTGCACTGGGTGGGTAGTGCGTTTGGGATGGGAATGGCGCATATGGGCCTGCAGATTGCTACGACGACGATTTATGCTTATACTACTGATGTACGCCCCCATAACCCTGTGGATTGTCGAAGTGAATGGGTGAGTGAGTGGGTATTAACGTGAGTAGTGCTATAAACAATACAGCGCGGAGATCTCGACGGTGTTGAATATATTCCGGCAGGTTTTTTCCTGCTTGGTCTCGTTTTACGCGTATGTCTCTGTTACTGTCTTTATACCCTGGATTTTGATTAGAGGGAGCTGACTGGTTAGTCTTCCGCTTGGCGAGAGTGTTGGCATTAAGTACGCGTGGTTGATATTCGCGGTGATTGAGGCGGTGTTGCTCATCCCGGTTGCTATGCTCAGGTATTATGGGAAGAACTGGAGACAGCTGCCTTCTCAGTCCCTGGAATAGAATATAGCGATCGTACTACGTGGTTGCATCGGAACTAGAATGAGTGGATGCTGTGACCGCTCTTTCAGAATAGTAATTAATGCTGCAGTATCTCATTTTAGAAACTCCTGCCAACTAAATATATCTCTTAAATGCAATGTCTCACAATATCCCGCATACTAACAGGTGGTGAGGGATAATAACCAGGCAGCTGCCCAGACCCTGTTTCTATTTTCCTTCTCTTTCTTCAGGGATCGACAGACCGTTTTTACTTCAAACAGGTGGCGGCCAATTATCTGCAGAGTCAGCTGCAGACTCCACTGTGTGCAGAACGCCGCAATATACCGACCAGAGCTGGGCCTTGGCTTTCGTCAGGGGCAGATGTTGATACTTTATGGAAACACACCATTTCGTATTGTCAGTACAGAACAAGCTGCGATGAATTGAATGGATGAGGATTTGACAGGCTCGACGTCATTAGGTGCCACCGGTGTATTTCCTGTTTTCTGAGAATAAAGTGAGGCCAAGTCCCGAAATAGAGACAGCCCTAAAACAAGGCCAATCAAGATCGAACTGCCGGATGGGTCCTGACGATCCCCAACTCGATCTCCGGCAGTCCCGAACATAAATACCGCCCCTGCCCTCTTCTAATTCTAACAAAACATCAACGTCAATATCTCGATACTGAAGAAAATGAAGCTCACCACCCTCGTCACCGGCCTGCTCGCCACCACCGCCTCCGCCGCCTTCGACAAGTGGCAACGTAAGCCTACCCTTATCCACCATATACTCAACAGACTAACATAAATGCAACAGCCTGGGGCAAGCGCGACTACTCCTGCATCAATGTCTACCAGGGCATCCCCGAGAACGCCACCCTGGCTGCCGGCACCACTGTCCAAATCGCCTTCAACCGCGACAGCGACCGCTGCGATGCCGTCCTCGACCAGTACGCCGCCGGCAACTACAGCGTGTGGCTGTACAACAACCCCAACCGCAACCTGGGCGATCTGAGCTACGATGCCCAGGCCAAGGTCGTCGACCGTATCCCTGGCACTGCCAAGAACGTGACTGTTACTATTCCTGCGACCCTGCCGAAGGTTAAGGATGACTCGAACTGGTACCTGCGTTTGGATACCGTGCTTGTCAATGCTCCTCAGGTGGGTTATTCAAATAAATCTTTGTGTGAATGGTTGACTGACTGTTGTAGATGCCTTCGCTGTTCAATGCCCAGGGTCCTTTCCGCATTGTTCGGTAAATCAGTCGCTCGTTCCTATACCTGCTTAGCTTAAGCTGAGGAACCGTGGAAGTGATATGGAGGATATCCAGTGCATAGTCACAGTATATAGCCAAGCCAGCTTTGTATAAAATACACGTATTATCCATCTCCATTTCTCTACGTTCCGCTTAACAGCATCGCAACAATGCCCACCTCACAAGAGGTGCAGCCAACCCGAGACAGTCTTGGAAGAGGTAGATTTGCCAGGAATGCTGTGGGTCTGGGAGTTCGGAGATTATTCCCGAGCGTCGCATGGTTTGATTTTCAAAGGATTTATTTGTGGCTGGAAGGGACTTGCCAATCAACCGCTCGTCAGCAGGTTGTATCTCTAGCTGAATAGCTATTGACGGATTACCTGGAGAATTCATATCGCTGCATTAGGACGAGATGCTTACCAAAGTACAATGAATCGATTGAATCACGCATCGCTCCTTCCTGGTTGTTCTGGCTGTGTGCACTTGATTTAAGGAAAGAACGACTGGCTGGGACTCCATCGCACCTTCCTACTTGGGTTAAATTTGTATATGCACAAGGAAAGATGAAAAGCATCTACTGCCGCTCTATATGTTTCTGCACTCTTCGACAAGACCCCGTTCGAAACTGTCTCAAGCTCATTTATGTTCAGTAGCTATTAATCTCGTTGCCGCGCTCTCCCTGACCGTCGGCTTGTGATGAATTCGTTATAAATATAAACATAAATAACAGCCGGAGTACCCAATTTTGAGCACGGTGACTCTGGTGGAGATAACAGTTCGCCGAGTCACTCTAGAGCCAGCATGCACATTTCAATCAACATTTAGATATTACACCAGAAGGCGCTGGAAGCAATGTCCACTGCCTGGCCAAGAGCACGCGACATCAACAGACGAACAATAAACCGATGATATTGACAATAGCTATTACAGCTACCATCCCTCAGCCCCGCAGTAAACTAAGCGGGGCTGTCATTGCTGAGCAAAAGATCTGCCCTGACTGGTTTACCGATGGAAGCTCGCCGACCCGCAGTCTCCAACTAGCTGCACGTCGGTTACAGTCAAACCAGAATAGGAAGGCCAGTGGAGGGAGTGCGTGCAGGGACATACGCACGGCCCCAAGCATGTCCAGTTACAGTAAGACAAGGCGAGGCCGATGGGCGATCCGGAGATCGGGGAGCTGTCCGTCCATAGCTCTAGAGTCTAGGGTTTAGTCCAGTCCACACTCAGTTACACTGCCCACTTGAACCAAAGGAACACATGCGATCTTAATTTACCGGGATTGCTAAACTTTATCTTAAGCGCGCTTTCCGCCAAAAATCATATTGTATCCGGTTTGCAGCTGAGTAGCCTATTTGCGCTGCGAATGGACTCTGTGCTCTCATAGTTATCCTCGGTATATCGGTTCAGTAGGGTATCCAGTGACGACTTTATCCTCACTCGGTAGGATCTGTTTGCTCTGCTTTCCTCTACCTGACTTTAATGAATACGTACAAAACTGACTCTTGTTACATCGGCTTGACCTCTGTTCTAGACCGCGGTACGTAGATGGGTCTTCAGAATGGGCCCATCGTCTGGATGAAAAAACTTTTCTTTCTGTCTCCATCATTCAGCTCAAGTCCACATGCGTTACATCTACCCCCGAGGCGCACGGAGCCTGAATCCAGCGAGCAGAGTTCGTTGATGGGTCTTTAGGTGCAGTGCAGGTCCACAAGGCAGCAGTTCTAGGGTTGAAATCCACAATAAGGGCCCGAAATTTGTAGATTTTATTATCAAGGATCCTTCCCTACAGTAGCAGATATAGGTGTGGCCTGTCCCATTCTTATACAGCTGCCAGACACCTATCGAGCGGCTCCTGCAGCTTTGTATCTCCTGTAGCTTTCTATCGCCCTCTGTACGTGTAACATAGCCTAGCCACTGTAGCAAGTGCCTTTGATCAGCGATCGGATTTTGATCCTGGTCGCTAATCATGACACCTCAACGCTATGGCCCTTCTCCACAGCCCCTGTATCCCCAGATCATTGCTGTACGTAAGAATCGCCACGACTTGCATTTACTGGGATAGCCGCCGTAAACGCTGTTAATTCTTCTGCTGCTGAACCACGGTATTGAGATATTAGTGTTGTGTGCGCGATTTTATCTCTGGAAGTATGTGGATGCCTTCGGTTCTTTTCTCCCGGTCATTAATAAAGACACTATATATTCGAAAAAAGGCAGGTAAAACTTCTATATTTTATTTTCTTTTTCACAGGATCCGATCTTAATAGTAAATATATCACAATATACTACATTATGGACTCCATCCACGCCCTATTCGCAACCTACGTACTCCCCGGAAGGCAGATACCAGGCGACCTCACCCCAGCACAACCCCAACGCACCACCCCAGACGCAGACCCCTTCCATAGCGGCGGAAGAATCTACGAACTCATCCGCCGCGTACATATCCTACACCATCAAGCCCGGCAAGAACGAACCCTAACCGCGCAAACAATCTCCCAGGCCCTACAAGTCTGGAACGAGCTCGAGCGCTGGGATCCGTCCGAGGGAACCTCAACCCCCGAACAATTCCGCTTAAACAACGCCTACCGCTCTGCTATTTTCATCTGGACCTATTTCACGATCTATCCGAGGGATATACACGGGTGGAAACCGCAGGACGCGGTGAGGGATATTCTGGCTGATGTCCCCGCGGTGGGGGATGATGGTGAGCTGGTGCGTCTTGCTGGGATTCCGCTTTTCTTTTGTGCGTTGAGTGTGACGGATGAGGGTGAGAGGGGGGTTATACGGAGTGAGTATGAGCGGGTTAGACAGCGTGGAGGGCGTGGGCTTGATGCTTCGTGGGGGATTGTGCAGAGGCAGTGGAGGAGGTATGATGCTGGGGATCGGGAGAGTTGGGATTGGGTTGAATGACATTTGTATGTAGCAGAATATACAGTATCAATTACTGAATCTTATATAACGAGTCGTATTGAGTCTATCTATGTAGTCTGGTTAAGCTGTTGGTGTCGTGCGTCGGGGCTGGATGGAAGCACTAAGCTCTGTATATGTTCGGAATTTGAATCCGAGAGTTTTCCCTCGATATGGCTTAAAGTTTATGTACCATATGGGATATTCGAGAAGAATACATGACCAAGTTAATATGAAGCCAGCAATGAATCTGTCTTCGACTACGTCGGCCTCGGCTTGAGGTAGGGAACGAGTTTGTGGAAGTATAAATTTATATTCGCTACTAACCGTCTAAGCCTATACAGGTACACAAAAATCGAGTGCAATATTAGGGTTAAGCTTATCTAGGAATCTCCCACCAGCGTTGTGATTCCTAGTCAGGAGTCAATCGGATACTCCAACTACTAACTAGGACCTGCATAACAGTCTAAATTAATACACCGCTAGCCAATAAATCTCCAATATCCAACAGTCGCTGATTGATGCTTACAAAGTACGTCCGCATTGCTCATCAACCCACCGGATGGCGTGTTGGACCATTAGCGTGATTCAAAGATCTTATTATAACCACGCCACCCACGTTCGTAAATCCGTACCTGACCTGAATCCAGTTTGGAAAAATCCAGCAATGACTATAAACAAAACCATCTCCATCGCCATTATCGGCGGCGGTCCAGGAGGACTAGGTACCGCCATCGCGCTTTCTGAACTCCCATATGTATCTGTCACACTGTACGAGCAAGCACCCGAGCCACGCGAGGTCGGTGCCGGTATCAGTATTGGTCGAAATGCGTGGAATGTGCTGCGGTTACTTGGGGCTGTGGATGGGGTTAAGGGTGCTAAGACGGGATATTCATGGCAGAGGTGCGTTACGTTGGCAAGCCAATACATAAAAAAAAGGATCTGATATATAATTGACGAATGTATCAGGAATGGGAGGACCGGGGAACCTGTGATTCAACCAATTAAGAAAGATGAGGACGACCCATTTGCTTCTATTAGGGCTAGACGGACGCGGTTGCAGTCTGCACTGCTGGAGAAGGTCCCGCCGGGGATCATTCAATTTAGCAAGAAGCTTGTCTCACTGCAAGATCTTGGTGAGAATAAGGGAGTTCATTTGACATTCAAAGATGGAACAGAAACGACGGCAGATCTTGTTGTCGGGGCTGATGGGATTCGTTCGGTGGGTGGCATACAACTCAACGACGACCACGGTTATTAACTGGATCGATAGATTGTACGGCGGACATTGTTTCCAGACCATCATCTGCATGTTACAGGTACATCTGCAAAAACATGTCTTTGCATAGACGACTGACGGCGGTACTAGGGAATACTGCATTCCGAGTCCTCATCCCGGTCACTTCAATTGCCCATATAACCGAATTCCCAACATCTAACGGGTGGTGGCATGTATTAAATGGCCATCTCTACTTCTCTCACGTTGATGACGAGTCCGAGAGAGAACTGTGCGAGATCACAATCAGATCCTACAACGAGCCCGTAACACCAGAGAGGACAGCCACGTGGGCGATACCGGTGACGAATGAATATGTTCAAGCTCGAACGGGTGTATGTATTATGTATCAAGAATAGACACTTAGGTCCTAGGCTGACAAGCAAAGGAATACGACCCCCGCATCAAAGAGCTCCTAAAGGTAGTGCCTGAAGGATCCTGGCGCGAGTTCGCGATGGTTGCCGGTCCATGCTTGAAAGATATAACCGCCTGGGATAAAGTCGCACTTATAGGCGACGCGAGCCATCCCCTATCTGGGGCTTTTGGGTCTGGAGCTGCATTTGCAATGGAAGATGGTTGGATACTGGCAAGGGCGATTGAGCACTCGATTAACTCGAGGACGGTGCTGAAAGATGCTTTGGAGATATTTCAGCGGATTCGGGGGCCTTATTATGAGCGGATGTACGCTTGCTTCATTACTTCTTTTAAGCTTATGCTGGTTCTGCATGCTGATTATGTACAGGTACGAATTTCTTGATCGGAAAGGGAAGGAGATTCAAGAGTCTCGAAACGGGACTGATTTTGATAGTATCATCAAGGTGAGAGTACAGGGATTCGGGCTTTCTGGTGGCACTCTGGACTGGATCTATAAGAATGACATCGAGGAGGTCTGGAGGGCGTATGCTGCTGGTGAGCAAGGGGCGAAACTATAGTCATGGATTGTCTATCTCTCGGTGGACAGAATTGCGGCCTCTAGAACAGCGATACAGTGATAGAGACTCGTATATAGTAAGGATATACTTTGGTTAGATTAGTAGACTACCAATTGTGAAGGCTTTTATAACGCTGAACAGTAAAACCGAAATCGTAGATGGGGTGGGCCAATATATCAGACGAGAGCCTAAACTATGTACCCAAAACGACAGCATATCCCAATTCCATCAATTCTAATTGCTTTTCAGATAAGTCAATTCACCGCTCAGGAACCAGATGAGTACATGCTCTCTGCTTTCGCAGAATGGCGCACGGACTCATGGCGCTTTTTTCGGTGCCCGTTCAGGTGGTCTTTCCGGCCGAATGCCTTACCACAGCTATCGCACCGATACTTGTCTGGAGAAATGTGCACCGTTCGAATGTGTCGGACAAGGTCTAGTTCGCGGTGAAACTGTCCAGGGGTGTGGCAGTCTCGCCACTCACATTTGTAGAGACGACGGGGGCATGGGGTTCTGCTGTGAAGAGGGACTATTAACTCACCTCTAGAATAGTTGATTGGGTCTGGATAAAGAGTATGACATACCTCAGCAAATGGCGATTGGTATCGGCAAGGCAGGCGGTGCTTTGTTGTGGCCCAGGACTGCCTTCTGCCATTGTTGACGGAGTCTCTCCTTGATAGAACAGGTGAGAGGTCTCTGAGGGGCTATAGGAAGCCGAGTCCGTGTATGGTCTACCCTGGTAAAGGCTACTGGGGCTCTGATAGGGCTCTGGGGTGGACTCCGTTAGGTCGATGACTGGCGGTTGTGTTCGGTGTGCTGGGCCAGCCATCATACTGCCTGCGAGTCCGCTGGTCGATGGTGTTTGGTGCCAAAAGAGGGTTTCTTCAGGCAGGTTGAAGTCAAAAGGTTGTAATTGAGACTCAAGATTGTCCTGCCACAGGGTTATGAAGTTCGTTGTTTCATGGTTGTCGATGTCGGTGACGGTATATCCTGAGGACGGATCCATGGTAAGAACTGAATAGATCCCTGGGTCAGGGCACAAGGCAATAGTAATACGGTACGCTAGATGGGAATGGAGAAGCAAAGAGAGTATTTGATTGTGGCAGAGTTCATCATACTGTGAGGACGGTAGGTTTATATACCCTTGACTCCCTCTGGATACTGGTACACCCCCAGCGATGGAACTGCATTGCCTACAACAAGGTCCGGGAATGGGCACAAGCTATGAAGAAGGTTGGACTGTACTCGGAATTGGACACAACCAATGAGACAGGACGATGAGGGAACAGGGTTATCCTCACTTCTTGCCGGTCAGAGGCGATCATCATGCGGATCAACCTTGGAAGGGAAGCCATGCAAGCAGACTTAGAACTGACCTATGGAATGAAAAAGAAGCCCATGATTTGGGAGACTCGCAGGAGGCACAGGAACTCTTTCAGGGACATGATGACGACCTCAAATGCAGCCAGAAGTGGACACAGCCAATGACAATAGAAGGTGAGACGGCAAGGCTGCACGAAGATCGCGATGACGTGGAGGAGGCTATGGAAGATTTCGTCCAATAAATGACTAGGCCGGGGTGAATGCAACAGGATTTGGAATAAGCCAATGTAATTCAAGAGCCAAGAGCGATCATGTCTTCAGATTCAGAACCGACCAATCCAATGGAAAGGTGTGTTTCAGCCTCGGACGCCCAACGAGCAGCCAGAGCCTCGTCTATTGCGGTGTGCCGGTGGGCTTAAATATCACGTCCATCCCCCCTTGCCATCATGCACCATAGTACTCATTGACCATGGCCGACAGTTGGGATGCCCACAGGGCAGAGATTGAGCAACTCTACATTCAAGAAAATAGGACTCTGAAGTATATTGCAGAGTTCATGACCAGCAAAGGCTTCCGAAAGACGTAAGTAAGCAAAGCCTTTTAACCCTCATACCTAATTAACACGCAATCAGCAAATCGCAGTACGAGACGCAATTCAAGAAATGGGGCCTTCGCAAAAAGCAAACCGTACCGCGTAATGCCAACTGGGACTTCATTGCAAGGCGGGTTGAGAAACGAAAGCGGCTCCACGGAAAAGAGAGCGAGGTGGTTATCGATGAGGAAACAATTCCTCGTGAAAAGGTCAGGAAGCTACAATACGGGAAGACATTTGTGTCGACAGCAGCCAGATTCTCTGGATATGGAGGTGTGTTCGTCTATTCCAGTCCTGCTGCAGCCGGAAAGTACTGATAAACCAGCGCCATCCCCCAAAACACCGGAAGGGGTAGTTGTTAGAACTCCACCTTCCATTGCCAGACTGGCTGGCCAGGCATGGTCTGGAGGCCTGAGTCTGGCCTGGAGTCCGTCTCTTCCGTGGCTTCAGTTCACCAAACTCTTGCATGTCAACCAGAATCGGGGTAGGATTCTTCGACAAGCAGATTAGGCAGGCTTCATAACGTGCTAATGTGCTGCAGACCTGCCGGCCTTATCGTCCGTCATATCAATTCCACTTTCCAGTGAAGTCTCCGTTCAACCAGATGTGGAGAAAGATGAGTTGATACACCTGGAGAATGCATTTCCTTTGGAGATTCGGTCCAAGTTGCTTCATATGGATACCGACTCCAGAATGAAAGCAATGCTCAGCATGTTTATGCCAGAAGAATACGAAGGGCAGCACCAGCTGACGCAGACAAACCGTTTGAGCACAGAGCTTTATATGTTATCCAACAGCCTTCAGCCGTATGACGAATTGCACAGCTTCTGGGAATATAACGATCGCCTGCTGGCCATGATTCGAACCTTTGGCTGGCACAAGGGCTGTCAATTTAAAATTCTTCTAGCAAGCCAAGAGCCAACAGTCGAGGCTATAGTGGAGAAGATCTTCTCAAGCGCGGTATGTGAGGTGGATATAGAGGTCATGAAGCTGATCCTCGAAGCTGGGATGGATCCAAACTCCCTCGTCGACAGTGAAATCGGGTTACGCACACCCTTGCAGGTGGCTGCCACTGTCACCGACAGCAGAGGGGCGGAGATGGCCGAGCTCCTCATCTCCCGTAAAGCTGATATCCAACTGATACAGAGTGGTGACTCCGCTCTACGTATGGCGATTGGATACAGAAATGGCTGGGTAATTGAGGTGTTGCTGCGCCACAATGTTGTTGTCGACATACAGTGCCTAGCAGCGGCGACGAGCAAAGTTGATGCGAATCTCTTCGAGAAACTTTTGGCCTCCTTCGCTGATATAAAAAGACTGGGCTACAATGAACTACGAGGGAATGTCAAGTCTCCCTTATTCAGCGCGATTTCTGCGAACAAGGAGAAGTTGATTGAAGTGTTACTGCGTCATAATGTTGTTGTCGACATACTGTGCCTAGCAGAGGCGACAAGAACTGTTGATGCGAATCTCTTCGAGACACTTTTGAAGTCCTGTCCTGACGTAACCGGCTTGATCTACAACGCAGATATTAAGTTTCCAACGCAACGCGGCAATATAACGCTGCTAGGAGCAGCAGCAAAATCTGGAAGGCTTGAAATTATCGAGACAATACTTCGGGTTTGCCCAGGCCTTGTCAACCCTAGAGAGCTGGAGGCCACAGGCGGAGCAGACTATGTCTCCCCTATTTCAGCCGCCATCGCGAACAACCACATGGAAGCACTGAAGGCTCTTTTAGACGCGGGTGTTGATATAAACTTCGTAAATGGATGCGAAGAACCACCACTCGAACAGGCATTGGCAAGAGATAACTTTAGGGCATACGAAATCCTGGTGGAAAGTGGTGTCACAATCACTCGGCCACTATCATATCAAAAACTTCGTGTATTAATGAGGTTTATTTCAGGGGAAGAGGATTGTGTGAGGTCAATGACGCAGCTCATTGGCGAAAGTGCACGGGTGAGTCACAATGTCACTGAATGGTCTGGGGAGGTGCTCGCAGAGGCCATCAACAACAATGATCTCCTAGTCATAGGTCTGCTGCTTGATTTCGGGGCTACTGTCGTCGCAACGAAGGTGAACTACACCTGGAAGAAGACTGCACAGTATCTGGACACACGGGGAGCTTTACAGGCCATTCTCGATGAAAATGGTGACAATATCCTGTTAACAGTATTAATGATGCAGAACTGGGATCTGGCACAGTGGCTCCTTATTCGTGCCCCTCTTCTACAGGATGAAAGACTGTATTCAGGGCATACACCACTGTGCAGCGCAGCGAGCAGCAAACAACCTGAGTTGGTCAGACTTATGCTTATATACGGCGCAAAGGTGACTGACCGTGTCCTTTGTATGGCAATAAATCGGATGGAAGAGGATGCCATTTGTGGTGAGTCGGCATCAGATGAAGCTCTCGAAGTTCTCCGGCTCCTATTAAGCGGCTTTACCGGCCCCGCTCCGAATGTGATCGTTATGGCAACACGGATTTATTCCCACAATTTGAGTTTATGTGACAGTACGAGGCAAGATACTAATGTGCTGCAACTTCTACTGTCGGAAGGCGTGGAACCCACGGGTACTCTGGGTGAAGTCGTCGCTGGGGATTTGAATGACCCAGTTCAGCCACAATCAGCCCTAGAGCTGGTAGTATGGGATCGCAATCGATTGGCCCTGGACATCTTAACCCAGCCCCATTACCACTGGGGCGCACAAGCTTTAGGGCGATGCTTAGCTGTGGCGTGTACTGTATCTGGCGAAGACTTTGTTGACTCGATTCTTCAGCGCAACCCAAGGATGAACGAATATGTTCATACCGACTTCGAGTACGGAAATGTTAATTTCTCTACCGCTCTGCAAATTGCCGTGAGAGAGCAAAAAGTGTCGGTCGTCCGTAAGCTTCTCGGATTCGCCGATACCGATATCAATTGCGCTGCGAAAGGACACCGTGGTCGTACGGCCCTGCAGCACGCGGTGGAGAAAGGTAATCTAGAATTGATAACCATGCTTCTCAACCATGACGCCGATGTCACCAGCCCCCCTGCGGAAAATAGAGGTGCTACTGCATTACAGCTGGCAGCTATTAAAGGATACTTGCCAATTGCTCGCCGACTGCTTGACCTGGGTGCGGATGTGAATGCCGCAGGTGCAGATATTGAAGGAAGAATGGCTCTTGAGGGAGCGGCGGAACATGGTCGGGTTGACATGGTTCATATGCTCCTTGAGGAAGGGGCATGGATACTTGGCGACGCTGGCGAGAAGCAATATAAGAACGCGGTGTCACTGGCAAGAAAGAATGGGCACTACGCGGTGGCGAGGATGCTAGAGAGGTTCAAGTCCAGGGCGGAACAAGTCCATGGCCATATATCTAGCATTGCTGTTGATGGTGGTGGTGAAGTTTATGAAGAGGAACATTCAATGATATAACCTACTGACCGCCGGTGTACTATTTCGGCTTTATGTTTTCGTTCTTAGTTTGCTCTATTCCATACAATGCCACAATAATATCCACACTACTATGCTTACACATCCTATCAATTCCGCATTCCGAGTCATTTTCCTGCTTTACAAGTCTCAATAGCCATAAGAAAGACTTTATCTCTTGGATTATAATTAGGAAGCACGCGTCTCCTTGCGCTTCATCAACCTGTGGGCTCTATATACATTATGGGACCAATAGAACGCTCAGCTTACAAACTACATGGTGTCCAGACCTTCACGCAACATGTAATGTACCAATCGGGGCTTGTCACCGATATCCGAAATACCATTATGCAGCCGATGATCAAGCTAAGCATAAAACGCCAAGATCAGCTCCACCACGGTGGATCTGGTAGAGAGTTCTGTCTGGCTCTTCGGAGCTCGAGTTCCCCGATGACAAAGCATTCTGGAGACCTTTGAAGATGCCTAGAATCCTCTGGAGAAACGGCTCTCTTTCCTGCCCTATTGCATTCGAGACATTCGTCAGGCTCGCTGTCGATCAGCTCGGAGAGGCGCTGAATTTTGTATAGCCGGCTTGGCAGTGAAGTGGTCCTGATGTCGGAAATACTGCTTTATCCTCTTTCATACTCGGCTGGATAGAGCTGACGAAGGTGATGAGGAATCGTTATGGTCCTGGCAGTCTCATACAACCGGTTTTGACTATGGATATCCGCGGAGTCCGATAGCGAAGACTCGGGTATAAAGAGGGCCATGCCTCAGTCTCATGCAAACTACATCCCTCCAGTCTTCTCTAAGCACCAAGCCTGAAATCTCTCCTTTATTCACCATGCAACTCATCTCGTTGACCAAGTTGGCCATGCTCGGCATGGCTGCATTTGCTGCCGCCCACCCCGGTGCCCACGAAGTCAGCTCCATGACCCACGCCGAAAAGAGATCATTCCTGGTCAACGCCAAACGCAGCCTCGGACAATGCGCTGATCGCCTCGAACGCCGCGGCGTCAGCGCACGCATCGAAGCCCGTCGCGCCGAGCAGTACGAGTTCTACCGCCGTCAAGCCCTCGCAGCCCGCGCCTACAACCCCTCCGTCAACGTCTCGCACCACTCCACCCTCCAGGTGAATTCGCACACCTCCGAAGAAGAACTCTTCGCCAAGGACCCCGTCTGCGTTCTCTCTCCGGAAGGTGAAATCGGTCCATTCTGGGTAAAGGGCGAGCTTGTCCGCTCTAATGTCCGTGATGGCGAGGCCGGTGTCCCTGTTATCCTTGACGGGCAGTTCATCGATATCGAGACCTGCGAACCGATCAAGGATCTCTACTGGGATGTCTGGAACTGTAACTCTACCGGTGTTTACTCCGGTGTGCAGAGCGACATGAACGGTAGCGGTTCCGGCGATGCTTCTAACCTCGACAAGACCTTCCTTCGCGGTATTCAGAAGACAGACGAAGACGGTGTTGCTCAGTTCCAGTCTATATTCCCCGGTCACTATGATGGTCGCGCAACGCACGTCCACGTCGTTGCGCACGTTGGTGCGCATGAACTCGCCAATAAGACCGTCACCGGTGGCCACGCCGCGCACATCGGACAACTGTTCTTTGACCAGGACTTGATTACCGAAGTCGAGGCCCTCTACCCGTATAACACGAACACGGTCGATATTACCCAGAACGCCGATGACCACGTCGTCCAGGACGAGACTGAGGATACAGCCTCCGATCCCTTCTTCGAGTATGCCCTGCTGGGAGATAAAGTCCAGGATGGGATTTTTGCTTGGATTACCATGGGCGTTAATGTCTCGGCAAGCTATGAGACTAGCTATGCGGCTACTCTGACTGGTGATGGCGGTGTTTCGAACTCGAATAGCCAGCCCGGGTGGTACCGTTGACTTCTAGTTGGACTGGTTGGTGGGTTTTCAATTTCGTATCTTGAATAGAATGTACACAATATCTATAGATAGTTCCGCCCGCTCATGACACTTCAAGTCTCGCGCTCCTTATTTCCAAATACTGCAATCCGTAAGGGAATTATTTATGGAGCGGCTCTAATGGCCCCACTGCCTACAAAGGCACCAGCCAGTCAGAGACTTCTATAAAATCGATGCCCCACAGATCGACAGTTGGTGACTCGTGGGTTCCAGTGCTGACTCAGCGGGGTTCAGTTCTCCGGCAGCAGTATTCCAGAAGTCTGGGGATGCTCGTCCACAATTGTCAAGCAAGGACTAAATAAAATTTGAATTCATTCCATGAAACTAAACTATCTCAGCTGTCCACTCCAAATTGCAAACCATGCATAATACCATCAATAATGGTCGCACCCCTCACACCAAGCGCGGTATACAACACAGCCATACTGCATAGCCCGCCCGATCATATTCAAGTTATTCGCGTTCTCACACTGATCAAACCCATCCTGCTTTTTGAGAAAGATATCCCGAATGATCTCGACGGCGCTATAGAGCTCCATCGGCCACCCGACATTCTGCGGCGGCCCTGAGCAGTTCCCAGCCCACTTGATCTCGGCGTGATACCACGGGTCGGTACTTTCGGGGGAAGGCCTGCCAGTGTCCCATGGGATTGTGTTCTCGCCGCTGGTGGAATTGATAAGAGGTCTCACAAAGGCCGGTATGCCAGACCAACCCTTTACGAGGTTTTCGACCTTGCCTTTGTCGAATATCGGGGGTGTTAATGTCATTTTCTCCATGCAGCCGAGGTTGTGGATCTGGTTTTGGTTGAATGGTAAGGGGAGAGGGAGGTCTGATTCGGTAATCTCCTGGACATGGGTTAGACTGGGCCTCAATAGAGCCTGGTTTGATGTGACTTTTAACTTACCTCGCCGGATGGAGTTGGACTGCCTGTGGTTGGACTTGGGGGCATCGACAAAGGGCATACACCCGCATATGATTGCTCATCAGTTCTCGTAGCCAGCAGGCCAATGGGTTTCTGTATTATTCCCGAGAACTCCCAAGTCGCGGCCTCGATTCTATTAACCCATAGCCGCCAGCGGCCAACAGGGATAAGCTCGTCGCCGACACGGTCATAGCGGACGATCTTGCTGGCTTCCATCGTCGCCTTCCCGTCGGTATTCCGGGGATCCTCAGACATTACCTGCGTTGGGATTTTATACGGCAGTGTCATGGGCTCTTGAAAATATTGCTCTGATCCAGATGGATATAGATACCCGTGCAGTAGGTCCGACAGCATAGCCACCTTCTCAGGGTACATGATCGGACCATTCCTATCCTGAAGATTCGCAGACGGCGTGACAATGAATATCTTGGGCTGGTTGGTGAAATGCAACGGACCAGGCTGCTCCTTCGTACCTACAAGCCCCTCCATCGGCTGGAGGAATTCCGACTGCTCCCCATGAACCAGAGCCTCGAACGTATTCTTACGGAAGAACTCATCCGGCGCAGGCACAAACTGCCCAGGAGACGGCTCGCGCACAAACATGGGCATTTCATAGATATGCGAGACATACACGCCCTGCTTCGAAACGATAAAGACAGCCGTGCACCCATGCAGCCGGGCCATACCAGCCGCGGTCTTGAAGTCCTGGAACCCGTACCATTTCCCGCTGACCTCGTTGCTGGCGTGGATGTACCACTTCCTCTGCGTGTTGAGCTTGATCAGTACGCCCACCATGTAGTCGTCTAGCTCCTTGCTCATCTTGGGGTAGTCCAGGAGCGGGCTGGTTGGGTGGTCTGTTTTTGGAGGGGTCTGGACGAGGGAGTCCTTGCGGGGTGTGCCTGTGGCTGCGGCTGCGGCTGCGGCTGTACTGATTGGGATCTTGAGGCAGTTGACGGGGGCGACGGTGACCCATTCTGCGGTTCCCGCGGGGCATTCTGGCCCGCCGCAGATGTGTGCTCCGCACGCTTTTCGGTTGCTGGTGTCTGATTCAGGTTCTGTTTCGTCGTCTTGACGCTTGACCCGATTTACTGCCTTGTTTGGTCCATTCATGAGGTGGCCGTCTCCATAGATTGTAGCAACCCTTGTAGGTTGTGGATTGTTCGGAGGAGCTGGAGGAACGGGATCGACGAATACTGGGACATCGCTGTTTGAAGGGACTGGGGTGGCCAGATCGACCTGTGTTATGGGTGTCATGATATGTCCATCTCCATGGATTTTGTGAGGCGTGACGGGGTCGTTTGCTCCAGAGTCTTCACTCGGAAGACCTGAGATTGGATCGACAGAGGGTGGATAATCGCTGGGCGTTCCGACGATGTTCCCTGCTGCGTCTGTTGTAGGCTTTGCAGCTGGCTTGGCATACAAGAAGGAATTCGTCCTAGTGATGGAAACGATTGAGCTGGCTGTAACTCCATGGCCACCGGGAGGGCGGGTGACGACTGGAGCAATCTCGGTATAGTCTTCACATTCCTCATCAGATGGAATCGGGTCAGCGAAGCCTGGAAGACCACCAGCGCTAACGACGCCAGTTTGCGGATATTTCGTGGTGTGGTCCTCGGTTGGCTGGGGGAGCCAAGCAGGCACAGTGAACACATTTCCGCGTACATCGGTTACTGTATACGTCTTGTCTGCAGTTGGCTGAGGGATCCAGGCAGGGACGGTGAATATATTGCCACGTACATCAGTTACCGTATATACTTGGTCTGCAGCAGGGACACCAGCGACAGGATTGGAAGGGGTCGGCTTTGGAGCTTGCGCGTCACAATCAGATGTATCCGCATTCCCGCCCACGACATCCGCCGGGGGTGTAGGTGGAACGGGGTCTGCAATGACAGGAGTGTTGCCGTTGATCATAGTTATACTGAGGCTGGCCTCATCTGCAGTAGGGCGTGGAGTGACTGGGTTGTTGGTAGGAGGGACGGTGACAGGATTCCCCTGCGCATCAGTGGAAACAGTCTCCAAAGAACCTCCATCAGGAAGAATCGGATCGGTGTTGCAGGTATTACCTGCAATGCAGTCGGCGTTGGCGGCATTGCCATCGTTGACAGTGCCAGAGGGCACGACAGTATCAGGTGGAGCGGGAATGGCTGCTGCTGCTACGATCTGAGCAGCAGAAGTCAAGAGACAAGCATGTACGAGGGGAAAGTACCTCATCGTGGCGATGTGTTGGAGAAGTCAGGAAGTCAGAGAGAAGGGCCATTTATGCCTGTGTCTGGGCTGAATGTGTTGTTAGTGAAGTAAGTGAATTCAATATACTGAGGTAACTAAACACTTAACTGGGGGAATTCCTGTCTGTATACTGCATGGTCTGGACTTGTGTGAACAGCCGGCAATTGGCTGCATTCACAAGTATCCAGATGTAACAGCATCACAAAAGAATGTTAAAAATAATGGTAATGAAGCAAATAAGAAGTTTACTCTAATGATGATTTCCTTTATGCTTATGCCTGCTTTTCTTTAACCAGCCCTGATTACCACGTCCCTTCACCCGAAACAATACCAGTTTACTGTCTATACTAGTAATAAAGCTGTCACTGCACTGTTTCATTAACCTTCAAGGCGGCCAGCTATCGCCAGCAAGACAAAAACAGCGGATGATGAACCTGGCTTAATTCTACGAAGGTGTCAAAACTGTTTTGAATAATTTGTGCCATGTCCAGAGAATGGACAAAGTCGTGGATGAGGCTATCGCCCCTACGCCTCAATACACAATAATCTATCTATTCTATTAAGATAGCCTATCGTATTGTTCATTGAGCCACAAATGGCTGAGAGAATCTCGAAACAATCCAATTCTATACAGCGTAATCGTACTTATCGGCCCATTAGCAAGGAATAAAGTGCAGATCGATTATTTAGAAGATCAACGCGAGTATCTCGGTGTTTGCCTTCTGAACGGAAGTTAGGGAAGAGACATTCTTCTTATCAAGTCTGGCACGAGTCAAGTTATGGTTATTGGCTGTGGTATACCCTCGATACCTAGTTAATACTACCCATGTATCCTTCAGCTCGGTATTCCCCTTTCCAATAGAACAATTATTGATGCCCTATTTGCAATATACGAAAGCGGACTATTGTTAACTAATATCTGCCTATTATTGTTCAAACCGATAATTAACCTGCTCCCTCACAGACAGCGTACCGGCCTTTTCACACACTCCCAAAGGCCCGAAACTGTCACTTGCCGCTGCATGTCTCTTCCATGCTTTTACAGCGCGTGGGTGACTGTAAAAAACGCTGTATCCTCTCATGGTCTCCACAGATGCATGCCTTTGTGTCCTCTGACGGATTCATTCTACTCCATCATACTGCGCAGGGCTTGCAGCCAGCCAAGCTACCAGAATTTACATCTCGGTGTAGGGAGGTAAGAGAACCGAGAATATGTGTGCCTATGGTCCTCCAGTAGAGATTCAAGTAGGCTTACCAGTTGGTCCGTTCCTATCCTAGGGAAATAGTTTCCAGGCGAATTCCAGCCCGGGAAAGGCTTCGTATCTGACGATAGATGACAAAAAAAAACCTTCAAGGCGATAGTTATCTAATTGTAAAGCCCCCCATTTGCAGACAGACAAGCCCCAGTAGTCCACCTCGCATCCTCACTACACAAGAACGCAACTAGGGGCGCAATATCATCCACCTCTCCCACCCTCGGTGCCGCAGGGGTCGATTCAATCAAGGGCTGCATATCCTTCAAGAACTGCTCATCGCTCTGGAACCATTGGTCTAACAGTAGAGAATGGGTTAGTCTAATCTAATCGGGTAGGGAAAGGGGTATTCATTCAATACCAGTTGCAACAGGGCCAGGATTCACACAGTTCACTGTAATGCCATGCGACTGGCCCAGCTCCTTCGCCCAGACCCGGACAAGCGCCTCGTCTGCGGCCTTGGTGGCGGCGTACACTGTCTGTCCTGCAACGCCGAGCCGTGCACCGGCCGACGAGATAAACACGATCCGGCCGCCTTTGGGCAGATGGGGCTCGACGGCCTTGGTTAGGAAGATTGGGCCGCGCACGTTGCAGTCGAAGTGGGTGGTGTAGAACTCCGGCGAGGTATCGACGAGGTTAGCTTCGAGGCCTTGGGCAGCACTAGAAGAAGAACAGGAACAGTATTAGACAAGAATAAAAAATATAGCCACTTAAAGGGAGCAGGGAACTGTGACTGTGACTGTGACTGTGACTGTGACTGTGGTTGCGGTTGCGTACTTGTGTATCAGAATCTCAATCTTCCCCGTCTCGCTGATCTTCAGCGCGGCGCTTACCAGCCGCGGGATCTCGTCTAGGTTGCTGACGCTGGCCTGGCATAGAATAGCCTTGGTTCCGACTCTGGTGATCTCGTCTGCTACCTCCTCGGCGCGCTTCCTGCTACCCTCTGAGACGTAGTTGACGACGATGTTGGCGCCACGCTTGGCTAGGAGAATGGCGATTCCCGCGCCGATGCCCCTGGAACAGGTCAATAAGGACTGCATTTTGATAGTATGAGTTTATTACCTTGAAGCACCGGTGACGATTGCGGTCTTGCCTTTGAGTGAAACGCCGGAGAAGTCGGACATTTTAGAGTATATGGTTGAATTGGCTGGGAAGGGAAGAAAAGGATAATACTGTATTGGAAGTACCTTGACACTTGTCATACTGGCAAGATCTCCCCCATCTATATAGCTTCCAGTAGGGTCTGCGCGGGGTGAGGGGCATTTCGTCATCTAGGGTTGCGTTCTTAACTTCCTAAAGGGGAAGCTCGGCCACCCGTATACTTCCCAATTAGGAAACCGAGATTTCAACAGTTCATCTCAATATTCCCGGCATATATTATTAATTAAACACATAGTAGTAAGAACAGTCCAAAGACCCAAAGTTAAAGCACAATATGCTATGCCCCAGCAAGCCACACATTATCCCCCCCATACCCAAACGGAATAAACGGCTGCTTGAAGTACCTCTCCGTAACCATCGTAGCATAGTCCTTATCATCCACACAATACCCACCCCCACTCGGTCCAATATGCGGACAGTGCTCCGTCGGCCGATACTGCACCATATGCTCATGCACCTCGCGACACAGCAGCGTATTCCTCCCCAGCTCATACGCCTTCCCGAACCGGACTGTATTCGTGAGGAAATCGACGCACGCTTCGTTGGTCTCATACTGTTTATTCTCATCCAGACAGTACTGGTCATGCGTTTCACAGATCGTAGTCGCAAGAAGCCCAGCCAGCTGCCTCTGTATCTCAGCTGGGTCGGTGGTATTGAACAGCCCCGTCCCCGCCGCTTCAGAAAGCGTATCAAGCAGCCAGTCGAACCAGCGGAAGGTGGCGTCGTACTGCGCGATCTTTCCGTCCGGGTTATACAGGATCCAGGTATCGATTGTAATGGGGACGAGGGTGTTGAATGATGTCGCGTTGAATGTGAACACGGTCGTTGCGGCGGTGATGTTCTGGTTTGCGGAGAACTGCGTGATGTTGTAGGAGATGGGGATGCCGACGAGGCTGAGGTGGTCTGGGTCCGAGAAGAGGCCGAAGATGTATTCGTTGTTGAGCTCGCGGCCGTCGAAGGTGCGTGTTATGTCGACGCGGCCTTGGACCTTCCATTAGGGTTAGCTTTCTGGTATACTCTAGTAGGCCTTGGGGTATGATGGGGGGGGTACATCTTCGGCAAACACGGAGGTGTCTGTAGCGTTGATCTGCTGCAGGTTCGCTGGGTAGAGGAAGTTCTCCCAGAGGGTATTCTGGAGAGACCAGAGCTCGTCGAAGGTGAAATCAGCCAGGGAGGCTGTTCCCATTGTAAGGAGGAGAGCGAGAGAGGGGCGCATGTTGTACTGCTGCTTGCCGATTGCTTGAAAGTCCGTTTCATTTTCCAGGCTTGGGGACTGTCTTTATTTTTCTATGTTGCTGGGATATCATTCAGGCGTCCAGCAATGTCAGAATGCGACGGCCGCGAGATGATTTGCCCTTGGCGTGACACAGCATTCCAGCAGCTCAATTGGGTCAGCGCATGGAATGGCTAATTGAGGAATGGGGCTGGCTGACCAGCGTCAGCTTACGATCGGAACCTTAAATGGCGTGGAAGTCTGACACGTCGTTTAATTATTGGATGTGCCAATGCTTGGTGGCTGCACGCAGTCGAGTTCGAGTGATGAACTTGTATCACTGCAGGTGTGCAGAATAGCCTTTGCGGGGTTTCTGCAGGAATGCGTGGACGAATACATGCATATAAGCTGAAAAGAAATTATAGCTCCTCCAGCGATTTTGCGAGTATCAGTTTATCTGGTAGGGTGAAACAACCGAAGATAGATCATTGTGGAATTCGCAGATCCAAGCAATACCGAGTCAATTATTTGAGGCTATATAAATAACCGATCAACGCAGACCGATCTGGAATGATATGATAAACAGATTAGGCCAGTCTAGATACAAGACTACAGCCAATTGCGGTCACCCTTGTGAGAGAGGAAGGCCCCGGCATCCTTCTCGACAGTGGCATTCTCAATAACATTAAGCATAGCGTTGACCGACTCCTCAGGGCTAATCGGCGCGGTAAACGTCGGTGCATATTCCTGGAACTTCTTCACCATTTCACCCAGCCCAGCACGCTGCTCATCAGTCACTGCCAAAGGTCAGCCTTATACAACACCCCAGAGATAGATCAGAGGTAGATAACGTACGCTGAGCAAAACCTCCGGTATCCACCATTCCCGGCGACAGACTGAGAAACAGCACGCCATCGGCGCTATACTGGGCGCTGAACTTTGCGACCGCCATGTTAAGCCCGATTTTGCTGATCGAGTATACACCGGCGGTGGCGACGTTGAACTTGGTGACGAGGTCCACGTCTGCGTGTCCGCTAGAGATGGCGATGACCTTCTTAGCTGTGCCGCGGAGGATCAGCGGGGTGAAGAGGTTGAAGAGGTGGATCTGGGCGATGGTGTTGGTTTTGAAGTTTGCGAGCATTTCCTGTTCAAGCGTGGTTGGGTCTTTGCCTCTGCTTTTGTTAGTTGAGGAGATGCGAGGGTAGGGGGACGTACAGATCACCGAGGGAGTCGAACTGGTCGTAGAGAGTCAGCAGTGCGGCGTTGGCGACCAGATAGTCGAGGCTTCCACCGGTGATCTTCGAGGTATCTTCAGCCGCAGTCTCCAAGTCGCTGTAGCTGTCCAGGTCGGCCTTGAGGACGTGGATGTTGGTACGGCCGGGAAGTTCGTCAGCGACGCGTTTATCGGTGGCGGCTTTGTTGCGGACAAGCGCGATGACGGTGTTGCTTGGGTTGCTGGACAGGATGGAAATGAACGCCCACTGTACAGGTTAGACTTGGACTGGAAAATAGGTATGGTGCATACTCCGATGCCGCGCGAGGCTCCTGTGATTGCGTAGGAAGACATGGTGTAGTAGTTGCTCTAGAGCCTGGTTGTTTGTCTGGTAGATGCGATGAAGATGAAGATGGAGAAACATAGAGCAGGTATTTATAACGCCAGGATTGGAGCCAATGTTGATTTCAAATCCATGATTTCAAAGCTCATCAAAGCGTATACATCATCGTTCAGCTCCCCAGGGCTAGCGTCGCGAAAAGTTGCTGAAGCCGAATGCCAAGTAACGGCCAAACCCCGATTGCACGGACACGAGTCACGAATAGCCCAATACTAACGGCAGGAGATGAATGAGCTGAGATCAAAGTTGCTTCTAGAATCCAGGAAAGGATTCCAGCCGCAAAGAGATTTTGAGATTCCCGTCACCCTCCGACAAGCAGTGGTCTGCCACGACATAACGAGACGCTATACCGCGAGACCGAAAAGCATGCCAGCTAGTGGTCAGCCACCTATCTCCACCATAGAATCCTTCTCGTCCGGGTGCTCTTGAGGCGTGTTCGCCAGAAAGCGCAAGAAGAGATCAAACGGCGCTTCCTGTTCTGTCATAAAGCTATACAGCTTGCTCGTTCGTATCTGCAGTATCCCAGACCGGTCGAAGCAGCCTTGTGTAATCCGCCCGTGTTGGGGGCCTGACAGCGATATGACCAGCACCTGTTATAAAGACAGAGTTAGCTAGTACCTAACACGTATTAGAGAGTCCAAGCTCACAGGGACGAAAGTGGTATCTGCAAAGTCCTCCTGGTCAAGCCTGTTCCTGATCGCTTGCACGATCGGCCCAATTTCTCCAACAAGCATCTCGTCCTCGGTCACCGACACCTCCTGGACTTGCAACATCATAATATGGGGGAAGCCGTGGGCGTTCTCGTAGACTGTACCGCCCCACCCGGGAGGTAGGTGTCGCAGCAGTAGGCCCTCGCGAGACAGGAACGAGTTCGGGTAGCTGCGATAGTTAGGATGGAGTCTAACGAGATGTGTTATGATGGAGGTAGTACACGATAGGCTCCCACCCGGCCTTGTCAATCAAGGATTTGCGGATGAGTTTGCGGCGCCAAAAAATAAACATAATACGGAGGCATTGCTCAAGAATCCTAGCCCTTGTCCCTGCAGATTGTTCCATCCGTTCAAAGAGGGTTGTTCGGATTGGGTTTGGCTGGAATTCCTCGAAGCCTGGATAGCGTCCAGCAAGGGGAAAATTCTCGCGATGTGGAGGATACCGGTCAAGATTGGCTTGGGGCATTGGCTCAAATACCAAACCGCTGGATTCGAGAGATGTGTTGTCTTCGGCGTTGAACTCACTGATAGCGAAGGCATCCTCGGGGAGCTTGTCGCGGTCAATGTAGGGGCCAGGCATTTTGGATAGGGATTCAAGAAGTCGATCGGCAGTAGGCCTAAAGGTCTCTTGCAGGGCGGCACGACTATTGTCTGATGCCATGATGGATAGAGGAAAGAGGGTGAAGAGAAGGAAATGTGAGGGATAAAGGGAAGAAGAAGAGAGTGAGGGAGTGAGGGAGAAAAAGAGAAGAGAGTCAGGCCATGGTCCCAACCACAGCCCAGCCAACTTTCTGAGTAACACAACCCAACACAACCACCTCTTGACCAGGGAAATGAAACGAACCATGTCCACGCTGTTACACGCAAACTACCTTCTCACCAAGGTAGCGATGTGTTTCCCCCACGCCCGCCCCTCCCCGCCGCTGCTCGAATTATGCGCCGTACTTAGCCGTCATAGCGACGATGATGCCTGCCAGATGCTTTACATGACCGGCGTCAGTAATATTCCAGGGCCCATATGGCTGAAGCTGCATGAATTTGGTACTGGGAAGATCGAGGCGGGCACCGTCAATGTATCGGCGGTACTCGCGCGAAAACGAGATTGCCGATAGATAAACCTCCTGGCCGTCTTGGGAGAGCAGTACTGGCTTTCAGAACAAGTCAGTACTCGTATTTAATGGTGCCAGGGACAATAGGGGAAAAGTACCGATGTGATTCTTCCTGATCCAAGCTACAATCTCGGATGTCTCCTGCATGGAGACCTGGGGCTCGTGTCGCGTTCTCTCGCTCTGCTTCACCTCCACCAACATTGCCGTCTTTCCCTCGGCCACAGAGCGCAGATACCCGGCTAGGCGGGCACAAATTTGTCTTTGGCGAAGGTTGCCGTCAAGCCGATCCGCCGAACCATCCAAGCCCCAATGGGGGGTGGATGTTTGACGGTCAGCGCCACAAGCAGAGCCAGAAGGCCGCTGTTGACGGTTTCCTCGGCGTCCGCCGTATTATCGACACTTTGCGCTTGTAGTTGTAGAGCCCTAGGTACTTCAAAGATGCCTAGGTTGTGCGACTCTGTCGGCCCTCTGGCGTAATGGATTCGTCTCTCACACTCTGTACATACGCGTTGAACGGGTCATACTGGCTAGGCCAGTTTCTATGTCAAGGTCCGTGGTGACAAGGTCCATGTCCTCTGGAAGTATATTGTCTTTAAACGCCCTGTCAGTCGTTAAGAAGACCGCTTTGGTGGTTGTAGGTGAGAATGTTGTGTTGCAATGTAGTAGACTAAGAGTATTCAAGAGTGTTGCGTGAACGATTAAAAGGATTAAAGGCTAAATGTGTAAGGTAAAACATGGGAGTAACACATTGATTGCTTTCCTGACCACTGATCCAGCCCAAACACCAGGACATGGACGTGATATCTGTACCCAGCCCTAGCAGTTCTACCTGCACCGTTCGTCCTCGGAACCCTCAGCAGACAATGCCTACTTTCCACCAAGATCGTCATATATGATTTTCTCAACCGCCTCTGAGCAGCCAACCACCTCCAGATCTGAAATGAGATAATGAGCGTTTGTCCTGCGTGTCTTCTTATTGTAACGTCTCTCACCTCCATATGGAAGAACCTGAGATGCAATGATCCCACCGATTCCATTCTCCCTATCAGCAAACCAGAATATATTGGCCACTCCTTCCCACGAACCCGACCCAGCGGCCCTTCCAGTAGGACTCTGCGTGTGGCTCAACGATGATGAAAGGCCCCAGCCCTCAGTGAGGTCGTCTCGGCAGGGTACCAACGGAGTAGGATTGGCGATTTCTGGCTTCCCTGTCGGTGTATATTCGTTACATTTTCGGGGCATGGCCGGTATTTGATCCGTAAACATTTCTAGACTTGCTCAGCGATGGCCTGGTCTGATGGACAGAGTATTTGTCTAACCCTTCACTGTTTCAGGTTTCAGAAGCTTCGTCCCTGTATGAGGACTCGTTCCGTTGTTTAGCACAGTCGCTATGACTCCTTCTGGCCGTCAGCATACACATACTCTGCAGGAAGTGCGCCGGAATCTAGCCATAGACACACGCACTGCAGTATTCGACCGGCGTGCCAAAGCATCCAGCGCCACCCATGCAAAAACGATCTTTATCTTCCAAACCCCGTGGCAGCAGCGGAACTCGGTAAAGATGATCTCTAGTGCTCAGTGACCCATCGCCCGCCCGCTGGTGCATAGTAGCCAAAGCAGCTTTCATTTCAGCCGTAGGACAAAACTTGATATTGCTGATCCCCAGCGGCCGGAAAATGAAACGCTCAAAGTACTTCTCCAGCGACATGCCCGTGGCTCGTTCAATAACAACGCCCACCCAGTCTACCCCAACCCCGTACTGGAATTTCGTTCCGGGTTGATTGACCAAAGGACGGAGCAGTACGTCGCTCGCATGCCCGGAGAAGTCATCCAGCCCAACGGGACGAGACCAGTCGCGCAACTTGAAGTCCTCGAATGCGTATCCGAACCCAGCTAGTCGTCTATGAATCAACTTGCCATTTCCTTACCTTGATTATATAAAAACGAGTACAGGGGAGGATCACCCACATGTATGGTTCAATAACATCCGGAGCGTAATGCTTCTTTCCTTAGGAACCAGTCGGAACCCCTGAATTCCTTCTGGTGCACGCTCAAGCACCTGCACATCCCTCAGCTCGGGTGCAAACGATTCGAGCAGCTCGCTGCTGTCTAAGAGGAGTGTTCCGCGCTCGACTAGTTGCATGCAGGCAATGCTCGTGATGAGCTTAGTGCACGAGGCAAGCCAAAACACCGTATCCAGTGTCATCGGTGACGACCCGCCCAGGGCTGTTGTGCCTGAGGCATGGTTGAAGATGGACTCTCCACTCTTGTCGACTGCGCAGTATACAATTCCTGGGATCTGCGGGGAGGTGCCACTGGTGCGGCCGTCGATTGCGGCTTGTGCAGTGGCGGTGGCGGGTTGTGAAAGTCTTCCCATTGTAACAACTTTGAGATGGCGGTGATACAGAGGGAGAAAAAATAGCTAATGAATTACTGGCTGAATTGATGGAGTTTAATGGTGTAGATATGGTGTAATGCATTCAATATACCCGATCCGGAAAGTGGGACGGCCTCAGTTGGAGCTGAACATGAAGAAAATACAATAATTCCAGTGTCATCAACCTGCATTGATGTAAGAGATGTTACTACTTAATGGATTCTCAATATCACCTTACAGACTGGAGTTTTGCCAGGCTGTTCAGGTTGCTAAGTATGGAACAACACTCCCTCTGCCACAATCTCCGCCCTCATATTCGGCACATTAATCGCACCGACAATAACAGTCGTCCAGGTGGGCGTCGCACCAGGAAACCGCCCTTGAAAGACCCTTTGCATGACAGCCTCATCCTCCGTATTGGTTAGATAACTAACAAACTTGTAAGCCTGCGCTAGACCCGCCGCAATTCCAGCATTCTTCAGCGCCGCGTCGAGACAGTCGAATATGGCCTCGAACTCGGCCTTGGCCGAATTGTTGACCAGCTCTCCAGTCTCTAGGTCAAGCCCGATATGGCCGGTTGTGAAAACGAGCGAGGTGGTGGGCGACACGGGGACTGTGGCTGTTGTTGCGAGTGAGGATGACTTGAGGCAGTCCCCAACCGGGCCGGGGAGGTTCTTGTAGGTAATCGATGGCATGTTGAAGGAGGATTGGTGGTATTGTGGGAGGATCTTTGGGTCAAAATTACTGTTCAATCTAGACTACTTACATGAGGGTTGTATGGCATCATATGTCCTCGGACACTGGGATATCCGGTCTCTATATTCTCGGTTGCCGCTTTTGGTAAAACGGTAAACGCTCAAGGCTAGGCTGAAAGCAGGCGTGATATATGTACTGCTAGTCCAGCTTCCCTATTGAACGCCGATGCAAACAAACGCACGACAATAGCTCAATACTCAAAATGAAGCCGACCAGCAAGACAACGCAAGATGGATATTCGTGGACCAGGGCAACTGGAATCCGAGAGGGTAGCCTTCATTGCAGAGGCGTGGTAGAACCGCCGCAGAAGATAACCACGCCGGCCGGACATGTCCACGACGCAATTGTCATTGGAGCCGGCTATGCAGGACTCATGGCTGCCCGTGATATGACAGACCAGGGTACATTGAACCATCTATACCAGCTACATCCCCGCTAACGCGACTGCAGGCCTTTCGGTGCTAATGCTGGAGGCTCGAGATCGAGTTGGAGGCCGAGCGTATACGGTGGAGGAAGACGGTACTACCTCCTCTTTTTAACTGTAACGTGTTCAAGGCTGACTAGGATAGGTATTTTGTACGAGATGGGTGGGACATGGGTTACGCATCATATGGCATATCTGTTCAAAGAGATGGTGCGCTACAAGATGGATCGTGATCTTCTTCTCACCCAGCACCATGAGTATGAGAATGACTACTACACTCTTAATGTGCCTGGTATTGTCCTTCTGCATCCATTCTCGCATCGCAACTGCTGACAACATCCTCCAGGCACGCCCCCTCGAAAGCTCTCTCACGAGGAAGCAGGAAAACTCACCGGCCGAGCCTGGGATATCTTCGTCAACGTAGACGGCCACAACTGTCGCCAGGTCTGCCCACTGCCTCACGCCCAACTCGACAATATCCACGTCGACCGGAAGGAGGTAGAACAGCTGGATAAGCTCTCCTGCCGCGAGCGGTTCGAGCAGGTGAAACACCTCCTAACACGCGAGGAAGCCGGTCTCCTCGTCGCCTTGCTGCTGCACATTTCAGGCGGAACCATGGAGACCTCCAGCCTGTGGGACATGGTGCGCTCTCACGCACTCATGTCGTATAGCTCCGCCAACTTCGGACCCATTTGGACGACGTATAAACTGCGAGACGGGCAGTCGGAGCTGTCGAGGCGCATGTTCGACGACGCGGTGGCGCACGGACTGCAGTATTCCCTCCAGACTCCGGTCTTTTCTATCCATGACAGTACCGGCTGTGTTGGGGTTAAGAGCACCATTGGAAATACTTATCGAGCGCGTCGCGTTGTGTGCACGATTCCGCTCAACGTGCTACAAACCGTTCAGTTCACCCCTTCCCTGTCTATTAAGCGTCAGGAGGCTCTAGCGCTGGGCCATGTTAACTTCATGACCAAGATCCATGCAGTGGTGGAAGGGTCTGGGCTGGCATCATGGAATGGGATGCGATACCCGAATCTCCTCATGTTCGGCTACGGGGACGGTGTCACCGAGAATGGCAACGCGCATATTGTAGGCTTTGGCAAAGACGAGCGAGGCACGTATGTACCGGAGCGGGATCCGGCGAAGACAATCGATGCGTTTCAAAAGCTACACCCTATGGACGTAAAGAAAATGGTAGGCTCTACTTTCCTACTGTGCTTCCTGATGCGGGACAAGAGTGTTGCTAACAGCTCAGGTATTCCATAACTGGGCCACGGATCCCTGGTCCCGAGGCGGTCCCGCTTGGTGGCGACCAGAGTACATGACAAAGTATCAGGAGGAGCTGCAAAGCCGCCATGGCAATGTTCTTTTTGCCTCTGCAGACTGGGCCCATGGATGGAGGGCGGCTATTGATGGAGCGCTGGAGCAGGGGTGTTTGGCGGCGCAGGAGGTCGTCGCTGAAGTCCACACGACGGGGAAAGGGCCTGCCAGGGCACGATTCTAGATCTCCACTCATTAATAATACGTTTCCATCTGTATACGTTAAGTCATACGTTTCCGATTTGTATACGTGTCATATGCTAGAAATCTGAAACTACGTGAGCAGTTGGTATTTCTGGATTACAGGGGCAGTAGACAGGAATAACAGAGCTCTGGAACTCCTGCTACTGCTATATTAATACTGTATCCACCACGCTATGCCCACTCTGTTTCCAGATCGGACGTGAGTTTGCCGCGGCCAGTGGGGCATATTCTGGAGAAATATCAGAGCTGGCCTTGTAACCCAAATAGGCAGGTAATGCAGCCCTCTGCAGCTCAATGCCATAGGGCATCATGTTTAAAGGTGGCGGTAGCCCGTTGAGTCCATGTATTCACTTTATCCTTAGTTTGCTCTTCCCGAAAGTGACCTTTAACACTCGATACAATGGCTGCCACCGCGAAACGCCCTGAAATTATAGACCTTTCACGCGGTCTGCGCGGCATTCCACAATGCGAGGACTACGAGCGCATGATCTCGGGGATGATGTTCGTTCTTCACTCCAATACGGAAACATCATCTCATGCTGACATACCAGGTACAACCCTAACAAGCCGGAGCTGCTAGAAGCGCGGCATCGGTGCCGGGGGCTGGCTGCAGACTACAACAATCTCGACACAAAAACTGTCCCCTACGACAAGATCTTTGAGACACGACTAGAGCTGCTCAGGAAACTGGTTGGAAAAGTAGGCGAGGGCACGTTTGTCGAGCCACCGTTTCTGCCGGACTACGGCTGCAATGTTATAATCGGAAGCAACTGCTTCATCAACTGGAAGTTAGTCTCAAATCATTCAAGGGGATGGAGATCCCGTATTCGCTAACTAGAGCTGTACAGTTTCACTATCCTAGATACAAGCCTCGTCGTCATCGGGGACCGCGTCCAGATCGGCACCGGGGTCAGCATTTTCAGTGCCGGGCACGACACCAGCGTGCTCTCGCGCCAGAAGTTCGTAGAGTTCGGACACCCGGTTTTCATCGAGGACGACTGCTGGATTGGGGGGAATGTTGTGATTCTGCCTGGCGTCCGTATTGGCAAGGGGTCGACAGTCGGGGCTGGGTCAATCGTTACCAAAGATATTCCAGCGTACTCGGTTGCGGTGGGCAGTCCTGCCCGGGTAAAGAAGAGTATTCAGTCAGTGGAGGAAGAGGAGCAGGACCTGAATAACCCTTATCGGAACTTGCATCGTGAAGACCGGTAAGCTTGGGATCTGGGGTGTTGCATTTGTTGGGTGGAATTGACGTACCGGAGACGGAGTAGGTTATAGCATCCACTTGATATGCGACATTACGTTTCCCACCAGCTTCTAGAGTAGTCAGTGGATACTTGAATGCGGGGTAAAGAATACTGAGGTTAGACCTGTTTGCTAGTAGACCAGCAATTTAAGTGGGGTGTGGTCTGCCCCAGATACTGCCGTACTTTGGTCCTCCATCTGCATTTGATCAGTGCTGCGAATTAAGACCAATATTGGAGACAAACCGCTTGACTGCCAATTCCAGTAGCTATAGAAAAGACCACCTGCGTCCACTTCACCCCGGCAGGAAACTGAGCACCCTCCCCACCCAACCTCACAATGGAGGCAGACAATAAAGGAAAGAGAACCAATTCTTTGGCCTTTGCTCAGACAGACTGCCACACCTGTGCGCTATTAGGGGAACAGTGTGATCGCCGACGCCCGCAGTGCTCAACATGCCTGGCACTGAGCCGGAAGTGCGGTGGCTTTGCAACACCCTTATCGTGGGATCCCCGGCGAATGTGGATGGATAATCCATCGATAGCGACCGAAAGACCCGGGAACGACTGCGCAAGCAGTATTACAGCGACTGCTGAGCCTGCATTTCCCCGGCGTTTCCGGTTTGTGAGTGCCGGCTCTAGACTCAGGAAGCGTCGTAAGGGGCGTACTCGTACGGCCGATCCTAAGCAAGCCCAACTGCCGGATCAGAGCGGCGAGGCCGTGGCAATTACACCGACAGAGATATTTCCTAGACTGGTAGGAGAGGACCAGGGCATACGAAGTCAGGACCAGACTGCGAATGGCCTCCAGCTGACTGGTGGCGGTAAGCCGTTTGACATCTTGACATGCTAGTGGATAATACCGTGCTGACCCTGTTCGTCGCCAGACAACGTGGGCGACGATATCTGGGACGAATTTGGGTTATTTGATTCCCTTGTGCCGAACACCTTCGAGTCTGCACCATTCCCTGATATCGGCCTGGACCCATTCGCAATAGACTCGCCGAGACTGACCGTCCTGCCTCGAACACCCCCAGTATCTGATCATACAACGCGAGCCAGCGAATTTATGCCAGAAAGCTTGGACCATGACCCAGTTCTGCAGGAGTTTGAAACAATGCCATCTGATCCCACAGTGCAAGGAGACGACTTCGATGTTCCCGGTGCTGCCTCTAACCTCCTGGTACAACCAGCGAGCTTCGGCCTATCTCCACACGACCATGACCGGCTTCTCGAACTGTGTAAGAAGTGTGGACATGACTATCAGTATTCCCCTAACCAGATCTAGATGACTCCGAATTCTGCGTCCTCCCTCTGACATCTGACATCTCAATCAACCCATTCCGCTGTCAGCACCAAACATCCCGGGGCTCCCGTCTGGTGTTTCATTCTATACTCGCGCTCTGCTGCCAGCATCTGAAATGCCTTACAGGAAGTTGGTCCGCGGAAGCAGACGAGCATCGACGAAAAGCCCTGCAATTGCTCGACAGCGCTCTGCAAGCCCAGCAGATCCAAAACAGCTTCCACCTGCTGGACCCTATACTAATCCTCTTCACCCTCGATGTAAGCCAATACTAACTAATACCAACCCGGAGTTTACACGCCCCTGCTAAGAGCACGAAAGTGCACCCTTTCTGCAGCTGGGAGCTGGACGGCACATCTCACCCGCGCCCATTCCCTGCTGCAAGCATGCGGTGGCCCCAGCGCACTCATCACCCCTCGCGTGCGGTCCCAAGTCGGGATGCTCCTCTGGTACGTCACATTACCGCAGCATGGCACAAACTAACACGTTGGTATGCACAGGTGGGACGCAACCCTGGCCCTAATCTCACGCAAAGGCCCGACCATGGACCGCGCGTACCTCGAGTTCCTCGTTCGGTGGGAACAGCAGGACGAGTGGTCCTTCTTCGACCTCACTGGCTGTCCGCGCGAGTTATTCGTGCATCTCTTCGACCTTGCCGGGCTGGCGCACCAGTTCGAGATTTCCCTGTCGATGAAGTGGCTATCATTTAGCACTGTGCCTATCGTAGAGATTGAGTCTAGGTTGGTACAGTGGAAGAATGATGATCGTGATGTCGCTTTCGCTGGTGACGGGGCGGACCAGGAGGAAGACGAAGAATACCGGCCCGGCATATCCCGTGTAGAAACAGAGGAACAGCTCCATGCACAGCAAGACCGATTTCACTGCGCTGAGACCTGGCGCTGTGCACTCCTTCTCTATCTTGAGCGGGTCTTTAAAGGCGACCGTGGCCGCGACAGCCGCGCGCATACAAGACGGCATCTGGCACTTAATAGACTAGCCCGCAAGATTATAAACCACAGCCAGTGCTGCCGCCGGACGTCTCAAACGCAGAAGCAGCTGCTGCTTCCGATATTCCTGGCAGGGTGTGAGACGGCCGACGCCGAGATGAGGGAATTTGTCAAGGGGTATTGCACGTACTGGGGCGAGAGGAGCCGATATAACATGTTTAATTCCGCGTCTGTGCTGTTAGAGGAGATCTGGTCTACGCAGCAGTGGTGGGGGGCTGTCATTGACAGTAAATCGAGGTCGTCGAGTACGGAGGCAGAGCTTTTGTTTGGGTGAGATTTTGTATATATATTGAGCCATATGTACTTGATTTTCTAGGAGGGTCGATGGCCTTCCCTTTCCATTTTAGTGCTCACCCGTCGCTGCTTTTTGCTCACTGAGTAGATCTCAGCATGCCCTGAGCAGTGCAAGGCAATTATTAAGTACCTGGTAAGCAAAAGGCTAAGTGCCCTGAGCAAGTAACCTTAATAAACTGCACCCTAACTAGTTAATAATCCTCTTCTTACCTGTTTCTCTACGGATAAAAGGCTTTGTGGTTATTGTATGAAGAATTAATTAGCTTTATACAAAGTTCTCCTTGTTGGCTTACTATTTCAAAGGTCTGTCAATCCCCAGTATAGCTTGTGGCCCCAGTCACTACTCGTGCAACAGGCATTATATCCTCATAGCGGGTATAGAGCGAGGTGGGTGCCCTCGGCTTCATCAAGCTAGGCCCGTTCCCACCTCGGCGCGTCCCAAGCTTTCCAAGATTCGGGGGGCGGGGGGACCCACTTAACTGCGTGCACACCCCTGGGATAAGATAAGTTAAAGGCCTACTACTAGAACAGGGCGCTCTTTCTAACTCTTCTTAAATATTACTAAATCTTGGTTCGGGTTGGGCTAGGGAGGGTTAGGGAGGGTTAGAGTAGTTTAGGGGTCCTTATAAATGGTTTAAAAGTAGTTTTTAAAAAGTATAGACCTGTTAAACCAGCGTGTTTTTCTGGGGGTGTGCACGCAGTTAAGTGGGGACGTACATGCATGTAGTCTCACCTATAATTCTAATCTTATAAGTACAGAAAAAGCTGAGCTAATAAGAATATAACCCTACCACCCTCGCCTACTAATATAAATAATATTTACGTGGACGCTTATCGCCCGCAATGCCTCCATCAGCATCCATCAACCTTCCTCCTTCTCCATCCAATATTACATCCATTCCGTCAAAAATGCTCTCCTCGCTGGCCCTCAGCGGGCCTGTTTTGTTGCTAGCTCTCCTCATCCCACTCTACCTCTACTTCCTCACCCCGTCCCCCCTCCATTACTCAACCATCCTAACCTCCACCCAGCAAACCAACCTAGAAGAAATCGCCACCCTCCTCACACAAATCTACACAACCCTCGCAGAAATGCGCTACCTCGACCCAGCCTCCATCCAACACGGCCCGCACGACCTCTCCCCCCTCTTACCCCTCTACAAGCAACACAACCTCGACCCCTCCCTAATCCACCTATACAGCATCCTCCCCTACATCGGCCCCCCCAGCAGCGGGGTAACAGACTTCTTCCACGGAAGCGACTTCATCGACTTCCGCGACGCTGAGCAAGTCGAAGAGAGCCGGGACCCGTACTACGCGGATCCAGACGGCGACGACTTTGATGCAGAGCATGGGCCGTATATGCGACCCTGGGTGACACCGTTGTCGCAATTGGGGAATCACGGGAGCGTCATCTTGTATGATGCGCGCGCGCATCGCATTTGGATTGTTGATCAGGAGCGGTGGGATAGCACTGATCCGGGCATTAGTGAGGAGGTGCGCAATGCGGCGAAGAGGGGCGCGGGGGCAGTGAGCAATCAGAATGATTTTGAGTATATTGCGAGTCGGCCTGCTGGTGATGTACTGAGAGACATTAACAAGCGGTATCGCGATCTAACGGAATTACCTGGAGGCGGCGGGAATACGGGGCTGGATTGGAGCGATAGGAAGCTGAATCTGCGCGAGCTGTATCAGAGGAGCGGGTGGCCGGATAATTTCGATGGGGATGCATTTGAGGTTGACAAGGCAAGGAGGTATGGATCGATACGAGCGAAGGAGCGCGCTTATGAGCCGCTGACGGATGTGGAGCGGTTTCATGACATGCGGGCGTCACTTGTGGAGCAGATTAGAGGGTTTCGAGCGACGATTGCGAATCCAAAGTCGCTGGATGAGGAGTGGATTGCTCGGTTTGAGCTTTGGAGGGCGGAGTGGTTTCAGAAAGACTTTTTGGTCGACGGGGAGAGGACAGAGGAGATTGCTAAAGTGCGGTGTCCGGAGGGTGTATGTGTGCAGGAGGATGAGCTGGTACTGTGGGAGGCCGAAATCCTTCGACAGGATATCAAGTCGAATGAATGGTTGATCATTAATTATAAGAAGTGGGCTGATGAATCTCGAGAATCCAATTCTGAGCGAGCAGCGAAATTCGATATCGGGGTTCGCGTCAGGGAGAAGGAGGTCGTGGTACTAAAGAGCGCGTACGAAGCTGCACTCGCAGACGCACAGAAAACATGTCCCGGCAAGATATTCGAATCGGCCAGCGGGAAGGATTCACTAGATCCCGAGGATATCCCGATGGGCATCCGCAAGATAAAGGAGGCCATGCCCAGGGCTGAGCTGGAGATCCAGGAAGTGGAGAAGTGGAGGACTCGAATACCGGAAGAGTGCGTGGAAGCCAAAGAAAAGGTCGAGCTGCAGCTGCATTGGCTGACCGCTGAGCTGGATCGCCAACGAGGGCTACTGAAAACGTACGGACTATAAGGGTTTTGTTTAAGGTGGAGGAGTATAGTTGGATGTGACAGGATTGGATATTTATGAATAGGGCTACTGATTTAAGGAAAAGAGATGTATGATTGAGTAACGCAAGATTCCAATAGGCCAACCACGTGCAGACTATGTATTTTTACTACGCCATGGTCTTTTTTTTTTTCAGGCACTTTTCCATGAACAAAGACAATCCGGCCTTGTGTTCCCAGCAAACCCTCATTAACCAAGATATACTGCTTGCTCATCCAGCTCGCCCTCGCCTCCTCCATCTCCTTGATCCGCTCCTCCGTCATTATTCCCTCTCTGGGTCTCTGCCCGGGTATCCTCGACTCCGTCTTGTCCTTGGAGATCCCACCCAGCGATGCTGATCCCGACAACTGAGTGATATCAATGGAGCTCTGACTGTCGGATGCTAGTCAGGGTCTTCCGATACTCGTTCTTGTAGAAATTGACAATCTCAGTACTTTCCTCTTTCCCATATTATACAATATGAGCCTGTAAGCTTGTTAGATCTTCTTTCTATAGAATAGCTTCCTCTAATTTAGCAGGTAGTTCTTGAGGCAGCCTAACCTCCTAAAATTAACTATATCCTTGAAAGTATTCTATATAATAAGTCTCTTCTTTCTCGTCCAAAACATTACTAACAGTATTAATCAATGAACAGTACACCTGGTAGTATGTTAGATATATTCTCTCACTTCTATATTTATAGATCTGGGATACAGGTGTAGAACCATGTCTTGCTATATAGTTCTAGCTATACTTCACTGAAAAAGCCAGTATTATAACTTATATCTGATCTTTTGCCAAGAGACTGGTGGACATTATATATTATAGTATATTTCAAATATCCAGCCATGATAAGGATATTATAGAGGAGATTATAAAATCACTGCTTGTCAAGTACTGCCTCCTGAGGGCCTTCTTTAGTAATATTTCTGAAAACAGGCCGATCCAAGGCAGTATCTTCCTAACGAAGCGGAGTCTCCGTGTATTACCTGTTATAAAGGTTGTATTTAGCTAAATCCTCTATTAACTGAATACCAAACAGCCCTTGCTTTCTTATGTTAGTCAACGAAGAGATCAAATTACGAATAGTAAGAAAGCAAACATCTGTATATGCACAATACAAGTTGAGAAGACAAAAGGAATGAGATATTGGTTGCTTGATGAGCTTGAAAGCGTAACGGAGACATCCTTTTTATACCTTTGCCAGAGCTATTATGGATAGCAACAATTGTGCCCGGTGAATTTCGCCATGAATTTCGCCACTTGAGAGTCTTCCAACGCCCCATCTCAATTATGGTTGCGTCATATAAAACATGCATATTGGAGGAGATGGGTATTGTAGAGTCGGTCAAATTCGGCATCGTTGTCGGGCTAAAGGTACACAATAGTGGGGGTATGACCAGCTCAGTGCGCAAGTGACTGATGACTGACCCCGCTGTGAGTAGACCTGAGCGCTCTCTGAGTCTTGATCGGTGATGAGAAATACTCAGTGAGCGACCCCTGAGCGCCCTCATTAAAGCGGCCTCATCCAAACAGGGAAAGTCACGTTGTTCTAGATAACCAAGTCTGTATAAGAACCTAACTAAGATGCTACATACTATTCAGATACAACAACATCCTTATCAAATTTCTCCGGACATACTTCATTTGCCCGTGTTCATCCACCAAATAACCGCCTGAGAGTAAACCCACGCCTTCACTGAGACTTCCTATCCATGCACAGCCTGCGCGGTATTCAGAGCCTCCCAATCAATCGCAGGCCCAGAGAATCTCTTCCTCCGCTCTATCCAACACACCAGAACGATCGCAATAATTCCACAGAGGACAGCCGAGTTACTAAAGAACAGACCAAGCCCGCCAGTTAATTAAACCCAAAGAATATACTGCTGTATGATTTCAACGTACTAATTCATATTCCCCAACGTAGGCGGGTTCTCGGTGGGAAAGCAAAAGAAGACACCACTAATAATGAGCCAGCCCACAGAGAAAACATTCACTGCGTACCCGGCATACCCTAGATCGTAGTACCGTCTTGGAAGCCGACCCCGTCCACATGTAGCCAGGATTCCCTGCGGCACTGTATATGTAATGTTGAGCACCAGGACGGCGGTGTTGATGATTGAATTAAAGGCCTGCGTGCTCGCTATATACAGCAGGCCGTAGATGGCGCAGAAGCCGGCGGAGAGAAGTGTTGCTCGGACAGGGATACGTCGGTTCTCGTCTATCTTTGCCCAGTAGCTTGAGAAGGGGAGGCCGTTCTGATTTAGGTTGGACTGGTCAGGTCTGCTCTGTACTGTAGGTACGGCTGAGATTTATTATATGTGTCCTTGTACTCACATCTCGCGAAAATGCCCATGTCATTCGACTGCTTGTAATCCACTGGCTGGGGACGCAGGCTAATTGATGTCATGTCAGTGCCCGTGCCGTAGATTAATGTGTATGCATCTCTGGTCTCACTGTAGTATACGAATGTCAGGTACACCTGGAGAACAGCCGCTGCAGCCTTGTTCCCAGTCGCCTGGTAGAACAGCTCCAAGCTGGGCACGAATGCATTCTGGACCGCTTCGATGTCTTGGATACTGCAGGTCATTGCAATAATCCAAGGCACGAGGGTAAGCACTCCGATCAAAATGGTCATATTTCTAGACCTCTTTAGCCACCACAGTTCAACGTAACTGACGCTGATTTGGGAGGGTCACTAACATAACAAGCGGGATCCTGCGGTTCGGCTTGGGAACCTCCTCCGAGATATGGACGCAAGCCCCTGCAGCGACGAATGCGTATTCTCCATTTCCGATCCCTAACAGCCATCCTACTCCAGGGCCCCAGCCGCTGGTCCGACTGGAATTTAGGATGGTACCGGGGTGATAGTTCCCTCTGCCCATGACCAGGCAGACGATGATGACGAGGAACATTCCGATAATGGAGAGACACATGGATGTTTTGGTCATACCTTCGATGCGATGCTGAGGAATCACGAATATAGGTAGTACTAACATTGTGAGTTTATATCTTGGAGTTCATAGGTCCGTTTGCCATACGAGTGAGGAGGATAACCAGTAGATAGCATAAATATACCTGCCACTGCGTCCCTGCAAACCCGGGGACTAGGAACTCGCAGATCCCAAATGCAGAAATGGCTGTATAGATCGTGCCCGATGCCGTATTGATCCACCATGCAATAACGTTAATCATCCCGACAACATAGGCGGCGACGTTCTTGAATCGGTCGGGTGCTATAATATATGTGTAGTGGTACTGGCCCTGGTGAGAGAAAGCACGCTTATCAGCCTGCCACTGGAAACAACCCGGGCGTACACTTACACCAGAAGATGGGAATGCAGACGCGAGCTCCGAGACTCCTTGAAGCATAATCAACTGTGTCAGAGCGGAGAGGATGGGGCTGAATACTGCAACTAAACCTCCACCGTAGCTAAAGGCTACCCCGAAGCACGCAGCATAGGTCAACCAGGAGTTGACAATACTGGGAAGGGTCAGTCGTATATGATGGGTGAAAACTCAATAGAACCACGGACCTAAATGCCAGCCCAAGTGCACCCACCCAAGAGAACGACCGCTTGAGTTCTGCATCGTGGCCCTGGGCTCGTAGGACGGCCTCATCCAGGTCAATCAACTCACCTAAGCCTTTGGAATCACTCTGGGCGTATTCTTCATGTTGGGGGGCGTCGTCCTTCATGATACTGGTGTTTTGAGAAGCAGGGTGGATGCTCATGACAGGTATAATATGTAGAGAGGCCAAGGACTGTTAGACAGGGGAATAGATTCTACATCGGGTCTTAATACCATCCGATAGCTTGCCTCCATTACCCCTTGGGCCGAGCCAATTACCACCAGGGTGACATCCTAAAACGGACTCGTGCTCTGCAGGAGACTGGGGCCAGCAATAACACCCTCCAAGAGGATATTTAGATTACTGCCCCTCTAATGTTGGTAGATAACTAGATCCACCAGCGCTGTGGCAACCCCAGAATGCGGGGAAAGACACCCCGGCTCAGACTTTTAGCTCTACTGAAGCCTAGCTTTCAATCCTGCTGACCTTGCTTTCCTATCTAGGTAAGCTCGGGACCGTTCCAATTGATTCAATGGCCGGAATCCAGTCTATGCGTGCTCTACCGGCAGTATCTGTTATGAATACCGTTTATTTGTTACCTCTTAGTAGTACTAGTATGCACAAGGAGTGTCGCTACGTCAGTACAGGTCCCGGGAAGGGTTATCAATTATCTGGGCCTGCGATTGATTGGGATGGGAGGCTCACTAAGCTACGGCCGTATTCATATTTCCTGCCATATTGACTCCTTTGTAAAAGTGCAGTCTTTACAGGTGCGAGATGCTGTCATTACCTACCCAGGCCTTTGATATCATGCCCAAGCCGTCCTTCAACCAACCAGTCTCCAGCGTGGCATTGTAATCGAATCCGTGGTCTCCATCTTGGATATACACTATATGCTCGACCCTCTGCAGCAGACTTGCAAACTTCGTGGTGCCCTCAGCTGGAACCGCAGAGTCCTGTTTCCCGTGGAAAAGAAACAGTGGAGGTAAATCCAACCGTCCCAAAGCCGCAAGACGCTCGACCCTCTCCAAAGGGAAGAACCGCGGATCTTCACCATCCCCATCCCCAGCCCCCAGAAACTCGAGCAGGCGCCCGTTCTGGAATATTGAAAACGCCAACCTCAGTCGCTCCGGTGGATCTGCCGCCGTGACAATACTCGGTGAACGCGATCCCCTGAGCGCAGCCAGATGGGTTTCGATAATATCGCTAGGCACATTTGGGACACCGATTATCGGCTTCGCATATGCCTCCGTGTAGAACGGCGATTTTAGATCGAGAATTGGATATGCACCTATCAAGGCGCGAATGTGGGATGGGTAGCTGAGGGCGAGTTGCATAGCCAGATATCCGCCTTTTGACTCCATCCAAATGGTAAGCTGGAAGCCGTGATGTGGGAGCAGGAGCCGGGAGTACAGCCCAAACTTACCGGCACTTTCGCCCACAAGAAGGGTCTTGTCAATATTTGGCTTGATATTGTCGTAACCAGCCTTCTGGATCGCTTGGTCCATAGCTCCACTGCGCAGCCACGCCCAAACATCATTGATGTCTTCCAGAATATCACTCCCGCTTGCTTCGGGGAGGAGGCGGTAGTTTGGCGATACTATAATGGCGTTGTTTTGAATGGCGTATTCAAGAATCCAATCTGAGAACCATGGGGGATAGAGGCTAGAGCCAGTGACCTGCGAGGTCGATCAGTCATACTGTGTTGTTATAATCAATCGCAAAGTGTAAGAACCGTACCAGGAATCCGCCGTGGATGCGAACTATTATAGGGCAACTTGGACCTGTCTTTTGACAAAGAAGAGTCTGGGGGATGAGAATGTCGGTGTCAATTCCCCTGCCAATGTCGAGTATTTTGTAGTTGGTGTTTATCGTTTTAAACGCGCCATACTTGTCAACATTTAATGCCGACAGTGACAGCATCAGCTTGGAGAATGGGTCTGTGGTTTCTGGTGTCATTCTGCTCAATGGGTGCAGGTGGAACAAAAGGTCCTCCTACAACGAGATTTCCGGGGCGCTTATCGTTGGCTTATATAGTCATACATTGGCATTATTACATTTCAAACTTTTACGGCCAGAAAGAGCATCCAGCGAACTGTTCGAGGACAAACCAAGACCGAGGGAATGAACCCTTACAAAATATGTTACAATTGAGAACCCGGTTGGACGACCAGACTCTCCGCTTCCCTGATGAGGGATCATGAGAGTCTTTCCAAAGTTGCATTGAAAATGGGTCAAATTTTGCCTCGGTATGATTTCTCTAGGTTGACTACCCCGTGTTCCCAGTCCCGCACAATCCGAGAAAGGGGTGCTGGGTAGGAGGCTAGAACTGCGAATACGAATATTCCTATTGAGTAAAGGTACGTTATAGCCCCAGCTCCAGTAGCTGTAATGCCGAGGGCCCCGCCGGACTATTGCCGTGGGGTGGAGACCGCCGATGAAGCCCTACAGATTACCGTATTAGGAAGGTGGGAGTTGGCAAGAGTGAGGACCGTGCAACTGAAATTTGGAGACCCGGAGGCCCCGAACGCTCCATACTGGTATAGTTCTTGTGCGCGCCTTTTAGCTGGATTTGGACAGTATCTCGGTGGCACTGGCCATCCCCTTAGTCTTGTGCTCCTTGACTACGTGGGAGGACGATGGCTTATACGAATGAGGGTAAGGCATCTGCTAGAAGATATAGAAATACTGCATATAAAATATTTCAACTACTGAAAGCTCTATTCAAGGGTAGACTTGAAACTCAGAGGTTAGATCCCTTGCCTGCATGGCCATCTCCATATGCAATCTCGAAGCTGAAAGCCGGGTCGTAATGCATTGCCCAATATGTATCCCAGATCCTCTTTGTGACTGGGCCAACCTTGCCATCATTGACCGGCTTATCATCGATAATGGTAATGGGCATAATCCCACCGGCAGTGGTGGACATGAAAACCTCCTCAGCATCATAGACCATCTGCACCGGAACAATCTCAACATGTATTTCCAATCCATTCATCCGTGCCGCGTCAATTACACTCTTGCGCGTAATTCCTTCCAGGACGCCACGCGAGGGAGTATACAGCTTGCCGTTCTTCACCAGGACAACATTAAATCCTGATCCCTCGGTCAGGTTGGTATCGCCATCCGTCAGGAACGAGTACGTTGCACCACGATCAGCAGCCTCAAAGAGTCCACGGATGAGATCCCCCCACTGCAAATTCTTGACTGTCGGATCAATCGAACCAGGAGGTGTTCGGCGGACGGTACGTGCAATAATAGCCCGGCCACCTGCTGGCTGGATCTCCGGCTCCATAACCCAAACGTAGGGCTGGATAAACATGTAAATGCGGTTGACAATATCCCTGGGATCGGTGCCACGAACACCCTTCAGACCGCGCGTAACGATGATCTCGACAAAGGCATCGCGGATGCCTGACTTGGCGACCATGTCCACTAATACTTTCTTGACTTCGTCGCGCGGGAGAGGCATCTTCAGGCGGAGCTTTTCGCAGCTTGCTTCGAGGCGTGCGAGGTGCTCGTCGAGGCGGAAGAATCGACCGTCCCATACGGATGGGACGTCATATGTGAGGTCGCTGTGCATGAAGCCTTGATCTAGGATGGGGATGCGGGCTTCGTGGAGAGGACATAGTTCGCCTTCGATCCAGGCGACTCCTTGGGCGAGGGGATTCTTGCTCTGCGCGAGGACTGCCTGGCGGGCCTGGTAGCCGGCGAAGACCGTTTCCATTGTAGTCATGTTGCTGGGTTTGACAGGGTTCGGATGTTGGTAGAACGAAATGGTTCAACAAGGTTTCGTATCGCAGGTTATGAAGTATCTAGGCGGGAGTTGTTCTTGTAGTTAAGACTCCTGCTACGAGATCGACCAAGAGAGCTGGCTATGACATCTGCATGTATCCTCACATTCCGTAAATGGTAATTCGCATATACCAAATCTGGTAACTAAGAACAAGACATGCAAAATACGAATCGAAGGAAACACAGTATAGGCACACGCAATGTGTCACTAGCTACTCCGAAGCATCAAAAGGTCTTTGATGATCCCTCTTAGACCCCTTTAGCTGACGCGTATTTGGAAATTCGCATGGATATCGAGGATTATCTGAGAGACGCCGCCATGTCTACAAAGAACGTCGTCATTATTGGGCACGTTTCCCACCACCCAGCTGTGTCCGATCAAATAGGTTAACTTCTTAACAGGGCCGGAGTGGCAGGGCTGACCACAGCACTACTCCTGTCAAGAAAGCCCGGTTACAAAATCCTGGTGGCCGCGAAACATATGCCGGGGGATTATGACATCGAATACGCTTCACCATGGGCGGGCGCGAACTACATGCCGTATGCACGCAGTACTTTTAGCGTAGTGAACACCTATTTGCTAACCAAATTTATCCAGTGTTTCCATGTCCGGGACCGCTGCAGCCGAATGGGATAGAAGGACCTGGGGCCCATTAGCAGACCTTGCAGCCAACCACCCTGAAGCGGGAGTTCACTTTCAGGGTATGCTATACCACCATACGACGCGCAGGATATTAACGTGCAAATGAAAAGAATGTCACATCCACACCCGGGCAAAGGACAAAGGCTCCACAACGGCAAACTGGTTTTCCGAGTTGTTGTCGCCCAACCCGTGGTTCTCAACGGTTGTTCCAAACGTGAGCCCCTCTATACCAGCGCTCTATAAAGCTATATTCACAGTGGGATACAGTTCCGATCTCTACCAAAGGAGTCACTCAGACCTGGGATAGACTCCGCTACGTCCTTCACCTCCGTCTGTATAAACACAGCGATTTACCTCCCCTGGCTCGTCTCGCAGTGCCTAGCCAACGGGGTGATCTTCAAGCGCGCCCTATTCGAGCACGTCCTCGATGCCAGCTACCCAAACTTCCACCCATATGGAACGGCGGACATCATCGTAAACTGCACGGGCTTGATGGCGTCAACGCTCGGGGGCGTCCAGGACAAAACCGTTGTTCCCGCGCGAGGCCAGATTGTCGTTGTGCGCAACGCGGCCCCAAACATGGTCAGCATGTCTGGTACTGACGATGGCGATGCTGAAACCTGCTACATAATGACCCGTGCTGCTGGCGGGGGCACAATTCTGGGCGGCTCATATCAGAAGGGGAGCTGGGAGTCCCAGCCAGACCCGAGCCTTGCTGTGCGGATTATGGAGCGGGCTGTGGAGGTGTGTCCGGCATTGGCGGGTGGTAAGGGCATTAAGGGCTTAGATGTTATAAGGCATGCTGTTGGGCTGCGTCCTGTGCGTGAAGGTGGGAATCGCATTGAGAGGGAACAGATTGGCGGCGTATGGGTTGTGCATAACTACGGGGCTGGGGGCGCTGGGTATCAGTGTTCGTATGGCTGTGCGCAGGCCGCGGTTGATTTGGTTGATGAAGTTGCTGGGTTACGTGCTAGATTGTAAGGCAAGTCTAGAACATGTAACGAATATATAACAATCATTCGTTGAATATCGACAAAAAACAGGTTGGGCCATTGAGATTGTCTTACACTGAACCACCGCACCGTTCAACAGCGCAGCACAAATACGGCCTCTAGACGAATCTCTGCTTTACAGTGTGTATCTCTATTCAGGAGCAAGAATCACTCCCAGCAACAAACGTCCCATCCGAGTTCTCACACCCACACTCTCCCGAATTCGGGTCCTTGATGCAAGTCGTTCCATACCCACTCTCCTCCCCTTCGCTACCCCAGTAGAAGACCCAGTAATCGGAGTCCTCCTCGAGGGCATCGCTAGCGGGCGCTTCACAGGTATACGCGCTGCAAGTACCGTAGGGAGCACCGTTGTTCTCGTCGTACTGGTGGTCGGTCTGGAAGACGGCGAAGGTCTGGGTTTCGGAGGTGCGGGTGTTGTGCGAGCACTCGGCTGCCTGGATTGCGGTGGACACTTTGGCGCCTGCCTGCCTTTAGGAAGTGTGTACTATCTGTCAGGAGGGTGAGACTCACTCTCGCAGTTGAGGTTGCTGGGCTTCTTGCCCTTGGTGTTGGATGAGGCCGGGTCAAGGGTGGCCGTGACGAGAGCTGGGGCGGCGAGGGCGGCTAGGACGGTAACGAAGTGCATATTGAACAGTAGGCCGGATAGTGAATAATTGCTGTTCAGTTGATACTGCGAAGCTGGGGTTATATAGGGTGGGAGAACCGGTCTAGACCAGGGCAAAGTCCAGACCGCAGGCTGAAACAAGTGGGAACTTGTCATTTCAGGACGTTTGCGGGCCGGTCCCAGCAGAATACGCAGGCTTGTCTCATGTTTGAGCTTGAAACGACGCAAGAACCGACCGTGGTCGCAGGTATAGTATGTGGATTTAGTGTTGGTGTACGCCAGATAGTATTCTAGACGTCTCATGGATCTATCAAGACTTGGTTACAAGATCCCTTGCCAGATTGAAGATGATCTGCCGCGACTTTTCAATGTCCTCTGGTGCCTTTCCCCGGTGCTCCTTGAGCCCACTGCATGGCTTTTCGAGAACCGACCAGATTTCAACGAACTTGCCATGCGGAGACTGACCGGCACCCAGGTTCTTAAATGCTTGTTTCATGGCCTTAACATCTCGCAGCCTGCTCACGTCCCTGCTATTCAGGACATCCATCTGGCCCGCATCGAGAGAGTATTTGGCGCCAATAATAGCGAGCCAGAGAATCAACGCAGCCAGCCCCGAAGCCAACGCCGTTGAAACCGACGAGCCAGTGCATGATTTATCGTCATCAAGACCACGGAACCGGATGTGGCGATTATTTGCTCGCACAACGTCGACTCCGGGGAAAATGTAGTCGACGTTATTCCACTGCACCAGGCCGTAGGCATGGCCGTCTGCCTGCGAGGCCCCTATACGGAAGAGCTTGTCGGGCCCCCATGCGGTGGGATAGTGGTCGCTGGCAAAGTTGCCTTCGTCGGGCGAGGAGCAGAACATGAGGATATTCTTCTCCTCGGCCATGGCCAGGACTTTGTCGAACTCGGTTTTGGTCTTGCCCTTGGGCGGCTCTACTGTCCAGGACATGGAGATGACATGGACATCCTTTGCAACTGCTGCTTCGATGGCCTAGAGAACGTTACATTAGTCGCCATTGCAGCTATAGAAGAATCGAGCACACGTACGCGTATTGCCGACTCTGGCAAAATCCTGGACGACTGCGTCCTGGGATCCCTGGTCGTTTCTAGCCTGATCGGATATATCTTGGCCATAGGGCACACCGACAGAATCATATGAGCCATCACAGTGCCATGACCCCGGTCCGATACATACCACTGCTTCTCGCGCTGGTTTCGATCGTGACCATACGCAGCAAAGCTCTTACCATGCAGGATCCTTTCGCGGAACTCCTTTTCCAAAAGGTCAACCCCGTCGTCAATCAGGGCGACCCTGATTTCGTCGCTCATGTGGGACGCGCGCCAAATGTTTGCCATCAGCGCTTTCAGCTCGATGGTAAACTTGTCGATGCTCTTGAGCCATTTGTGCACTGTCACTGTGGAGTGGGATGTGCTATGCCCCTCCGCACTCGCCGTGATCCCCGCGCCTTCGCGGCCGTCCATGTCCAGGGCCGGGGCTTGCTTTGGGATCACTTTGATTTTGGTTGATAAATCAGCGGATCTTTTACTCTTTTTCACGGGCTCTGATACGACCTCCTCGGTACTAGCCTTTGGCCCAGCAGTGTCTGGGACAGGCAAAGGGGTTTGGATCCGCTTTATAAAGTCGTCAACCTTGGTATTTGATCTATGGCAGCTCTTATCTCATTTAGCAGGAAGCAAGAATGAAAGGTCGGGTACACACCTGGTCATAGTACAAGTAAATCCGTTCTAGGCTCTTGAGCATCGGAAGACCTGCAGGCTCAGCCCAGGCTCGCAGGATTGCATTGTTGCCACCCCAATACAGATGCAACTCTCTCACATCCGGGCAAGCACTGTACAGCATCTCAGGATCTAAATCTGGCTTGGACCAGTCAAGTACGTCTACCCGGAGACCAGACAGACAGGCCTCGATGGCATCGTCTGCGTGTGAATCTTTGGTGTCTTCCACAATGAGGTTAATTATATGCTTCACCTTCTTATCCTTGAGCCAACTGAAAAAGAACAGAAGATCCTTCCGTCCCCTGGTATTGGACTGATAGACTTCCTTGAGTTGTTTAATGGTCTCGCCGCGAGGGTCCTGGGTCTGTCGCAGGTGCACAGTCGGGAACTCTACGTACTGCAGCACTTCGTCGAATCGAGTCTGCTGGAAGTTGTCGTAGAAGGTGGTTGGGTCTGCATTTTCAGTGGGCAGGCCACGGTAGTCGAAGTAGAGCTGGATATCTGTATTAAATGAGCAATGTTCTACATATAATGCCATCCATGGTACATGCCGTCTGGGTTCGAGCCATAGAGAAAGCGAACAGCCTGGGTAACACTCCTGGTTCGCAGGCAGTGTAGTTTCAATTCGCTGCGTATCTCCTCCGAGTACTTTTCTAGCTTGAGCTTGCCCTGGTCTTTGTCCCTACTGGTGCTTTCCTTCTTCATGCCTGCCGTGGCACTCGGTTTACCCTCCGTTGTCATATTCATGGTACTCGAACGACGCAGGCCGGGATTGAGCAGTTCTTCCTCCCTTGGCTCTTCTTGAGTCTCTGCAGCCGTTCGGATGGCGCCTATGTTGGCCCTGTCCCGTGTAGGCGTCTGCTGTGAGTTGCCAACTGATCGATTGGGACCCCGGGTGTTCTTTTCGGCTTTGCTGGACTCCTTCCGGCTGGGCTTATTTGCTTGTCGGCTGGAAGTGGCTGGTGGCGGTCTCATTTCCTCTCTGGTTTTCATATGATATTGGTACACAGACAGCTCCTCATTGTCTACCTGGACGTACGTATCAAGAGCATATGCGCAGCCAGACGATACATCATCCGTCCGCTCTCCGGATTCCCCTCTCGCAATTAGGGCTTTGATGATCTTCAGACTGCCCGAGCTCGAGTGTTCGTATTTGGCTGCGCGATGCAGCGGCGTCCAGTTATTCTTCTCAGTTGCGTTTACTGCGTCTGGACTGGCATATTTAATCATCGACGTCAGGAGAGACGTGCTGTGAATCCGATGCTTCAGTGCTAGGTGCAGGCAGTTATCCTTCTTGGCTGTGCATGCAGCCGCAATTCCCGCTCCAAGCAGCGCCCTGTCAATCGTATTCCTTGAGGGTCTGGAGATAAACAGGTCCTGCTTCAGTAAATCGATGCGTTTCGCATTAGGACTGGTCAGTGCGAGGTACAGAGGAGTTGCACGCTCGGAATTGTGTCTTGTCCACAACTCCGGGCGAAACTGGATCGTGCATTGGATCGCCTTTACCAGGTTCTCCCTCTCTCTGTCGTTCTCATAGTCCGTCGTTATTAGCATATGCAGGACGGTATCTCCCCTTGTCTCCGAGGCGACGCCTAAATTGGGCCAGCGGTCTGAATTCTCTCCAAAGGCCTTTTCCGTGTCGATGTCGGCCCAGTCTTCCTTCTTGAACGCTTTAATGGAGGTCACGATTTCCTCCAGCTCGCTGTGGTTTTTATTCGAATAGCGCTGTGATTTTTCCTCTTCGTCCATGTCCGACTCGTTGCTAGAGCCGTCCGACTTGTCATCTGAGTCGCTCTGATTCTCTGATAGTGTGGCGCTAATCGCATGCGGTTCGCCATAGTTTCTACCACCCTGTGCTGGAGCCTCCCCCTCTAGTACTGATAGGTCTCTTGCGCTGTCCATATTTCGCCTTATTTGCAGTCTCTGGAATGGAGGCTGTATGTTCTGATGTAGAGTCGCAAGGAACCGCAGCCGAAAGAGCGTTTCTGGGAGGCCAAACGAACGCTTCGGGGGACAGAAGAAACCCATCAAATGATCCGCTTTGCTTTTCTGACTTAGCGGTAATATTGTCTGACTATAGGCTGTATTGCATTGTATTCGCGCTTAGGCCTATTACAGACCCTGTTAACTGGGGGTCAGCTGAAAACGATTCCTGCAGATGGCCAGTGATATCAAGGACAGCACTACGGAAACAATTGAGCCTGCAAGCCACCCTCGCTGCGCCCCTAGCTGATCTTCCTTGTATAGCCAATTATGGTCTGAAGGAAAAGGTGTTTGTTTGCTTTAAGCAGAGCTTCGTGCGCTGGCATGGAAAGAACTCCTCCACGAGGGGCCAAGAACTTCACCAATAACTTCAACTCCATCGATACTACTTCCTCTACTTCCGATCGACGTCTACATGCTTGATAGCCCCGGAGATGACCGTGGTAAAGGTAACATCGTCCACTTCTGCGAGATCACCACCACCCCCCAAGTTCAGCACGTTGTACTCCCTCAGCCTGTTCGTGGCCTTCATTCCGGGATGGAAAATCACCGGATCGTCTCTGGGCTTCTCTCCAAGGAATCGCTTGATCTTAGACTTCAAGTCCACATCGGTATTAATCTCCACGGTGCACCGGAACTTCGCCTGCGCGGGCCGCTGCAGCAGCACACCTACGCGCAGATACACCGGCACCCCCGTCCCCATCGTCTCATTCTCCCTCAGCTTCCACTGCACCGCATTATCCGGATCATAATCAACTCCAAGCATGCATGACGACCCGCTAATGTACGTAGCATCCGACGTCTGGCGCGTCACCACCTTCTCGTACTTCCTGTCCAGGGTAACTTGAGCCGCGTTCAGCACACTCCCGGAGACACTCCCACCCGTGCCCCGTGTAACAGACTCCGTCTGCGTCGTCTCAAGCAGACGATATGTCCCATTAAACGAATGGTCCATCACACCGGGGTGGTCCTCATCATCGTACTCTCCCAGAAAGGTAACCGTGATCGTAGCCGCCTTGATATGCCCGCTGCCGTTGGAACCGCGGTCGAACCGGAACCCAAACACGACGAGGCTGGCGTCTTCGCTTTGGCTCTCTGGCGAGTATTTTCCGTGTGCGACGTCCACGAGTGAGCATTTGACGCTCACCCCGCGGCGGTCGTCGTGGATAGTCTCGCGCTGGAAGGGACGGGCTGGGTTGTTGCGTGCGTCGAAGTGGAAGCCTCCTTCGCCATCGTCTGGAGCGAGCTGGATGTTAAAGGATGGTAGAGAATCCTCAGTGTTGTCGCTGAATGCCATGTTCGAAATTGGAGCGGGATGTGTGAAGACAGCTTGGAGAATGGGTAGAATAGAGATGCTGGAGACCGTACTGATTATACCTACACTGGACATCTTGAAGACCAGTAGGACTGCCAACCTGGCAGTTCTATGCAGCTTCGCTGACACCGGGCGTGGAGCTCACAAGATAGGCTAAAGTCTGACACGCAGCACTATAGCCAGGCATGTAGTAATATCTGCGTATTGCCAAGGGATACGGGTGTTCGTACCCCTGGCCCGCGCCCAGTACGTAGCATGCACAACCTATCAATATTATCTGCAGGGATTGCCAAGTGACGAATGACTCGTAAACTGTGCGACATCCCTCATCGCAGTCCAGGCAGCTCAACCCGTTCTTTCTCATCATCGTCGAGCCACCATGTCGGACCTGGAGCAGCCTGTCGCTCCCACAGAGGAAAACAGGCCATCAACACAAACAGCAGGCCAGGATCAACCTATCCCAGATGTATTGGAGTCCGCCCCGAAGCTGCATCTCCAGGATGAGGAACCATCCGGGCTCGTCACGCTCAGGGAAGGAGTCTCAAACACGTAAGCCGCCATACACTACATCCTGGGTCTCAGACGAACTCACTGGGTATGACCCCGTGGCAGCTATGTTGTTCTGGTACAAGGGATTGCCAACCGGGAGTGGAAAGCCCAGAAGCGATGGCAGACCTGGATGGCCTGGTTTGATAGCATGGGGTTGAAAGACGACCACACGATCAAGGCCTATTATTATGACATCACGAGCGAGGATCCTGGGATTTTCAACGTGGATGGAATTGAGAAAGAGTCAAGAAAGTTACTCGAAGACCTTGCGGGAGGTAAGCTTTATCTAATAGCCTTGATATATATATGGTCTGACCTTTTGGGCAGGTAAGACAGAAAAACAAGATCCCAACAGGAGATATATATTCATAGCCCTGGACATTGGCGGAATAATAGTCAAGAAAGTGAGACTACACCCCTTTCTTAACAAAGTATCTAACCCCCTTCTGCGGCTCAGGCCCTCATCCTTGCCAGCATGGCGCCGACCATGTACGGCGATCTGGACTATCGCACGTCCGGTCTGGTAGGTCCATCCACCGACCAGAGCAATTTCGATGAAACCTTTAACATGATGATATGGTTAGATATTTGCCAGCTGTCCACACAGGCCTGCTACGATCGAGGAAGCAGAGGACTATATCGGAGAGCTCCTCTCACTGAACTCGTGCTTCCCCCCTGATTGTGTGCGAAAGATCAGGGAGCTGGCACGGACAGTTCAGGCTATCAACAGGGACTTCCTCGAAACAAAGTATCTAATTCGAGCACTGATTTGCAATATCGTGTCTCCGAGGGCCAGAAGCATCATGAGGGATACGGTGTCTGTTGTCAAGGGCAAAGACGAAGACGATGATAGCGATAGCGACAGTGATAGTAGTGAAGAGGTGACCGCGGAGAAGGACACGGTAAGATAGCGCCAGATGCGCTGTGGACCCAGTAATAACAGGGTTTGCCAGGGTTCATATACCGCTCCACCTAGCCTCGTAGGGAGGAGCTGCTCGTGGTTCGCAATTCCATTCGAGCTTGTCCTTCACACCCAGATGTCATACCTAGAGATCACTACAGCATCGTCCAGCTCCGAAGCGGAACTACTATCTGGAAAATGCCTCGACAGGCTCAAATCGGCCCTTAACACTGCCCGAAAAGCCCACATGGATATGGGCATGCACTGCGTCGCTCTATCCCGCGCGCCGCCTCTGTATCCCCCGAAGCGTCAGCTATACGAGACACCATCGGGTGACTCTCCTGACGGGATTCTAACGTCTGAACCGTATAAGCAATGGTTGAATTACGGTGGAACCTGCGTTCTCCATTTACATGGGATATCTGGCGTCTCCGCCATCACACAGCAGCTCACCGAGAGTCTCAACAGCTCAAAAGATAGAGAACGCGGTGCCGTTCTTTTTGAATTCAATCATCGCGATATACGATTCAGGAGCATGAAGGCCTGCTTCTCATATATCCTTGCCGTCTTGAGCAGCCGCATTGGTGAGCTTTATCCAGAACTTATCCGTGAACTTATCCAAGACGCGTACTGCGAGCACGACGGGAACCTAGATGACCTCTATGCGGTCCTCGCGCGCATGCAAATGCAGCCTGAGGTTCGTGGTTTGACATTTATTCTCAGCCGCGTGGACGAGTGTGATGAATCATGGGCATGGATGGTGAAAAGGCTATCGGTGCGGAGCCATCGCCATCGATATCCGTTTTCCTGGATTATCAGCAGTCAGGGAAGTGACGCTATCAAGGCTGAACTGTCCGGATCGCCGGCGATTGATATGGACGGGTGTGGTCTGACAAAGGACTTGCACCTTGGGACATCGCAGAGTCATTTACACCTGCATTCCTACCTGGCCTGCGGGTTTCAACCGTTCAGTGAGGGAGAGCTGGCCATTCTCGCTTCACTGCAAGGAGACGCCATACAGGATAAGGAACCCCATGCCGCCATGGCGTGGATCTGTCTGAAGTATCTGAGAGATCCAGCAGTGCAGGATCAGATGTTGGCCTTTTGCAACCACAGAGCCCTAACTGGACCGCCGCTGTACACCGACCACGAGAATCTAATTTCATACGCCACGTCGTACTGGCCACTCCATTACAAGCTTTCTGGCGAGGACCGCCCATTCCAAAGCGCGGTTGACTTTTTCAATGACCGCCAAGCGCGAATAACCTGGTCCAGCGTGCAGTATGTGCTCTGTAACTCGGGGTCCTGGTTAGACCGCTGCTATTTGTCTCCACTGCCTCTCATGGCGATGCACGGATTGGATGACCTGGTCTCAGAGTGGCTGCACCGGGAGAAAAGCTGCGAACTTTTACAAACAGACGGCGCGCTCGCTGCTCGTGAAGCAGCGCGCGGGGGCCATGTCTCTACTGCTAGGTTGTTATTAGCAGCGGTGGACCTGAACGAGTCCGCGCTTGCCGATGTCCTCACCGCAGCAGCGTCCTTTGGAGAAGGTGGAATGATACACGAGGTCGCTTGTATAGCTTCCAATATCGACGGATTCCAGTGGCCCAGGTTCCTGCTCCACCGGCTAGCCTTCCTGGGCTTATATGACACGGCGAAACTCCTCCTGGACTCGGGGGTGCGGGTGAATACGCCGAAGCCAGATGGTTGGACTCCTCTACACTATGCCTCCTCCTTCGACCGTACGAAGACCCTCCAGATACTGCTAGAAGCGAGCCCAGATATCGACTACAGGGATGAGGATGGGTACACTGCTCTCCACTTCAGTGCCCGCGTGGGAAGCCCCGACAGCATAAGACTTCTCCTTGAGGCCGGTGCCGCTATCGACGCTCAAACAGATTACGACATGACGCCTCTCCAATTAGCTCTGTATTGGGGGAATATTGGCGCGTTCAAGATACTACTCGAATCCGGAGCGGACCCAAACCACGGCAAAGAGGACCAATATGACGCACACTCGGAAATGAAGCCTCTCTTCTACTGTGCTTGGTATGGACTCACCGAAGAGACTAAGCTACTATTAGCGCACAATGCCGATATCAACATCAAGTACTGGTCGGGGGAGTTGTCTGCGGTACACTTTGCGGTCTGCGGTGGTTACGTAGAGGTGGCGGCGCTTCTGTATGAGAGCGGAGCGGATCCGAATGAAAACCCTAAGAACTGGGATTCTGTTCTATTGGCAGCCGTTGATGACCCAGACCAGGCAACGAGCCTAGCACTGACCACGCTGCTTCTAGACCACGGGGCGCGCATTGAGCAGGAGGACAGTAGCAACCCCTGGAGAAACACAGCTTTATCTAGGGCGTCGGGGACGGCAAGGACTGAGGTTGTCAAGCTGCTACTGGATAGAGGGGCCGATCCTAACCACCGTGGAAAAGATTCTCATTCTCCTCTCTATACGGCGTGTCACGCTTGCCAACTAGAAAATGTAAGACTGCTTATCACCGCTGGGGCAAATGTCCACGAGGTGCCGAGCGATGCGGACGAGTGGAGCCCTATACACGCGGGCTACGACAGTGCAGAGATTGTGAAGGCCTTGCTGGACAACGGGGCAGATGCCAACAGACTTGCAGGTCGCGAAACATGTCTACATCTGGCCGCCAGGAATTATGAAGCGGGTACCGTGCGAGTCCTACTGGCGCATCGCCCCAAGATAGATCTCGAGTTGACCATAGAATCCCCTGACGATGAAGACGACAAGTACACGGCCCTGTGCCTTGCCTGCCGTGATGAAAGGGGGGCCAGAATTGCTCGGAGACTGTTGGACGCTGGTGCGAATGCTAATCATCAAACCAAGCTCGGAAAGCGACCTTTAGATATTTGCGTCGCGGCAGGCTCAACGGCCGTAGCCAGAGTGCTATTGCAATACCGAGCCCCTGTCAAGACTGTGGATAACAACGGAAACACACCCCTGCATCAGATATCATCGCTCACAGAACGTGGTCTCGTCAAGCTCCTCGTGCGCGCTGGTCTTGATCCCTGGGAGCCCAACAGCAAAGGAATCACACCCCTTCGCAGGGCCGTCGAGGTAGGCAACTCTGCTGTGGTCAAGCTTCTACTTTCCAGAGATTCAAGTCGGAATCGGCTTCTTGATGGGGCCCCGAGTCTCGTTCGTTTGGCTTGTCAGAATGACGACCTGCAGACGCTAAAGGCTCTGGTTGCCGCCGGCGCAGATATCGAGAGCATTGACTCCATGCCTGGAGCTGATGGCCTGCTTGCAACTGCCATAGATAAACGGAGCCAGGGGCTCGTGGAATACCTCGTCGAGATAGGTGGCGTCAATATCAACGGTCCCGGCGGGTCATTTGGTTATCCCCTAATAGCCGCGTGCGCCGACGGAACTTTGACGAAGGTACAATATCTATTGGAACATGGGGCAGACATTAAGCTTCAAGACTCAACCGGAAGGACAGCCCTCTATCTGGCGTCGGTGCGCGGTGTCCTGCCGGTGGTGGAAGCCCTACTGTCCGCCGCTGGAACACATATGGTCGCGACAACCGCGTCAAAGGACAAAATGGGTAGGACTCCCGTGCATTTTGCCGCTGCCAGCGGCGACTGGGACGTATTTAAGCGCGTCAGAAAGTTGTATGGGGAAAAGGAACTCACAGAGCCGGACTATGATGGCTGGACCCCGCTGTTCTGGGCCGTGCGTAATCGGAACCCCAGCGGTACCATAGTCCAATATCTCATCGAGCATGGGAATGACCCCTGGGCCAGAGATCAAAATGGTAACGGTAACTGGTCTCCGATTAAACTTGCCAGGTATATGGGTGCGCCTGAGGATTTCTTAGTGGCTCTTCTCGAAGATTCGCCAAGCAGAGATAAGAACAGCACTGGCGAAGAATTCCACGATTCCAAACAAGCACAATACCATGAGGGTTGGACCTGCGATAGTTGTAGATTGGTAAGTGGCCTTGACTGGCTTTGTCCTGTCCCCTGCGCTGTAACCTTGCTAACCTCGCTGCAGACCATAGCTGGAATCAGGTATAACTGTCACTCCTGCGAGGACTACGACCTCTGCTTTCGTTGTTATATGTCGCGCGAACTGTTCCATTCGGACCATCCGCAGGATCGTTGGTCTGAATATGGGCCTGAGTTTGAGGACGATACGTCCTCGGAGGGCCAAGGGGATTATGATGAAAGAACTGCCAGTAGCAATGAGCCTTCAGACTCTGGGACAGATTCGGCTGACACAGTTTCGAGCGAATAGCTCTTGAACCATGGTCGGTACAGGTGTTTGAAGAATATAGCAATAGTAACATACCTGCAATTGATATCATATGAAGTATGATTTAACTACCCAGTCCTGCTCTTTGCAAGTTTCGTACCATATCGTAGAACATCCACATCCCACCCCTCAAGACTTGGTGCACGGCCATCCAGGGGTATTCGCCAGCCAGATCCCCTTAACCCTAATTCCACCAGCTTGCCGCCCTAATCATGTCAGCGATATCAAATAGCCGTAAGTATCAAGGGAGACCGTACATCAAACGTAGCGACGACGGTGCTCACGCGGTCCAAAACCATGTCATACGTGGGGGAATGGCGAGCAGTATACCCATGGAGGACCGTCGTGTGCTTGTCGTAGTAGTCATATCGGTCATGCCCCGGCCTTTCCTGAATTACGCCTATAGAATGGATCCCATCTGAGGTATATCTAATGCGGAATCCCCGAAAAAACTTTGCATCGCACAGCACATGGGCACCTCTGCTATCATACGGGCATGTAGGCTGTTGCCGGCGACGATACCGCTTATCCGCTTCATACTTTGATACCGCGAGGGCAAGCTCTTTGGAAGATATCTGCGCCGTCTTGGGAGGCTTCTTGCCAAGGACCACACTGCGGCCACTTTTATTGATAAACTCCAATGCAACGATCTCCGTGGCGGCCTCTGTATGCGACCAGGATGGTTCTGATTCCTGTTCGTATACCTTCGACCCGGAAATCATGGAGATACCGATAGTGTCCACGGAAGCGAGGAAATCGGCAGAAACAATGCTTTTTCTTTTTCCTTTTCCAGCAGTCGACAACTTATACCAGCTGTTGTTGTGGTAACTCTGCAATGCCCTCCCGTAGAAATCCAGCGGCGATGCATTTAGCCCTTTGCCTGCGTTGATCTTATCCTCGATCCAATGCAGTACTTCCCGTACTCTCATCGTCGTGTCGAACTTGGCGCCTATATTCGAGGTGGCATGATATAGCTGTCGCCAGTCAACCTGTCGTGTCTCATTACTATTGTTATCATCCCATTCCCATTCCAGGAGCCAGCCCCGGTCGTTTTCCGGCTGGAACCGCGATCTCCAGAAACAGTTATCGTGGAAGATAACGGACATCGCGCGTGACGCGTTCCGGAGATTGAAAAAGTCGCCCGTGTCTAGCTGGATGCCGATGTATTCGCGTAGCTCGATGGGGAGGTGTCGGAAGGGATCATGGCTCGACCGCGTTTCCATCCTGGCCTTGACGGTTGCAGAGGGCACAGGCAGGGGTTTTGCGTATTTGACAATTTCTGACAGAGAGCGAGTAAGACAGGGATAGCAGTCATTTGAGTTTGCGTAGGATGGCTCTGTTTGGCGTCTCAGGTTAGCGATGCGTACTATATTCTTGTATAGTAGGGCTATTGCAAACCAGGAGGCGGCGGAACGTCTCTCAACACATCGTAGAATGTTTCCAGCCTGATGTGCCCAAAGTACTCCCAGGCATACTGCCAACACCGCTCATGCAGAATAAAGTACGATCCACCTGGATACCTAACATCGTTATCACCCCGCGATCGCGTCTGCCTCCAATCAATGGACCGGTCTGATTCCACTTCCAACGTGGATCTGTGGTGCTTTGTGAATATGCCTGACAATTTGACTCTTCCGCGCCGGGCATACACTGTCTGCATAAGTAGGCGGCTCATCGAAGGGTGGGGGAAAGCTTACGAACTCGCACAACATCTAGCCAAACAGGCACTGGTGTAGCTGCCGGACATCCGCAAAGGATGCACCTTGTGAAGTCATCTTCTGCTGATATAACCACACTATACGGTTGCACCATTGCTGCGTTTGATGCTTTACAGGTCTTGTCCGTCCTAGTCGTTGACGTACCTAAGTAGTAGGCGAAAGTTTATCCCAGGGCAGTGCCCTTCGTTACCACTTCTTTGTTGGTTCTGGGACCATATCCCGGATAAGAAAGGCTAATCTGCGGTCTTTATATCAATATTCAAAGAGCCATTTATGGGGCCTTTCAGTCATTCCTTTAACTGTTCTCAAGCGGTATATGGAATACAGACGAGTATATCTAGATAGATGAAACTCCTTACGTCGTAAGCTTCCTATGGTTGACTATTATACTGTGATGCGTAGTTACAGGCTGGGCTAGGGCTGTTATTTGCTGAGAAATACCAGTATATAGTGGAATCCAAGGAGCCAAACACTCTCGCTACAGTTACCAGAGACAGACCTTGCCTGCTTAATGGAACCACTTCTTCTTCTTTATTTCATCCTTCTTCGTCTCATCCTTCTTTGTCTCAACCTTCTTTGCCTCAGCGCTCCTTTTCTCGAATTTATGCATAAGAGCACCAGCCTCAGACTTCGAAAGTCCATGCTTCCCAGTGAAGTCATTCTCTGGGAAGTGCTCCGAGGGCCTCATGGCCCTCTTGTCATCAATGAGACGGCCTACGTTATCCATCGGAAGGTCATTTTCCAGCGTAGCCATCATCTGGGGTGATGACCACTGGCGCCGTCTCTCTTCCCCCGCGGGCCCATTTGCCAGGGCCTGTTTGTTCCCCTCATGTCGCTATAGTTACGTAACAGTTGGGTCAGTCAACGTTTCACATTTAAGGGCAGACATTCGCAAAACGCACCAGCTTCATAAATTTGTGGTTGTGGTATGCGGCCTGGGCGTTTTGGATCCCGCCCATAGGGTTTGGAAAGGCTGTGGCAGCGCATGTAGCAGCAGCAGCGATGTCTGCGACGCCAGCCCCGCCCTCATACGTCGTATAGGGGTCTTTGGACATGTCGGGTATAGCGGGGGTAGTATTTTGTGATGGAGACAATCTGAACGGTAAGTGTCAGGCGAGTGATAATAAATGGGGAATGGCGTGCTTATATACCTTCTCCCCTCTCCTCTCTCCTCTCCTACATCCGAATCCTGCTCATAATCCAAGGACTGCTAAGCCCAGCCTACTCACTGTGCATCCAATGGATATATGCAGGCCAGTTTATCGATGCCAAATACGAGCCTGGGCAATGCGCGAAAGGCTGAGCCTACGTGAGCCGGCCCGAGCACATCCCAGCCTTGTCCACGAGGCGTGATAATCAAATGTATCATCCCCAGTCCAAACATGCTAGGACCCTTTTTTCAACCACGGAGATCTCCAGTCCCAACATGCTTACGGATCACATGGATACGCGCTGGTGAGTATTTCTAGGAAGAGGAACATCACTGTCATCCTCACCCTCCTGTTCAATGGTTCAACCTCATGCTAATCTTCTTCTTCTTTGTCAGGTTCAAATACCTCAAGGTAACAAGTTGCCGCTCAGAATCAAGGTCAGGATCCTAGTCGGAACTCAGGCAGCGCAGGCACGCACCGTGACACCAGTTGGTCTTGAAAAGAGGAGGCGGCTGAGTGAAATTGACAACCAGGTAGATCAAAAATGACAACTTCCCCGTTCAGCAAGACCATGACTTGGGATGCAGTACCAGCAACTCCCTCCAGAGACATCAGAGCAGAGTACACATGACTTGCATATAATTTGGAATCCCATTTGATAAACAAAGACGAGCTTCACAACAGCAAACCCTTCTTACAGATTTAGGGCCTGTGAAACGGTGGTAACTTCCCCACTGGCTGGTCTCATAGCAACAGCAATGGCGCCGAAGATTCTGCTATGGATTCCTTCTGACTGAGAACGACGTGTCCTATTGCTGCGTGACCAATAGCATATCCAGCGGAGGCACCGACTGTAACACTCCCATTCTCTGCAGACGATTATTCCAGCTAAGTGTCCTCTACCTCTGTTGCTCTTGCTACCAGCACTGGTCTTACCATTACTGACACCACTACTACCACCACTGGCTCTTCCCTACTGTGACGTCTACGAGCAGCGACGATGGCTCTACAAGAGGTGGTGTCACTGCCAGCAACTCTGTCAACGGCGGAACTACAGCCTCTGATGGCGAAGATCACAGCGCAGAGGGTGGAAATGCTGGCAACGGGGCGTCGAACAGTGGTAATTCCTCGACCACTTCAACTTCAAGAGACAAGGGCGATGACACCTCTTTTATTGCTCCTATGGCAATGGATGCTGTACATGGTCTCGTATTTTGTGGAGTTATCGCTGCTGCTTCATTCCTGGTGGTGTAATCTGTCGTGGATTCCTGTGTATAAGAACCTCCTTGATTTGCTTGGCTTTTATTCGGATGTATATTAACAGTACCAGCACCTGCATCTCTTCTTTGTTACTAAAACTTCTAAAGACCCTATGAATACAGGTCACTGGTGAAATATTTATTGTTGAAACTTTCTAACGTACTTCGTGGTAAATAGGATTAACATCAGAACAGGAATGGGGATGGGGGCCTCATATGGTCAAAATATTTGTAGAGCCTTTGCTGTCACTTGATTGTCCAATATCTTGGCTGAGCCCTTAGTGTAGACGAGGCTATACCAAGAGTCTCGGCGTGGTCTAACTAGTACAGCCAACGCACCGCGGTCCATGCCAGGCCTGTCTGTACAGTTTGACTTCGCTCCAATTCATGAATTGCGCTGGGACATTAGGATAACTATAGAATCTATAGGCTCATTCTTATATTGTTTGACAAAGGGTCTATACTGTTAAATCAAGGTTCTGGTTCATGCCCAGCTTTTCCAACGCCCCATTCGAACTACTGAGTTATTCCTCCAATAGGACTTGCCATATGCCCGAATTTAGACACGGAGCGTCACGCCGGCATACCCGAGCCTCGCTAAGCCCTACCGTATAATTTGGATTGAGAGCCGCCCCTTTTCCTCTTTCCTCATGATCGTCTCGCTCCGTCGATCAGCAGTATGTATCCCCGCATTTGGAAACCTTTCGTCCTGATAGCTGGGACATTCCCAGCTGGTAAGACTTGAACCTAGAACTCTTTCTTCCCCAAAAGCTTCCCTTGCTAACTAAATTCTTTGATAGTGACCGCGCAAATATGCAACTCCCCTAACGGCTCCTACTACTTCATCGAGAACCAACCCCAGCTCGACGCCCTCGCAGACACATGCACCACCCTCAACGCATCACTCAACATACTACCCCCCTACGACGGCCCCTTCTACCTCCCCAACATCCGCAACATCACCGGGAATATCAGGTACCAAAACGACTATGATGCCTCAAAATCCGAGCCAACGCCAACGTCCATCGACCTGCCGGACTTGGAGTACTGCGCTTCCGTATATCTGGGCTCACTGCCTTCGCTGCGCAACGTGTCGATGCCGAAGTTGAAAACGGTGGATTGGAATTTACAGGTGGATTATGCGCCCGAGATTGATTTTCGGGCTGTGCAGACGGCAGAGTATGCGTCTTTTACTGGGGGGGATTTGTCGAGGTAACTTAACTCCGTCCCCTGTGCGGGTTCTATGTGAGATTTATGATTAACCGGGTTGAGGGTAGAATCCGGCTTGATTCACTGCGTGAGGTGCGTCAGAGACTCGTTCTCTGTAATAAGAATGCATGCAACGAGAGTATCACCGCGTCGAAACCGTTTGATATCTCTCTCCCTCGGCTAGAGTCCGTAGGTACAGTGAGGCTAGGGGGTAGAATATCCAGGCAAGCAATTCAATACATCTTAACATCCGATACTAACAGGCTTAGCCTGGACATGCCACAATTCAACAAAGTCTCTGGAAACGGCGGGGAGTTCTACGGATTCCGGCTCGACACCGAAGGAGGCCCGACTCTCAACCTGACATTCCCTCAACTGAGAGGCGTCTACTCTTACATGAGCCTTGCCGGAGAGATTGGAAGGTAACAGGCACCAACCATCCTTCTACCTAGTCTGCCAGCCCAGCTAACAGAGCAAGCCTCTCAATGCCGAACTTCAAAAACACCACTCAGTCGCGATTGACAGTCAACGCCTCCTCGGTGCTCGATATCAACCTCCCTATCGAGTTTGCTGATGATATCTCGCTGTACGGGGATATTTCGAGGTATTACCTTTATACCATTCATAATTGTATGCAATTAAACTAGGATTGACTCTAGTGTCCAATTCCCCAACCTCAAACACGTCGACAGTCTCAATATAAACTCCAACCTCGAGCTCGACTGCGACTCTACACTAGATACTCTCGCAATGACGCTAAACACAACCGTCGGGTCCGGAGACGGACTATCCTGTACATCGTCAAACGGCGGCTCAGCAAAGCCACCAAAATCGCGATTGGTGTCGTGGTGGGTGTTGTTGGGTTGGCTTGTCTGTCTTTCCTGAGGAAGAGGAGAACCAAGTAGCGGATGAAGTCGAGTGTTCAGCTTCAAGAAAGAATGTATGGGTATACCTTTCCGACCCCCTTCAAGTGCCAGAAGGGGCCGGATATACAGACAAAAGCAGGAGAAGGATCAATCTGTATACAATATAAATATAGCCCTTCTGAGCTACGTCCCAGTAACCTCAGGAGCATAAATAATACAGCAATTGATTGCCCAGTCCATAGCTATCTCGACCACGTAGTTATCTAGCAACTCTAATCCAGTAGGATACACACTGAATACACCCTAATGAGCCTGCAAATTATGCACCTCGACAATATTCCAATACGACCTGACCGAGCTCACCCGCCACGCCTTGCCCGCCCAAATCGCCACGAAACAAGTCCCCCAAATAGCCGCCCCTAGGCATCCGACGAGGATAAACGCATTCTGTAGGCCCATATTCGAGATCATAGGTGAGATGGCATAGGTTATGACGAATCCTGGAAGATTTATTAGTACACCAGCGCCGATTATAAGAAATAGAGGGGACAACCCATTGTATTCCGGATAAGGATAACAGCAACGATAGCTTCACTAGCTGCCTCCTTATAGCAGTCAATCACATAATTCAACGCAATCAGCGACCCCATAGGCAACGTCGCAGAAATGAATCCAATCCCAAAGACCAGCGCCACCCAGTGTAATTTCTGCGCGGCCCCGATGCCATACAAGAGGAATCCGGCTGGATGTAAGAGCAGGGGAATAATACCCAGCCACAGCCGGTGTTCAGGCTCCTTGATGCCCTTATTCCTGCGGGCGAGGAATTCGGCGACGATGTCGCTGAGGGAGCCGCCGAGGAAGCAGCCGATTGTTGAGCCGATTACGTTGGCCAGATAGGTCAGGCCGGTTTGGTTGGTGGTGAAGTTGTAGGGCTCGCTGCCGAAGTTCTCGGCTGTTGTGGTGTTGAGGACGTTGAACCAGGCCAGGATGCTGCCGATGAGGATCCCCGCGAACCAGATTACGGGGTAGCGGAGGAGGCCGAAGGGGAGGAGGGAAAGTTTTAAGGAGAAGGGGGGCTGGTCGGGGGCTCGGAAGCCCCAGAGGCGTAGGGTTCGCAGATAGCGGTGCCATTTGGAGGATGGGGCTATCTCTCCAGTCGCGATATCAACCTCAGGGGGGGTGGTGTCTTTGCTTTCAGCAGACTTTCCTGGCTCCTCGATGTCCTTGGAACCAGCCTGCAGGAACTCAACTGGACCAGTTTTGCGGAAGAACATGGTCTCTTCGAACGAGAAGAACATGATAACAGTCGTTACAAGGCCAATGATAGTCCCAATCCACTGAATCCACTGCCAGCCCATGTTCTTTGCAATATAGCCACTGGCAATCGGAGCCAGGAAGGCACCGTTAAAGAGCGTCCATGTATACGCACTCATGTACCCACCTCGCTCATGCGTGAATGACAGATCAGTGACGAGAATCTCAACCAGCGTCTCGACAGGGGCATTGGCAATTCCCATTAAGATACGGTTCGCGTACCACTCGCCGCTGGACTTGACGTACGCAGACCACAGCACGGTCAGGGAGGTCGCAAGCAGCGACGCAAGCAGGACCTGGCGACGACCACAATACATCGCCCAGGGCTGCACAATCACATTCCCCCATCCGAGGAAGAGATACATCAGGCCGACGCCAGTCGTAATATTGGCCATTGGAATGCTGGTCTCGTCTTCAATCATGGGATAGGCCGGGGCAAGGGCGCAGGTGATGGCCACCCCGATGAAGGTCCACATCACCTGCCAGGCGCGGTTGTGTGTCTTTCGACGCCATGACCAGTTCAGGGGGTCATCGGGGTCGGAGCTGGGTTGGGGGATGAGGACAATATCAGCTTTGTCGCCGTGCTTGACGGACAAGTCGCCGCCGGCGTCGATGAGGCGGACGGTGCCTGGGACAGGCAGGTCAGACATGGTTGCGAGGATGCATTGAGTACAGGGGATGCCCGGATTATAATGATAAATAAGGATGCTGAAGGATTCTTGGCTGCTCCAGTCGCGCATCTCCGTATGTACCCCGCAGAAGTTTATTGTTATCTCGTGTGGTGTCGCTCTACTCCGTCGCTCTGGTCCGTTGGAGAAGATACTGATACTAATGCTATCTTAGACAATGATATTAAGGACTGATTTAGATCTATCGAATTGTGTACCCCCCGTCCGCTGCAAAAGCCGCCCCCTGCACAAACGAAGCTTTACTGCTGCACAGAAACAGAATACAGTCCGCAATCTCGTCCGCAGTCCCAAGTCTACCCAGTTAGCCAGCTTCAAGATCTTGGTTTCTTCGACATACCTTCCCAATGCCTGCATGTTAATTTCCGGCCGATAGTACTCCAAGATATGCTCGATCATAGGAGTCTGGATAACGCCAGGGAGAACGCAATTTACTGTCATTGTTAGAGGGGTAAAATATATTGATGGAGCCATACTTCTGATATTGTCTGCAGAGTACTGTAACAGCATTAGCCAGCGTCGATATTATACGCAGGGATACTCACATCAAGCGCATCAGCCTGTGTAATGCTGATGGCAGCCCCTTTGGCACCGCAGTACGGTGCTGTTCCGTCAGTTTCCATACAGTGTAGATAGTATCGAAACTCACCAGCATTAGGCCTCGCAACCTGCCCCAACACACTCCCAACATTCACAATCGCCCTACACATCCTATTAGCTTGCCAACGGAAGAAACGGTTAAATATGCATACCCCCTATTCCCCGGCCGGCCATCATGAGTCCCCAAAGGCTCCTGCATCCGCATCTGCCTAATCACCCCCCGACACGAAAGCCAAAGCCCCCTATAATCCACCGAATTGATCCTCTCAAACTCCTCCAGCGTCGTCTCATGCGACTTGCGCGGCACACTCATCAGACCCGCCGCATTGACCGCGTAATCGATGCGTTGGAACTGCGACACCGCGCGGCGCACCATCTCCGACACGGACGACTCAAGCGTTACGTCTGTGGGGGAGACTTGGATGCAGACACCTTTGTGGGTTGATGCAATCATGTCGTGCGTTTCTTGTAGCCCGTGTTTGTTGAGATCGGCGAGGATGAGTTTGCGGCAGCCTTCTCTGGCGAAGAGCCGGGCTGTTGCGCGGCCGATGCCTTGGTCTGTTAATTCTTATCCTATCTTAAATATAGATATAAATAAATGGGGCTCACCAGAGGCGGCACCGGTGATGAGAGCGACGCCGGGGAAGAGTGTTGATGTGGCCATTTCAGTGTCTGGTTTAGATCAGAGAAAATATTGCGATTCTCTGCGTTACGGGGATAACAGCCTCGATATAGACTTTTGAATAGTATTGAGGATTGGAGTTCATGGTGCGCTTTGCCCCGTCGCTCATGTCCGTCGCTCATGTCCGGTGCAGGAGCAGTTACTCTCCACTTTGGAGAAGCGGTACAGTCGGTCTTGATGGAATTGCGGGGTAAATATCTTTAGATATGTACAGAAGTCAAGCTTAGTACAGCTGAAAAGAAATATATGTCATTAGGTATATCAACTAGTTCGTTTATCACGCCTCAAATCCTGCAACGCGCCCTGCAACGCTCTTGAATTCGGCCACTTCATTGCACACCGTTCCAATATCCTTGCTGCAGCAATGCAGCCGTCGGTAGCAGCGTCTTTATCTGCGTGGTCTATCAGATAGGACGCAGCTCGGTAGATCCAGTGGGACGTGAAGATGTTATACACCATCTGGTCGTCGTATGCTGCTAGCAGGTTCTGGGCAGATTCGATGCTTGGTTGTATGAGGAGATGGATCTGGCGGACTGTTGCAACTAGCATGGGTGAGTTGGAGTCAAGTTTGTCGAGTATGATAGAGTCTAGGGTAGTAGGTGTATCTCCTCGGTGGACAGCTTGCAGGGCATATACCGCACAAAGTGACTGGGCATTTTCAGTCGTCGATGAAATCGCCTTCGGAGTCTGCAGGAACTCAGCTACTTAACTTGAAGATAGACATGTGGCTTGCAGGTTCGGAAACATCATATGGTCTATCCAAAGCCCCTGCCACTAGACCTGCCAGACAGTATACCGTGCACTGAAGACGGTCCGTAGTCTGTGTCATTTGCAATACACTATGGGAGGTGAGTTCAATTAACAGGCGATGGGAGAAGTTTACAAGTTGTCCAATACTCCCAGTCGTGGCGTCGAATGTGCTGCGCAGGGCGAGTAGTAGCATTCCCTGCACGGCTTCAATACTGTGATCTTTTAATAACGTATCGATATGAATTAATGCCTCCCGGTAGAGAGCGTCAGACAGATCAACAAGGCGGTTGTCGTTCCCAGGTAAGCAGTGGCAGGCTAGGGAATAGACCATCTTCAGCAGGAAGGTCTGTCCTGAAGAGTCCTGTCGCAGTGTATGTAATACATCGAGGTTCTGGTCGCTGTTGAAAACCGGAAACAGATCGTGCAGAGTATTCATGTACCTGTCGATGAGAAAATGGTGCATTGCGTCGTCGATTACGGTGGATGACACTGGCAGATAGATGCAGTTGCTTTGGCGCAGATTTCTTCTCACCACAGCAGCAGCAGCAGCAAGAGGCGCATTCTTCCCCAGGCAGGGATACGAGTTGCGCACTTTGACAATGGAGCCGATATTCACAGGAGCTGGGTGGTCTGGCGTTTCTTTGCCACCGGCAGCCTCGAGAGAGCGCAAGTGTTCGACCAGGGACGAAATATACCTGCTATTATCAATAATGAACTGATATATCCTTGAAACTCACTCTCTAGGCAGCGATTCTTTGGAGATAGGATCGTAAAAGGTACACTGCAGGCCGGATCTGGTGCAGTTGGCACATTCCGGGAGGAGGGTATCGCAGCGCTTTCGAACTGATCGACATCTTGTGCAGGCGGGAAGAAGCTGCAAGAGTGCATCCAGTTCGTTCTTCTCAGCGACAGCCATTCTCGTGGGGAGTTGTAGATGAGTTGGTGTGGCCTTATCAGTTGGAGACGACTCACCCACTCCACTGGTTCTGACCCGCTCTGGTTCATTCCACATTTCTGCAATCAGCGATGGGATAAATGCGGGGTAAGCTAATCGCCCATTCATCCAGTCCGTCAGTCCATCAGTCCATTCAGCTTGAAGTCAATATCCAGCATGGGTAACGCCAGGAAACGGGTGCAGCGACGGAGCTTGTCGTGTGCGAGATGCAGACACAGAAAGATTATGGTACGCCTATTCTACAACTACAACAAAGAAACACATTAACCGACTACACGGCAGTGCGATGCATTATCGCCCGCATGCTCTGCCTGCGTCGAGGCCGATGCTCCGTGTCTGGCTTGGAACGCTGCCACCAAGGCCACCGCACCGCGCAGTATCGCCCGCTATCTCGAAGAGCGCATTGCTGCGCTGGAGACTGATACTTTTGATCATGTCCAAAGGGATTCGCTGAACAGCTCGTCTATGCTTGTTCCGGTCTCCAACTCCATCCTCGGCAGCGTCTTGAGCGACAGCACGCCCTCCTTCCTCGGCCTTGTCAGAGACAGCTGTTTGGCCGGATGCGTGGCTGTCCAGACGGAGATCCCCTCTGTTCATCTTACCCACGCCATCTCTGATCTGAATGAGAACCATCCACGGGCTATAGTGAACCAGCAAGCATCTATCCTGTCGCCAACGTCCGTGCCAGCTCGAGTCGCCGATTTCCTGTTGTTCACCTACACCACCGGTATAATCCACCAGTTCCCTATTCTGTCTGAAGATGAGGCAAGGAGCGCCTTCGATGCTGTACTTCCTATGGGATACAGCGTTCCTGATTGCGATGCTCGAAGTGTATATATCGTCAGCCTCATCATGGCCATCTCGCTCTCAACCACAGCACGCAACAAACTCTCCCGGGCTCAGTCTCTTGCAACAGCGCTGTTTAAAAACGCAATGCTAAACATTTCTGCCGTTCTTACCAATGATCTTTCTGGCCTCCAGGCCCTTCTCCTGTTAATCCAATATACCTTTCTCAACCCCACCGTTGGCAACCTGTGGCTACTCACCGGCATCTCCAGCGAAGCCTGCATCGAGTACGGCCTGCACCATGAGTTACAGAGCGATACAGACATAGAACGTCGCCGACGGATCTTCTGGTGTGCGTGGGAAATGGAAGTCGCCGTCAGTGCAGCCTTTCGTCGGCCAATCCGGATCCTCAACAAGTACATCCACGTCTCCTTCCCCAGCCCTAACCAGGCATCCTCCGCAGCACCACTCGCCATTCCCTCCATTGCAATATTCGTCTGGCGCTTCCGACAGCTCGAAGCCGAGCTCATCTCCATCCTGCATCTGAACAACCCCCTCCTACACGCCAGCTCGCTCGAATCCTGGATGGAAGACATGGCAAGCAAAGCCCAGCACTGGGCCCAACAAGTCCAGCACTCCGCATCCCAGAACCAATGTCCCTCCACCAAATCCCAATGGGCCGAAATGGTCCTCTACGCCGATATCGCATACCACTACTGCCTCGTCCTGCTCTACGGCCCCTCAAACCGCGTCAAAGAGCCCACACGACCAAACCTCATCTGCGCCTTCAGAGCCAGCGTCCAAGTCGCCATCAGCTACTGGGAGCAAGCGAACTCCGAGTTCGGGCGCATAAAATACACCTTCCACACTTGCTACCACACCTTCTCCGCAGCCGTCGTCTTCCTCAGCGTCCTCCGCAGCTGTCAGTCCGAGATAACACAGCTCTACACCCTGAATGAAATCCAAGAATGCGCCAACCGCTTCGTCTGTCTCCTCTCATCCATCGGCGAGCGCTGGCCCGCTGCAGCCCGCTGTCTGGAAGAGTATAACCACCTCCTTGAACCGATTATGAAATCATACTCGGACTTTTTTCTCCTATCCCAACAACATACCAGTGCTGCTGGTGCAGATCCGTTTTTATCGCCCGAGCAGTATGCGGATGCCGAGGCGTTTGATGTCATGGATTATGAGAGTTTCGTGCACTTCTTTAACCCCCCGCAGGATGTGGTGGATCCGTTGCTTGCATCCCCGGCTGTGGTTCCGTTTGATTGGGATGTGGAGTTTGAGTTTGGGATGGATGGGTTGTTGGATATTGTATAATCTATCATAATGGTCATTCCGTAGGTAGTCTGGGGTAGTTAGGGCTCGGACCAGGGCGCCGGATGAGAGCGACGGGGGAGGGCGCCATTCTTAATATTATACATATACAGGGTATGTATGCATAGACAGGGAATGCCCCACGGATCTACGATCACTAAATGAAGCCATCCCCGCAGTCAAGACGGACTTGGGCGCCGGGGAAGAGCGACTGGGCCATAAATAGTGCAATACTTCAATACTTTATAGTATCTGTGTAGATTTAATCAGGGTCTATTTCATGTATGGTTCTATCTCAGACACAACCGTCACGCTTTGGATAATCATACATATTTCTTAGTCAAGATGCTGCTTCCTGGTAACAACCCACAACATACGACATCTGTGCCTATATTAACCTGGTTTCAGTTCTTCTAGCCCTAGTAATCTACGCCATCTTCCTCCACCCCATAACCCTCTACCTCCTCGACAAAAAGAACCTCCGCCAATATCCCTCCCCCTCCATCTCCTCCCTCACCATCCTCTGGCGCCTCTCCCAAATCGTGCAAAACAAGCACTACAAGTCCGTCTACGATGCCCACCAACAATACGGCACACACATCCGCATCGGCCCAACACAGCTCTCCATCTCCGACCCGCGCGCCATGAACGACATCTACGGGCACGGCGCAAATTTCGCCAAAGACGAGTTCTACGACGCAGGATCCGGCCCGCATCGCTCGATGGCGGATACAAGGAATAAAGAGGAGCACCAGAGGAAGAGGAAGATGCTAGCCCACGCATTTGCGCAGAAGACGATTGTCGGGTTGGAGGGGCTTGTGCGGACGGGTGTTGTTGATTTGGTCGCGCAGTTCGATAACTACGCTGCCAGTGGGACGGAGATGAATATCCGCCGGTTTTTGAATTTCTTTGCTATTGATTTCATGGGACTCGTGCTCTATGGCGAGTCTCTCGGCTGTGTACGGCGCGGGGATGATCTCGTTGATGCACTGACTCCGGCCGGGGATGTGTATCGGGTTCCCTTTGTGAAGACGCTGCATAATATCCATATGCATACGGTTATTACAGGCGCTGAGCCGGCTTTGCTCCCTCTTACGAGTCCGCTGTTATCATGGCATCCGGGCGTGCGATCAGGTAAGGACTGGGGGAATGTCATGAACAACCTGTACCAGAAGCGCCTTGCAGTGCCTGATCCAGAGTCCCAGCCTGATGTCTTCTCCAAGTTCCTGAGGAACAGCAAGGGGGAGGAAATGAACCTGGACCCGGCGGAGATTATGGTTGAATGTGCCGTGATTATGAACGCGGGCAGTGAGACGAATACCGCGGCTCTGGTCTCGGTGATTTACCATATCTACAAGCATCCGCATGTACTGAAGAAACTGCGTGAGGAGATTGATGCTGCCGTGCCAGTAAATACTGGTCAGGATATCCCGGAGTATCATGCCCTCGCGGCACTCCCTTACCTCCGCGCCTGTATCGACGAAGGGTTCCGCATCCAGCCCGCCTCAACCCAGGGCTTCCCTCGCGTCGTGCCAAAAGGCGGCCGCATGATTGCAGGGTGTTTCGTTGAAGAAGGCGTGACCGTCTCGGTATGCCTCCCCCTCCCTTTGCTTACCAGATCTGTATCTTATAAATACTTGTAAATAGGTCCCCACATACACGCTCCTCCAAGACCCAATCGCCTTCGAAAACCCCTTTGAATACAATCCCAGCCGGTGGCTGGCGGGTGACAAGTCCAAGATGCATGCCGCGTTCTACCCCTTCAGCCATGGGCCTCGTGCATGTATCGGCCGGAATATTTCGTACTTTGAACATGTACTGGCTGTGGGCACGGTTGTGAGGCTTTTTGATGTGGAGGTGTTGAATGAGTTGGTCACGATTGAGCGGTTTAATGGCAATCCGGGGGAGGTGTTTGGGAGGGTGAAGAGGAGGGTAGCAGTATAAATAGAACATGGATAGGGTATGGGATGATTTGATTATGAAGGTTTTGTATGATAGAGGATGACGATATAGGATTATGATGGCAGTCACTATAATCATTGATATAAACCTCCTGTCTGTAGCTTACCCGACAAATATAAGGTAGAAGCTTATAATCAACACGTAATAGGACATCATACTAACCCTATGTTATAGGAAATGCAATGTCCGCACAGGAGGAGATAGACTAGGCTTCCCAAAAGACACCTCCGCCTGTAGTTTCTGCATGTCCATAATGACTGTCAGCAAAGTCTCCATCCTCTCGATTCCTCGAGCCCCCGGCGGCGTATACCGACAGATTGACGCCGGTTTGCCTTCTTCATCGGACAGCCAGCTCCTGATCTTTGCCACACTAGCCACCTCCCCTTGACTTAGTGTCTTGATGCGCTCAAGCCTGGTAAACGAGTTCTTAGACGGATGGTCCCTAATCCCAGCAGGAATTCCGGGCGACCAAAAGTGGTTTGTATGGAATACGAACGAGCTCCCATCTGGAAAGACAGGTGCCAGTCCCCGCGGAGTACACTCGACAGTCGCAATCTTCCCACTCCTGTCCGCAATCACCAAATTAACACAAGAAGCCACTCCCTTCTTTTCCAGCATGTCCAGCGCTTCGTCAAGCGATGCGCATTCGAGAACTCGCCGCATCGCGAGGTGCACTGGTAGCTGCGTCTTATCCACAGTCCCACACTTGATCGCATTCATACACACACCAACCCCTGCATCGTTAAAGCCAAACTTTGCCACGATCCCTGCCTCCCCAATCATGCGAATGCGAGGTTTCCCGGTCTTGGATATATCAAAGAATGCCGTCGACGACGCAGCCTCGCCTACCCAGTCCCAGTTCTGCCCTAGATATACCCCAGAAGCAGCAGCAGCCGCGATAGAAGTACACCCGTCCGAATAATTCGTCAGCGAGATCTCGCTGCGCAGGTTCAGGGCTAGAATATCCAAGAAGTCCACACCCGCCCCGGCGGCAATCCCTCTCATTTCATCCACGAGATCCGGCTCGTTGTGTTCCAGGGCTGGGAGGTATGTAGCTGCGCGTTCCTTTGACTCGGTCCAGTCCGTCTCGGCTGTTTCGTGGAAGAGGCGCTCGTAGTTCTTGATGCACTGCGCGATCCGGTTTGGGATTTGGCTGCCGTGGGCGTGTCCGATTTCCCATGGGGTTCCCTGGGCGATGACCTCGGGGACTCCGTGCCATGAGTTGGTGGCTGGGTTCGTCATGATGCGATATTTGAGGGCGCTGCAGTGGTGCTCAATTTGATATAGGAAGAGCAGAGCTTGACTTTGTCTGCTTTCTGTCATTTCATTTCAATCTTTTTCCCCGCGCCGGTATTAAGCAGTGTGCTCGGCCCTCGGGCTATGACCTAGCGTGTTTGTGCGTCTGTGCATGTTGGAGTTACTCCAATCGTATCTTGGAGCATAGTCGGGTATATGGTATGCTCCCACCGGACTTGAAAGGGGTAGTTTGCGATAGGGCTACAGTGTGGAAGAGTATAAGTCTCGCGGATGTCGGATGAGCCGGAGTCTAAGATTGGTCTACCATTGGAAAGACTATTTCCACTCTTGCTAGGAATAATTGAAACATAATCACGGAGTGTACACGGCGTTCCCAACTTCCCCTATAGCAATACGGAGCATCATGAAACGCGATAACAGTAGAAGTGGACCTCGAGCAGCTCCGATCGCCCCACCAAGTGTGGAAATCAAGGACCATGTTCGATATTGAACCATGATTCATGCCAGGCTGCAACTTATTGCTAAATGGGTAAACTTGGTTATTTAAAGGGGCAGCGTCTGGCCGCTGTCTACTCGAAACATCGTGAAACACCGGCTCCTCACGGTTCCTCACAACAGCCATAGGGCTGTAAGAAGCTTCCTCGGCGGAGCTTGTCTTTTCTTCCGCAGGCAGAAGCTTTTCGAGGCCCCAATTTTACCGCCAATGAGACTTCCACGGTGGGAGTTCCACCCGGCGCATTGGAGGAAATAAGCTGATCACAGCCGGATGTCTCGGCCTTCTCAGCCCTAATCAACTACAGCGGTTTCAGTGAGAGTGCAGTGTCCACTCCGGCATTCTATATGGACTTCTCTGTATATAAAAGGCGGTTCCTTCCCACCAGAAGAACACCAGGAGCCCAACGATCACCAATTAGCACCCATCTCTTCTAAGTTAACTCTTGCCGGCCAAGATGTACAAGCTTCTCGGTTCTTTTGCTGTCGCCTCTCTGGCATCTGGCGCCATTGCGTCGCCGGCCGACCCTGCCATCACTGCCTCGCCGTCTCTGAACAAGCGGGCTGATTCTTGCACCTTCTCTGGCGAGGATGGTGCTGCCTCTGCCAGTGCCTCTCAGGCATCCTGTGCTACCATTACCTTGTCCGACGTCGCAGTCCCCTCTGGCACTACTCTTGACCTGAGTGACCTGGAAGACGACACCACTGTAAGTCAATCTACCCTCTAGCATTGTATATTCTAACAGAATAGGTCGTCTTCGAGGGCACCACCACCTGGGGCTACAAGGAATGGGAAGGCCCCCTCCTCCAAATCAAGGGCAACGGCATCACCATCAAGGGAGCCTCCGGTGCGAAGCTGAACCCCGACGGTGCCCGCTGGTGGGACTCTGAGGGCAGCAACGGCGGCAAGACGAAGCCCAAGTTCTTCGCCGCGCACTCGCTGTCCGACTCGAGCATCACGGACTTGTACATCGAGAACACGCCCGTCCAGGCCGTCAGCATCAACGGCTGCGATGGACTCACTATCACCGATATGACCATTGACAACTCCGCCGGTGACAGCGACGGCGGCCACAACACTGATGGCTTTGACATTGGTTCTAGCAACAACGTCGTGATTAAGGGCGCCAAGGTGTACAACCAGGATGACTGCGTTGCTGTCAACTCTGGTACCCAGATTACCTTCAGCGGGGGTACTTGCTCTGGAGGCCACGGTTTGTCGATTGGCAGTGTTGGTGGTCGTGACGACAACACCGTTGACACTGTTACTTTTGAGGATTCGACTGTGACCAAGTCTGACAACGGTATGACTGCTATCCCCTTTTACTTTCGAGCCCTTTCTTATTTTATTAGGTATCCGCATCAAGGCCAAGTCCGGCGAGACCGGTGAAATCAAGGGCGTGACCTACTCCGGCATCACCCTCGAGTCCATCAACAAGTAAGCCGAACAGATATACCCCTAAAGCCCATTGATCTAACAGGACAGGTACGGTATCCTCATCGAGCAAAACTACGACGGCGGCGACCTCCACGGAGACCCCACCTCGGATCTCCCCATCACCGGCCTGACCGTCGAGAACATCTCCGGCTCCGGCGCCGTCGCCGAGGACGGCCACAACATCGCCATTGTCTGCGGTAGCTCTGGCTGCTCGGACTGGACTTGGACTGGTGTTGAGGTCTCTGGTGGCAAGGAGTATGATGACTGCCAGAACGTTCCCAGCGTTGCTTCTTGCTCTGCTTAGTGTATATAATATCTAGGATATTGTGGTGAACGGACTTTGTAAGAGTGCCTTCTTGGCTCGTTGTTAGGTGCTCCATAGTTTAATAAAGTCTGTCTTTCGCCTGTCATTCTACTCTTAGCTTCCTCGCCTACATTTCACTGCTAGCCAATGGACTCTTCACTGTAGAACCCAATTAAAGGGGAGCCCTAGAATCTAGACACACCCAAATCAACCACCGTACTAATTTCAACCGCACTCTAATCACATTAGCAGCCATCTCATAAAAGCTCCAGATAAACATACCGGCGCCCCCAACCTCTTCGTCACACTCTGATACGTCTTCGTCTCATACCTCACCCCCCCATCCTCCCCACCAGCCCTAACATACTCCAAATACCTCGGCGCCCCCGGCTTATCCGTATTATCCGCCACAACCAACGACCCCATCCTCAAAACGCCCAACTCCTCACAAACCCTCAAATCGGGCAGATAATACTTCTCCCAGTGGTCAAGGAACACCATATCCACACTTCCAGGCTGAATCTCCCCCTCAGCAACTAACCCCCTAACCCCCTCCCCCGCCGTCCCCTCAATAACAGTCACAATATCACTCAGCCCAGCAAGCTCAATAACCTCCCTAGCCATCCTCACAAGCTCAGCATCTTTTTCAAAGGTATAAACCCTACACCCTTCCTCCTTCACAGCACCACCAACACCCATCCCATCCCCCCCATGAATCTCCTTCAGAATAGCCCCCCACCCAAGCGCAGACATCCCCACATACGTCCCAAACTCAAGAACAACCCTCGGCGGCTGGGACATAGAGCGTAAGGCGCCATGCGCGATATCCAGTTTCGCCCTGCGGAAGATCATCAGGTGCCCGGCCTTATCTGCGTACTCTTCGATTTGGGCCATGAGCGCCCATGGGTTGTTCTTTATTGCTGCGGGGGGTTGGGCGGATATGTGGGAGCGGAGACGGGCGAGGTTTGGGGTTGATGACGAGATTGTGGTTAGGATGTTCTTGTTTCCATAATGGTGGTTAGTCTAATACAGTATAGTATAGTATATTGTATTATGCCGACGGCAGGTGTCTGTTTGTTGGGAAAGACAAAACATACCGGGAAGAAGACAGCGATGATCCCGATAGCGAATGCACCGGCTATTAAAGCTTGGAAGAAGAGCATTTTGTTGGGTTTAGTTCTTGCTGTGCTGATGGGCATTATCTCTCTTCGCACTTCGTTGTATATATAGCCGGTAGGCAGGGTAGAGTACGTAGGAGGAAAAGGTTTAAATAGCTCACCCTCCCAGACTATACCAACTCCATAATAGACAATGCCAGCCCCGGAATCGGAGCGTTTTTTTTTTGTTGGAGAGTACGTCAGCGTCACTTGGACTTGGGTGTTGGTTGCGTTTCGAGTAATTAGGGCCGATTGGCAGTGTGGGCCTCGGAGATAATTTAGTATGATATCTCGGGTTATTTATATCCATGTCTTTTAATGCATAGGTACCCGTATGCTTTCTTCTGCTTATACTGGAAGTTCCGGGTATGAGGGGCGTGGTAATTGAGGTTGGTGGGAATGGGCGTTGTTCGGCTTCTGTGACGTCCAAGTGTGTGCTGAAAAAAACCTCTGCATATTGTATTAATGGGACGATGCCGGAGTCGAGGACAATTTGTAATGAGATGCGAGGCCGTTTACTGGGGCTTGGTGGTCGGGTGTCGATAAGTGATTGCTGTTTAATTGAGGTGCTGGTTGTGGTGGGTTATATTCGGTTGATATTTATGTTAGTGTAGTGGTTTAAAGTATGAATATTGAAATTTTGGAGAGTCAGGTCCCATGTATTATATACTACCCTGGCATCAATGGCAATACATTGCTTATGCCATTTCCTTCCATCGTTCCGCATCGCATCGACTTCTTAGGAAGATTCCTATTCTTCATCGACGATCAATTCTTGACAAGTTTCCCATTAGTTCGCCCATTAGCTCGCCCATTTTCAGGTTCAACCTGCCCGACATTATCATCCCACTCCTGTCGAAGCAGGCGCAAAAAGACTTCCTTGGCTAGCTCTTTTGACGTACCCTCCTGGTAGCTGGAGAAGTCGCCAATGTCTTTATCGAGTTTCAGCTGCAAGAATTCATGAAGCTTTGGGCTCCAGTCTTCTTCCAGTAGTTCGTGCTTGACTGCGTTCCACACGAAGGCCCTGAAGAACCTCCAGAAACTGCCCGTGTCTTCGCCCGGGAAACGGAAGTCATGGACATCAGTCGATCTCAGCTCCGGTTTGTGGAACACCATTTCCAAATACTCGAGCGCTTCTGGAACATCAGTTATCGATTTCAAGATTTTACTCCGTAGGCGAGTCAGTAGCTGATCCTGGGCTTCACCAGATGTGCAACTGATTAAATATGCCAGTCGAGATCCCGGAGTATCGAAGTGATCATGATTCTCGCGGAACTTCATCTCCATCAGATACTTCCAATTTGCAAATTTGATGTCAACCCCGTCAACTAACGCCGGTGGTTCAGGTAGCCAACTGCTGAACACTTCGTACTCCGATGGGGGACAGAAAGTTCCTTCTGTCGGATCAGCAATCTCGTCCTTCATTATGTCGTGCGCACCTGATTTCTTTTCCAGCTCTTCAATTCGTTGTTTCTGGAATGCCACCTCAATATTCAATTCGGTGATGCGTGCTGAGTCCTTTCCGGCCCGTGCTGCTTCCGCCAGCTGCTTCTCACTCTTCCATTTCTCGACTTCATTCTTGTATGTTTCCCATCTCTTGTTATTATCTTCGGATAACTTAAGTTTGCGATTTGACGCCGCTAGTTTTTCATTCAACTCAGCGATTTGCTTCTTGTCTTTCTCCTTGGAAACTTTCAATCGTTCGAGCTCATCCGTCATATCGTTCATCTGGCTCTTGTATTCGGACAATTTGGTGTGCGAAGCCTGAATTGTATCCACATATGAGATCTGCTGTTCGTACATGTAGCCAAACAGATAACCTGGTTCTTGTTCCACGCGGTTGAACCAATCGTCAATGTCAATTGTGAATTTTTGGTCGCCATGTCTTGCTTTGAGCACCTGCATTCCGAATCCTTGGGTTGTCATCGTTCGGTCTCGTTTCGAGGGGCAGGCTTGACTTCATACCGTCAGTAAGGCCGCCTGAAGAAAAACAAAGATCTGCAGGAATTACTGAAACAAGCCTACTGTAGTCGCCGTGAAGCCAGTAAAGAGTAGAGATTATCAGCCTCGCGCCAGTATCAACACAATAAACGTGAGTGGTATCGAAGCCATGGATTGAACACGAATAACATGGAGAAGGAACTTTGGGAAGTGAGAGCGTGAGTCTGAGGCAGGCAGATCATGTGTCGCCCTCGCTGTTCTCGTTCTTTCACTTCAGCCAACTCACTTCCTCTGGACAACACCTGCGTTACCTCAGGCAACACCGACACATTACAACCCCTTAAACCATTGGGAACTGCTTCGCTCCAGTTATTGGAAACAATTCCATTATCATTCGCATCTGTCAGGTTGTTCATTTGTCCTCTTAACTCAGATGCGGAGTAAGTGACCGAGTGGTGTTGTCTAATATATATTGTATCAACGGTACTGACATCCTCATCTCAAATCAGGTGAGGCTAGCAAGCTCCGAGTCTCGGAGAAATGCGAAATAATCAGATAGACACCGACGGGCAGAACCGATTCCAAGCTACACCTAAACCATCGCGTTTTCTTATCATACGGCAGGTGCCTATCAGGCTGTCACCAGCAGTTCAGTTTCTTATCTCGGCGTTGACTTTTTCGCTCGGTCCCACCCGACAGCCGTTTCAGAGTCCACCGATTGGTCCATGCCCAAGACAAGCTCGACTCGCTGGACAATCGCGCGCCTCAATACCCAAAAAGGCCCACGCGATCACAGTTTCTCGGTCGTGCCGATATCCATAATCGAAGATGTCGCCGCCGTCTGTCCCGAGGATGGCCGCAATCTCTCGCGAATTCTGGACCGCTGGCCTTCCAAGTGGGCCTAATGATACATAATAATAATTGATTGTGCCCTTTTGTGCGCGGATTTTTTATCCTCTGAGGTCCACATACATATTGAGTACCTGCCCCAATCTCAGAATAATGAAAAATGTGAATGAACCACAATCCAGCCAGAGGGGCTCACACCCTCGTTCTCAGTCTCTTTACTCCCATTCATGATTCCTTTTGAATAGCGCGGCGTATCTCAGCCGAACGGCAGACTCGTTCCCACCATGGCCGGAGCTCTCGATTTCGACCTGGAGAAGAACCCTCCTGTGGCCCAGGCGGCCGTTGATAACAGCAGCGATGGTGCTGTACCCGGCGAGAGCTTTACATATGGCAACTCTTTATACGCAAAGGTGCAACGCTTGGCCGGAAAGCTCCATATTGAGCAGCGTGGCATTGAGCGTGTTCCCGCTGCAGAACAGACAGATACGTCGTACACCAATGTAGGTAGCATGTGGCTTGCGGCCAACATGGTCGTCAGCTCCTTCGCTATCGGTGCCCTTGCACTCCCTGTCTACAACCTCGGATTTGTGGACGCCATTTTGACGATCCTGTTTTTCAATCTTCTCGGCATCATGACTGTCTGCTGGTTTTCCTGCTTCGGTCCGTTCGGCCTACGTCAGATGGTATTTTCGAGATTATGGTTTGGCCCGTATGCCATAAAGTTCTGTAAGTCATCGCCCGGCCATACTTGAGAGTAGCGGGAACTCATTCAATGCTCTCTTGCAGTTGCGATCCTCAACGTCCTCGCATGCATGGGTTGGTCCGCCGCCAACACCATTGTAGGCGCTCAAATGCTCCACGCCGTGAACGAAGACGTACCAGGGTTTGCGGCTATCCTGATTATCGCATTCTGTACACTCCTTGTTACGTTCGCCGGATATAGAGTGGTTCATCTATACGAGTACTGGAGCTGGATCCCCACCTTTATTGTCTTCCTTATCATCCTCGGCATGTTTGCGCACTCTGGCGACTTCCAAAACATCCCCATGAAAGTCGGTTCATCTGAAATGGGCAGTGTGCTCTCATTCGGATCAGCCGTGTATGGATACGCTACTGGCTGGACCCCGTTTGCCGCTGATTACACCGTTTACCAACCCATTAATCGCAGCCGGAAGAAGATTTTCTTCTCCGCCTGGCTCGGTCTCATTGTCCCACTTCTCTTCATTGAGATGCTCGGCGTTGCCCTGATGAGCGCAACCACAATCAATGGCGGCGACAATAAATACCAAGCAGGCTATGATGCTTCCGGGAATGGTGGTGTCATCGGTGCCGTCCTCGACCCGCTTGGTGGATTCGGCAAGTTCTGCCTCGTCATTCTCGCCCTCTCAATCGTCGCAAACAACTGCCCAAACATTTACTCTGTAGGCCTGACATGTCAGGTTCTCAGCCGCTACGCTCAGCGCGTGCCTCGCTTCATTTGGACATTCCTCGGCTCTTGTGTATCGGTGGCGATTGCGATCCCCGGATACTCGGAATTTGAAACAGTACTGGAGAACTTCATGAACTTCATTGCGTACTGGCTGGCCATCTACTCGGGCATTTCCCTCGTGGACCACTTTGTCTTCAAGCGTGGATTCTCGGGGTATGTCATTGACAACTATGACAAGCCCGACAAGCTTCCTCCAGGTATTGCCACTACAATCGCCTTTGGGTTTGGTGTTGCTGGTATGGTCACTGGGATGAGTCAACAGTGGTATGTTGGTCCTATTTCGAAGTACGCAGGCGACGGCGATGTGGGATTCGAGTTGGCGTTTGCATTTTCAGGGTTTTCATATCTTTGCTTGAGGCCTATTGAGATGAAGATATTTGGGAGGTAAACCTTTTTCATTAGCCGTTTAATATATAGATAGACAATTGCATTACACCGCGCAAGACCTGCGAACGGTTCCTTCACTAATTCGGTGCTTCAGATATATTTAGATTGGGATGCACACTTGGACGACTTTGTCTTGTAGTCAGTGAATAGTTCAGCGAACTTTCTATCCGGCAGTACAGGTAGTTGCGTCGTCAAATCTAGAGCTCGAACCAAGGTGGGTTACTCCTTCCTTGTTTAGCGGCATGACACCACCAGATTTATCAAGAAGGAGCAACCGGTGATATTTCCAGTCGCACTTTCTTTATTTAAACCCTTGCTCCTGTCTTGCCTGGTCTGTTTTTCCAGTGGTGTAGTGCACCTTCCCCAGTCTATAAATATCACGTGATAGTGTTCTGCACCGCCACATGCGCCACACCAAATTCCCGGCGAACAAATCCACAACGGAGATTCAGCTTTCAGAAATCCAGAATCTTCAAACACAGCACCAGCATCACCACAAACAGCCACAATGTCTCGACCAGCAAAGTACGTGTTCACCCACTACGGCAGCCGCGGAATTTTGATCCAGGCGCCTTTTTTTACTCGAGTTAGAAATGCTAATTAAACCACGAAAAAAACAGGGCCGATTGGGCCGACGACGAAGAATTCGACGACCCCTCCGCCCTCCCCGCCCAACAAGTCACAACCAACAAGGACGGCACAAAAACCGTCATCTCATACCGTTTCAACGACGAGGGCAAGAAAGTAAAAGTCACACGCCGCATCAAGACGACTGTTGTCCGCGAACACGTGAACCCGCAGGTCGCGGAGCGCAAAACATGGGCTAAGTTCGGGCTGGAAAAGGGCCATGCCGCTGGCCCCTCCTTCGACACGACCTCCGTCGGCGAGAATATTATCTTCCGGCCGTCTGTTAACTGGAAGGCGCAGGCCGCTGAGGCTGAGAAGAACGGTGGCGAGAAGGGCAGTATCAAGGACCAGCTGAAGGACAAGAAGGTCAAGTGTCGTATTTGTTCCGGGGAGCACTTTACGGCCCGGTGTCCGTTCAAGGATACGATGGCGCCCGTCGACGAGCCTGGGGCTGCTGGTGCTGGAGAGGGTGCTGATGCGGACGAAGGTCCTGGTGGATTGGGTGTTGGCGGTGGCAGCTATGTGCCGCCTCATCTCCGGAAGGGTGCTGCGAGCGGTGGAGAAAGAATGGCTGGCAAGTACGAGAAGGACGATCTGGCGACTCTCAGAGTTACAAATGTTTGTCTCCCCTCTTCTTGTTTGTTGGGGATTCTGGGAACGGGGAAGCCGTTTTTTGCGCCTCCTTCCCCTTCCTTCAATTCTTTTTTTCTTGTTGTTGTTTTTGGTTTGTGGCAGGATGGCTAACGGTGAGCAGGTTTCCGAGCTTGCGGAGGAACAAGAACTCCGGGATTTGTTCGAGCGTTTCGGTCGTGTCACCAGAGTTTTCCTGGCCAGGGACAGAGAAACCCAGAGAGCAAAGGGCTTTGCATTCATCAGCTTCGCGGATCGGAGCGACGCCGCACGTGCCTGCGACAAGATGGACGGATGTACGTACCCTTGCCTTTCGTTCACCCTCGACTCTTGTGTATCAAGACGACGTTCAGTACTAACCTGCTATTTTTCCTTGTGCAGTCGGTTATCGCCACCTCATTCTACGCGTCGAGTTTGCAAAGAGGGCTACTTAGATTCTTTTCTTCGGTATATCATCTTTGGGGTTTATTTCTTTGCTTCGATCTATCGGAATTTACGACGCTATTTTAAGAGGTGTGATCTGGTCTGTCTAGGATGTTTGTTTGAGCTTTTACGCTTTACGGCTGAACTGGAGATACCTACCTAACTCTTGCCTCACGAGTTCCCTTTTCTTACAAATAAAAGTGTCATGATCCGTTCGATAATGAAGTAAACAAAACAGAAGGCGTTCAATCTGCCTTGGGGAGATCAGCATATTGGCAGGGTTGCCTCCTCGCCCGGTCATACCAAAAGTCTCCTCAGAACAAGGAACATATAAGCCAGAACTAATAAGACCTAAATATTTGTGAAGGTGGCTCAGTGGAATACCCATTAATGCCAGAGGAAAGACCCCAACTACTCTTTTATGATTTTCTTTTCTTTTTTTTTTTTTTTTTTTCCGCTGTCACCAGCTGTCCGGGGCGGCCGCGTTCTATGTTTCTTGTAGCTGTTTCTTATACAGCCCAGGATGCCGTCATTAATAGTAACTGTATCCTACTCGAAACGATACGTAAAGACCAAGAATCTAGTACAGATCCGCTCTTGCTCCATAACAATCGACAGAGAAATATCGCATGTGGCTGGGACAGAGTGGTCATCTGCCACCCGTGTCAATGTTCCAATACCTCTGAGAGGAGAAACTAGAAATAACTCCCAGCATGAGTCGTGTACTAGGCCTGATTCAAACTACTCGCAGCTGCATCTGCATATTGGTCGCCTGAGAAATTGACACGCTCGGAACTTGGGAACAGTCCTTGCAGAAGACAGACGGGCAGCCTTGCTTTTGGGGGCTGCTTTTCGAGGCTGGCTACGCTTGGTATCTAAGTCTCTGAGTAGCCAGTGGTTCTCCTCGGTCAATTAACTCAGCACGCTTGGAGCCTTGAGGTGGCCCAGTAATCAGCCCACGTCATCTGCTTCATGTCTTCCAAGTCTGGCAGCTCGCCGACCCAGATGGTATGTAAATAATGGTTTCCAGTTAGCGCCTGGGCCACAAAAACGGTCCTATCCACTGGTGACCAGAGCAGTCGCATGATGTGGTATCGTAGTTACATTTGGGGGGTGGTGGTCACACGAAGCAGCCATCTTTGCCGTGAATGGCTATCAGACTGGCTCCTGTGGCTCTCTCTCCCATCTTCCCCGAGATTTTCTGACGAGCGACGGCCAGTAAGACGGTGGATTTCTCGCAATGGGGCCTGGGGAGATGTCGGCACCTAGTCGCTCCGGTTACATTGCATATACTCTCCATATCTGTCTGTAAAGCAGCGGACGACGAGGAGAATCTCAGGAGAACTATTATGTCATGGACGGCAAATATCTCCCCTCCCGGGATATGAAACGCAGGCTTAGGAAGGGTCGGCATTTGAGTAGGTTGCGCGTCGACTCGTTATGTTTCTCTTGTGCGACTCAATCTGTCATTCCCACTGGCAGGGTCTGATGGGCCGGCGAACAAGGTTTGGCTCCTCATGACGGGCCAAAGTATCAGATGGGACAGGGTGGGAAGCCTTGCAGCTCTGACGAGTCTGGAAGTAGTCAATTTGAGCGGCAGTACGCATCGCAACAAGATGGTGTCCTGCTTAATGTCCATTCCTCAGGTTCAAGTCCAGAACCTTGACCCGACAGACTGGCGGCCGAATTTCCCCTTCTACGGCACCACGTCGTTCCATCTCCCACAGTATTATGACGCTCGTTGAAATCTCGCGGCATTGACTTGACCCCAGGTCAACGGCAGCCAGTTTCGTGATGAAATGGAGGGAAGGGGGCGCCGACTACCCATAATTGAGGATCTGGTTAGGGTCAAATTTTAACGCCCATCTCTTATGAATATCACGGTTCTTTCGGATTCGCAGGAAGGTAGGAAGATCGGTCGTCCGCTTTAACAATGGATACCTTGGTATAGAAAGCGGCCTAGAATAATCTGACTGGTAGGAATTGGCAGCTGCTCGAGTAGTGCAGCTAGCCTAAACTAGGAGCAGAACGTCGGCCCCGGGGGGGTCTGGCATGGCCACGAGGAAGGAAGAAATCCCGGCTACTCATGCGGCGTCCACGATAACTGCACAGGATATTATGCACAGGGACTGGTTATGGGTCCATGCGGGCTCACAGCGTTGGAAATAGCTCTGGAATACAAGAGAGACATAGCTGAAGGATCTGAAATTCAGCATTTTGAGCAGTCAAACACCTACCGGAGATAAGCCAATTCACGCCGGCTATTTTGTCTCCTAAATTAGGTTGGCATGGCATATCCGATCCACACCACGGTAGAGCCCTTCCGACGTTAGCATATAAGGTTGTAACGGTTCAAGCCTCCGGTCTCCACCTGGTATAGGAGGCCGCACGGACAACTATCTTGAATAGGTTTACCGCCACCTTCGCGCTGGATCTCTCTGTTAAGTCCCCAAATAAGGCTATATCTCGCAATTAATCGAGCGACCGAATTCCCAACGTGCCAGAGGGGACTCAAATTCGGGATACAAAGACACGCTTTTGTGGCGCACAATCGGCCGTAAAACTTTAGTCTGGAGCTGTATGTGCCGGCTTCTTGAAGATCGCAATTCGTAATGGAGCTGGAGAATTTCCAGTTTACCAGAACGCGGAGAGTTCAAGGGATCCTGGAACCAACGGTCGAATGTTCTGGACTCAGGAGAGCTCGAGCTCGTGGACCAACGTCAATCCAGGAAAAACCAACTGATATTCGCCCGGGCGCTTCAAAATAATCCTAACGGCAAACCGCATCGCATATCTGCTATAGGCCTTCAGGTTTTAGCTTCTTTCCAGCTTATAATGACCGTGCTATACTGCGGATCGGGAAGCACACTAGAGGCATGGCCTCGGCTCAGGTTGGGCCCATCGCCCGGAACTCTAAGGAGAACCTAAAACATAATTCTTACCAGAAGCTTTTACTATGGCCAGCAAATAGGGTTTGAGAGAGCCTCGGGGGCCAAAAGTTGTTCGAAGAGGCTCGGGTCCGAACCACAGAGTTCCAAACCCCAAAGGGTGGTAGGACTATGAGAAAGGGCGGAGCGGCAATAAGATAACTGAAACACCTTAAACCTTGTGTAAAAATAGCGGATGCACGCCCATGGGCGGGGGTATTAAAGCAGAAACTGGTTCCAGCAAATCCCAACGACCAGGGTTAGTGATTTGTCGAGCCGGCAGAAATTGGATAGATCTGCGAGAGGTTCCAAGAAGAGGGGCAGAGCGTCCGCCAAATAGCACACATATGAATAAAGTTGAAGCAGGTACTAATTTGACGTCTTTCACGAGTACTACAGTGGCAACTCTGTTCCTGAGGTGGAAGTGCAGCGGTGGTGAGTAGGGCTGCACTTACCCTTTCTGGTGCAACCGTGGCACGTGCCATGGGGGCCACTTCGGGACTAGCTCTGTGTAGCGGCCTGGGGCATCCCATCACTTCTTGCTCGGGGAGCAGCTCCAAGCCTCAACTCCAACGCCTAACGTCGTTTACTTCCTCTCCACGCTCTCTTTTCTCTGTTTCTTCCCCGTGCCCACTCTTCGCTGGCTCATCTGGACATCGGAACGCCATTACCCGGCTGCCGCAAATTAATCGCTCACCCGAGAGGCAGGATGCAACCCCCCTCCCCACCACACCCCCCTTGTTCAAGGTTGCGAATGGATTCACGCTGCAGCCCGTGGAAAGCTCCCTGCACGACATCACCCTCCACTAGGAATCGCACCTGCTGGCCAGGTTCCCACTCTCGCATTTCAAAACGGACTGGACGCTGATCCATCTGCCAATGATGACGTTCGGCTCCTTTTTGCCCAGTTCTGCGTCCATCACATCTGGGCCAACTAGCTTCCTGCATGTTTGGGTGATCCTCTCAGCCACACCACTGCCATCCACCGCAGCAGGGAAAAAGAAAAAGAAAAGAAAAGCAAAATAGAGAGAGAAAGCGAAAGAAGGCAATTTAAGAATGAGATTTTGGTTCGTAATTAACTCCACCGGAAGACGACAAAAATAAGAAGCTACGCCACTAATCCTCTCTCGGCTGGAAAGCCTTTGTCCTGTCTTGCCAGTAGGGCGAGCCAATTATTCTGGAAGCTCTGCTGGGAACACCAGTCTCCATGCTCACGGAAGACATATCCCCCACATCCGGTGCGTCTACTGGATGACGTTGGTGCGACTATTCGGAAAATGACCGTTGTTCTCGAGCCATCTGAAATTCGGTCAGAGATACCCAGCCTGTCGTCCAAAATAGCAACGCCCTGCCCGCAGTACTTTGGGCAAGATGCATTACACTTCTGACGGTACCTCTTCTTCTGGGACCGTGACGGGGCAAAAGAACACCCGATGAAGCAGAAAAGAACCGATCCATCCATCCTGCAGATTAAAGTCATCGGCCGCCTGATCTTTCATTCATGCAGGAATATCCGTGCCTCGTGCCTTAATCACCCGAAGTTAGTGAACAGAGACGAGGGGCAAAGGGGAAGAAGAAGAAAAAGAAAAGAATCCAACGGAAAAAAAAAAAAAAAGGAAAAAAGGAAAAGGGAAGGGTTGTTTGAGACAGATCCTCAAGGCACAGGAACCTTGCTCTGCCTGTCTAGAACCACAAACCTCATTAAACCCCCTGTCCGGTGCTCGACAAAGACCGTTCGCCGGCGGACGAGCAAACCATTGGCTGTCCGCGATTGCCCAAGCTCGGACGCGCCCACTCCCAGCGCCCACAGCCTCTGTCAGGCGACTGGGGTCTGCACGGGATTGCTGGGGTGACGATCGCCGCCACTAATCTCTTCTAGCAGCATCTTAATTTGTCTCTGATGCACTCTGCCGTTTGCCGCTGCTCACGCTAGCACAGCTGACTTGACCGATGATGTTCTATACAGCGCGACCCGCTCAGCCTAGCACTTCCCACTATGTCAACAATTATAAAGTTCATTCCATTTAGGACCATTCAGATGTCTGCGCTCCTACGTTGGGTCATAGGATGTAACATGGACTTGGACCAATGCTGTGCATCTGCAGCATTTCTGACAGGGTCCAAGACGTTTAAGCATCAATTTACTTGATGCAACAAACATTTCTCTGCTCCCTCAGTATCTTTTTCTGGCTTCCCTCAGAGCGAAGTGAACTAGAGCCGGACTTGGTCAGAGAGAGACTAGGAAGTTAAGGAAATCAGGAACGGAAGCACGTACGCGATGGGTAGATGATCCAGGCTCATTATGCGCTCCGTAGTGTCGGAAGGAAACTGAGGGGTCTCCGATGAGGATAAAAAAAGACCTCAGATAGCACGGATCTGTCATTACTCTCCCGAAGGTCCCAACGGCCCTGACAAGGTCCGAACTCGGCACAAACTCGCGTTGGAGAGCGTGGTATTTGCCCGTCAAGCTTAATTTGGTAAATCGAAACCCCCAGGACTCTGCAGAGCACATCCTCTGCGGCATGCTCGCCAGGGTTGTTCATTGGGCGGTGCTAAGGGGCCAGGCAAAGACGGAGCAGTGGGCATGCTGTGGGTTGGAGAACGAAATGACATGATTCCATCGAGTATCTGGAAAACGAATATCAAGGCCTTTGCTCCCTCGTCCTTCACACTGCGGCTTTCCTCCCCAGTGGCTATTTCAACTCTCCAGCCAAACCCTCCTCCCCGTCTCTATCCACAACTGTGCCGTCAGATGGTCTGAGGACATCTTCTCAGCCTCTTCATCGACTACTTGACGCACGATTAGCCAGTCTTCGGCTTCGGATTCCTGGTCAGCGTCCGCGCTGGTGGCGTGGAATTCTTCATCTGCAGCAGTGGATGCAGGATACTGCCCATCACCATTCTGTCGGTTTCTCACTCACCTGTACGTACTCAGTTCTGCTTTCCCTCTCACCTCTCCTGCTTGTTCGTACTTGAATTCTCTCTGTTACTTGCCTTCGTTTTTCAATATTATTTTATGTTCCATCGTACCCCTACTATTTCTAGGCTTGTCCCGTGTCCTTGAAGAGAGGACCACTTCGTGATCTCTACACCTCAAGGATAAAGGGCAGAAGACACCGTTTCTTCGTCTCAGGTTGCAATTAATGCTGCTAGGTTTAATCTGTCAGCATGAAGTGCAGTAACTCCGAGAGCCGCAATGGAGTCGCCGGGCCTGTCACGTTTTCTCTACGAGTCTTCGTTTGGGTGGCTTCTTTTAAGTCCCATTCTATCTGTACCCACCACAGTTGCTTATTTCTTCTTCACTTCTTGCGCATCTTTGTCTTTGACTCTAATATGTCCAAGGTGTGTGTGGTTGTGTGTGTCTGCGGCAATTCGTCCTTGCATACTCTGCAGCGTACCTAGTCCTCAAGCCACCACCGGACCCGCCGTCTATCACTCTTCGCACCAGCGCGTCAAGCCCACGGCTCTTTGTCCCCGGCGTCTATCATACAAGCAAAAATACGCCGTCGAATCTTGATCATACGGGGCTAGCTCTAGGGTGCAAATAATCGCTGAATTCTTCTTTGGCGCATTCCTATACTCGGTGTCGTCAGAACCCAGCCGTACTGGTCGTCGTTTGCGGGTGTATTCAGCCTCTCACTAAGCCTGTTTGCTAACGGCCCTCGATCTCGAATCATAATCAGATTTTGGTCAAGGGTGGTATCTGCAGCGTGGCCCCAAATGAATCACTGTAAGAGACCCATCTTTCTGTTTCTCCTATCATTGCTTCTCTGTCAGATTCACAACCGCCCACCGAGGAGAGCTGGCCGTCATCTGTTGCTGTAATTCAAGCAGCAAGGCTGATGGCCTGCGATCTACATCCTAGGTGACGTTGGTCTCTCCCAATCGCCTGGCATTCCCACAGCCTGCGCTTTGGTTACACTATTTCTCGTTTTTGTCCCTCGTTCCAAATCTTCACCCCATTACTTTGGTTAAAATCGAGATTTCCCGCATGTATGTATGTCTTATCCTTGCCTGACAAGGATGGGACCCTATTTCAGTTTCGGCCAGCGAAGGAGCGATAGCCTCGCACCTATTTTCTTTTTCTTCTTTTTGATTATTGATTTCGTGGTATTTGTTTTTCCTGTATTACTGTTTCTTATTTTCCTCTCTTTTTTTATTTTTGCGATTTTTGCCTTTCGCTTGTTTGCTCGACGTTTATTTCCCTCTGACTCGTTCTGATCGCCATTTCTTCAACGAGCAGCGCTCCTGCAGAGTTCATTCCAGCTGGAACCCATCACCTCCGACGGTGATTACACCGGCACCCAGCGACAGTTCCCTGGTCCGACTGGTTTTTCTATGGATGACGAGGACACCCATCGTCGAAGTGGTGCTGTTGGCAGTCATCTCGCTCAGGCCGTCCAGATACCTGCCACCAATGGCTTGCGATATAACACGCAACAGTCTGCGATGCATGATTTACCGTAAGTTGTCTTCTGATTTCGACTGCTCTCGGACTCCACCCAGCTGCCTGCCAGCTTGCAGCCATTAGTTGCAGTCTTGTCTTCCCAATTTGAATGTTCCGGCCCATCGTTTTCATGCTTAGCCTTCGTCTTCTCTTTGTATGCGACTTGCTCGTGCTGCTGCGCCGAGCTCTTCCTTCTCCTGCCGTCAACCCCGTGCTTTTTGATCTCATCCACTTCGGGCCTTCTGCTATTGGGAACCCCAACATACCCTTGCCATTATACATGCAGCTACCCTCTGATTCATTTACCCATGTTGCATAGTCGTTATGTGTCGAGACCCGCCAAAAGTTTGCCTTTGACTTCTGCTTCTTCCGTCAAGTCTCGCCCAGACTATATTTACAAACGAATTTCCGGCGAGGTCATTTATCTAACCACCATGCTCTTTTTAGATATGGGACATCACCCACGCTCCAGCTTATGAGTCCTTCCGATTCCTGTTCCGGTTTGTCCTTTCCATCCATCCCATTCAATGAGAATATTAAGCAGCCTTGTGTGATTTTTTTAAGGCTAACGTCATCCGAAAATATTTGTTGTCCTCTTTACAGAGACTTTCTCTTCAGCAACAGGACCACTCTATTCCCACCATTCTGGTTTGGGGTACGATCGAATGCAAGATTACAGATCCCACCGAGTCACACTGTAAGGCTATTTCCTGTTCCTGCGATATTACAACAGTTAGTAACATGTTCTGGGGCTCGTTCTAGCCAACCACCCGCGGGTATGTCGTCAACGGCCCAGTCGCCAGGCAATGCTTCTTTTTTAGGAAGAGGCGACAATTACGCCGGGGCATACAGCATTCCCAGGGCTCCATTTCCTCCATTGGCAAGCCTCAGCGATATCACCAGAGCTTCACAGTATACGACTACATCGCGTACGCTCGACTGTGGTATAGATCGCGACCCAAATCTCATATTTGCCCAACCAGGAGCAATGTATTTGGACCGGGGCGTGCCTCTACGCACGGCTGATGCCCCGCCATTTAAGGACACAGACACGCTATTCCCCGTCATTTCTGGAAACCAAAATGTCCAACCAGAAATCGGGGCGAAGATCCACAAAGGGTTTTTCCAAGTTGATGAGAAGTGGACCTGCTATCGACGGAACTATTTCTCGATCTCGTGTTCGTTTTCCTTTCACCCATCAGCCCACGGACCATTCTTCCTCAAGAATGATATTCGAAACGAAAGAATTCATCAGTTCTCAATGTCAATATCAGCGATTGTGAATGAGCAACATGGCGAGGTCCGGGAACTTGTGCAACACACCCCAAAGCGCGACAAGCAGTCGGAGAGACCCCCACAAAGAGTTGTGCTGCAGCCCTCTCAAGCAACATCAATGGTACCGAGCCTGGGATCAACATCATCAGCAGGTCAGCATGGTTTTCCTTTGATGTCCCAATCTGCTGGAATGGGAATGGGAATGGAGTATAATTCCTCGTATGTCGGGGCTCCGCAGCAGCACCAACCTCCAACACAGCACACCTTCGAGCGAATCCAGTTCCAAAAAGCGACCGCAAACAACGGGAAGCGGCGCGCCCAACAGCAATACTACAACCTCGTTGTCGATCTCTACGCTGAGATTACTAGTCCGCTTGGCAACAACGAATGGGTTAAAATAGCCCGGAAGCTGTCATATCCGATGGTTGTCCGAGGACGTTCCCCTGGTCATTACAAAGATGGCCGGCGGGACAGTTCGACAAGTATGGGTCCTGACGGAGGAAGCGGAGGTGCTGGAGATGGTAGCGGTGAGGCAGTCCTTCCTCCAGGCCTGGGACAGGCTTCACGATCCCACATTGCTCTTTTGCCGTACGAATCGACTCAACGGGGTGGCCATAGTTACGGTAGAGCTGACTACCATCAAATGGCGACGGCGGATCACTCGCCCCTTAGCGCAAGTCCACACATTTCCTCTTCGTCATCATCCACCTTTGACATCGGCATGATGAGTGATTCTCTTGATCCAATGGACTCGATAAAAAGCACTTCCAGCATGGAGTCCTATCATGATCCAAGCTATGGGATGATGGATGTCCGGAAGGACACTCAGTATCGCGGCCACCTGCCCCCGCCTTTTGAGTACGGACCGGTCCACAAGACGAGCGACAGTCCTGAGACCACCATTTCCGAAGGGTATGATTCGATTGCGTCCATCGTCTCTAGCAACCCTAGTGATGGTCTTTTCCTAAGGCACCATCCACGGACAGCGTCGCAAGGCTACCATCATTCAAGCCCCGGTGGCTATGATACAGTTTACTCCGCTCGGTCTGGAAATGGGAGCGGCAGTGGGGGTAGCCCCTATTACCGGCATCCCTCATCTCAAAGCCTCTGCACTTGATCGTCATCCAGGGCTTCTACACGATTTTCACCCTTCATTTTCCCATCCTTCCCTGCTTGTGTTTGACCCCTTACCTCTCCTTGCTATGTCTGTCTGCAGCCCGAAACGAACGGATGAAATCTAAAAACAATATCCCAATCCATCTATCCTATTCGCACTCTCCTTCGATTTCTGCGGACTCCTTCACCGTCATTTCTAATAGACACCCGTATGAGCTTTCCAAATGCTTATCCCCACAGTGAAACTACGAAGCTTGGTTGTTTCGGCTGTTTCACTTTTCTTTTCTTTTCTTTTTTGCTTTTTTTTTTTTTGATTTCCTCAAACTGACACCTCGGCCCTTGCTTCTTTCCGTTCTTCTTCCTATTGTCATGCTAACGGTCTAATTTCCTTCGGGTGTAAAGCAAAGTGCGTGGGATTATTTGGCAACAACAAAAAACCATTTACAGGTAGACAATAGTGAGCATGGGCTTGAGCTTGGTTCCTCCATCGTTTCTCATTTATTCTCTCTTTCCTATTATATTTCTACTTTGTGGTATGGAGAGTGCAACCTTTGTTTGACAGGTCGGCGCACTGGGTGCAGATATGGAAGCAATAAACATGGTTGATTTGGACGAGACAGCAGTCGAGCCTGATCTGTCGATCCGCCGAATACAAGTCCGTCGAATTCAAAATAACTCCCTAAATTAATGAAATAATGGGGGGTGTGTTTTCTTTGTTTAATTTCTCCGAGATTGCAAGTCCTTGCACCAGAAGACTCCGCAGGCAGGTATGGAATCAAGGCACGACACGAAGTAATTGATGCGAAGGAAATTGTTTCCAGATTCAAAGCATCGCGCTGGAATCGTCGAGTGATGCCCCTTTTCCCTTTTCCAGTCTTGTTGACTTCCTTTGTCTTCCATCGCCTTCCCCTTTCCATTCCTCCTTTCGCTAGCTCCATCATCCCAGCCTCCACGGCCTTTTCCTTTTTCTCCCTGTGTCTTGTTTCGTGCATTTCTTTCACTTGACTTCTGCAAATTGCAAAATAATGGAAATTTAGCAGCGACGTCAAAGCTGCGCCTAACGTGGCAGATCTGCATCCACCACCAATCCGGCGCTGGAGGATCGACCGGCGTACATTAGACTGCCCGCCATCTGAATCAGAAAATCTATTCCCAGCTTCCCAAGTTTAGAGTCCGTCCTCTCGGCCTATTGGCGCTGCTGTTCTCTGCTGACACACTCCGCTAGTTTTCTCCTTCGTTCCTCAATGGTTCCACCCACCGGTCTCTTCGGCACGTTCCGTCCTCCCAGTCCCCAGTCCACGGTTATACGTACCTCCTTGGGTGACAGTGAGACAATACGATCTATCATGTTGGGAGCTTGAACGGAGCACCCGTTACCCAATGTGAGACACGGTTTCATCGTCACCGATGAACACCTCTCCGGCGTCCACTTCCTGGCAAGGCAGCGGCCACAGCTCCTCTCGGCTTTGTCTCCCAGAATACCAAGTAAGGATACCTGCCCGAGAACGCCGACCATTTTCCGCGTGCTAGAACCCCGGAGTTTTCCGTCCCTCTTTCATTCGATTGACCGAGACGTCATCGGACGGAGTTTGCGCTTTGTCCGCTCAGGACCGGCATTGATGGTCTTTTATCCTGGTTCCATGCGCGTGAGCAAATGAGTTGTCCCATTCCCTATTCGTCGACCCGCTGATCCCCACAGCAATCGGTCAAGCATGACGGGTTCTTAGGGGTCCCTTTTTTGTGCTGGAGCAGTTCATCTATCGGAGTTACATACTCCTCACCCGAAACGACGGTCACCAGTCTGCGGCTAGTGCGTGTTCAGACAATAGTGGGGGATCTCTCATCAATCGTAATGCAAGCGTCCTTCCCTGAGATGGCCCACTATGCACGTCGTACAAGGGGGGGAGATTGTCAAGTGCCCAAACGAAGACACCAGGCGTGCGACTTGCAGCGCGCCGTCTGTCAAAGGATATCGAAGGTCCAGGGTGGCCAATAGCAGCCCTGTTGATGCCATTGGAAAAGATATTCCCCAGGAATTGCCAATATGCCGGTATAACTGTCCATCCAATCTCCCTCCATCCCAATACACCGAAACCGGCTTCCCATTCCATGTCTTGAAAATATTAAGGCGCCAACTTTTCGCATCGCCCCCGACATGCGATCCGGCATCGAGCTCCTCTGTCTGACTCCTCGCAGCGCCCCACTCCTCCGCATCTGCTCTCCCCTACCTATCAGTCTTAACGCTCTCACCGGGGGCCGGAGGTGTGAGGGCTTGAGCCTCCGTCAGACACAGCCGTGGCGGGCCAAAATAACCTAGTCCCGAAAAGATCCATGTTTCATTTCGTATGTCAGATCGTCGATCCCGGTCTAGCGCTCGCTTCTCGGGCTTTCGTGGTGATGATCCTCAGCTCGACGTCTGGTTTACGGACGCCGATGAGCGAGGCTGGAGGTCGATGCTAATGCGTGGATGCCCTCTTTCATTACAGACTGCCGACTGGCTGCAGTAAGGAGGGCAGTCTCTATCCGGTCTGGATGCCCTCGATCAGCCAGCCACAAAATCCTTTGTTCTTGAAACCACAGCCTCCCTCAGTACTGTTTACACCTTCTTGGGGAAACTTGAGGTAGAGAAAGATACTCCGAGACCGGTTGTTATTCTTCACTAATACATTGCAGGATTAAACTATTTTTCAAGCCATTTGTGTATCACCAACTCCCGTTCCACAAAACGGTTATCCCCGGACGCTGTGTTGCGCCAACAAACCTCCGATGGGCCAGGGACGGCGCGCGGCAGCCTCTCCGCTGGATCCGAACAAAGACGACGATGATGCTTGCCTTCGCCTTTTTTGGACCGAAGAAAACTCTTTGCTTATCGATGATCTACCTATCCACCGGCGAATTCTTCCTCTCCGTCCCCAGCGTAGACACCGTTGACTAGCGTCCTGATCACCAATTATTTCCTTTTTTGTCCTTTCCGCTAGGGCTTAGCAGACCGCGTCAGACAATGGCTGTGATGGCCGCCGCAGCCTCCATCATCCTCATTGCGAAGCCAACCATGCCATTAGCCACACCTCCAATAAGCGATAACTGCTCTTCGCAAGCACCCTCGACACCTCCAGCTCCAAGTGCGTCACCTCTTTCATCTCCCAATCCGTCGTAGTCAATCCGAGCATGGAGCGCATCAACAACAAGGCCCGGCCCTGCGCGATGGTCAAACAGCAAACCCCAACTCAATACCAAATCCCACCCTCATTCGCTCAGTCCTTTTCCGCTCTCGAAACCCGAATGGCCATCTTCCGATCAAGCTCCGCTTGCTCCGCGGCTGTCGGAACCATTCCCATCGCCTGTTCGACCTGCGACGACGTCCAGAGCCCGATCGACGCCCACGCCATAACACCGATTCCGAATAATGCTCGCGTCTTGGGGGACAGGGACTTGTAGGAGCTATAAACAGAGAATGAGAAATCAAATCAGTAATGAACGGACAATGCGACGTGCTGCGACTCATGATTTGGAATGGGATCAATCTCTCAAACGGAGCTAGCTGGCTGGGGTCAAACAAACCTCCAAAGTGACATTTTGATTGCGAGTGGATGCTGTGTTGTCAATTCGTTCTGATCTTCTTTAAAAAAGGTATATATGTAGGTAGGAGAAAACTGGAGTTCGAATTGAGTTTCCCCCTGACGCAAGCTGTCTCTGTCACCTACTTAGAATAGAAAGGAGCTGTTCAAGGTTGCGGATGAGACGCCGGACGGGTGCCCTTTTCCTTAGCGTGGCGAGGAGAAATGCCCACTTATTCCGCCTTCCTGTTTGGCGTTGTATACATATGTTAGGTTGTGCCAGGCCTCAAGATTGCGGGATTAATAGTCAACTACGCATTTAATATTTTACAGATAATAGATCTATGGGTTCAGGTTAAAACATTGATAAGCTGATATAATAAGCACAGCATGGCTAGCACAGCATGGCTAGTCCAGCACACCAGCATTTAAACATAGCTTAACTAAGAGAAGCGAAGATGAAAAGACCACCGAAAGATATAAAAAATATAAAGATATGCAATCCATCGGGATATGCTTTATATAATCGAACAACATGAGGTAGATAGGTAAGTAGCATATAATTTGCATTAGATACAACGCAAACAAGCAAAGAAAATCGAAACGAGTTTACAGAACAGAAGAGAGAATCATACATGGCAAAAAAGGAAAGGAAAACAAAAAGGTATATGAGTTATCCATAGAGTTTTGGTCTTCGTTCATAGCGTGCGTGGCTACATCGTCGTAACATCAACATCAACGTCACCATTCATGTGCATGTGTATGTGTTCGGTCGCTCGCTTTGGGGATATGGTGTGTCTTTTGGTTTCCCGCCTGGATATGCAGGTTCAATGAAGAAGAGTTGAAAGGTACATTCAGAGACAGCGCGGAGAGGGGCGAGTTTATTTCTTCTTGTAGGCTTGGTCGATCTCCTTCTGGAATTTGCTGACGATCTTCCTGCGCTGGAGTTTTTGGGCGGCGGTCATGTAGCCCTGTTGTTTTGTTAGTGGATGATTTACTCAAGGAGGTGGGAATGGGGGTGCATTTAGTATAACGTACGTTCTGGGGAGTCCACTCCTCGTCAGCAAGGACGACACCGCTGATGATCTCAATTCCCTTGAGGCCGCTAGATCTACCGGCGGTCTGGAGTTGCTGAAGGACGATGGACTTCAGCTTCTCGTTGTGAACAAGGGTTTCGACGCTGTCACCCTCAATGTTGTTGTCCTGGGCAATCTTCTTCAATGCAGGCTCAACAGGAACGATGATGGCGATAGGCCTGTCCTGGTCTTCGGCAGCGAAGACGCAGATGTTGCCGACAACGGGGGAAGAGCGGTAGACGGACTCGAGCTTCTCGAGCGCGATGTACTCGCCGTTGAGCGTCTTCACAAGGTTCTTCTTACGGTCGATAATTTTGAGGTGGCCGTTCTTGTCGAACTCGCCGATATCGCCGGTCATGAACCACCCGCCCTCAGCGTAGGCCTTCTTGGTCTCCTCTTCGTTCTTGTAGTACTCCTTTGATACACTGCCTCCGCGGATCCAGATCTCACCCTGGGGCGGGGTGTTCTTGGTGTAGTATCCAGCATCCGGGAAGTCAACGAGCTTGACTTCGATACAAGCTGGGGGCTCACCGAGAGCGTCGGGGTTCCACGCTCCTGGATCGTTTAGAGCACCCATGGCTGAGGTCTCCGTCAGACCATAACCGCTGATCATGGGGGCGATGGCCATGGACAAGAACTTCTGGGTCTCCTTGGAGACGGGACCTCCACCGTTCATAACAATGCGCAGACGGCCACCAGTTGCGTCCTTCAGCTTGCGGAAGATCACGTTGTCAAGAAACCAAGCACCAATGCCTGCGCCGGGGAAGCCAGTAGACATCAGGAAGTTCTTGGCAGACATACCGCCCCAGAACAAGCTCTTCACAAGGACGTTGTTCTTGTTCAGGTTGGTGAGAACGCCCTTCTTCACAGACTCCCAGACCGCAGGGACACCAACGAGGATGGTGGGTTGGAATTCACGAATGTCGCCCTTGCAGTTCCGCATGGAAGCGTCGGAAAGTGTACGCGGGTTTCCATAGCCCATGGTACCACCCCAGAAGAGGCAGAGATTCTCAAACATGTATTCCAGGATATGAGATTGGGGGAGGTAGGTAAGCAGCGCATCCGAGGGACCGATGTAAGGACCGATAATTTCGTTGATTCCCGCCACTATATTCAATAATATTAGTTCGGAAATTCAAGAATGGATCTTTGAGGTTGAAAAACAAGAAAAACATACTTGCGGCAACAACATTGCCATGGGTAAGCGATACACCCTTTGGTGGACCAGTGGAGCCAGACGTGTACATGATGCAACACAGGTCTTCTGGAGATGGAGGAACAGGGTCTGAGGGGTTCTCCTCTCCCAGTTTCCGCAGGTCTTCGAAACTCAGGACGTTAATATGGCTGAATTCGTTCTTCAATCGGTCAAGATCCTCCTGCTTTGGCTCTTCACTGTTGTTCCAGATAATATGTTTGATGGATTTCGCTCGGTCCAGGACGTTCGCGAGAGACTTAAGGAGAGATGAGTCCAAGAAAATGGCGTCACTCTCAGTTTGCACCATGGAATGCGCCAATCCTTCCTCGCCCAGGGTATCATACGCAGTAACGATGGTCACAGACTGGGAAGCAGAGCCGTGAGACATCGCCAGCCAGTTTAAACTGTAAAAAAAAAAACCAAGTCAGTGTTTAAAAATCATCCTATACAGGAACATCACAACGTACCTCGTCGCACCGTAGAGGTGGACCTTGTCGCCCTTGTTCAGGCCGATCTTGCGCAGACCGTTACCAAGCTCCAGCGCCAGCTTCTCATACTCGATAAAGCTCTTGTAAGAGTAAGGACCCTTCTCAAAGTACGTCCACTGCTTGTCAACCTCCTGCTCTTGCCCATCGATAATCTTCTTGACCTTCTTAGTTTCAACGTGGGTTTTGATTAGGCGGCGGCTCGCAACTGCTTTGGCGTTACCAAAGATGCGCGCCGAGCGGCGGAAAGCATCGTAGGTTGTCGTCAGGTCATCGGCAGGTCGCAAAATCAGGCCATCCTTGGCCTTTGGAATACGACGGGGAATGGTCTCTCCTTCGACAGGTTCGACGCCAGGAACTTCGACGGTGAAAGGTCCCTTCTTGGACATGCGCGGGTGGATAACGCCCTCTTTCCTCGACATGGTGAAGGATTTGGGGGTGAGCGGCAACAAGGTGAAAAGGGGGAAGGAGGAAGAAATTGAATCCTAAATCGCGATCGAAGGATTATTAGAGCCTTATCGGGTTAATAACGAGATGGGTACGCACGTACAGGCACCGGCTCGAGCTCTAGGTGGTCTCGAGGATGAGAGTTCACTGAAAATGGAGACGGGGAGAGGTCGGAAATGCGGGGACGGAAAGCAGGGCGGTTAAAAGGGGAGAGGGAGGGCGAGGAAGAGGGGAAGCTGAAAGGCTAATGAGCTCGGAAAGAGACTTCAGGGAGCTTTGTCTCGTGGGGGAGGGAGCCAAAGGAAGAGGAAGAAGAGCTTGGACAATTAATGGGCAGTCTGTTAGCTGCGGCGATGAAGTCACAGTCTGGTGGCTGGGCATAAAGGGCCAGCTGTTTTCCACCACTCCTGACCAAGGATACTCCTATTTTCTTCTGTCGACTGTCTACAGCGAGCCGTCTACATCGTACATTGTAAAACTACTTTGTTCCAATCCGGACTGGCGTTCCACTGTGATATTAATGAGACAATGATATTAATACGCTCTGTGCACAGACGCCCAAAGCCCAGAACTTGGAAGTCACTCAGTTACCGCGGTAAAGCTCAGGCACACGGCCTAGTCTCTCACATCTGATCCTCCTCGATTCGAGGATTGAGTTACACTTTCACGTCGATGTCGGGAGCATCATAGCATCCCATTTGCCTACAGAGCTTTGTTGGGATTTTAGCCCCAACGCCGTCCCGAAGGGTGCGAGACTGCTAATTCCGACCCAGTTAGAGCCTCGCTCGGGGTGATCGTCGGGGGTCTCTCGCAGTTCACAGACAACCTTGCACCAGGGAAGTCCGGAGGATCTCCGCTTACGACGTAGATTCTCCAGCGACCCGTGGCACTGGATCCGTGATTCTGAAGATGCACGCGTGATGCTGCATTGATTGTATTGCTTACAACGATCTCTGGGGCACCTCTGTGACACAGAAACGTGGTCATGTGAGGTCGGGACGTTGGACTTGGCAGCCGTGGATTACTCACCACCCGCTCCACTTTGGCAGGCCAATCACAGGCCTCGGGTTTTGACTCGATGAAAAGCTGCATCTTTGATAGACTACGTATCAGACCTTCTCCCCCAACGATAGCCCGTCAACTATACATACCAACCCGGAGTAATCAGCGGGATGGAAAGCATAACAAGCTTCCTCTCCGCCATTGGGCAAGAGGTAGAAGATGCCGAAGAGGGTATGTCAAGCAATACAATACCTCTGCCTCGCCCGTGTACACATGTACTATAGTAGAAACCAGACACGGTAGTTGATCAATCTACTTAGAATCCTTCATCCTCTTCTCCCAGGACATCCCCTCCTCGAACCTAGGCTTCGTCGACTCGAAGGCTACGTCCGTTGACATCTCCATCCGCGACCAGGAATACACAATCCACCAGTCTCCAACGCTACTTTCATCTTCCCGCGCTGGGGGTACAACCGGTGCAGGTATAGATATATTCTTCATACATCTACTCACGCATCTCCTTTACTAACGAAGAATCAAGTCCTATGGAAAATAACCCCCCTCTTCGCAGAATGGCTCTCAGACCAGCCATCAAACCCGCTCTGGACACACTCAATCCTCAGACCCTCGTCAACAGTCGTCGAGCTAGGATGCGGCATCTCAGCTCTTACAGCCCTCGCCCTCTCCCCCCTCCTTGAACCACAGGGGAACGGGAGCGGGGACGGTCACTACATCGCCACAGACCAAGAATACGTCCACCGTCTTTTCCGCCAGAACCTACTCAGCAATCCTCCCCGGTCATCAGCATCTACCAAAAAGGTCAAGGCGCAGCCAAAGGGGAAAAGAGGGCAGAAACCCTCTACTACTACTGCTGCTGCTAATACTAATACTAATACTCCCGGTGATGAGGGCCAAAACACAAACCCACACGCAAACATCACATTCACATCCCTAGACTGGGAAACAGATCACCCGGAGACACTGAAGCAGCAAATCCAACACCAGCCAGCCTCTTCACAAGATAACGGCGATGATGAAGAGGAGGAGAGCGATAACGGCTTCGACCTCCTCCTCTCCTGCGACTGCATCTACAACGAAGCTCTAATCTCGCCCTTCGTGCGGGCCTGTGCGGAGATTGCGCGGCTGCGGCCGATATTCGATTCCAATACAGAAGGATCGCCAGTAGCTTATGGGCGGCGGAGGAAGCCAACAATATGCGTCATTGCGCAGCAGCAGCGCTCGCCGGATGTCTTTGAGGCGTGGCTGAGGGAGACGATGCGCCATTTCAGGGTTTGGAGAGTCGCTGATGATGTGCTGGGGCAGAGATTGGGGGTTGGGAGTGGGTATCTGGTGCATGTTTTGGTTTTGAAGGCATGATGGGTTCTTCATTTGGAATAGTCTTTGATGGTACTTTTTTGCACTTGGATAGAAGTAGTCTCATTGCTTAATATTAAAGTACAAAGGTTCGGAAAGATTAAAAGTGAGGATGGCCGTAGGTAAACATTATATATTAGAGATGGAAAACTATCGTAGAGATCCACCTGGTACACCATAACAAGAGGGTATTGATGCAGACAGACTGAAGCTCAAGTTTTTGTGCAGCTCAGCTCAGTTTAAACAATGCAAAGTCCAGATGCAAGATTTTTTCGGGCCAACAAACAACGAAAAGACAAATCAATACGATGCAATGCAATGCAATGGCCGTTTAGTTAATCAGTCAGTCACATTGGTGACAGCGGTAATAGTAACAGTGGTGGTCGCCCACGTATGTATGTATAATTGTATAGCCCGTATTTTATTTGGCCTCTGCGTTCTCTTTATTCTCGCCGGACAAGTCGTCCTTCGGGTCTCGCATCTTCCGCTCCATCTCAGCCACTGTATCCGCAAAACCAGGGAGTGGGGAGACGGTGCGTTCCCGCTTTCTGGGCGAGGGGGCTGACTCGGGCTCGCGGTCGATAATGGAGGAGATCGATTGCTTCGTGGAGCCATTGGTCTTGGGTATTGCGGATACGGTTGCAGGTACAGGGGTTGGTGCGGGAGGGTGTTCCTCCGAGGGTGTGAGGAGGGCACCTGGCGGCGGCAGCGGTCTGCTATCTGAGGATTCGGTCTTGACAACGGAGTGGACGGCGCTCTCGTCATCGGAACCTGTTGAGTATTCCATTTCCTGCGGGTATCCTTCGGGGTCTGTAGGTGCGGAGTCGATACGGCTTTCCTCGGTTGATGCGCGGTGGCCGTTGGCAACTGGAGGGAGCGGAGCGGCGGGGTCATAGACGACGCCACAGACTTCAAGGGCACGCGACTGGCTGCCTAGGCTGCGGTCCTTGTGTTTTTTGGTGAGGTGGCACATGAAGCCGTGCAGGGTCACAAAGTCGGCCTTGCCGCAGCCGGAGACTGGGCAGGTGAGATAGACCAGGCTGCCGTCTGATGGGCGTTTCCAAAGGGCTCGTCCTGAATGATCATGTGCTGCTGGTCGTCCGTGGCGCTCTCCCCAGGCTTCCACGTTCTTAATTGTATACTTTTGCTTCCGTCGGATGGAACCGGTGCCCGTTGGGTCGTGGTGCATATGTTGCTGATGATGAGGCGGTGGAATCTGTGCTTGTGGAGGCGGGGGAGGGGCAATGGTACGAGGTTCTGGCGGAGTTTGTTGCTGTAGGAAGGCGAGTGTAGTGGCTGCATTGGTTTCTGATAGGCGGCGAGGCGGCGTAGGACGTAGAGGGGGGGATTCGAGACTTGAATTATAGAGGCCCATAGATTCCCGCTTCAGCCGTTTCCGTTGCCTTCGCAGCTCCTGTCAAACAAAACATGAGTCAGAATGCGGTCTATATTTTTTTTTAAGTCGAGTGCAATTTTCCATACCTCTTCTTCTACCTCTGCGTTTTCCGTCATCCTACGAAATTCTTCATCCTCTCGCTTCCGGATAGCAAGTAAATGGCTACGGGCAGCCATGCGAGCGCCCTCTTCATGTTCTAGTTGCCTCAGGCGGGCCTCAATGTGGTCTATACTAGATACGCCAGGTGTTGGCGGTCCTTGGGGGCCTGGCGGCCCTTGGTCTTGCATTGGTGGTGGGTAGTGACGGAACGGCTGGTGGCCGTGCATCATAGGCTCCGGAGGCACTGGTTGCCCAGGGTTCATGGCAATGGGATGAAAGCGCGGTAGGCTCATATTAACGTGGTGACCAGGGATATTGCCGTTCATGCCATTCTCGTGCACAGAGGGCACTGGAGGTGCAGCAACTGTCATGGTGGGAGTGACTAGACGTCCGGCACAAGGTTAGTGGTACTGGTCAAGTTGTATTGGGTTCTTGACATAAGAGACAATCTGTAAAGACAATGGATGACTCGAGATGTATTTGAAGCGGGTGGTCTGACGAAGCGGATAATGACAGTCTGGGGAACCAAGCACTCAAGGCAACGAGTAGATATAACCGGGACAAGAGGGGAGGGGTGGGAAATGCAGCCAAACAGGGAAGAAGGCAAGCTCAAAGTACTGACAGTGAACGACGAAAAGACCTTCAGAAAATCACCCCCAGCCAGCGAACCTTGAGGAATCAACTGCTAGCGCGCTGCAGCTTGCCCGTTTTTCCTTTCTCTCCAGAAGTCCAGCGAAGACTAGGAGAATTAGCGACTCGAGATAACGGCCAAGCAAGGGATTTATTGACTGAGGTATCGATCCTACTGGATGGGGAATCTGTACGGATCAAGAAGTGGAAGAGGACAAAGTCAAAAACGGAGCAAGAAAAAGGAAAGCAGAAAAGACAGAAGGACCCTTGCCAAGGTGAATGTGATCGATTGGAGGTTCTTCCAGGCTGGACACTAAAAGGCAGCTAGCTCAACTAGTCGTTCACTCAAACCAGTGGGATCTTGCGGTCAAACAAGCCATGGAATCAAATGGACACAATTGGGACTGCACTAGCGAGCCGGTATCAGATGTAGTAATAATTGTCAATATTATGTCCTCTGCCTGGGGTTCTCAGTCCTCAGCCCTCCCCCTGCTCTGCGAATGGAATAAATTCAACAGCACCAGGTGGTTTTGCTCGACCGTCTGTTTTTCTTTTCTGCTTCCCCACTAAATTCTAACCTGTTCTTTCCAGTTGGCTGCGAGTGTCCCAGCGGTTCTCATAGGGGCGTTCTATGGATCGAGAACCCACTCCCGTCGCACTAGTGACAAACATAGTCATCTCAGCAATGTTGTACCTGGAATCAGGAATCCAGTCACCCCAGCCCTGCTGCTGAGGCACTTCCACACCTTCAGGCTGCTGTCGAATGAGGCGCGCAAAGGGCCAACCATGGAGAGCACACCGATTGTGCTGGACAGTCTACTGCAGTCTGGCCGGGCTGCTCAACAGTTTTGTTACAATGACTGGGCTTGTTTATTTTTAGGCCGCCACGGCCAATAGGAGCCCGATGATCTACAACCAATATGTAACACTTTAAATGAGAGGGAGAACCAAGTCGCCTGCCGGCGTTGTCCACTCTCGCGAATTCTGTCTGTGGGGAGCGAGTCTCTTGCGGCGGGAAGTGAGAACTGAGAAATCACGATAAACCGCAGAACCTGGGAACACAAAGACTGGAAACGGAGCTCAGCCCTTCAGAAGTCTGACTGGAAATTGTGTAATAATCCAAGTGGGGACGACACCACTCAAAAATCGTCAACAACCAGTGGATTCCCTGTTTATTATTAAATGATCTTCAAAATTAATTCTGTCACGAGAATCTGCCCTTCCAGTCGGAATTCGCATTCTTCACACTCACGGCACCTTCAATCAACAGTCAGGACGCAGGCTGCTTTCATTCCAATCGGATGATGCCATGGTCTAGTCCGGTTCTCCCCATTCTCCGCCAAATCCAGTCTTGTTGGAGGTTTGTCATTTGCATTTGTGTACCGCAATGATTTGCTCCTTGGCTGCACTGTTTCTGCACGTCTCCCAGTGGAGAAGAGCCACAGCTCTGCTGATAACAGAAAGTACCGACTCCCTGCTTACAATCAGAATCTTCCATCAAACACCGTCGCATCTCGATTCATCTTGAATCTTGCCCTTGGAACTTAGTCTTGCAGTTGCACTATTATTCGCTGGCTGGTCGGTTTTCTCGAGCGCCTCGTAAAAAAAAGTACCCAACCCAGTTGCTCGCCAGAGAATTAATGTTTGACCTTAAGCCTTAAACCCGTTTATTATTGAACTATATTCCGCTCAGTCAGCTGCTCCGACTAAACCAGATCCGCTGCTGGCTGGATCCGGAATCTCTGGATCGCGCATGAGTCCAAAACGGCAGCCTGAGCCAACTGTCTCGGACAGAATACTTCCTTCTCTTAGTCTTGACATTTGACACTGACAGTGACAACCCCCTGCTGCTGCACTGCTGCTCCTGCTCCACTAGTACGGACTGCTGTACTGGAGTAACGTAGGACTGACCCAAGTCCAACTGTTACTGCATGCATTTCTCCCGCCCAGCCCCTTGCCAGTTGCGTACCAGTTGCCAACTCCACCAGTGTCCCGTCCCTCATAGTCATACTGACATCTAACCTACATGCTATTATATTAAATCATTATTTGCTCCAACTCCAACAGGACAGAGTGTGCCTCAGAATCAAACACGAGTGGAGGAAGCCAATTTGGAGCTAAACTCTCCCCAGGAACTAGAGCATGAGCCAGCTCCTCAGTCCACTTTATCTACTGGAGCCCGGTTTGGCCAGCTGGCGCGCAGGGCCAACACAACACACACACTACGAAAGCAGAACCTGAACTGGAATTGGATGGGATGGACCCCGGTTGGTTGTTTGAGATATGGATCCGGGCTTGTTTGGGCGTTAGGCCGCTAAGGCGCGAACTAGCTGAGTCTGAGGCACTTCGAAACGCTGAGTGGGCACGCTGGGCATGTCTGTGGGTTCCTTAGACTCGATAGATGTACATGGCTGGGAAGAAATGAGAAAGTGAGGCGCCGAGGCTCGAGCTCGGAGTCCTGTGTTGGAAAGTTGGAACTTTCTGTGTGCAGCTTTCTCCAGATTTCTGGTGTCCGTGACTGGCTGCTGCCCTGCTTGTTGTCTGTCTCCAACATCTTCAGTTTCAGAAGGATTCAAGAAGATTTCAATTTCGATTTACATTTTTTTTTGTCAAGTTTTTTTGGTGAATCGAGAGGAGAATTTCCTATTCTATTATCTCACACGCTCCAAGCCCACCAACCACATAATGCTTGCTTTTGTGGTCCCAAAGCCGTAATGTCATTAAGTTACAAATTTGTAGGCAAACCCGCAATCCATCCAATGGTTGCTTCCCCGGTTAAATCAGTTTGCTTGCCCGATCAAAGGGTATGAAGCATAGCAGGACATTTGGAAAAGAGTAAAAAAAGGAGGAAAAAAAATCAATGACTTAACACCCGTACACCGAGACAAGGGCATCTCAAACAACCCCATCAGTATGTATACACAGAATGCAGAGAAATAAAAGGGGGATGATATCTAGAAAAACAGTAGGGGAAAATAGTAAAAAATACAAAGAGGCCACCAACAAGCCTGGTGTTTCATCGAGCATGGTGCTCAATCATGGTAGTACATTTATTGCTTGTTCTCGCCCTGGCCATTCTCGCCCTGGGGAGGCTGCTGCTGCTGCTGCTCAGACTGGGCCTTGTGCATCTTGTCGAAGAGGGTCAAGCTGGCAGTCTGGAGCTCATCGGTCTTCTGCTTGAGCTCATCGGCGGTGGCGGCAAGCTCACCAGACTGGTTCTTGGCAACAAACTCGCGGAGAGTGTTGATCTTCTCACGGATCTGCTCAGCCTCAGCCTTGTCAAGACGGTCCTCGAACTCCTTGAGGGCCTTCTCAGTATCATTCAGGACAGAGTCAGCACGGTTGGCAGCCTCAATGGCAAGCTTGCGTTCCTTGTCCTGAGCACCGTACTTCTCAGCATCGTCAACCATGGACTGGATCTCAGCGTCAGAGAGACCGGAGCCAGAGGCAATGGTGATGGACTGGTCCTTGTTAGTGGACTTGTCCTTGGCGTGGACGTGGACAATGGAGTCAGCGTCAATGTCGAAGGTAACCTCAACCTGGGGGACACCACGGTGGGCAGGAGGAATGCCAACAAGCTGGAAGTTTCCAAGCAGCTTGTTATCCTTGACAAGCTCACGCTCACCCTGGAAGACCTTGATCTCAACAGCAGTCTGGAAGTCGGCAGCGGTAGAGAAGGTCTGGGACTTCTTGGTGGGGATTGTGGTGTTGCGGTTAATCAGACGAGTGAAAACACCGCCAAGGGTCTCGATACCGAGAGAGAGGGGTGTGACATCGAGGAGCAGAACGTCAGTAACCTCACCAGCAAGGACGGCACCCTGAACAGCGGCACCAATGGCGACAGCCTCATCGGGGTTGACAGACTTGGCGGGCTCACGGCCGAAGATGGACTTGACGGACTCGGTGACCTTGGGCATACGGGTCATACCACCAACAAGGATGATGTCCTGGATCTCGCTGGACTGGAGGTTGGCATCCTTGAGGGCCTTGCGCACGGGTTCAACAGTGCGGTTGATGAGAGGGTCGACAAGAGACTCAAGCTGAGAGCGGGTCATCTTGAGGTTGATGTGCTTAGCACCGCTGGCATCAGCAGTGATGAAGGGAAGGTTGATCTCAGTCTGCAGAGAAGAGGACAATTCAATCTTGGCCTTCTCAGCGGCTTCACGGATACGCTGGATAGCCATGCGGTCACCGGAGAGGTCAAGACCGGACTCCTTCTTGAACTGCTGGACAATGTGGCGAACCAGGTTGATGTCAAAGTCCTCACCACCAAGGTGGGTGTCACCGTTGGTCGACTTCACCTCGAACACACCCTTCTGGATCTCAAGAACAGAGATATCGAAAGTACCACCACCGAGATCGTAGACAGCGACAACACGGTCAGCCTCCTTCTCAAGACCGTAGGCAAGGGCAGCAGCAGTGGGCTCGTTGACAACACGGAGGACGTTGAGACCAGCAATCTGACCAGCATCCTTAGTAGCCTGACGCTGGGAGTCGTTGAAGTAGGCAGGGACAGTAACGACAGCGTTCTTGATGGGCTTGCTCAGGTAGTTCTCAGCAGTCTCCTTCATCTTGTTGAGAACGAAACCTCCGATCTGAGCGGGAGAGTACTTGTTGCCACGGGCCTCAACCCAGGCGTCACCGTTGGTGTGCTGGACGATCTTGTAGGGGACCTCCTTGATGTCACGCTGAACCTCAGCATCGGTGAATTTGCGGCCGATGAGACGCTTGGTGGCGAACAGAGTGTTTTCAGGGTTGACAACAGCCTGGCGCTTAGCAGCGATACCGACAAGACGCTCACCGTCCTGGGCGAAGGCGACGACGGAGGGTGTTGTGCGGGCACCCTCAGTGTTCTCAATGATCTTGGGCGTCTTGCCCTCCATAACAGCAACAGCAGAGTTGGTAGTACCTGCATATCCATGTTAGCGATGCGCGGCAATGCGACTTGTGATGGTCGAGACCAAGCTGTACTCACCCAGATCAATACCAATGACCTGGCCCTTCACCTTCTCTTCCGTGGAGTTCCATCGCCGGGCAGCGGTGCTAGGGAGTCTGAAAGCAGGGGCGCGAGCAAAAGGAGCAGCGCGCGGGAGCTGGAACAGGTTCAAGTCAGCGTCGATGTAATTGTTTGCAGCGCAGCCGTACAAGGGGCAAAACCTACCGCGCGGACAAAACGGGATGAGAGCATTGTGATGGGAATATGAGAAGGGTAGAAAATAAAATAATACAGGAATTAAAAGATTATAAAACACACTCCAGTCGATTCAATCGAAAGGAGAGAAGGATGGATGGAAGGGGTATAGGATGGAGAGATGGAGAGGTGAAGAAGAGATGAGGAAGAATTTTTTGGCTTCTTTTCGGAGAGGAAGAAACTGGAGGAAGGGAGACGGCAAAGAAAAGAGGACTAGTGGAAATTGCGCGGAGAGCTTCGGCCCGTCGTCGAACTTGGTAGAATCACGGCTGCTGGCCTGTCTGTCCAATCACAGTGCCGTAAATCAAGCTTCACCTTTGACCGTCTGGGCAACCGATCTTGCAGCTCGACTCTGCTCAAAATTTCAGGGAGATGCTAACATCTTCCAGGAAGGGTTATTTCAGCGGGGACTCTTCTTAATCTCTACAGAGGGCTCATGATCTCTACATATCTTGGTAAATAGCTCAACTCCAGCCTCGTCCCGGTGTTTTCAAGCTCCAAAGTGCCACGATGCACCACACGTGACCCGTCTCTTCGGAAGCCCGACCGAGGCTTTGCCGCGTTTCCTCCGTTATACGGATGGATAGCCGGAGAGCTGTTGCCACTGACATGCCAAAGCGAAGGCATCGTTATTATGTATCAGTTTGTTAGATACTAATAATAAATATATTACTGTGCTGTTATGCGTTCTTTAGATGTCGAAGTTAGTAATTCCGCCTTGATCCGCAAATTCATCGATCAATTTTTTGTATATACCTTGAAGGTTAGCTCAAAATATATATTTGCCTTTATAGCAGAGCGCCATGGATGAGCTCCATTAACAGCAAACACATTCGAAGATCGACTTAACCATAGGATCACACCACTGCTCCAGCTATGAAAAAACCCAGAGAGAGAGGGACTCCACCTGGAAGACAAAAGACTCGAGCTCTATTATTGCATTATTCGCCGCTTGCAAGTTCCCCGGATCGAGCAATAATTATTACGTCATCCGTCCGACATGTGAGGCCTTTGACCTCCGGACTCGTAACATCAATACTTACCTCAAGACCGGGGGGTACTAACTATCTGGGGTTCACTTTTCGTTTCTTTTTTTTTTATGATCACAAGCTGGAACCCGCCAAAACAAAAGGAAGAAATTACTTGCGTTTAGTTGTAGTTTGTGACCTATGGTCTGAGCTGGCCAGCGCCAATCCTCCAGCTATCTTGACTTTCATGGGATTTGGGTAACAGTCCTCAAGCTCCACCACACCACTTATTCTTCTAGAATAAGACTATCGCCGCCACAAAGCTCGAACGTTTCTCCGTCATCGTTATCGCTTGGCTGCTCGCTGCTCGCTGCCTCACTGCCTCACAACAACAGCGCTTCTTCTTTGCTGCCACATTCAACAATGTCACTCTGGTCTTGACCGTCTCTCATCATGACTACGGATCCCGCGCTGTCGTTAGTATAACCCACAACTTCCAGCCCAGGACCCCCCCAGGCTCCGATAGGGTTGCTTTGTCCCGTCGTGTGCTAACGCTACGCAACCTGGCTTAGGTATCACCCTACCGAGTCTCTCGTTCTTCCTACAAAACGCCGCTTTTTCCCTTTCAAGATACCTAACTAGTCTGTCCCACCCTTGCCTTGGTCAAGTTTGTTACAGTGTTGGCCTATAGACTAACATCCTGTAGCCATCAACAACTCCGACACTACATCAGCACTTCCGACCGGGATAGAATCTACGTTATCGCCGACCGGGTGGTGTATTCAATTCACATTTCGTCGCGGAAACGGGAAACGATCGCAGTTATTTCATTCGAGCCGAAGTGTCTTGCTGCTGGATATGGCTGGATTGGTATTGGGGGTACCAACAATGGCGAGTGTGCTTTCGTGAAGCTTTCCGATCGCAACGTGCGTGTGTCTCGCGGCCCGCCAACAGAGCAGCCGGCGGATGTAGATAGCGCTTTACCAATTGACCTTGAAGCTTCACAGAGGGCTTCGCCACGAGAGTCGACGGGGTTGGAGCAACCGTCAAATTCGGGCTTTGGTGCCAGCCAATTGCCAGAGGTCCAGCTGCATAAATTCGGCGGTAGTATCGTCAACTCCGTGACTATCCATCGTCTACCTGGCGATGAAAAAGGATTCACAGACGAAGATGTTGCGGTTCTTAGGTATTACCGTGCATATTCATTCATATTCGGTTTAGAGCCTGCTAACTTTCTTTTTTTTCTCGCTTGCAGCAACAATGACAAATCAGTAACCATCTATTCAATGACGCGCTCGAAAGTTCTGAAGAAACTCGGTCACCCGGCGTGTATGAACTATGCGGCCATCTCACCAGATTCGAGTCTTCTGGCTGCAGTTGGGGATGAATCTAGCGCCTATTTCTATAGCCTTACTCGTGACCTCTCGACCGTGGTTTCCACTGAGACAGGAGAGAAGTTGAGTGGCTGGACATTGGACCGCATTCTTTGTATCGAGATGGAGCTGGGCCCGAAGATCGAAGATAAATGCTGTTTTACCATTGCGTTTTCCCAATCCAATAGACTGTGTGCCATTGGATCGCAGTCCGGAGTGATTACGGTTTTCGATGTTAGGAGCATCCAGGAACCCGCTATCACTCCTTCCAACAAGAGTCCAATTGTCTGCTATTTCAACTCGTCGAGGTCTTGCTTTCATGGCGGGGCTGTGCGTTGTATGAGCTTTTCACCCGAACCTTGGGATCTCCTTGTATGGCTCGAGGATAAAGGGCATGCTGGAATTGCAGATGTGCGTCAGGCTTTTATGCGGAGACAAATACTTGAATTCGACACGAATGAGTCAAACGACGTCGAGGAAGTTGATACGGAGCCGATAATTGACGAATCAACAGAATCAAGGTTTAGCGTGGACAGGCAGCCTTCTCCCGAACTGTACCACGATCTTGATTCACGGGCGTTACTTGACTCAGTTGAGGGCAATTTAGATGATCAGGATGGTGACGGATCTGATACCTCACCACTGAGGGAAAGTTTGATACAAGACTTAACGTCAAGAGAGAGAACAATCGTGCAATTTCTGAATACAGCACGCTGGACATCAACGACAGAAGATGACCTGACAGATCGGGCAACCAGAGATAATGCTAATGCGCACCCGCCTTTTGGGTCTCGCACAAGACGTCAAGGTCTCACAAGTGGAGCCGATCGAGCACTTCGCCCTACTTCACCTCGGCCTGTCATACACCCACCAAGCAACCACGAGACTAGAAACCGGAATGCGAATGTGGACAGCCAAACGCCGGATCCACAACCAAGTATCACACTGAGCTGGACCACTTCGCCGGACGAGCTACGGTCCGCTACGCTAGATACTCCGGCTCATCCTGTGGAATCAAGCTCCAGTGACCAAAGTGGCTCTAGTAACGAGGGTGGGAATGGGAGTCGGCTTCGCAGGACCGTAGCCCGACCAACGGCTAATTTTGACTACTCCAGTACTACTCCAAGTTCGATACCACGCCCAAGAAATCACCAGCGATCTCGGTCTGTTCATAGGCGCCCTGAAAGGCAAGACGATGATGACCCGACTAGCTTAAGAACGAACCCTGTGGCATTTGAGCGCCTTCGACGCCAGCGACAGCTCATTAATGAGGCAGATACCATGAGTCGAAATAGTATGCGCGGGCAACGGTATACGCAGCAACCACCGTTAGGTATTGATTACGGCCGCCCCGCGCGGATCCGAAGCGTGATCCATGATCCGCCAGAGCATACCTTTGGGTATGGGCGCCGAGATTCGGATCCAAACTGTTCAGCTGGACTTGGATTTGGTGCCGATGGGAGATCGTTGTAAGCAGAAATAATTTTTTATCCTGGCAGGTGCAGGCTGACTCTAATTTCCTAGATATATCGCAACCGTGACTGGGATCTTTGAGTACCAACTAAACATCACGGACCGTAAAACCTTCCCAGTGATGACCTACAGATAACTAATATTTATTGCAAAACTGGTTGGATCATCATACGAGCACCACAAAAGCAAAACACCCACGATTAACTAATTGTCCTATTGTCGGTTTCAGAATTGAGTTTGTTTGTGGGCGAGGACGCACGACTTCTCTTGCCGATGACTAGCAAAAGCTATTGCTGATACGAAAGGCTAAACGTTATAATGATTCTAATTCTCATGTTCTCTTTCCATCACATTATTATGAGGCGCACTGGGTTTTCAGGAGTGTTGTATGGTTCCTGTTGGTTTCAATTTCTTCTAGTGCACCAATGTGGCGTTGAATTTTTTTTCCAAAATAAGACTCTAATTTAATAGCGAATAATATTATTGTCCCATTCAAGTTTACAGTATATAGAAAATATTGAACCAGGCCTTCACTATTGTTCTTCATGCCCATTCACTATATGTTGTATGGGACTCGTATCTGGGATGGCTGCCACCAAGCCAATGCAGGTCTCCACCCGCAACAACGTCAGCGGAAAGCTCTTGTGTCCCCCACCAAGACACCCGCCTTTTCAACTGCTGTGTTTCGCCGTGGAAGCCTAAGAGCATACACTCTCAATCCAACGATCCATGAATTATCTTCGCATATAGTCAGGTGTTTCTTTTTATTAGCGGGTTTTCATAGCTTGCCAGCGCTCGCGGAGTGGCTGTCGAAGCCATTGACTCGGCTGAGGTGTACTGCTACTCCTCATCCCAGACTTCTCTCGAAAAGATATCGCTAGCATCGATATACATGCCCCCATGGAGACTCTCACATCAACCCTAGCCGGGCTCAACCTGGACTTGCAAGGTATCGAGGGGAAGTCCTTTGATGCACGCCTTGAAGAGGAAGAGAACGGCACTTATCAAAATTACGCCCCTCGCGCCAGAACACGCCCATCTGTCGCCGAAACGAGACGTGAGCTGGAGGATGAATTCCTGAACCCATCGCCTCGATTTAACTCTGAATGGTTGAATCGTTTACAGAGGTAGGCTCTGCCGTCAGCTTCTGACCGATTCGAGTGTTTCGGCCTTGATGAGTATGTCATTGACAATTTACTAGGAGATGGGATACATCAACGGACTACACTGACATTTTCGAGGTTGCCGGCACGCAAACTCGGACTATTGTCCGATTTGATCGCGAAGGCCTCGAAGGGCGTGTCACGGGATATCACGAAGTGACTGTCCCTGCTAATAGCGCCAATGCGAAGAACTCGACGTCTTTGCTTCGCCGGCCGGCTGGCCGTGCTGATTTTGTAAGGGGCGCTGCGGGATTCTTCCCGTTTGCTCCTGGCGGGTTGGATGGCGTTGAGGCGATTGCCGAGATGGAGGAAACGCAGACACCAGGGGCCCCAAGTTCTGGGGGCAAGCAAGCTGGTTTGGATCGCATCATTAATTTTGGGACTGAGGGAGGCTTACTTGAAGCTGCACCTGGCTTCTCGCGCGGACTGAAGTTTGAACAGGCAAAGTCCAAAGAAGCTGCAGAGGAAGATGAAGAAGTTGAACACACGCTTCAGGAAGAGGATGAAAAAATCAGTCCCGATCTGGATGAGACAGCTTCTGATGTGGAAGGGGGCGTGAAAATCGAAGATGAGGAATCGGACCAGGACGAAGAGGAAGAAGATATTGACTCGTTATTGCCTGTTGAGTTCCCCTCTCTAGAGCCGCGTGCGCCGCTGCTCTCGACGTTGCAGAAAAAGGGCGGCAAAGAATGGGCTCATGTTGTGGACGTCAACAAAGAAATCTCCAATTTCCATGAGCTTGTGCCGGATATGGCCCGCGAATGGCCATTCGAGCTGGATACTTTCCAGAAGGAAGCTGTTTATCATCTGGAGGGCGGAGACTCGGTCTTTGTGGCTGCACATACATCAGCTGGTAAAACAGTCGTCGCGGAGTATGCCATTGCGTTGGCTGCTAAGCATATGACAAAGGCCATCTACACTTCGCCCATTAAAGCCCTCAGTAATCAGAAGTTCCGCGACTTCAAAAATGAATTTGATGATGTTGGTATTCTGACGGGTGATGTTCAGATTAACCCGGAAGCAAGCTGCCTTATTATGACCACTGAGATTCTACGGAGTATGCTTTATCGTGGTGCAGATCTCATCCGAGATGTCGAATTTGTTATTTTCGACGAAGTCCACTACGTGAATGACCTTGAACGAGGTGTCGTGTGGGAAGAAGTCATCATTATGCTTCCCGAGCATGTCACCCTCATTCTCCTCTCGGCTACAGTGCCCAATACTCAGGAATTCGCATCCTGGGTGGGCCGAACAAAGAAGAAGGATATCTACGTTATATCGACAGCCAAGAGACCCGTTCCCCTTGAACACTATCTTTGGGCTGGGAAGAACAAATTCAAGATTGTTGACTCCAACAAAAGGTTCCTCGAAAACAACTGGAAGGAAGCAGATGATATCATATCAGGCAAGGACAAAATTAAAGCCCAGAAAGCGGCCGAGGCCCAAGCACAGTCTCAAGCGAGCAGGGGTGGTCCTCAAGGACGGGGACGTGGACAAGCTCCTGCTCGAGGGGGGCCGAGAGGAAACGGACAACGCGGAGGCGGACAACAACGAGGTAGAGGCGCGCCAGCAAACCGAGGAACAGGAAATATTGCTCGTACGGGTAGAGGTGGCGGACGTACAACTGCCGCCCAGGACAAGACTGTCTGGGTGCAAGTTGTCCAACATCTGCGTAAGGAAAATCTACTGCCGGCTTGTATTTTCGTCTTTTCGAAGAAGAGATGCGAGCAAAATGCCGACTCGTTGTCTAACCAAGATTTCTGCAATGCCTCTGAGAAGAGTCTTATCCATATGACTATCGAAAAGTCCCTCACCCGACTCAAAGTTGAAGACAGGACATTGCCGCAGATCCTTCGACTTCGTGAGCTACTGAGCCGAGGCATTGCTGTTCACCATGGTGGCCTCTTGCCAATTATGAAAGAAATTGTCGAGATTCTGTTCGCGAAAACTTTGGTCAAGGTCCTCTTCGCTACCGAGACCTTTGCCATGGGTCTTAACCTGCCTACCCGCACAGTCGTCTTTTCTGGATTCCGCAAGCATGACGGCAAAAGTTTCAGAGATCTACTGCCAGGTGAATACACTCAAATGGCAGGACGTGCTGGACGAAGAGGCCTCGATAACGTTGGTTATGTGATTATTGTGAACTCTGGCAAAGACGAGGCTCCCGCTGCTGGTGCTCTCAGGAAGATGATCCTTGGTGATCCAACGAAACTTCGATCACAGTTTAGGCTTACGTACAACATGATCTTGAACTTACTGCGGGTCGAAGCCTTGAAGATCGAAGAAATGATCAAGCGAAGTTTCAGCGAGAACGCTACACAGGCCTTGCTTCCCGAACACGAGAAGCAGGTGCAAATCTCAGAGGCCAGTTTGGAGAAGATTAAACGAGAACCCTGCGAGATTTGTGATATTGACATTGCCACCTGCCATGACGCATCGGTTGAATACGGAAAACTCACGAGCGAGCTACACCTCAATTTACTTTCGTCACCCGTTGGCAAACGCCTTCTTATGCCAAAGCGACTCGTTGTGTATCGGAAGGATGGATCGCGAACCGCAGGTGTTATAGTGCGAGAAGTCGGAGGCGGTCCTAACCCGGTAATCCAAATTCTTGAGATAGGCAAATTGGCCAGCAAGCGCCACCCAAGCGAGATTCTCCCATTCCTACCTGCGTTCCGAGGATTCATGAACCCCCTCCCAACCCGCGCAGCTGATATGACCTTGAAGGTCTTCAAGATCCCAATCACCGATATTGAATGTGTTACCAATACCCTTGTTAAGATTAGTGGCCCGGCGTGGTACCTCAATATCAAGAAAGGTTTGTTACAATATTTTAGACACAAAGAACTAGCTAACTTTCATTATAGAGGCGGTAAAGTTCGCAGAGAAGGAGTTGTCTAAACTATGCTCCTCATGGACCACACCGACCTGGGATGAGCTAGATTGGGCCCGCATTAAAGAATTGCAGCTGAGGGATATTCTCGACAAACGCCGCGGGTTAGCGAATATTGCTCAGTCATGCGACTGCTTGAAGTGCCCCGATTTCTTGAAGCACTTCGAGATGCAGCGTGATGAGTGGCAGATCAAGGAGAACATTTCACAGCTGAAGCAGCTCATGTCGGACCAGAACCTCCAGCTTCTTCCTGACTACGAGCAGCGTATCCAGGTACTGAAGGACCTCGGGTTTGTCGACGAGCAGTCCCGCGTGCAGCTGAAAGGAAAGGTCGCTTGCGAGATTCACTCCGCAGATGAGCTGGTTTTGACAGAACTGATTCTGGAGAACGTTCTTGCTGAATACGAACCGGAGGAGATAGTTGCACTCCTATCCGCTTTTGTGTTCCAAGAAAAGACGGAAAACGTCCCAACATTGACCCCCCGGCTGGAGAAGGGCAAGGAAGCTATAGTTAGGATTTCAGAGAAGGTGAACGATGTGCAGATCCAGCACCAGGTAATTCAGTCTACGGAGGACAACAATGACTTTGCCAGCCAGCCGCGGTTTGGGTTGGCAGAGGTTGTCTACGAGTGGGCCAAGGGGATGTCGTTTAACCGGATTACGGATCTCACGGATGTGATGGAGGGGACCATTGTGAGAACTATTACTCGGCTTGACGAAACTTGCCGGGAGGTGAAGAATGCGGCCAAGCTGGTTGGAGACCCGACGCTCTACGCGAAGATGCAAGAAGCGCAGGATAAGATCAAGAGGGACGTAATTTTTGCGGCGTCCCTCTATATGTAGGCTATGAGTTCATAGTACAATGTGGCTGATGAGAACCACGTGGGTAGCAACAATGCGGTCTTTTATTTTTTTTTTTTTTCTGCCAGAAGAATTCGTGATCGCACGAAGTGGGAATAATCAGGCACAACTGCACTACCAGCCTATTAGGGCTGTCTGTCATGAAGAATTTACGAATTGAACATTTACCAGAGTGTATTTCAACATATCCTTCACTGTAAGGTCCAATATCCGTCCCCTGAGCCAAACGGTTTGACGAAAATTCTCTTACCGCGCGCGGGGCGGCAGGCGGTCTGATTCGCTGCCCTAGACGCGGGGCCAACACCGCCTGAAAATCCACTGAGAGAAAACCGAAAGTTACCTCTCCCTATTGATCCCCCTCTTATCTTCCCCTCCTTGTCCCCTCTCGCCTCCTCGATTACGCCACTTCGTCAAGGGGTTTTTTTGTGCCCCGTCTATTTTTTCTGAGTCTTGATTTCTGCAACCTGGGGGTCGTTGCCGGAGCGAGATGGATGTTGCAGTACTGCGGAATCGCATCCAGTCCACACTAGATGCCAATGCCGACATTCGACGGCAGGCGGAGCTTGATTTGAAATATGTATGTGCTGGGCGGTGGGATGTGCCCCTGGCGGTGGTTTTGCTGACGATTGTCCTTTTCTTGTCTAGGCCGAGACGCAACCGGGTTTCATAAACGCTCTGCTGGATATCCTTCAGGGCGAGCAGGTTAATGCCGTTCAACTGTCCGGTACGTTGTGTCGACATATTTTCCTATTTTGCACAGATCAAAACCATTTTACTCTTGCGGCCGATCTTTTCCCGCCGATGGTTTAGACCACAGCTTTTACTAACCGCGGGGTGATCGATAGCGGGTGTTTATCTGAAGAACCGAATCAACCGGGGATGGAACAGTCTGGAAGATAGCCCGTTACGCGCGCCGATTCCTGAGGGCGAGAAACCAGGATTCCGAGAGAGGCTGATCCCTGCCTTGGTATCGACACCCCCGAACGTTCGCGCCCAGCTCGTCCCTCTACTCCAGAAGATCCTTCAACATGACTTCCCGGAACAATGGCCCGGGTTCCTTGATATCACTATGCAATTGCTTGGTACGAATGATGCGGGCTCGGTATATGCTGGTCTGCAGTGCTTGTTGGCCATTTGCCGTGTCTACCGGTTTAAGGCCGGAGACAAGCGGGAGGAATTCGACAAGATCATCGAACATTCTTTCCCTCAATTGTTGAGCATCGGGTCAAAACTCGTGGATGAGGAAAGTGTGGAGGCGGCGGAAATGCTTCGCATAGTGGTGAAGTCATACAAACATGCGATCTACGTGAGTAATCCGGATACAACCAATATTGTATGAAGAAACTGACGGATAGATAGTTCGAGCTTTCACCGCACCTCCAATCACACCAAGCAACCGTCGACTGGTGTACGCTGTTCCTGCGAATTATCGCTAAACAGCCCCCGGCCAACTCTATGATGGAATCCAAGGAAGAGAGAGAACTTGCCCACTGGTGGAAGTGCAAGAAGTGGGCTTACGCCAACTTGAACCGTCTCTTCATCAGGTAAGTAGAATTTTTGCGATGGGGGTGTTAAATTCGTCTAACATGGACTTCTATAGATACGGAAACCCCACAACCATGTCGAAGTCCAGTAACCCCGATTACAGCCAGTTCGCCAAATCGTTCATTTCAACATTCGCACCCGAGATCCTCAAGGGGTATTTGACGGAGATTGATAAATATGTATCAAAGGGCCAATGGATGAGCAACCCTGCCCTTTCCTATACCTTGATCTTCTTCGAAGAGTGTGTCAAGCCAAAGTCGATGTGGGATCACCTCAAGACGCACATGGATAATCTCATCGCCCATTTCGTTTTCCCGATTTTGTGCCAGAGTGACGAGGACATTGAGTTGTTCGAGACAGATCCCTCCGAATACCTACACCGAAAGTTGAACTACTACGAGGAGGTGTCGGCTCCCGATGTTGCCGCCACGAACTTCCTGGTTACCCTTACCAAGAACCGCAAGAAGCAGACATTCTCGATTCTCACATTCGTTAATGGTGTTGTTAGCAAGTACGAGGCTGCTCCGGATGATCAGAAGCTGCCGAGAGAGAAAGAGGGTGCACTGCGCATGATTGGATCATTGTCATCCGTGATCCTAGGAAAGAAGAGCCCAATCGCGGATCAGGTTGAATATTTCTTCGTCCGACATGTCTTCCCGGAGTTCCGCAGCCCACACGGATTCCTCCGCGCGCGGGCGTGTGACACGCTCGAAAAGTTCGAGCAGCTCGATTTCAAGGACCCTAACAACCTTATGGTAATCTACCGGAATATCCTGGAATCCATGACGGACTCTGAACTGCCTGTCCGTGTCGAGGCTGCGCTCGCTCTTCAGCCTCTTATCCGCCACGATGTCATCCGTACTTCGATGCAGCAGAATATCCCCCAGATTATGCAGCAACTTCTCAAACTCGCCAACGAGGTTGACGTCGACGCATTGGCCAATGTTATGGAGGATTTCGTGGAAGTTTTCTCTGCCGAGCTAACGCCTTTTGCTGTTGCTCTCAGCGAGCAGTTGCGTGATACCTACATGCGTATCGTTGGCGAACTCCTGGAAAGGAACGCTGCCAAGGGTGACGAAGACTCATACGGTGACTTCTTGGATGACAAGAGCATCACCGCTCTCGGTGTTTTGCAAACAATTGGCACTCTGATCCTCACTTTGGAGAGTACACCTGATGTGCTCTTACATCTCGAAACGATCCTTATGCCCGTTATTAGCATTACCCTCGAGAACAAGCTCTACGATCTCTACAATGAAGTCTTTGAAATCATCGACAGCTGCACATTTGCCTCAAAATCTATCTCTCCCACTATGTGGCAGGCCTTTGAGCTCATCCACAAGACCTTCAAGGCCGGTGCTGAGCTGTATTTGGAAGATATGCTTCCCGCACTCGACAACTATGTCGCGTATGGCTCCCAGACTATGGTCCAGAACCCCGCTTACCTTGCCGCGGTTGTTGGCATGGTTGAGGACATCTTCCGCGATGAGAAGGTTGGTGGTGTTGATAGGATCTGCGGTTGCAAGCTCGCTGAGACTATTATGCTTAACCTCCGCGGCTATATCGACCAATATATCCCTGTCTTTATCGACCTTGCGATGCGTGTCATCGATGCTGGAGAGGCACGGACCAAGTCCTACCGCCTCCACTTGATGGAGATGGTGATCAACGCCATCTACTACAACCCTGTCCTCAGTCTTCAGGTTCTGGAATCTAAGGGGTGGACGAACAAGTTCTTCAGCGCCTGGTTCTCTAGTATTGATGGATTCAGACGTGTCCACGACAAGACGCTATCGATTGTTGCCATCACCTCATTGCTCACCTTGAACCCTGCGGATGTCCCAACTAGCGTTCAGCAGGGATGGCCTAGGTTGCTCCAGGGTGTCACCAGACTTTTCCACACATTGCCTGCCGCTGTTAAGAGTATGTATTTTTTATTTGGCGTATTGGACTGGAAGCTAATTAATTATTTACAGACCGCGAGGATGCGACAAAGGAGTCGGACTTTACATACGAAGAAGAGGACGAGGATGATGACGAGGGCAACGACTGGGATGGCGAAATTGAATGGACGGAACAGGATGAGGCCGAAGTGGGCGCCGAGGCCGATATCCCCGACGAGAGTGCCGCGTATCTGGACTTTTTGAACAAGGAGGTGAGTAGTGCTAATACTACGGTTTGAACTGGTTACTAATTCGTCACTAGGCCCAGAAATTTGGCTCCTTCGCTGGGGATGACGATGACGACGAGCTTGACGAGGAGAGCTTACTCGAGACTCCTCTGGATAAGCTCGAGCCCTATGGGCTGTTTAAACAGGTCTTCCTGAGTACGTACTTTTGTGATTTAAGCAATGGAACGTTCGCTAATTCAAGTGTTAGACCTTCAACAAGAACAGCCACAACTTTACGACAACCTGACGAACATTCTGAACGATGACGAAAAGAAGATTATCGAGTCTGTGTTCCACGAAGCCGATGCGAAGGCTCTGGCCGCGGCTAATAACCAGGCTGCTGAAGCAGCAGCCCTTCAAGCCAACGGAAACCAATAGACGTTGGTTTTGACGAAAAGCGACTGGTAGCCGACGTGATCGTCACGTTGCCCTAGCGCAAATCATAGGCTATGATATAAAAGATGCAATGTCGGTCCGGAGTCTCGTTTTTTGGACACCTACTGTTTCGTGTCAGCTGTTAAGCAGCTAGCTACTGGATCCGCCATAACGTGACCCATGCTTGTTCCTTTTTGTTTAGAACGTTTTGTCGCGAGATTCCTTTCTATTTCCTTTTCCGTTTCACCTGACCCTCACGACAGTATTGACCCCTCTTTGCATCATGTTATTGGTTACGAATCCTGTCAAAAGTCCCATCACCTACCCCACGCCCTCCCTACCCTCCATCCCGATTCCCCGAGTTAATATTGTTCATTTTCGTTTTCAATTGGTTTTCTTTCTCCGTTTCTACCTACCATGGCATGAGCATGAGCAATGCAGTATTATTTTTTCCACCGAGAAAGAAAAGAGAGAGAACAATGTGGAAGAAGTACGCGGGGCCAACTCTGAATGCCAGGATATACAATTGATGTCAGATACCATCACGTGACCTATATAATCCAGACACTTGAACATTTAAAACATCATCCCGACAGCTCTTATGGAGCATATGGGGCTCGTCTTCAGGATAAGGAGACCCAGGATGATCCGCCATTATGCAACACCGCGGCTTGCAGGTGGACCCTTACGGAGTAGGTCGAGGGATGAGGTCTTGACTTGCAATGCTCTAGACCCGCAACGTCATAATGATGATACAGTCTACCAAAGACTTCCCTGACAGTGAATATGGTAGTTATTTAATGTCTGCAATCCCTTGTTTCGCTTTCCAGTAAATCAATATATCTCTACAGGGTAAACCACCTACCCATCGAAGGTACTTCCCCAACCAGGCTCAAACCCCTATCTATCTCAATCCTCTCTAATCAGACCAGTACACCACCACTGCCAGATCTCAAATCAATTAAAACTTCTATTCAAAATGTCCGCCCAACTCTGCGGCCGTCAATCTCCACCCCCCGAGTGCCAAACTGGCCCACAAGAAAACTCGCCAACTGGCTCCGGTCACATTGATCACAAGTTCGCGCCTGGCCCCGAGTATGCGCCCCTAACAGCCGATGCCGAGCGACGCGGAGTCGAGAACCCCCATACGGCTGTGCTGACGAGCAACCCGAAACATATCCTCGAGGATATTGAGGCGCGGAAGTACCATAAGGGGCCTGGGAATGAAGTTAGGATGGAGTGATTGAGTTTGATAGTATGAGATTGATTATGAGGTTATGATGCATATTTTAATTTTATATAAACGACAGAACCAGAAATAGTTGAATCGTGTTTGTACCTGTTTACTTTATTGGAATGACATAAGTAGTATATATAGGGAGATGTTTGATTGCCCTACTTATCCACTGAGGATGTGTTAGGTGGGGCGTATTGCATAGAAAAGGGTTTCCAAGTACAGATACCTCTTTCAAGACGCAGCAGTGTACGGGATGGGGCTAGGTTGGGTATTACTTGATAGTACATCTATTAACACTATAATTTTACTGTTGTTACGCGAATTGTGAAATTGATCGTGCATGGAATGTTATTAAAGCTCAGTTCGTAAACTTCTGTCCCAGACAGCCAGGGTAATCGACTATGAACATAAGAATGAAAAGAAGAGTAATCCAAAAAGTCATCATGCTAGAAACACAATGGGGAAAAAGGATCATAGAAAAAAACACAAAAAACCAGGCGTGGTCATCAATGTATAATCATTAACGCCTTGGTAGAGAGAAGGCGTTTATGCCTTTTCAGTCGTAGCCGGAGCAGCTTGGGCAGCTTGAGGTTCCACGCCAGGAGCAGGGGCAGGGGCAGCCTCAGTCGCGGCAGAACCCTCACCCTCAGTCTTCTCTGGCTTTCCGGCCTTCAAATCTGCGAGTCTCCTGGCTTCGTTGTGGATATCGCGAACCTGCTTATCGGTCTGGGAGTAGAAATCGCGCAGCTTCTGGCCAGAGGGCGTGCCGAGGGCCTTTTCGAAGTAGCTGTGCAGTCCGCGCCAGCCACTAGCGGCCTTATCACTGAGCTTGTAGCTCTCATCAAGGCCTCTAGCGCGGTCAGTAGCGCCGGTCTTCTTATCGAAGTTACCCAGCACGCTCGTGAAGCGGGAGGAGAAGCCGTGCTTCTGATCAAGAGCAATAGCTTTCTGGAGGGCTTGGTCACTGATTGCGTAGCCATGGGCGAGATATTCTGCAAGAATGCGCGAGCGGGGCTTATCTTCCTGCTCGATGTCGTGGTGGTTCTCGTCTTTGGCTTGGGTGGCTGAGGCGCCCTGCTCGCCGGCAATATCCTCGAGGGATTGCGCGGCTTTGACGGTCACGACGGAGGGGCCGAGCTGAGTCTGGTCGAGGAGAAGGGCTGTTTTGGCAGCACTGTTGTGTGTTAGTGTAACTGCGAATGGATGAAGCGTGCGGGGTACACTAACGCATCCTTTTCGAATGTCACGGTTGCCGACTTGGGAGCGTTGGCTTCACTGGAAGTAGGAGTGACAGAGATGTTGACAATCTTGCCGCTGTTGAACTTGTTAGAATTGGAATTGTCCAGCAGGAAAAGGGGGATCGCATACCAGAAGCTGAAGAAGTCCTGGACCTCCTTGTCCGAAGTAGAGGAGGCGATGCCTGAGACGTGGACGGTGGTGTAGTCTGACATTATGATAGGTCTGTATTTGATTTGAGGAGTAGATGAAAAAAGGGATTGGCGAAGTCAAGGATTAGGATGTCTGATGGATAAAACCAGGAACAGAGAGCAGGCCGCGGGGTATTTATCCAAATGGTGACGCTGGCCGCCACACCTTATGACGTTACCGTCAAACGTTCCCGTCAATCGTGCACAGCCACAGTGGATCCTGCTGCGAGCTTGATTCCATACAAAAACGTCAGGTAGCCACGCTAAACGGTAGTCCAGAGCCCAGGTGCAAGGCAGTAGAATTCGATAAAAATAGCAGGTTAGCTGTAGAAATTGGGGGAAGGTACGAGAACAAAAATCCCCTGGTTGTCCCGAGCTCGGCAAACCGATCAATTCCAAGTGGATTGTGGCTGGTGCGACGGAGCATCGTCGCGCAATGCACTAACAGATGGTCCAATTTCTATCAATTTCTATAGTACGGGATCTAGTCTTCCAAAGACAGTGCTTGACTTTTTTGCACGCTGAGCTCCAGCTCCAGCTCTCGAATACGCCGCTTCAGCACCTCGTTCTCGTGAACGAGAGACTCCGCATCTCCTTGTGAGGTCGTCTCAACACTCGACCCTGATGGTATGCGTTGCGAAAGTGAGCTTCGGCGGCCATGCATGCGCGAGCCGTATGACACATGAGCTGATGCATCACGATTTCGCTCCTGATGTTGGGATGTTACTGATACAAGGCTCTGAGGTCGCTCGGGAGATACGAGGGACGGCCGCCGACCTCGACCATTCGTTCGCGAGCCCTGTATTACCGGGAAAAAGGAAGCACTCAGATTGGAAGAGGACCGGTGCCGCCGCGATGCGGTTGGATATATAGGCCCAGATATGTATGGCGATCCGTGGAGTGCATCGAGGGGTTCGTTGAGTGTTGTCGAGGTAGACGAGGCTGTTGAGGCGACAGAAGACGTTCGCTGACGGAGGGTGGAGAGTTCTCTTGACAGGCGATTGACCTACCAAGACGCTGGTTAGACCTGCAGGTTCAAAAGGTACAAACTCAATATCTCACCATTGCCTCCTGTTCCTGCTCTAGGATCGAATGGATATCGGAGGGTGAGAGGGGTTTTGGTTGCCGTAAGGGTCCTGTGTGATTGAGTTAAATGCCTGTCCAATCGTACTTCTTGCAGACTTACCGGAGGCTGCTCTTGCTCGCGCCTGGTCGCTAATCTTGGCCGGGGTCCCTGTATCTGGGCTTCGACCCGTCGCAGTCGCTGGAGGACTCATTGCTCGTGATGATTGCCGAGACGATACGGAAGCGGTTTTAGCTGGCTGACTTCTGTCTGTTGCAGCTCGGGGTCGAGTTCTGGGCTGGGAGAGGGGTGTTTGAATAGTTTCTGTAGACATGGTGGTGGTTGTTTTGAGAGAGGAATAATACAGAAATAAGAGAGTGAAGACGTCAAAACGAGGGGGAAAATGGCTTAATCTATTGTTCAAGGGGCTTGGTAAACAGAGGGGTCATAATTCATGATGTGTCGGATGAAGGCCAACCCCTTGATGGGGATTCCCGGACGAAAAGCATGCCAGCAACGGTGGACCAAGACATGGATTCTAAACAAAGAGAATGCATGAGACCTGTCAGCAACCCTTGCTAGCTGTGATCTTTGTTCTGCTTGCCATATTCGGAGCACGTCTGGTATGGGTAACTTAAACTTATGAATAGGACTAGTTAAATTAGCTAAGCACCCTATACTGCTCGGAAGTAACGCGAAATAAAGTAAAGTCTGATTTGAATTATAACCCATTCCCTAGAAATTTATTCGAATAATTATGCCCTTTATTTGATCTCCTAAAACTCGAGTTGTACAGCCCTATCCATCTTGCGCTTTACCGTGAACGCACTGCCAGCATGCTGTAACTATATCGTTGCACAGGCTGTTCGCTCACAGCGCCTGCGCTATAGACACAACGATAACACTACGTGCCCAGTCTTTATCTGCACCCATCGATTGCCTAAGTAAACTAGCTGGATATCCTGAGAAGAAGGAAGTTTTGGGAAACCATGAAGCAACATGATCACTACCTCGCATCAGCTTCATACTAGATCTACCTATATTCGGCCTCAGGCAACTAATGTGCCAGGTAAACTAATTGAACAGGCTCCTTTATGAACAAGGCATTGGGTAAATTTTATCAATAATGCCGCGTAATGAATGCGTTATAATAGTATCTGCACTTGCAATAATCAACAGTAATATCTTGAAGATTGTTTGTCCTTCAGGTTGGCTCATGGAATCTCCAGGAAATGCCAGCAAGGAATCTGACCAATGACACGTCATTTATCAGATCTAGTTATCACGTGAAATATTCTGCTTAGGTAATTATGATCTACAGCCGACAAACAAACATCCAGGAGCAAGGGAGATGATGATGAACCGCGGCATTTCTGGGTTTCAGATTTAGAGTGTTTTGCATTTGAGCTTGAGTCAGAGATACCTTGCGCTGATTAGCTCGCGATATCCCACTCGTTGCCGCTCATGGCCTGTCAAAGTGCCTCTGCGACAGCTTCGGGCCCCTCCAACATTCCTCCCTTCGCGCAGCCTCTCGCTCCTTACATCAAGACTCGTCAGGAAGCTTTGCATATCCGACAAGTCCTCACAAGCTACCTCCGCTCGCATATCATCTTTGCCGATAATGACCCCGAACACCCCGATTGTCACGCCCAATCCCACCTTTCGTTATCTGTGTCGGACAATGCGGTGACGGACGTGAAGCGAGTCCCCGCGGACGTTACAGGGCTGCGGAGGGAATATTTGCAGGCCCTACAAGCAAATGTGGCCGCAAGGAAACAGCACCACCAGATTTCCGAGAAACTGGATGCGCTGCACTCTGAGAGATCTAAGTTTCCTGGATCCTCTCCTGATAGCTCCTCGGAGTTGCAGGCTTATCTTCGACTCGTCCGTGATCGACGCAGACATGCAAAACTTCAGGTTTTTGAACACTATTTCAACGAGTTACGAGCACGCGATACTCCCCGACCCGAAGATTTCGAGAAGCAGGAAGACCAAGAGCAATTTACACTGCCAGAGGGGCTCGGAGATGAAGATCAGGACAATGGCGTGGCAGGTGGTGATTCTGAGGAACTGGTACATAAACTCGAAAGGGCGGTTATTCGTGCAAAATCGCAACTGGACCGGGAAAGGGAGCTGTACGCGGAATTGAAGGCTCGGAATGCATCTGAGGGTGACCGAGCAGAAAAATCTACTCCTGCTGTGAAAGCTGCTGCCCTCCAGCAGACTAGAGACGAACTTGTACAATGGGTGGAGGATAAACTTGTCGGTAGTGGAAATGGCGAAGAAGACCCTGTGGAAGAGCTACCCACCGAAGAGATTGAGGAGTCTGCTCGTATCCTCGAGGAGCAAAGAGTACGAATCCTTGAACAGTACAGGGCCTACACAGAAACCCGGAAACGTTTGCTCGAGGCAGCTGCTCGGGCTTGCCAGCCCGTATCAACAGCATCTACGAAGTCACCGCCGCGACCTCCAGAGCTCAAGGGGTTGCCCTCAGATGAGACGCTGCCCTTAGAGCCATTGGAGGTTCTATCATATGCCAGCAATGTCCTACATCCGATTTCCAAAAGCCAGCGGTCCTTGGCTTTGCAGAAGTTCTATTTGACTGGCTTGCTTGCTAAGGAGAAAAGCACAACTCTACGCGTGCTCAATCGCCTGAGAGATGAGAGCCACCTTCTCCCTGAATATCCAATCCTTGCCCGGCAACCCCGCTTTAAGCACGCGGCGGCGGCCCTCAACTCCAGACATGCTGCCGGCCAACAGGATCCGGTCAAACAGGACGAAATTGTCAACATGGCCGAGGCCTGGGCGTTTGCATCCGCAGCCGCTGGGTCTAATGAAAAGGAATACGTAGAGCAAAAAGTCGGAGATGGCAACGAAAGCGCAGATAACGCCCAGGAAGAGCTACAGAATGTGTACAACTTGTTAAATCAGGACCTGGAAGAGGCCCTAAAAGACCGGCAAGGCGATGACCAAAAAGATGGCGATCTCTGGGCACACGAAGCTCGCTCCTCTAGGTCTCAAGCGAGAATGTCTCGGTCTGAGAAACGACCAAAGGGGCCGTGGACACGTCTGAATGGCAAAGTCGGAGTTGCAGATTAGACGAAGGAAACAAAATGGAAGGGCCCGCCCACTAAAACATCATTCTAATCCACTAATTCTACTTTTCTACCATTTATTCCCATGCAAGGCTGGAGTGCATTTGCCATGTCTACAGTGCCATGACACGAGAATCAGCAGTCCATCAGACGCTCAATTTGATATAATCAAGTCGCCTATCAGGCTCGAACATGGTGCAACCGAATACTCAATTAGCCTATATGGAGAGACTTGTAATTGGGCTATTAGCTATAGATCCAGACCCTGCCAGATCCATAACTTTGTACCGGAATAAGATCGAACACTCTATTTCGATATAATCAAGCCGCCCATAATCTGTACGCCAGCTTTACATGGAAGATCCCTGAATATCCCGGATAATTAACTTTGCTCCCACGCATCCTACCCGGCCATCTACTATAGGACTTTCTTAAGCTCCGTCACATAAACCCACCGTCCGGCTTTTATCTACACACCTATCTTGTGATAAACAATGAATACCCAATGCCCCGAAGCACACGCCTAGTTGCCCTCCCTACAGCCCTAACACAGCAACAATGCCACTTTCCCATCCCATCCTCATCATCGGGGCCGGGCTCTCAGGCCTCACAACTGCCCGCCTCCTTACCAATGCTGGGATCCCCTGTATTGTCTTCGAGGCCTCCCCTCCCTCCCGCAGCCAGGGTTACGCCATCTCTCTCCGCGACTGGGGCTTCAATTCCCTCATCGCAGCGCTGGGAAACCTACCACTGTCCAGTCTAACAAGAGCCGTAGCCCCAGACCGACACATTGGCGGCTGGGGCTGGCTCGACCAATCCTGGCGAAATAACCAAACGGGCTCAATCATCCTCATGCCGCCGCGCGAGCCCAAAGAGAAGCCGACAATTCTTCGGGCGAACAGAAATGCACTCCGGACGTGGATCGCAGACTGCGGCGAGGAAGAGGTGGACGTTCGATACGGACACCAACTTACAAACGTCACTCTCCCCAAGAGCCCTGATGACGATAATGATAACGGTGGTAGTGGAAACGGAGACATCGTTGTCGAATTCTCAAACGGCGCACAATACCACGGCTCCCTCCTCATAGCCGCCGACGGCGTGCACTCCACCGTCCGCTCTTTGATATTGCCATCCATAACGCCCGAAATCGTGCCCGTGCTCGTCTACCACGGGGACTTCAAGCTCAGCCGCGACGAGTACGAGGCCATAATCCGGCCACACAGCGGGGAGTCCACGATTGTAGCGGGAGTGGGGGACGGCTTCAACACGCCGCTAACGGTATGCAATATCACGAACACAACGGTGCACATGGACTGGACGTACTCGCGGCCTAGTATCCCGGACAACGACCCGCTGTACAGCCCGAACATCACGTCCGAGGAGGCGAAAGTCATCCCCGAGGCGCTGGTTCAGGAGATTAATGAGAGGAAGCTGGGTGAGCCGTGGTCGCTTTTCTTGAATGGGGAGACGATGAGGGGGCATCGGGTATTTAATTGGCTGACGAGGTGTGTGACAATGGAGAGGGGAGATGTGGATTCTGTCGCGAAGAAAGGGGTTGTGTTTGTTGGAGATTCGTGGCATGCGATGCCTATATTTGGGGGGGAGGGAGGGAACCATGCGATTCTTGATGGGGTTGAGCTGGCGAGGATTTTGGGGGGCTTGATGGGTAAGGAGGGAGGGGATGTACGAGAGGCAATTGGGGCTTATTATGATAAGGCTTGGAGACGGTGTCAGGATGCTGTGAGGAGGTCGAAGCAGAGGTTTTATCAGCTGCATCGTCCGATCAGCGAGTGGGAGGAAATTGCAGAGAAGCAAAAGCGGGCGTAGTCACTTAGGGCTACGCGATGGAGTAGTTAATAGGGACCGACTCATTTCACAACATGCCATACTCGTGTAAACCAACTGGTTTACCGGACTTCTAGAATAACAGAAGGCTATCTAAATACTAAGCCAACGCAATCTTTATCTCACTTTAGATAAGTTCGATTCAATTCATTCGACGCGCACGGACAAACCACCGCCGCTTTGTCGCATCTCCCGGCTCAAACCCAACCTTTCGATCTTCAGCTAATTTCCATAAGACCTGACTGAGGAACGGCGCAAGGGCCTTCTCAATGTCGCCCGGAACATCGCCATACATCGCCGTTACAATCTCGTGTAGCGTCAAGCAACCCCGTCCCGAGCCCTGTCTCGCAGTCGTTCGGCATTCCTCCAATATGGAAAAGACCTGTTGCACCCGAAATTCTCTGTGCTTGATATACTCGCGCATCTTATCTGGGAGATCGTTAATCACTGCTCCATGGGCTGGGTATCCCAGCGGGCAACGCAAATTCGCCATTAGCGCCATGCTCTCCATATATTGTCCCAGATCCTCCACAACCGAGTATCCGTGGCCTAGCACGTTATCGCCCGTAAAGAGAGCGTTTTCTTCTTCCATCAAGAAACACATGTGATCGGCTGCATGACCGGGGGTATGGACTGCGCGGATGGTGGCTCCCTCAACCTGGAAGATCTGCCCGTCTAGAATATTCTTTTGCCCGTTGTCGGGTCGATTTTTGTAAATGCGCGAGGACAAAGATGGATTATACGCCACAAGGTCGGGAACTCCGCCTGTATGGTCACCGTGCCAGTGAGTGAGAAGAACATGGGAGATGTCTATATCTCGCTGCTCTAGTACGTGGGTGATATCTCGAATCCAAGAAGGCATCCCCTGGGAGAAGGGCAAAAGCATGAGTGACATGCAATGATCTTGGCCTGGGTTTGGGTAAGACAGGAAGCACATACCTGACCAGTATCGATTAGGATCCGAGATCTGCCTGTTCCAACTAAGTATGTGTTCGTTCCCTGCAGTCGCATGGGACCTGCATTTCCGCCCAGAACCCGGATGACTCGGTCAGAGACATTTGAGATAACAGGCAGAGTTGGGATGGTTGCCTCCCTTCCAGAGAGGTATTCTTGCCAAAAGTCTTGCGGAAAGGGTATTCTGAACGCCATCACGACAACCGAAAGAAGCCATGGGCCCGAGAGAGAGATAGAAAGGTAGACGAGGTGAGCTTCGAGTCTGTAATATCGGAACAAGCTCCGTTCTTCGGCGGCATCACTCTGACGGGTTTTAATCGGGCATATTTGATAGAGCACCGAGGAAAATTAAGACCCGGACGAGCCAGATCTGACCCAGCGCATGCCAGAGAGGCTCGACCAGTCATTTTGAAAAGTCCCCGTATGCCCGTTTACACAGAATCTCGTCACAAGCTGGAAATCTCATCACACTCTGCGAAAATTCCCGTGCGGGCCCTTTTGCCCTTGAAGCAGTAGCATCAAAACCCCGCGTATAGAAGTCCTGCATCGCTATGTGAATCTGCTGCCGGTGCAGGTACCTGTACATCTCCCTCAGCGTAATGAGTACTTGAGCTCGCCAAGCAGATACAATGAAGGAAAATACGCATAGCACATCCCTAGTCTTTTTTGGGAACGAGTTTCCCAACGATGATCTCAAAGGGCTCTTCCGCTGCCTCTTACGGCTCAGTAGGGACCGCAGGTTTCGCCAGCTGGCCGCTTTTCTTGAGGAGTCGACTCTCGTTCTCAAGAAAGAAGTGGCTGCACTTCCACAACAATTGCGAGACATTGTACCGCATTTTCACACAATTTTGCCCCTTGCTGAGCTTGGGGATTTCCGTCAGGGCCCTCTGGGCGCTGCTATGGAAAGTGCCCTATTGACTGTACTGGAATTGGGCATGTTTATTGGGTAATCATACCCCTCTTTGATTTATGGCCAGGAATAGGACTGATCGAACAAAATTAGGCACTATGAGGCTGAAGGACGTGGTTGGGATTTATCCCCACACAACACCATCCTTGCTGGTCTGAGTATCGGCCTGCTAGCCGCCGCCGGCCTGGCCCTATCCACCAACTTAGCGGAAGTGGCCCAGAATGGTGCTGAGTGTGTCCGCGTATCATTTCGTCTTGGAGTATATGTTAGCGAGATCTCTCGCAAGCTCGAAGCACCCCAAGCGGATGGTACGCTATTGAGCTGGGCTCATGTCGTCACCGGAGAGGCCAAGTCCGCCATCCAAAATGAACTCACACAATACAACTCGGAATCAGGCACCCCTGAGCTCCTCAAGGTTTTCATCAGCGCTGCGGATAAAACCTCCGTCAGCGTAAGTGGGCCACCATCACGGATGAAGGCCTGCTTCGGGGGTTCGCACCTACTGCGATATTCAAAGTCCTTTGCCCTCCCGGTATACGACGGTCTATGCCACGCGTCGCATTTGTACAATGAGGATTCAATAAATACTGTCATCAACAGTGCAGAATCCCTCATCCCTAATTCTCGTCCGGTGCGGCTTTCCCTCCACTCTTCGAACACCGGACAGCCGTTCTTGGCCACCACTGCGCATGAGTTATTCCAGGCCATCGGCACAGAGCTGCTGACTGGGACCATCTACCTTGATAGTATTACCGATGGTATCCTTGAGCGAATCGGCAACTTCAGCCCAAGCCAATGCAGGATTGAGACTTTCCGCACCTCGATAGTATTCAGGAGCATATTGGCAGCTGTTAAGGCACAGTTTCCTAGCCTCGAGATAAAGCTAGTTGACTTAATTCCTTGGTCCCTACGGGATTATGGAGCCCTCCAGCCCCGTTCCTTTGCTGACTCGAAGCTCGCTGTTGTTGGCATGGCCTGTCGTATGCCCGGTGGCGGCAACGACACTGAGCTTTTCTGGGAAATTTTAGAACAGGGACGCGATGTCCATACTACAGTGCCGGCGGATCGTTTCGACCTCAGAACGCATTATGATCCCACAGGGAAAACCGATAATGCCGCGACAACTCCTTACGGCAACTTCGTTGATAGCCCAGGATTGTTCGATGCTGGGTTTTTCAATATGTCACCGAAAGAAGTACGTTGTCCATACCGTCTGAAGATACGGCCACAGAGATATGGGACACAATGCTAACAGACCCAGGCGGAACAAACAGATCCTATGCAACGGCTGGCGCTTGTCACGGCATATGAAGCCCTGGAGATGGCGGGCCTCGTCCCTGGCCGAACTGCGTCATCAAACCCTAAACGCATCGGAGCTTACTACGGACAAGCAAGCGACGACTGGCGAGAGTTGAATGCATCGCAGAATATTGGCACTTATGCGGTCACAGGGGGTGTACGCGCCTTTGGGAATGGGCGTATTAACTACTATTTTAAGTTTCCAGGTCCTTCGTTCAGTATTGATACTGCCTGCTCTAGTGGATTGGCTGCTGTCCAGGTGGCTTGTTCTGCCCTGTGGGCAGGTGAAGCGGATACGGCACTCGCCGGTGGACTGAATATCATCACTGATCCAGATAATTATGCAGGTCTGGGATGCGGCCACTTCCTTTCCAAGACTGGCCAGTGCAAGGTTTGGGATGAGACTGCCGATGGATACTGTCGTGCTGATGGGATTGGTTCTGTTGTTATCAAACGTCTAGAGGACGCAGAGGCAGATAATGACAATATCATTGCCGTTGTATTATCTGCAGCCACGAATCACTCAGCCGAAGCCATATCCATCACCCATCCTCATGCGGGAAACCAAAAAGATAACTATCGTCAGGTGGTTGATGGAGCCGCCATTAATCCGTTGGATGTGAGCTTTATTGAGCTCCATGGCACAGGAACACAGGCTGGTGACGCGGTAGAATCCGAATCCGTGCTAGATGTATTCGCGCCCAGGTCACCAATGCGACGTCCGGATCAATTATTGCAGCTAGGTGCAGTTAAAAGCAATATTGGACATGGAGAAGCAGCGGCAGGTATTGCGTCGTTCCTGAAGGTGCTGCTAATGTACCAGAAAAACATGATCCCGGCCCACATTGGTATCCATACAATCCTGAATCCGACCATCCCTAAGGACCTGGAGCAGCGTCGTGTACGATTGACCCAGACAAATACAGCATGGCCACGTCCAACTGGAAAAAAGCGAATTGCAATGGTCAACTCATTCGGTGCACATGGAGGCAACACCACGGTATTACTGGAAGATGGGCCGGAGCGGAACCAAGCAGTCGATAAGGAGGAACGCTCAACTCATACCGTCACAATCTCGGCCAAATCCAAGAAATCTCTCCAAGCTAATATTGCCAATCTATTGCTCTACCTTGAGCAGAACCCAAATACCGATTTGGCGGACCTGTCATACACAACTTGTGCGCGCCGCATACATTACAGCTTGCGCGTAGCATTCGCCGCCTCAAAAGTTTCTGGGCTGGTGGAATCGTTGCGCAACGCAGGTACAAAAGAGGGTCTCGCAGAGGTTAGACCAGTTCCAGGAGATGTTCCTCCGGTCGTGTTTGCCTTCACCGGTCAAGGGGCGTACTATCAGGGCATTTCCCGGGAGTTATTTGATTCATTCCCTTATTTCCGTGAGGAGGTTCTGCAACTCGACCACGTTGTTCAGCGGCTTGGGTTCCAGTCGATTGTGCCCGTGATTGACTGCAGTGTCGAAGAGAGTCCATCAGAAACGGTGACGCAGCTTAGTATAGTTGTGATCGAGATTGCCCTGGCTCGTCTCTGGATACTTTTACTCGGCCTTCAACCAAGCGCCGTCATTGGCCATAGTCTGGGCGAGTACGCCGCGCTGGTAATCGCGGGCGTACTATCCACCGCGGATGCTCTCTTCCTGGCGGGACGGCGAGCACAACTCATTGGGAAATTTTGTGTCCCAGGCAGTCATGCAATGCTATCGGTACGTGCATCAGTATCGGAGATCGAAAAGTTCTTAGGCAATGCGAAGTACGAGATTTCGTGCCAAAATACTCTCGAGGATACTGTGATCGGCGGGACAAAGGCTGATTTGGATACTGCCCGACATACCCTCGAAGCCAACAGTGTCAAGTGTGTACCGGTAGACGTGCCGTTTGCATTCCACACAGAACAGGTGGACCCAATCCTAGACAGCTTAGCCCGAATCGCGGAGACTGTGCACTTCAAAGCACCTAGCGTTCCCATACTGTCACCTCTGTTAAAAAGCGCCATATTTGATGGGAAAACCATCAATTCCACTTATTTGACACGGGCCACACGCGAGACTGTTCATTTTACTGGCGCTTTGGAAGCTGCGCAGGATCTTGGGATGGTGAACGACCGAACAGTATGGGTTGACGTCGGACCACACCCTATTTGTGCCAGTTTCGTGTATAGTTTGATACCAAAGGCGCGTGTGGTCTCATCATGCCGGCGAAATGAAGATAACTACACCACCATGGCGAAGAGTCTCGTTGCTTTGCACCTGGCTGGTGTGACTCCGTGTTGGAATGAGTATTACCGCGCCAATGAACAGGCGTACTCTCTTCTTACTTTGCCCAAGTATGCCTGGAATGACGTCAACTACTGGATCCAGTATATTGGGACCTGGACGTTAGACAAGGCTCATCTGAAATATACCGGAACAAATGGGCGGCCGACGGTTACCCCGTCATCATCTGCCCTGCAGACATCTTTGATTCATCAAATCATTGAAGAGACGCTTGGCGAAGGAAATGCCACACTCAAAGTCGTCTCTGACTTGCAGCATCCGGATTTCCTTGAGGCCGTTCATGGACATCAAATGAATAATTGCGGTGTGGCCACATCGGTGAGTTCTGCCGTCTTCTCGTTTTGAATACCAACGTGTACTGACAGCAGGCTTAGTCAATTTGGACTGATATGGCACTAACGGTTGGCGAGTACCTTTATAACCGGCTGGTTCCGGGTTCAAAGGTATATCCGAATGTGCGCGAACTAGAGGTCTTGCACGCGACAGTTGCCAACCCGGCGAAGAACAGCACGCAGCCTTTATATCTTGATGCCAACCTGGATCTATCCACTCAGCGGATGTCACTCGCTTGGTTCAACGTTGATCCCGCAACTGGCGACAAGGCTGCCGAGTCTTATGCTACAGGGTCCGTACGATTTGAGAGCAATGCAGAAAGCTGGAAAACGGAATGGGACCGCATGACGCATCTGATACTTGGTCGAATTGAGGCACTAGAGCGGATGGCTGCCGCGGGAAAGGCAAGCCAGTTGTCCAAGGCGTTATCATACGCGTTATTTAAAAACGTGGTCGACTATGCGGACCGATACCGCGGCATGGACCGTGTGATCATTCATGACTATGAGGCATTCTCGGATATAACTCTGATTCCAGAGCGTCATGGTGTTTGGCACACGCCGCCACATTGGATTGATAGTGTCTCCCACCTCGCTGGCCTTGTCATGAACGGGAGTGACGTGTCTAATACCCGCGATTTTTTCTATGTCACGCCTGGCTATGATAGCTTCCGTATTTTGAAGAAGCTGGAACCCGGTGCTCAGTATCAGAGTTATGTGCGCATGTTCCCAATTCCGGAACCTAACATGTATTCCGGCGACTTGTATATCCTCCAAGATAGCCAAATTATCGGCATGGTTGGTCAATTGAAGTTCCGTCGGGTGCCACGTCTGCTCATGGACCGATTCTTCTCGGCGGAAGCAGCATCAAAACAATCGGTGTCATCTTCTACATCCACAGCTACTCGTGCTGCAGTTCCTGTTGCCAAGTCCGCTCAACCTGCTCCTCCACCACTTAAACCAGCAGATGCACCACTTCCAAATGGCCAGCCCCAGAGCACCAATAAGCTTCCCAGTCCACCTCAGAAAGCAACACCACAGCCTGCGATTAACGGGGTCAACCCAGCCGAGGAAGAGAAGACGCCTAGCAAATCAAACGCAGGAGGCCCCAACGGGACAACTTCCCAGCCGGAAGTTACTGGTGTCGTGGGTCAATGTCTGCAATTGATCGCTAACGAAACAGGACAAGGCGTAAATAACTTGACATCTGATGCAACTTTCGTGCAGTTAGGAGTTGATTCACTCATGTCACTTGTACTTTCAGAAAAATTCCGAGCTGAGCTTGGGCTGGAAGTCAAGAGTTCGCTTTTCCTTGAATGTCCGACGGTTGGAGATATGATGGAGTGGTTGGAACAGTATTGTTAGATGGTATTCTGTGTTGACTAGCAGCTGAGGATTAGAATGATCTTTATACCGTATGTTATTAAGCCTATCGCTGTCGTAAATTCATCTTCCCCGGGTCTCAGCCGAAAGACTTGCGAGCGTAATGTTGGCATTATTCCGCGATCGTTTAGCCTACACAGTTGATTGATTTTGTTTTTGAGCTGGAATCTTGAATAGTCAATTTCAAGTGGCATTCGATGAATGTTGATCCTCCCTGTCCAATCTCGGTCAGTGCACGTGATCCATGTTGCTGTCCACGAATAGGTAGCACCTTGTAGGACGGTACCTGAAATCCAACACCTTGGAACCAAATAAAAGCCACTATACAGGGCCCTCTGGATTTGAAGAACTGATCCCACTGTTGACTGGGTCAAGTGACCGATATTTTGAATATTTTCAAGTAACTGATCGTCTCTGGGCCGATAAAAAAGTGCGCGATACCAGAAAAGGAAATTAAACAGGAACTTGGCCCCAACAAATGAGAGAGCTGGGTGTGCTTTACATAAGCCTGGGCCCGGGCCGGGTGATCACATGGACAGCATACGATTGGTGCGGACAGTAGGCGGTGAGCGTGAGGGCTTTTTGTGCTCTTGTTGGGTCCGACATAGGGATCTTTTTTTTCCTGGCTCTCCACACACCGGAGTTCTTATCGGCCCTGAATTCGAGGTCTCTTTCTTGGGGAGTTCTCCGTCGCAGCCTGGCGCTATTCCAGTTTCTCTCTGGCAGTCTTCTCCGGCTCCGTTGACTCATCGCCCGACTTACCTCCATAAATTTTTTTGTGTCCCTCCGCCTCCGCCCGCTCCTCACCGTCTTCTTTCTTCCTTCACTCACCACATCTGGCCAATTCCTCAATTCCCCTTGTACTCGACTCCCTTCCTCCAGTCTGGGAGTGCGGCAGAAGGCGGGACGACGGTAGGGATTATTCTAGGCCGAAAGTTCTGGTAACGAAGCCCACGGAGCTATACCGGTGCAAACGTCCGTATCTCCGCTCCCCATTCTAAGCGGAACGATACAACCCAGTAGAGCGTAGTTTCAGCTCAATTGGATTGTTCCCCCTTCTCTCTACCCTATCTTCACCTTCTAGGGTAGCGCGCCGCGCAATGGTTCTCGCCGCTCGGTGCGGGCAGGCTACGTCCTCCCTTTTGCGTCAACGATGCCTCGCTGAATCCCGTCGCTCTGCGCTGGCTCTGCGCTCTTTCACTTCTCAGACCAACACTGCTCGTTCCACAGCGTCGGCACTCCGATTGCAGCAAAAGACACCTTCTCCATGGCGGCCGCAGCAGCTGCGCAGCTTCTCCAGCGCTCTCTGCCGCTTGGCCGCGGAGTCATCCACTGGCGACAGCCTGTTTTCCAGTGGGCTCATCCGCCCTGGCGCTAACCTGGTTGATGTCAAGAAGGTGCTTGTTATCGGTAGTGGTGGTTTGAGTATTGGGCAGGCCGGAGAGTTTGATTACTCTGGTAGGTCATACCGGCTGCAAGCCAGTCATAAGCTTGACTCAAAAAAGAAAAGTTCATTCAATTGGCTCATGAACGTGTTCGCTGATTACAATTTTCCCGCACACAGGTTCTCAAGCCCTCAAAGCTCTCAAAGAAGCCGGTGTTCAATCGGTGCTGATCAACCCCAACATTGCGACTATCCAGACCGACCACAAGCTCGCCGACGAAGTTTATTATCTCCCCGTCACTCCGGAATACGTCACCTACGTTATCGAGAGGGAGCGTCCCGATGGTATTTTCCTTTCCTTCGGTGGCCAGACCGCCCTCAACCTCGGCGTGCAGATGAACCGCATGGGTACCTTTGAGCGTTATGGTGTCCGCGTCCTCGGAACCAGCATCAAGACTTTGGAGACCAGCGAGGACCGTGATCTTTTCTCCAAGGCTCTGAATGAAATCAACATCCCTATTGCTGAGTCTATCGCCGTCGGCACCGTCGACGAAGCCTTAAAGGCTGCTGGTGAAGTTGGCTATCCCATCATTGTTCGTTCCGCCTACGCCCTGGGTGGTCTCGGTTCTGGTTTCGCGAACAACCCCGAGGAGCTGAAGAACTTGGCCTCGCGTTCTTTGACTCTCTCGCCTCAAATCTTGGTTGAGAAATCTCTCCGCGGCTGGAAGGAAGTCGAGTACGAAGTCGTCCGTGACGCATCCAACAACTGCATTACAGTTTGCAACATGGAGAACTTCGATCCCCTGGGTATCCACACTGGTGACAGTATTGTCGTCGCCCCCAGTCAGACTCTTTCCGATGAGGAGTACCACATGCTCCGTACCGCCGCTATTAAGATTGTCCGTCACCTTGGTGTCGTTGGTGAATGTAACGTGCAGTATGCTCTGCAGCCCGACGGTCTTGATTACCGTGTTATTGAGGTCAACGCGCGTCTCTCCCGTTCCTCGGCTCTCGCCTCCAAGGCTACTGGATACCCTCTCGCCTATACTGCTGCGAAAATTGGTCTGGGCCACACTCTTCCCGAGCTTCCCAACGCTGTTACCAAGACAACCACTGCCAACTTCGAACCTAGCTTGGACTACATCGTCACCAAGATCCCCCGTTGGGATTTGAGCAAATTCCAGCATGTGAACCGTGACATCGGCAGTGCTATGAAGTCTGTGGGCGAGGTCATGGCTATTGGCCGTACCTTTGAGGAATCTTTCCAGAAGGCTATCCGCCAGGTAGATCCCCGCTATGTTGGATTCCAGGGTGACACGTTTGAGAACCTCGATGAAGTTCTGAAGAACCCCACCGACCGCCGCTGGTTGGCTGTCGGACAGGCTATGCTCCACGAGAACTACTCTGTTGACAAGGTCCACGAGCTGACCAAGATTGACAAGTGGTTCCTCTACAAGCTCCAAAACATCGTTGACAACCAAAACGAGCTCAAGGAGATCGGCAGCCTCTTTGGAGTCAACAAGGAGCTGATGCTCAAGTCAAAGAAGCTAGGTTTCTCTGACAAGCAGATTGCTTCCCTTGTCGGCTCCTCCGAGGATGATGTCCGCGCCCGCAGGAAGGGATTTGGCATCAGACCGTGGGTCAAGAAGATTGATACTCTGGCTGCTGAGTTCCCTGCTGACACCAACTACCTTTACACTACGTACAATGCTACTTCCCATGATGTCACCTTCGACGACCATGGTACTATCATTCTTGGAAGCGGTGTCTACCGTATCGGTAGCTCAGTCGAGTTCGACTGGTGTGCAGTTAACGCTACCCTCTCATTGAGAAACATGGGCAAGAAGACAGTTATGATTAACTACAACCCCGAGACCTACTCTACTGACTTCGATACTGCCGACAAGCTTTACTTTGAAGAGCTCAGCTATGAGCGAGTCATGGATATCTATGAACTTGAAGCCGCCAGCGGCGTGGTTGTCTCAGTCGGTGGTCAGCTTCCTCAAAACATTGCTCTCCGCCTACAAGAGACGGGTGGTGCCCACGTTCTTGGTACTGACCCCAAGGACATCGACAACGCCGAGGACCGTCACAAGTTCTCTCAGATCTTGGATAGCATTGGTGTTGACCAGCCTGCCTGGAAGGAACTGACCTCCGTTTCTGAAGCTGAGAATTTCGCCGAAACCGTTGGCTATCCCGTTCTTGTGCGCCCCAGTTACGTCCTTTCCGGTGCCGCCATGAGTGTTATCCGCAGCCAGGATGAGCTCAAGGAGAAACTCCTCAACGCTAGCGCCGTCTCTCCCGACCACCCTGTCGTCATCACCAAGTTCATTGAAGGTGCTGAGGAAATTGATGTTGATGCTGTTGCCTCTAACGGAAAGCTCCTTCTCCACGCTATCAGTGAGCACGTTGAGCCTGCTGGTGTGCACTCTGGTGACGCCACTCTTGTCCTCCCCCCTGCCTCCCTTGAGAAGCCTATCATGAGCCGTGTCAAGGAGATTGCTGAGAAGGTTGCCAAGGCCTGGAACATCACCGGTCCCTTCAACATGCAGATCATCAAGGCCGACCAGGAAGGTGCTGAGCCTCAGCTTAAGGTCATCGAGTGCAACCTTCGTGCTTCTCGCTCTTTCCCCTTCGTCAGCAAGGTTCTCGGAACTAACTTCATCGATGTTGCCACCAAGGCTCTCGTTGGCCGTGATGTTCCCGAGCCTGTTGACCTCATGGAGGTCAAGCGCGACTACCTCGCAACTAAGGTTCCCCAGTTCTCCTGGACCCGTCTTGCTGGTGCCGATCCGTTCCTCGGTGTTGAGATGTCTAGTACCGGTGAAATCGCTTGCTTCGGTAAGGATGTTGTTGAGGCTTACTGGGCTTCATTGCAGTCCACCATGAACTTCCGTGTGCCCGAGCCTGGTGAGGGTATCCTGCTGGGCGGTGATATCACCAACCCTGCTCTGGCCCAGATTGTCGACTACCTCCAGCCTCTGGGCTTCAAGTTCTTCGCTGCCAGCTCTGAAGTCAAGACTCACATCGAGTCTGCTACCCAGGACAACGCCTCCGTCCAGGTGATTGAGTTCCCCAAGAAGGACAAGCGTGCGCTTCGTGAAGTCTTCCAGAAGTACGACATCCGTGGCTGCTTTAACCTTGCCAAGACCCGTGGCAAGACTCTCCTCGACGAGGACTATGTTATGCGACGAAACGCAGTTGACTTCGGTGTCCCTCTTTTCATGGAAACCAAGGTAATATATCCCAACCCCCTTTGTATAAGAGGAATAACGTGCTGACGATTTAAATCAGACTGCTCAACTTTTCGCCCAAGCCATGAACCAGAAGCTTCCCCGCGCTGATGGCATCCCGAGTGAAGTCCGAACGTGGTCTAACTTCGTCGGCGGCAAGCTTCTGTAAAATAAAAGCGACTAAAAGTTTCTGGATACTCTAATCGTTGTGTGTTATATTGTGTGCTCTTTTGTTCTCTGGCAGAAACGCCCATTGGTTTGGCGTAGGTAGTGGACGAGACCCTTCCATATTGATAGACCTTTTTTTTTGTTTACCCCGGTTATGGGCTACCAGTCTCTCTGAAAGCTTAAGCAAATGTGTTGCAATGGTTTTTCATCTCTCTCTATTCGCATATTGTTTAGATGCTTCGCGCCTCTTCTGGACTTTACATGTGGGCCCGTGTATGAGCGAGAAAAGACATTTCAACTGGATATTATGAATGATTTGATTAATTGGCAGCATTGGCAGTGTATGTTTTCTATTTGTAGTATAGTGATTATATCCAATCTCGACTTCCAATATATTCTTAAATCTAAAATTCGAAATTCGAAATAAGTGGTTGTAAAAGTGAAGTCTGGTTTGTAGCAAACAACCTAAGAGTTCTTTCAGGGCGGAGGGGAAAGCAATCTTCACTAACACAACAACTCAGACTCAAAACATTTTACCCTCACCATCACCCACCCCAGCCTTTCGCTCCAAAGATTCAGAGCTGGGTTTGCTGTATTTAATCCATTCATCTCAACAGGAATTCTTTAGTCGCTCTTCAATCCCTCAAACACCGGTATGCCACCTCTCAAACTTCACATAGGACCATACTTAGCTAACATCAAACCTAGCACAAACAATGATCTAAACATCATCTCTCACACACATCAATTCAAAGTAGTCATGTCTGGCTCAGCATATCAGCCAAATATTCAGACAAAAACAACCCCTGGCTCGGCTCCAAACGGCCTGGGAACAGGTCTCTTTGCCTCCAGTGACTTTCGCGCTGGTGATGACGTCCTGCACATCCAAAGCCCATTTGCCGCGGTGCTAGACACCCAACGACTTGCTGATACCTGCTCGGGGTGTTTTGGGAAACGACAACTTGAAGCCAATCCCGATAACAAGATTGTGTTAAAGGCTTGTGCGGGATGTCAGGTCGTCAAGTATTGCGATACCGTACGTATATGTGCAACTTTCCTTCAATATTTGAAGCCAAGGAGTTTAAACTGATTCGGTAAACACAGAATTGTCAAGCGAAGGATTGGAAGCTAGCTCATTCTCGCGAATGTCCTATCTACAAGAACTTGCACCCCAAAATTCTCCCTATCAATGCCAGAGCGATTATGCGTATGGTGATGCGCATTGGTGCGAAGAAAAATGCCTATACGCAAGAGGAATTGGAGTTGTTTCAGACTCTTGAGACTCATATTCGCGACATACGTGAAGGAAACTCGGAGCAGTGGGAGCGCATTTCTCTCACCTCGAAGGCTGTCAAACAGTATTCACAAACCGGTATCGAAGAGGAGCTGCTGTCTGCTTTTGGTGCAAAAGTGAGTTCAGTTCAATCAATTTAATGAACAGGTGGGTGCCTTTTTTAGTTATGTGGTTCTAATGATTGTCGGCGCCAGTTTGATTTGAATTCCTTCAACTTGACAAGCGCAGTCTACGACCGAGTTGGTTTGTACCTACACCCCTACGCAGCTCTGATCAACCACAGCTGCGAATACAATGCTGTCGTGGGATTTGACGGCCCAGAACTCTACATCAAAGCCATTCGCCCCATCGCCAAAGATGAGCAGATATTCATCTCCTACGTTGACACCACATATCCCAAGCACATCCGGCAGAAAGAGCTACGCGAGAGATACTTCTTCATCTGCCAATGCTCCAAGTGCTCCGGCGATGAAAGCCCCGAACCGACTGGCGACGCAGGAGAGGTTTCCAAACGCGCATATGCCCTGTTGCAATCTGGCAAGGCAGGTGATGATCAACAGAGACTATCAGTCACTCTGCAGGCGCTTATCGCACACGCGCTCCCCAAAACAAAGCAACCATTCGTCTCTATCCTCGACGAACTAATTGTGTCGGACATTTCTGGTGGCAGACTCAACCACGCGTTCTTGAACTGTGCGCTGCGGTTCTCGCGTATCGACCCCGTGGTTTACCCTTATGAAGGACATCCTCTTCGCGCCATGCATGCTTGGACTTTGGCGAAAGTTACCCTCCAAATCTCGCAGGAATTCCCCGAGCTTACGATTCCAGAGTTCGTTAAAGGTGGATGGGAGGATTTTCTTGGGGCTGGCGAAATCAGTCTAGACTATGGATTGCTTACTTGGACCCTGTTGGCGGAGCTTGTTTCGAAGGAAGCGGAATATTGCACCGTTCCTGGGTTTCGGACCATAGTGAAGAAGACTTTTGCGAACGTGCATCAGGAGTTTATGAAGCATGGGCTGGACCCGAGGAACATGAGGGACGAGATTAGGGCGCAGTGGAGTAAACTTGGGAAGGTCATCGGAGGCTATTTCCAGTGCGTGCTCCGTGACAACAGTTGAAGGTGCCTTGAAAAGAGGTTGGGGACACTCTGTAAGGCCAATCCAGGGTCACTGACATCTTGCAATGCTACGCGGGTAGTTACTGGTCTACTCTCATTCCATAGTCATGGCGAATATTTGAAGAAAATGAGATAAATTTCGTTAAATTAGACCCTTTCTACACTAGAAAGAGCCAGGCTCCTACCTCCCACCTGGTGGGACAAGAGTATAGAATCCCTTGGTGCAGGACTCGTGATTTTCATGCCGACAAGACCATTGTATTGAGATGCAAAAGCTGACCCGCACTTGACATACAAGCAGATGAACCCTATTCAAACGCAAATGGTATCCATCCGATCCTCTCGTATTTTGATTTTTGTTCTCCTGTACGCCCAAATCCTCCACGCAACAACCAAGTAAAGCTTTTCTTCTTTACTTGAGGGGAATGAAACGAGAAGAGTGGGTGGCACCAATACCGGGACGACCGTGCTTGACGGGCTTGCTGTAAGGGGGTTAGCGTTCATCCTACTCACTCTGATAATTGGGCAATCGGAATACGTACTAAGAGATAGAGAATTCACCGAGGTAGTGACCAACCATCTCAGGCTTGACTTCGATCTGGTTGAACTCCTTACCGGAGTAGATACCAATGACGGAGCCGATCATCTCGGGGACGACGATCATGTCACGAAGGTGAGTCTTGACGAGGTCGGGCTTCTCGTTGGGCTTGGCCTCCTGCTTGGCCTTGCGAAGCTTCTTGATGAGGCCCATGGGCTTGCGCTTCAGACCGCGGTTGAAGCGTCTGCGGGCACGAGCGTGAACGACATCACGGAGCTGTTCGGAGGAGAGGTCGAGGAGCTGGTCGAGGTCGATTCCGCGGTAGGTAAACTTGCGGAACTGTCTTCTCTTCTTGATCTCTGTCGAAGGGAAACCTGTCAGCGCGCTTGTCCTTATAATTTCGTTGTTCGAATGCATGAATTGTGCTGCGTCTGCGAGTTGGCGAATTCCTTTCCCCATTGTCCACATAACAACATTCCCATCATCTTCCTGTAACCAGTTTCGAAATTTCGCTCCAGCTTCGCAACGATCCATCCAACAATTCTTCACAGCGCATTTTCACGGGGATTACGTGGGATTAGGGTAGGGTTTGTTTCGAGATGCAACGTACCGGCAGCCTCCTCGGCGTTCTAGAGAAATTTGTTAGCATCCTTTCGAATCATAATATCGGTCCATCAAGGGCTAGGAAAAACTCACGTATTCGACGTCAGACATTTTGGCGGGTTGTTCCTCTCAAGGTCGCTTCTCGAATGAAACTCGAAAAGCGAAAAGGACGATGGTTGTCGGATGGCGTGTCGCTGTTGAACGTTCGGCGGGCTCACTGTACCGCTTCTGGGTGAGGTGGGCGGAAGGGCTCGTCTAAGCGAAGGGTCAAGCCCTATTGCACTAGCCTCTTTGGGAAATACAACTTTGAACATGGAGCCCTGGTCAAGGCTCCATTCTGGCCTATCAACCATTGTTCCAATCGCTTTTAGTTATTTCATAGTAATCTTGCCGTTTTATTGGCTCGTGAATTGCGATTTCCGGGTTATGAACAATTCTCAAGCTGGTCGCTCTACGAAACAGTTGAAACTAATTTACTAATATAGGGCACATGTAGACAATTCGAGGAGGTCAGACGATCTGTATTGGCTACCACTCTTTCGAGCTCACGTATGCATAATTCGTAACAGCATTACACAAGCCGCAGATATGCAGGCTTGGCTAGCAGTGTTCTTTCCAATATTGAATTTAACAGCCAGAGTCCTGTCCCCCACGAATATACCACTTTTTGCAGGGAGGCAGTTGATGCGCTTAGTCGAAGAGACCGAAGCCCATGTCCTCGTCGGACTCCTCCTTCTCCTCCTCCTTCTCGGCGGCAGGGGCCTCAGCAGCAGCAGCGCCACCAGCAGCGGGAGCGGCAGCAGCACCAGCACCGCCAGAGGGAACGGAAGCGAGCTTAGTGGTACCCTCAGCAATCAACTGTAGAAAATGTTTCATTAGTCCGCTGCCAAGAATTTCAAGCGCTTCTGTCGAAACGAACCTCGTTGATGTCCTTGCCCTGGAGCTCAGCGATGAGCTTCTCGAGGCGCTCAGAGTCAGCGTCAACACCGACGGAGGAGAGAACCTCCTTAATATCGGAAGCAGAGGGGCTCTCGTTGCCAGCAAGGGCGAGGAGGAGGTAGGCTGCGAGGTGCTTCATTTTGAACTATATTGAAAACGTGCGATTAGTATTGACAATCCCAGCGACTATCCAGTGCCAGTGAGGGTAACACGTACTGTTTAATTTGTGTAATGAACAAGAGAATCAATCGATTTAACCGCAAGTTGGGCGGAGACTGAAACGTCGAGTTCGGGTTGAGTTGATGTCGTGGTTGGAAAGAGAAGAAACGAAAAGTTCAAGATCACCAAATTCGCGGGAAAAGTGCGTTGTGGCTGGTACCCGTGGCTGGCGCCGACTAAGCGAGTGGTGTGGCGCAACACTCACGTGATTGAGACTTTCTAGGAAGCAGCATGGTTGACAGTGTCCTTTATCTTTCGTGAACCCGAGAACCAGCCTCGTGTGAATGTCTTGAGGATCATTTGCCAACTGGCAAAATCACCTGGCGGCGCCATCATTCCTTTGCCAGCTCAACATAGCCACGATCAGGACGTGAATAGGCTTATCACCTATCGAACTACTACGGTGGTGTCTACCGACGGAGTCATGAAGCTGCCTGTTCGCACCGACCACCGACGGTGAAACTGCTTGCATAAATACATCATCCTCGCCCTCGCTTGATCCAAGGTCGATCAAGAGGTTGGCGACAAAAATGAGTGTAAGTAATCCGATGCCCTAGCCTTTTGGAGTCGCCACTGACCATGTCCAGTTCCTCGATTCTGTCCTCTCGTCCATCGAGACGGGCAAACCGAAACCGATTCCTACATCCTCTCCCGTGCCAACTCCTTCTATCCCATCATCAAACTCGAAACCAGACACTCGTAAACCAACACCAACGGGTCGTCCTGCCACTATCGAGCGAAAGAATGGGGTCGCAGCGGGGACAAAACGAAAAGCCGAGGAGCCGCTGCCACGGACTCAGAAGCCTGGGGCACAAATCCCCTCCAGACCAGCGCCCGGAAAGTCCACAAATACCCCAGCGCTCTCCAACCAGCGCCCAACTACCATGGCAAAACCCGTAAAGTCCACAGCAAGCGGTAATGTAGCAACTGCCAGGAAGACGCCACCAGTCTCATCAAAGCCTCCACCAAAAGGTTCCTATGCGGAAATAATGGCAAAAGCAAAGGCTGCGCAACAGAATGCCCCCACTCAGGTTGGGATGTTCAAACATCAATCAGTGCCTAAGGAAAAGCTGAGCAAAATGGAGCGCAAGAAACGGTTGATGGAGGCACAGGCAAAGGAGAAAGACGCCAAACAGACAAAGCGGGGGGGCTCTTCTTCCGCCACATCTGCAGCTAGCAAATTTGGGAATCTAAAGCCTGGCAACAAACAAGAAACAGAAGAGCCCACCTACAAGGGCACTGCAAGGCCGCCGCCTTCCCAGCCAGAATACCGTGGCACTGCTAATCTTCCGAGCCGACATGGCGATCGCCGTGGTCAGTTCCGGGCAAATAAACGACCACGAGCAGACGAATATCTTGGAACAGATGAAGAAGACGAGGGTGACTACGCGGATGACTATGACGACTACTACTCAGAATCTTCCGACATGGAGGCAGGTATAGATGATGTGGAGCAGGAGGAAGCACGAGCGCTGGCTGCAGCCAGGCGTGAGGATGAAGCAGACATGCTTGCGGAGGCTGCGGCTAAGAAGGAGAAGATGGAGCGCCGCAAGAAGCTCGCTTCGTTGGCGTCTAAGAGACACTAGCTGCAAGTATCTTCGCCCTTACCAACTACGTATTTCAACTTTTTCATTTCTTATCTTATCGGTTATCATTCGACTGTTCAATTTAGAACCGGAGCATCAGCATGGAATACCCGGGGGTGCATTGCAGAAGTGGCTTTGTTTATTGCACTATGATATGCCTCTCACCTTCTTAAGTTACTTTATCCGTCTTGGTTTATTTCTTGTTAACATATTATTTTCAAGCATCAGCGAGCGTCAAGGTATTGGTAGATGGGAACAACACTGTTCTCCCCGCCAATTTTCTGTTTTGCATTATGGCTGATACGCAGGCGTCATTGTTCATATTACTTAGGTAGATCCGATGTAGATTCTCATATTTATGACCATTCTTCGGGAGTCTAGTACTTTAGTTCTCCTTCATTTCTATCCAACAAAATCCCCGTCACTTGGTAGTCTATAACACCTAAGTACTAGGTATTTCTATCGTCCAAAAAACTACAAGCGCCCCCTTCCTGTCAGATCCAGATGTTGCTGTTTTGAGTGTTTAATAATCAGTACAAGCCCTGAACTTCTACATATTAATCTATAGGTTCTACTCAGGAATAAGGAATGGCTAGTTTGTGCCTTGTGTCGATGCTACTCTCTTTGTTCCAACTTCAAATAGGGCCACCCATACTTGTCTCACCATGATCTCTTTACCCTTTGTCTCAGGTACTTATTACAGGCCCTCCAAGCAGCTATCCATTCTTACTGCTTACAACCTCTTGTTCAGTTATTCTATATTCCCTATATGCCGTCATTCAAGCACCAGCATCCACGACGACAGCACCACACTTCCCATCCTCCTCCATTATATTGGGATAAACTCGCTAGGCTGTGGTTGACCAAGAGCGCGCTGAGAGAAGCCAACCGACGAAACAAACCCCTATCTTCAGACCAGGGCATCTTTTCTATACCTCACACTTTTGCTCCTGTTTTCTTACGTGGCTGCTCTGCTACTCGTTTACAAGAGATCAGAAAAGTTTCCCGCTGTGGAGGACCAGATCTATCGGATATCAGAAACGTGAGTTATTTACCAGTCACCCTCTTCCAGCACTGATTCCTAAGGATATGTATATTAACAGGCCTTTGCTTCTAGTATCCCGCGCCAGCCTACTTCGATCAATACTCAACGGATCCTACCAAGGCCCGCTCGAAGTGCTCTAGCCCAACGGAGAGTATGCCAAAAACCGGGAGCACGACTGTTTATGACCCAAACTTTGAGGTGCATATTACCGATCATGGTGTTTTCCTACCATCGTCCAAATTCGCCGATGGTACAGAGCTATCCAAGCCGGAAAACTTTACAGAGATCCAAAGGAGATTACGGGCTGCCCGGCCTTCATTGGCATTATCAGAAGGCACTCTGGAGAAAGAATACGAATAATTTATAGCGCTTAACGACAATGCCGCGCGGAAACAGATAGTTATTAAGGATATATTACCTGTTCTCGAGGGCAAACGAAAGGCCTGCTCCCAGACTGACGGTGGATACTTATTCAACAACCTTGACCCATTGACCGACGGCACCCTAGCTGGTGCTAAGCCTGATTTCTACCACGGTGCATCCTCAAACCAGCTAAATCATGGGATTCGGAAGCAATTGAATAGACAGATTGTGCCTTCAACTCAGAGCAGCGGCCCAGTGGCACTAAATTTTTTCGTTGAAGCAAAAGGCCACACTGGGTCTATTCCCGTGGCTAAGCGCCAGTCATGTTATGATGGCGCTCTAGGAGCACGAGGTATGCATGCCCTGCAGTAATATGGGCAAGAGGGTAGCAGTAATCAGCCGGGCAATTACGACAATAACACCTATGCTATAACCTCTTCTTTCCATGCTGGAACTGGGGATGTATGCGACTCACCCTATAAGGTCCACGGACAATAATGACCCAGACCGTCATACCGACTATGTGTCGACACAAGTCGGGCAATGGGCATTACATGGTGACCCGGTGTACCCGAGGCTACATAGCAAATGGCTTCAATTCAGCCTTCTTCTTTCCTCCTTTCACTCAACCCTCGTCTCGAGACATTCACCGGGAGCCGGGCTATTCAGAAACAAAGAGGTACTGTCGTAAAGCGGTGTCCCGTAGGCTGTCTTATTGAGTAGCTCCTTGAAACATAGACCGTACGACAAAGGGGGCTCAGGCTCAGCAACAGGTAATGTTGCTGACAAGTTGGACATGGCCAGTGAGAGTACATGAGAAGGAGCAGGGTGAAGAGCACCAAAACTAAGCCTTGCCTTGTAGATTTCACATATTAGTTCCCTGGTACAGTGGGGTAAGCTAGTCGCTGTCATCATGGCACCTACCCTACAATCAATGTATACTGATTGTATGATTACAGCTTTCACCTCTTTTGCCCACCCAGGTCGCACCCCTTCAGGGCAGCACTGCTCACCTACTAGAACGAGAAATGTAATGGTCTTGCAGGTGGGTAGTGTTTTGCTCGGCAGAGAGTTAAAACGCCCTGATTGCATCAGCCCCACTAGGCGCTGACATCATTCGCTCATCAGCTCTCAATCAACATTCCTCACCTTCATCCTCGCGGGGCTTTATCATTTAACAACAGTCTTTATCCCTTTTTTTCGCTTTAATCGAATATCTGGAATCCAACGACCATGGACAAGGTCCCCCACCTCTCCGTGCCTTCGAAGGCACTATTCAAAAAAGCCCGCAGGATCGTCCCTCCAATGCTAGAGAAATTTCACAAGGGTAAGTGATCGCCTGATCCAGATTCACGCTGTAGCCTCTCATTGATAACGACATATAATTGCAGGACAGCAGGGTCGAATCGCTGTTATAGGGGGCTCTCTTGAGTATGTCTCTCTACTCCATGGCGCTGACAGACGGATTGAGCTGAAACCATCAAGCTACACAGGTGCACCATACTTCTCTGCCATGGCGTCAGCAAGACTAGGTATTTAAGCTTATGCTTATCCCGACCTTCGATCTTGCTATACTAACTACACGCCAGGATGTGATATGGTACGACTGCGCTATCTGATTCGGTTTTCGCGTATTAAGCTAATGATTTCCACGTAGAGCCATGTTATTTGCGAGAGCTCCGCTGCTACCGTAAGCTCCTCCGGCCGAGAGTAAACCCCCGAATAGCACTCATACTCAAACTCCAGGTCATCAAATCATATTCACCGAACCTGATGGTGCATCCGATCTTACCGAGCAGCAACTCCGTTAAAGACCCGAATTCCATTGATGCTCCGAGCTTAGCAAGCCCTATTATCTCAATGCTTTCCAGGCTTCATGCACTCGTCATTGGGCCCGGTCTGGGCCGAGATGGAGTTACGCTCCAGGTAGTCAGAGAAGTAATGAAAGAAGCACGGTCCCGCTCAATACCGTTTATCCTGGATGCAGATGGACTTCTTTTAGTCACAGAGGATCCAGACATTGTGAAGGGATACAAGGAGTGCATCTTGACTCCCAATGTCAACGAATTCAGCCGTCTAGCCAAGGCGCTTGGGATTGATGTCCCAAGTCTAGCTCAGATATCATCTGACGAGGGTGGTGGAGACAAGACGAGACAGGAAACAGAGGCGTGCGAGAAGCTCTCGAAGGCCCTTGGTGGCGTCACCATAGTCCAGAAGGGGCCACACGATGTGATCTCGAATGGGATTACGAGCATTGTCTCCGATATCAGGGGAGGGTTGAAGCGTAGTGGTGGTCAGGGAGACACCCTGACTGGTTCATTGGGAACACTGATGGGTTGGAGAGCAGCTTACCACAATGCACTATGGGATTCGGGCGAGCAAGAGAACTCAAACGAGGCACAGTCCAAGCAGGAAATCCAAGCAGAGCTAGAATCGGAGAGACGGATGTCCCCGGCGACAACATTGCTGCTTGTTGCATGGGCGGGCAGCGCTATTACGAGAGAATGTTCTCGCCGGGCTTTCAAGGCAAAGGGGAGAAGCATGCAAGCGAGCGATCTCACCGATGAAGTCCACGACAGTTTCTTAACGCTCATTGGGGAACCTGAAGGATCCAAGGTGCATCTTTAGGACATAGCTAGTGTGGTGGTCTCTCTGCGTCTAGTCACAGAGCCTGCCTATAATCTGACAAGGATGAGCATGTCGGCCGATTCGCAGTGATTTCTTCTTTTGTACATTTCCGTCAATTTCCGGGGGCTTGTGGTTTGTGAGTGAAGCCATCATTCCCGATGCCCGTAGATATTTGGGCGCAGGTCTTGACTTCACGCGCCAGCTGACTGGGAACAAATGTACTATTCCAATCAAATAGATTGGTGTCTCTCATGCGAGCCAATCTGACACATCCACATCTGCCATGCCAAAGTCTTCCACGGTTGGAAACTCTGGCCGGGGAGACCTTGTTTGGCAGCTCTTGTTATTTGCCAAGTTCCAAACTCTCCGTCGCCCACATTCCGGGGCTCTCGGCACCCCCAGACCTTGCCTCTATTATGAGGCCAAAATGTCTCACCCCGCAAGGCCGGTTCAGTGTCCATGCTCCAAAAAACAAACAACGATTGGTAAGAAGCAATCTTGATCCTTCGTTCATGATCAGACCACCAATATTGTCACCGACAGGCAGTTCGCTCCCAGAGCGGGGAATTCAACCGCAAGAACTCCCTCACCAAGCTACGTCAATCATCTTGTTTGTATCTACATTGATGGGCTGAAAAACTTCTTTCGCGTGGAATCTCCAAATAACAAACGACAAGCCTATAAATAACTCGCAAAGCAATCCAGCCCGATGTTTAGTCTTGTCGTGACGCAAGATCTCGTATCCAATCCCGTTCCTCAACCCTAGCATACAGTGGCTTTCTGGTTCAGCCGTTGAGAAGGGCTCGCTCCAGTGCTGTCTGCACCACGCCAGCCCATAGACAGAAGCATGTCTCAGCCTTTGGATCCTTCTTTGTCGATTCCCAGCTTCTCGTGACACGGCGATCCGGCTCATTGGGTCGAGCTCCGATCTTGACGTTACCGTGGATTGTTTAGGGCTTGAAGGACTGGTTGCGATGGGGGTATACGCTGCACCACATATCACATATCCCCTCCCTCCAGCCATCTCAGCCCGACGGGAGCCGATTCTAGTTCCAAAAATATATCCGGTCGAGGTATATAAAGATCTCAATATTCTGCAAAGAATCTCTCAATATCAGACTCTTCAAGCAAAGCTTCTTCAGCCCCAGCGCATTCCAAGTTAACCAAGTCACCATCAAATCAAGAACCCAAGTCATAAACAACCATGAAGACCCTCACCCTCCTCAGCACCCTCCTACTAGCCACAGCCTCCGTTGTGAGCGCAACCCCCAACCCCAGACCACCCCCCAAGTGCGGAACCTGCAACCCCCTCTCCGGCGAGAACCACTGCGACATCACAACCTCGTGCATTAACACCGGCAGCCGCTTCCACTGCGCATGCCGCG